CACATCTTGCGGTGCTACATCTGCAACAGTACCGAACACCTAGCGAATGTGTGCCCAGACAAAGGCAAATCGGTATCCCAGTACCGCGGGTACAACCGGGGCGGGTACCGAGGACGCCGGGCGAGTCGACAGGGAAACGGCCATTAACCGTGGGAGAGCCCCTTACCACGGATGAACTCCTTTCAGGGGCATTCGAAGAAGAGAGTCTTGTTGAAGAAAGACTCCACGCAGAAGCATCTCTCCTTACGCATTGTATTACCCCTATTCACGTTGACCTTGACAGCTGCGGAGAGACCAATGTTGTGAGCATTGATTTCGTGCGAAGGCACGAGCTCAAGTGGCTCAGTGCCGATTCGCCATTGATTCGCTTCATGGATCAGCGTTATGCGATCATTTACGGAGTCTTTGAAGTTCCATTGTCTCTTACTGATCACCAGGGGATTACGAAGGAAGCCAAAATCCCATGTGTTGCAGTGGAGCGGCCTGAGATTGAGGGCGAGTCTCCTGTGTTACTGGGTATTCCAGCTTTGAAGATGCTGGACATCCTCCTCTACCCTGGATTGAACAGTTGGTGGTTCATTGCCGAGTCGGCGAAAGTTCGCCTGCTTACCCCCAAGAAATTCAACAAAATCTGTCGAAAGGAGGCACGAGTTTACGCTCTGTTTGTTCATCCAGACGTGCCTACTGAGTTGTTTCCTGATGAAGAGGAGGCGAAACCCTGTAAAAAGGGAGGCGAAGAGATTCCTCCGGAGTTATCTGATTTTAAGGATGTGTTGGATATCTGCAATTCTGACATTTTGCCGTCGTTTAAAAACACGGATCATGAGATTGTACTTCAACCAGGAACTACACCTCCTGTTGGCCCCATTTACCCAATGTCTCAACATGAGCTGTCTATTCTTCGCGAATATCTTATCGAGAACCTGGCGAAAGGCCGTATAAGACCTTCTCAGAGTTCAGCGGCAAGCCCCATCTTATTTGTTCCTAAGAAAGACGGTTCTCTGCGCTTATGTGTAGATTACCGGGGACTCAACAAAATCACGGTGAAGAATCGCTACCCTTTACCCCTGATTTCGGAGATCCTTGACCGCGCTGCTGGTGCGAATTATTTCTCAAAGTTAGACGTCAAGGACGCCTATTACAGGATCCGAATCAAGGAAGGGGACGAATGGAAGACAGCGTTTCGAACCCGATACGGCTTGTTTGAGTATTTGGTTATGCCTTTTGGGTTGACCAACGCTCCAGCCACTTTTCAGAGTTATATTCATCAAGCCTTGGGGGGCTTATTGGATGAGTTTTGTATCGCGTACCTGGACGATATCTTGATCTTTTCCAAGGACCGAGACAGTCATACCCAACATCTTCGCCAGGTATTCGCCAGGCTTCGGGCAGCGCAGCTCTACTGCAAGCCTTCTAAGTGCTCCTTTTATAAGGACCAAGTGGACTTCCTCGGTTACGTGGTGAATCGCGAGGGAATCGCTATGGATCCTGAGCGAATTCAGACCATTGAAGATTGGCCGGAACCTCGAACTTTTCGCGAGATCCAGATTTTCTTGGGTTTCTGCAATTTTTACCGACGATTCATCCACAATTACTCCCACATTGCCTTACCCCTGACCAGTTTGCTAAAGGGGCTAGAGAAGGGAAGAAAACCAGGAGAGGTCCAACTCGAAGGCGAAACACTAGCGGCTTTCCAGCAACTCAAAAACGCATACCGAGACGCTCCTTTACTACGCCATTTCGACCCCGAGAAGCCGGTGGTCATTGAGACAGATGCTTCCGATTTTGCAATGGGAGCAGTACTCTCGCAAAAAAGCGAGGATGGCAAGAAGCACCCTGTGGCATTCTGGTCGGCTAAGTTCTCTGGGTCGACTAAGAACTATGGAACCCCTGACAAGGAGATGATGGCGATCGTGGAAGCCTTCAAGCATTGGCGCCACTACATTGAGGGAAATCGCCACCAAGTCACTGTCCTTTCGGACCACAATAATCTCCAGGGTTTCATGAAGCAAAACCACTTGAATGGCAGACAAGCCAGGTGGTGCATGTACCTTTCAGGGTTTGACTTCATCATCAAACATCAGCCGGGCAAACGAAACCCAGCCGATGGGCCGTCGAGAAGACCTGATTATGAGGACGATGCGCAAGAAGAGCGCTTGAAATGGATGCCCAGTCTCCAGAACAAGCTGGAGAATGCAGAGGAAGTCTGCAAGCGGGACGCCGCTAATTCGGGCTCAAATCGTCCAGTGGTCACTGTCCAGTCGTTAAAAGTGGAAGCAATGAATTCCCGCGGCATGGTCAGAACAAGTTGGCAAAAGAAGCCAATTCTGTCTCGAAAGCGCGCCGAAAAGATGGCGGAGCTTGAAGCAGTTTATACGCTGGACCCATCAAAGTCCATGCGTGAGCTCATTTTTGAGATTCAAGAGACAGATCCAGTGACACACAAGATCAAAGAACGCCTGAAGAATCCCAGGCGAGAACCCAGCGAATCTGCGGGTTGGTCTCTCGGACAAGACGGCGAATTATTGTTCAGAGGCAAACTATTTGTGCCTGCTGAAGAAGCACTCAAACAAGAGTTGCTCTGTCGTTATCATGACGATCCGCTGGCGGGTCACTTTGGCCCTCAGAAGACGCTTGAACTCCTTCAAAGGAAGTACTATTGGTTGGGCATCACCAAAAGCGTCAAAGACCACTGCAAAGAATGTGCAGTTTGCCAGCAAAATAAGTCAAAACGACATCGTCCTTACGGCAGTCTTGAATCTCTGCCGATTCCTCAGCGACCCTGGAGTGAGATCAGCATGGACTTCATCGTTGGTTTTCCCGCGGTGATAGTCGACGGCACTGAACGAGACTCTGTCCTCGTTATCGTGGATAGATATACCAAGATGTGCCGTTTCTTCGCTGTCTCTTCGAGCATTAAAAGCCAGGAGCTCGCAGAGCTCGTCCATAAGGAGATCGAGCTCAAATATGGCGTACCAGATGGCTGCGTCAGTGACCGAGGTTCAGTCTTCACCTCCCAATTCTGGAGTGATTTATGCTACTTAAACCAGGTACATCGGAAGCTCTCAACGGCATTTCACCCGCAAACCGATGGGCAAACCGAACGTATGAACCAGACATTGGATCAGTACCTCCGTTGCTACGCCCATCAGAACCCTCAAATCTGGGCAACCATTCTTCCAGAAGCCGAGTTCGTTTGCAACAATAGCCTCAACGCCACAACGAACATGACCCCTTTCTTCGCATTAATGGGGTACCACCCGACGATCTCCCAGCGCATCGAGGGCGATGCTTCAGAGAGGGGGAAACAGCTACAACAGCTACACCCCAACGCAGCAGAGAGGATTGAGAAGTTGCAAGTGTTGAGAACGCAGTTGGAACAGCATTGGGCCGAAGCGGTAGCGAATCACAAGCGATACTACGACAAAAGACACCAACCCCAAGCTTTCAGCAAGGGGCAGCTAGTTCTGCTGTCCACTCGCAACTTGAAGTTGAAGACCCCTCATAAGTTGACGCCCAAGTTCATCGGACCTTTTCGGGTGTTGGAACGTGTTGGTTCGCTAGCGTACCGTTTAGCTTTGCCTCAGCAATATTCGCGAGTTCACGACGTGTTCCCTGTCAGTTTGTTGGAACCCTGGCATGGTCAAGTTCAGGGCCAGGAGCAGATGCCAATGCCAGATCTCGAAGATGACGAGGAGTGGGAAGTCGAAGAGGTGCGCGACGAGCGCCGAATTGACGGCGAAACATTCTTTTGGGTCAAGTGGAAAGGATGGCCCTCAGAGTTCAACCAATGGGTCCCTGAAGAAGACATGCAAAACGCGCAGCAACTGATCACCCTGTTCAGGAGGTCGCAACGGAAGGCCCAGGGATGGCAGGAAGACGAGAAATCAGCGAAGAGGAGACGAAGCAACACTGTTACGACGACGAGGCGGTAGAAGTCTAAGACGGCGCAGACGAAGCGGATGCGTAGCGAGACTGGGGAAAAGAGAGGCGCGACGCATAGGAAGGGACAACCACGGTGATATGGTGATGCTTGTGGAAACAAGGCTGGAAAGGCAGCGGTTCGCTGGAGGAATACCGTGGGTGCGAAGGTCTGTGCACACACAGCATTTTGCAGAGAGGTCTTAGTTTCGACTCGAGGTCGAGTCGCATGGAAGGGGGAGATGAATTGTCAGGGCCCCCACCATGAGCCCTACACTTGGGCAATCGGCGGGCGAGACACTGTGGATTTCATGGCGCAGCGACATGACTCGCAGCAGAGAGAGGATATCTGGAGAGCAGGAGACTCAGATTGGAACTTGGAACTTCCCTCTCTCAAGGATCAGTCAGTTGGTTAGGGGTGCACGCACAATACAGTCGTCTTGCCTGCTGCTTGTTGAGGATTCGGTGCATCTTCCTTGGTGAGCTTGTGTGTGTCACCTTACAGTAATAGCTGTTAGAGTTCGCGATCTTTCTTTCATTCTATCTATAATTATAAGCTTGAGGACGTCCTATATCTCTATGACGCATCAGATAGTCAAGTGCAATATTAATGGGATTATAATAGTTACGAAAAGACCTCGGTTTTCTGAGAAGCATTTAGATATTATTATAGTAAAGAGAAATGATCATTGAAGTTGAGTAGTTATAGTAGAGAAAATATATCCAAGTTAGTAGTATATCTATATAAATAGTAAACTACATTAGTTAGTTATATATTATATAACGTGTTTTATCAGCGAATGCACCATATCAGCGAGTGCACCACTGGTAAGGGCTGCATATATATTTGGGTGCAGCACTAACGACGGGAATAAGCGGGGAATAAGTTGTTAGGACTTCGACTAAGTGTCTGTGCAGCCCTTACCAGTGGTGCACTCGCTGATAAAACACGTTATTATTAATCACATTCTAGAATTGAATTTAGAAGTTTCCTGTTGGGCAGCCAACAGTTACATGCTCAAGTAAGCTTAGATCAACCAAATGGTATTGAACAGATTGAGGTATGAAACGAAGCTTGAATTGGAGTCACGATTCCAGAGTGACCACACAAAATGAAGGATCAAGATAGTGGGTTAGGGAGCCTCAGAATGTCCCTTTCTTGTTGGAACAGAAATTGTCCTCTCTAATCCTCCCAGGGGAATTACCCCCTTATATAGAGACATTGTGCCATGATATGACGCTATGTCAGGAACTGTGTCATTGTGATGGATCTGTGCTGACTGAGAGTCTCGCATTGAACATCAGTGCTCAGTCCGTGAAACTTGGTGCCAAGGAACCCACTCAGTTCAACATTTCCAATGTACTCCATCCTGAAGTAGCATATATGCACATGACTAATGTTAATAACAGTTGAAGTATCTGGTCTGACTATCTGGCTGATTGCTTACCTCTAGAATATAGTCCAAATAGTGGCTGTTCTTGAAAGTTGACCTGACATTTGAGAGCATAGCACATGCAGCGAAATAGCGACAGGGGCAGCACAGGGGAAAGACTCGCTAATACGAAATCGGGCCAGGTTGCAGTCAAAGGAACAATAATTTCGGATATCCAAAGAAGTAAAACCTTCCAAACCTCGACTTTTTTTTGTTTTTAGCTCTGTGCACTGATCTGTACGGCAGGAGATTCTACGACTATTGCATCCCGCTTTTTGACGACCTGCAGCAGTTCAGGCACCACACCAACCAGTCCTTACATCATCCAAATCAACCACCTCAGCGGGCTCGGCTCCCCCACACGCGTTTCCCCCCTTTTTCTCCCAGACCTCCAACGCACCCTATCCAAAGACACATCAACCACCACACCATCCATACCCGTACACCGTCAAAATGCGCTTCTCCACAACCGCCCTACTGGCGCTGCCGCTGCTCGCGTCGGCCGCCGAGAGCCCGTTCGAGCAATACAGGGCCAAGTTCCAGAACTTCCTCAGCAGCTTCGGCGCGTCGACGCCCGGCCAACCCAAGGCCGATGCCCCGGCCGTCGGTGGCGCGGCCCCCGGCGTGGCCACGGGAGGCAAGGGCTCCAAGACCAAGAAGGTGGCGGAGCCCAAGAAGATCGACGTGCTTACGCTCGAGAACTGGAAGGACACGCTGTATGGGCCCGTCCGGGCCGACGCGGCGCAGCCCGCCGAGTGGCTGGTGCTGGTGTCGGGGCGGAACAAGACGTGCTTTGGTTTGTTTGCCTTTCCAACCAACAATATTCCTGTTCTGATACTGGGTACTAACGGAAAACCAGGCCGCTGCGAGCGCATCGACACCGCCTTTACCGAATCAGCCGTGAAGTTCGCCTCGCTCCCGCCCTCCCAGCCGTCGCCGCAACACCTCGCGCGCGTCAACTGCGACGACACCCCCGTGCTGTGCAACGCGTGGTCGGCCAACGCCGGCGCAATCTGGCTGTTCGAGGTGCCGACGGCCCCGGGCGCGGTCGTCGAGATCCACACCAGGCGCATGAACCTGACGACGGTCACGGCGCAGGACATTGTCGACGCGTACGCCGGCACCGCGGCGACGAACAGGACCGAGGCCGGCTGGCACCGGTTTGATCCCAACGGCTGGTTCCACCCGATCGAGGGCAAGTTTGCCAAGTATGGGCTGGCGATGCCGCTGGGCTATACCTTCTGGGCGCTGAATGCCATCCCCTCGTGGGGGATGATGCTTATTGTGTCGTTCCTCAGCCGGTCCATGATGTGAGTATTATTCTTTCCAATCTATGCTCGGTGATAAGATCTCCGTGCAAAAAGCTGACACTTCGTTTAGGAACCGCCGCATGGAGGGCATGAACCGGCCGGCTGGCGCTCCGGGTGCTGGACCACGTGCTGCTCCCGCTGGCGATGCCCGCTCTTGATCAGGCTGCAATGAGACCGGGATGGAGTTGTTCGGTTTTCGAATAGGATCTCTTTCCATCATAGTACTGTAATTACTGGGTGGGCTGCCTTGATTTCTTTGGATCGGTTGGTGATCGGGCGGACTGGAAGGCACGGTATCTAGTACGTACACTGCTTCTGTCTGTACGTCGAGTCACAGACGACAAGGGCTTTTCGAATCTAGCTCAGTTTCTTGTTCTACAAATGGCTTCGAGATTGGCTAAGCCATCGAGGACTTGCTCCGGCAGCTGGCTGTTAGCCATACGGCCATAGCGCAAGTCGCTCATGGCACCGACGGTTTGCCGGACCGAGGCCAACAGGGACGCTTCCTCCTTCTCAAGGAGTTGCAGCTCGGCCTCTAGCTCGCTGATGGCGCCCTCCATGTCGGGCAGGATGGTGCCAAGGCTGTGCGTTGGGGATTGACGTTCCGACCAATTACCCAGCTGCGGGCGGTCAGTGACGCGCGTGTTACACAGGAGATGGATGCAAACTGACCATTCGCTCGATTTCTACCTCGTCGTCGTGCTCTTGGGCTTCTGCCTCTCGTTTGGATCTGATGACGGCGCGGCGCATGGCCTTGCCATGCTTGGCCTCTTCCTCGACCTGCTCGGCTATCGCGTCAACAAGGGCATTTCGCTGACTCTGCAGGTCGCGGTAAAGAGTGCGAATTTGCGGCGACGATTGCATTTGACGTGGGAACAGGGCGACAAATTCATGCAGGGAGATAATTGATGGGAGCCTGGCTGGGGCGAGCAGGTAGTTGCTGAGAATTTCCTGCTCGGTCGGTGCCATGTTGCAGGTCGGGTTGCTGTTTGTCGTGAGGTTTGAGGAGCAGTGCACAATAATAGTTTTAAGATGAATCAAATACGGCCTCTAAGTTAGATTTCCAATCATTCATCAATGCCAGCGTAAATGTCATGTATTGCCGATATATCCCGTACACCTGAAGAAGAAAATCAATAAATCCGTTAAATGGAAGGTGTGACACGGGCGCAACGCCGTTGAGAGCACGTCCTCACGTGATCTGTGCTTCCCCCCTGCATGCGCTTGCACTCAATATCTCGACGTCTCTCACGGTCATCCCAACAGCCGACACTCAACAAGCTTCTGCCCCTCATCCCATTGCTGGCCCCGCGGATTTTTATCAAACCTTATTTTAACCACTGTGAAGGTGCTGTTATGTGATTTTGGAGCTGATAGGGCGCGATTTTGACTGATTTCGGGACTTGCCATCCTCTTCATCCTCGAGGTGTTCACCTGCATCATCCTCGTCACTCGCACCTCAAACATCCCCCCTGCGTCACAAATTCGCAGAACTTTCCGGCTATCCTTCTCATCTTGTGATCACGCCGGGGACCCATCAATTCGGTGATAATCTCGCTTGAGAACTCCAACACCCCTCCCGAGCCTTCACAGCAACCCTTCGTACTCTTCCAGCACTCCGGCGACAATCACCATGGCCCCCCAGAAGCAACGCGAGCCGCCGTTCCAAAAGGACGAGCGTGTGCTTTGCTTCCACATGGAGATGCTCTACGAGGCCAAGATCCTCGACATCATGCCGGCCGAGAACGGCGAGGGCTGGCAATACAAGATCCACTACAAGGGCTGGAAGAGCAGCTGGGACGACTGGGTGCCTCAGGACCGCATCCGGAAGTTCGATGACGAGAACAAGGCGCTGGCAAACCAGCTTCTGGCCCAGTTCAAGGCGCTGCAGTCCGGAAAGGCCGCCAAACAGTCGGCCAAGAAGGGAGGTGCTGCCCGAGCGGCCGCAAATGGATCCGACATGAGCTCGGCGAGGGGCAGCGAGGAACGCACTGCGGGTGCTGCGACGGCAACTGGGCGCGGTCCTCGTAGGGCGAGGGACTATGAACTTGAGCAGGTCAGTTATTGTTTGCCAGTGTAGCTTGTGTCATATGATTGTTTTGAGTGTTTTGCTGCATTTCACTCCTTTCTTTTCCATTGCGGCCTCGACTCTGGTATTGTGGGAGTTCTCTGGATGCGAGTGCATCTATTGTTGCTCTCGCTCGAATAGGGGACATGATGGCTCTGGCGGGCAAAAAGGTGCTTGTTGATGGAATCTATCGGCCCCCTGCACCACGGCAGTCATCGACTCGGCACCCCGAGGATATCAAGCCCCCTTCGGCAACTGGCGCTAGCACTGGTTCGGAGGCAACGAACTGGTAACACCTGGAGAGAAAATTTCGAACCTGGACGCCCGGGAGAATGCCCCGGCGCGCAACCGAACTCGAGGAGCCCGGAGTTCTGCTGCAGACTTCATACCGGTCGCCCGGTTGCCTGACATCGATAATCCGCAACTCCCGGCGGCTCAACCTTCCTTATGCCTGCATTCTTCTCTGAAAATGCTCTGAGAAACTCTCTGACGACATTCACCTGCACCTCGGCGCGCTACTCGCTCTCTTGCAGCAACGCCCTCTGCGCCTGCATCTGAGCTAGTTTCTGACAACACCCGCTGCGTCACTCGATCGATCTCTTCTGCATTCTCAACGCGACTGCATTAGCCATCGGAAACCAGGCTTCCAATCCAGTCTTTCCTCGCGCTCAGGAACGCGCGTCTCGTCTTCGCGTTTCCTCAGAAAAGCACCGATCACAGAATCTCTGATTACTCTTCTCCTTGCAAGAAGCACTGTTCAGAGAGCCCTGATCACGACCAACGAGAAAAGCGTCGCCTTAACAGCATTGTCTCTCTTGCTGTAAAGCTTCACTCGACCTACTCTTCGCCCAATTTTGAGTATTTGGTTGGATACGTCCGTTACAGTCATCTTCTTTCTTGATAACAACAACATGGCGACCGACGCAGTCGTCTCAGACTACAGCACACGTAGCAAAACACGTCGCGCTTTTAAAGAACAAGCAAAGCAGAATCCTCTCAGGGTGAAGGAGCCGAGCAAGGTTCGGAAGCCATCCATCAGCGGCCCTGTCAGGAAGACGACGGCTACAAGCGCCCCTCCGAAGCAGGCCGCTCCAAAGACCACGCGAGAGCGGATCGGCACCAGGACCACCAAAAGGCCAACCACCACAAGGGCAATCCAGGGGCCCAGAAAACCAACCATCGCTGAGGAAGCCAGCGAATTCACCACCGCTGAGGAGCAGAGCAAGCCCACCACTTCTCAGGCACCGAACAAAAGCAGCCCTGTTCAGGAGCTGACACGTCAGGCGACGCCGCCAGAGGTGCGCCTGTTCAAGCAAGGTCACGAGGACCCCGAGAACTGGCCACTCGATCTGTCCTGGATGGAACGGGAACAAGCCATGTTCAGCCGCGAGCAAAAGCGCGATCATCTGGTCAGAAGGCCAACCGCCAAGACGCCGCGTTATATGGACGACTTCGGGAACCCATGCTTCGATAACCGCTATGTGCAAAAGTCACAGCGGAAGCCGCCCATCGGCAGCCGCCACCCCAAGATCTTGCAGGCCCGGAAGAAAGGCACCTCCACCCAAGCGCTTGAGTCGTATTGGGAGCAACTCAGCCCCAAAGTCAATCTCCCTCTTGCTGGGACTCCCAGCGACGGGTTTGCCAATCCAAAAGGGGGCCCCTACACCATCCCCAAGGAGCTGGTCGCCATCCCAAAGGAGCCCGTCACCCAAGGAGCCCAAAGCCGACAAGGCCAGTGCAATGGCGCCTCCGACCAGAGACCAGCCGCCCTGGTCCGTGAGTCGTGGGTTAGGTACGCGACAACACCACCTACGTGACAGCCAGTACTTGTTTGTGTTTGTCTCCTGCAGGAAATCAACGCGTCCAAATGGGCATTGCGTGACCGCGACGTCATGCTGATTTCTCATGCATTAAACATTAGTTGGCTGCCAGCCGCGCTTCCCAAGTGGGCACCAGCTGCTTGTTTCCTTTCGCGTCGTTCTATCAACATGGGGGATAATTGCTAACAAGACGCAGGAGGACACCTTCCACAACCGGCCCTCGATCAAGCTCAACATCCCCGACCATCTCAAGGCACTCCTTGTAGATGACTGGGAGAACGTGACTAAGAACAACCAGCTCGTGCCGCTTCCCCACGTGCACCCCGTCGAGGAGATTCTGAACGACTACCTCGCCCATGAGCGGCCGCATCGCAAGGAGGGAAGTGCGTCGCAAGACATCCTGGAGGAGACTGTTGCCGGCCTGCGCGAGTACTTTGACAAGTGCCTTGGTCGAATTCTGCTATACCGGCGAGTCCCCCTCCGTTGTTCTTCCTTGTTCTTCTCTCATGCATCGCTAACAAGGGAATGACGACAGCTTCGAACGCAATCAGTACCATGAGATGCACCAGCTCTGGATGCAAGGTGACGATGGCAAACACAAGAGTGCTATCGACACCTATGGTGCAGAGCACCTGGCCCGTCTTCTTGGTACATCCCCCACACTTCTGTTACCCCCTGCTCCATCACAGCACAGGACTAACATCGTCACAGTTTCTCTGCCCGAGCTCATCGCCCAGACCAACATGGATCAGCAATCGGTCAACCGTCTCCGTGAAGAGCTCACCAAGTTCACAACCTGGTTCTCTCGGCACGTCACCAAGTACTTTGTCAGCCAGTACGAGACACCTGGCACTGAATACAACGAGCAGGCGCGCAGTGTTTGAAGAAACATAAGGCCACGCGACACTCGACATTCCACAATTAGCACATAAAGAACTAAGCAAAAAAGAACAAACCCACAAAGAAAGTTGAGGCTGTCGGTGTAGTTGCTCACTCGGTCTATCAATCTTCCCCAGGTCTTGACAGCGGGTAAACCAAACAAACCCTTTCAAGCCCTTTCAAAATCCGCAAACACATCTCCCAAAACTTGCCTCTTCTCATGGCCTGGGAAAGGATTTGGACCTCGCCATTCCAGCGTTCGCCAAGAGGTGAATGAGCTGACGCACGACGCTTGACTTCTTCCCTTTTCTTCTGGGGCTCTCTCTCATGCTTGGTCATTGTGCTCCGGATCACGCGTGCCCTCGACATTCGACGGCAGCGACAACAACAAAAGACAAAGACAAAAGACGGGTCTGGAATATCACCTCAGCGATTGGCTTTTGCTTGATCATTGCTTGCTTGCTTGCTTGCTCGGCTCGGCACCGCGCACTTGACCTCCATCGGATCGGAGTTTTGGCCTGGGAACATGACGGATCGTCAAAAGAGAGAGGGGGGAGGGGTTTGTTGTTATACATGCGCAAAGGGTGGATGGGCTTTACTTGTTGGAATTCGCATTCTCACCTTGGTTGGATGATCTTGGGCTTTTTCCTTATTTCTGTTTCTTTACCGGAGTGACCGGCTGATGATCGGGGATCAACGGATGATGGATCGTGCTTGGGCTGTAGAGCGAAGGCTCATCTGGGTTCTCATTGCCGTTGCTGTTGATATGGCTGGGACTGTGGTGGACTGCTATCATGGAATGTCATGGACATGCCCCTTGGAGCTCAGGGACTGGACAAGGACGCTGGCAGCTGGTGCATGGTATTTCTTTTCTTCTTGTCATGGGGGTTCATTCCTCCTTCGGGTTGGTAACATCACAGGACGAAATCAAGTTGCTTCGGGTGATACTGACTGACTGAATGTGCGTGCTTTATCGGAATGACCATCATGAGTGTGCATTGAAATCAGGGCGGGAGACCCATGAATCAGAACGGCCGTCGTGATCCGGTATGTATCATACAATATGGTACACAGAACTCCACCACAATCTCTATCATTTACTCCTCATCAGCTTGCCTGATCCCGCCCACAGGGTAGTTCCCCTTCCCCAGCCCTCCACCACTCCTTAGCCTCAATACCTCCCTTCCCACACCATTCCCTGTTCCACCCCCCTACCTCGACCATCTCATAACCTAACCCCCTCCTGCTGCCCCTCCCCTTGCTGCTGCTGCTGCTGCCCTGTCGCCAATACCCTCCTCATCCCGAAACTACTAGCACGTGGCGTCTCGACCCAAAACCCAGGCTCGGGCCTTCGCGACTCATGCAGCTCGCGCTTGGTCATGGGCCTCTCAACTTCCTCGATGCGCACCAGCTCCTTGACCTTCATTATCATGCCCGCGAACTGGGCGCTGACCGGGTGAAAAACGACCTGGGCGCGGCGGTGCAGGCCCAGGGCAGCGAGCACACCGCGCGTGCGCTTGGGCAGGCCGATTGCCGAGCGGTGGAGGGTTATGCGGAAGTAGGACATTTTCTCTGTTTTGTTTTCTGGTTTGGTGTGTCTGTGCTGGTCTTGAATTGGTAAGGTAGATAGATAGATGGGATTGGTTTTTGGTCCTTCGGCCAGGTTGTGGAAGGAAGTTGGAGTTGAACTGCTCTCCTCCAAAGAAAAGGGAAGGATTTGCGGCTCGACAGAGCAGAGCTAGTATTTTGCCAATAGGGTAAGGTATCCGCTCGTTTGTCCGTCTATTTGTTCGCGTGCCCTCCTCTCGCGGTCGTTCTGGGTCGTCGTGGCCGGCAGTGGCAGATTGATCCTCGGGTTTCTTTTCCTTCATTGCAAGCATTAGGTATAGCCTATTCGACGCCCCATTGCAGCCCAAGGGACAGAGCTCACCTGGCCCAATTCATAAATCCGCTCTAAACAGCTCAAGAGCTATGTAGCCTTCAATTGTGGGCGGATCAGAAAGCCTGGTTCGTCTGCGCTATATGACACGACGTCGGCGCCAGACCAGAAAATGCAACAATCCGGGCCGATCCCGCGGTCTTGGCAAAGGAGCACGGTGCACATGATTGACACCAAAAGTTCTGCCGCGACAGACCGCTCGGGGATCCTGTTGGACCCACCACAATTTCGAGTTTAAGAGGACGGTACGAAGTACGCAGTAGACTTGATGATATTGAGGCGTCCTTCATGAGGTATCTCATCTCGTTGACTACAGATATTCTTGGATCTGTAGGTCGCTGAAAAGCCGTGTGGACTGCAGCCCTCCATCACCACATCCTCGACATCAAAGCAGGAAACAGAACAGGACCGCGTAGATCCTTCTGACTGCGCCGCACCGAGCTGACCAAGAACCATGGGCCAGCAGCATAACACTGCGTCGGACCCATATGGATTCACTGACTTATTAAAATTTCTAAACGAATCCGGGCTTTGTCCTACCCTTCCACGAGCGAGCTGAGCCATAAAAAGCACTCTGCTTGCAAACATCATGACAAATCCGTGTCGCGTGCCCATTTCCTTCCATATCTCATAGAGGAACCGCGTCTAACTGTCGAGTCATCTAATAATAAACCGCCCCCTTCTTACATTTGCACCTCCACACGGCCTTCATTGCCCGGCGCCCCGCCCTGCTGCATGCTCGGCAAGATGTACGTAATGTCATCCCACGGGTGACGGTACAGGCCGGTGCGCAGCCGCTTCTGATCGAGGTAGTGCGCAATCAGACCGATGCTGCGGCCGAGCACGAAGAGGCCGTTGAGCACGCCCATGCTGAGGTAATCCTCCGCCTCCTCCGTGCTGAAGGCGCCGCAGTTCCGCAGCAGGTCGACGAAGCACACGGCAATGCAGCCATCCACGTTCAGAATTAGGTTGTCCTTCTTGGACGTGGTCACCGTCTCGACGGCCAGCGCATAGTCGAGCATCTTGCAGCTGGGGAACTTGGCCTTGACATACTCCTTGACCAGCTCCACACGCAGGTCAGGGTTGTTCCGCGACTTGACGCGGTGGCCGATACCCGGGATCAGCTTGTTCTGCTTGCGCATCGAGTCGACGAACTCGCGCGGGCTGAGGCCCTTGTCGAAAGCCTTGGTGAACTCCTCGGCAGCGCCGTCCAGGGCACCGCCGAACCGCGAACCAATAGTCAGCAGACCGCTCACCAGCGCAGAGATGAGGTCCTTCCCGGCACGCGTGGTGATGATGGTGTTCATGGCGCCAGACACAGCCGGGCCGTGATCGGCAGTGAGCATGAGAACCATCTCGAGGAATTTGGATGCATAGTCGGGCAGGCGGCGGCGGAACCACAGCAGAGACATGACACCGCCGATGCCAATGTCCTCCTTGAACACATCTGAGATGGGCATGCCAGCATAGAGAAGTTCCTGGCCACGGTCATCCGAAATGGTCGAGATGAACGCAGCGGGCTTGCGGATGAGACCGAGCTCTTGAGCCCACGAGTAGTCAATGGGAATCTTCGGGACGACGGGTTCAGGTTGCGGCTTGATGGTGCCCTCCTTCACCAGCTTGTCGTACAGAGACTTGAGGAGATCCGGCAGGTCCTCAAATGTGTCCGGGACGTAGAAGCCAGCTTCCTTCATGCTCTTGTTCTTCATGGCGGCCGTCTCAAGCTGCGAGTTGGCAAAAGAGCCAGCATGGCCGAACTGCACCTCCGTCTTGAACATGCTCGCGCACGTACCAATGGCCCACGCGACAATGGGCTTGGTGATGATGCCCTGCTTCACGGCTTCAATCACCTTGTACTCCTCAACACCACCAACCTCGCCGAGAAGCAGGAGAATCTTGCAGTCAGGATCCGCCTGGTAGCGCAGGAGATGGTCGATGAAGGTGGTGCCGGGGTACCGGTCACCACCAATGGCGACACCTTCATACACGCCGTCTGTCGTCTGCGAGATGATGTTGTTCAGCTCGTTGGACATGCCGCCGGACTTGGAGACGTAGCCAACCGAGCCCTTGCGGTACAGCTTGGAGGCCACAATGTTGTCCATCATGCCGCCGGTGTTGCCAATCTTGAAGGAGCCGGGTTTGATGCCGCCAACGGTGGCGGGGCCAATAATCGTGACACCCTTCTTCTGAGCAACATGTGCGATCTCACGGGCCCGCTGAGCTACACGTTAGCAACTCATCGCAAGAGCAACTTTACCCAAAACAACTTACGCGTTCTGGAACACCCTCGGCAATAATGGCAATTGTCTTGATCTGGGGGTACTCCATGAGCTCCATCGTCGAGCTGTAGACGCTGCGAGACGAAGCGAAGTTGACCACGACGTCGACGTCAGGGTGCTTGGCCATGGCCTTCTCCACCTGCTGGTACACGGGGAGCAGCGTCTCGCTGGTGCCCCAGTACATCTTGCTCACGAACTGACCGCCAAATGTGTAGATGATGCCCGCAACTGACGGCGTCTTACGCTTGCAGATGAAGTCGAAGTCGAGCATGCCCTGCACGGCACGGGGCTGGAGACCGTAGACAAAGCATCTTGTCTTGTCGTTGAAGAGAGCATGCGCGGGGAGCGGGCTCATCGGCCGGCTTGGCGCGGCGAACCGGCGGATGTTGTCGTTAGCAGACAGGCCACCCGTCGCCGAGGCACCATTGCTGCCGTTGGCTGCCATTGTGATGTGTGAATTCGACTCGAACTCGCTGAGAAGTGCCGGGATCAGGAATTGAAATGCAAAGAGGACGACGAGTTCTTGCGAAGCGTGGGTCGGAGCGAGGAGGTGTGATGGGTTCGCAGAAATGCGAGGACGGCGGGCAGGAATTTTGAGGAGGTTTTTGTCGGTCCCTGCCGTTTCGTCGGAACGCAAGACAGATTCGGGGTAGGCGCAAGTGTTCCGCAGCTGTCGAGTGTTGCCCTGGCGAGAACCGGATCCATGAGCCCTCCTTGCACTGGAACCCCCAAGAATTGTTGGTCCAACAAACGGTGGCAGTTCCCCAACTCTTTTGTCCCCTTGTCCGATCGCCTGACGGGCTAGCCCGAAGCAGCGCAAAGCTGGACCGTTCTGCGACATTTCGTGACAGGCAGGGTGGGGTGCCGATGCACTTGACATCCAAAGTACCGGTACATCAGCCCACCTTGTCATCCGATGCACCTCCGGTTTCTAAAAATTTGCGAAGATGCGGGAATGCCATCGCCTGGACAACGCCTTCCACAGTAACGGCGGTATTGCGTCCTTGCATTCCAGAAGAAATGTGAAGAAGAAGGAGGAAGAAGAGGCCTTGGCAGAGGCAATTGCATCTTGATCTATTGAAGACGAGAAAGTAACTGACTTGACACCCCAACTAGTGATGGATTCCTGCGGGGCAGAAAGCCTTGAACTCGGATGAGATTTCGGGCGCCGCGGGGCCGAGGCCAGCAGGGCAGGTCAAATTGGGCACACGACAGCTCCGGCCTAGTGAAGGACGGCCATGGAATCTCAAGACGGACAACAAAGATATTGATACAGCCCGATCCTTGGACAATCGGATGGAAAGCACCGGTTGATGATCCAAGTGGTCTGCTCGGACGATCCCCAAGTCCTGTCCGCCGACCAACGTCACACTGATGACCAGCTCGAAATAAAGTGCGCTCCAAGGAGAGATGGTCGAAGACGACAAAAGAAACAGACCGAAATGTAAATTGGGCACCATCTCAGGAAAGGACGGGGCTTGTCATCTGCGGCCAAAGACGCAGGGGCGGGGAATGGAAGCTGAGGAGGGGTTGTGAAGGTGCGGTCAGGGGTAACTTTCAAGGGCAATGTACCGGTACCTCGGGTTCCTGACCGCTCTCCATAGCACCGCCCCGCTGCAAGAATTACCCCAATGGATTTTGGCGGCCGGCACCTCAGCGGTACCTGGGCTTTTTCTGGCTCTTCTCCCCCCCCCCTCCCCAACCGCAAGGGACGCTACGATCCCCTGTGCAGCAGTTGCCGCGAGTGTTTTGCCAGAGAGCCCAGGTAGAAGTCGGCCTTGGTTTTCCTCGAAGCTGCATCTCGAGACCATTCCTCCCTTCCTCACTTCGTACGCCATCCCTTACACGTCCGCCCTTCAGCAATTACGGCCCAGTCCCTCGAGACTTCGCACCAGGTAATTGCCCCTCACTCGAGGTTGGAAGAGCACCGCCGTCCCAACTTGATTTCTTCATCTCTCCGCATTCGGCCACCCACAAAACTCGCGAGCACCAGTTGCAGGACTTTTCTGACGGTCTGAAAAGGGAAAAGAGTAGAAAACCAAACAAGAACTGAAGATAGAGGAAAAGGCCGCCCACTCACCAGCAACATGTCTGCGAAGAGCATCCTCGAGGCCGATGGCAAGGCCATCATCAACTACCACCTCACCCGTGCTCCGGTGATTAAGCCGAGCCCGCTGCCTCCCCCGACGAAGCACAACCCGCCTCCCAGGCTCGCCTCCCTTCACTTCCCCGAGGACGCCGACGTCAACGCCGTCCTGGACCAGGCCGAGATCACATACCCGTGGCTGCTGCACGCGGACGCCAAGTTCGTTGCGAAGCCAGACCAGCTCATTAAACGCCGTGGCAAGAGCGGCCTTCTCGCGCTCAACAAGACTTGGGCCGAGGCAAGAGCGTGGATTGCGGAGCGTGCCGGCAAGGTGCAGAAGGTTGAGCACACAGAGGGCGTCCTCCGGCAGTTCCTCGTCGAACCCTTCGTACCGCATCCCGCTGACACCGAGTACTACATCAACGTGAGTTGTGCCGTCCTGGTGAAACCCGCCGAGAGCAGATTGCGCTAACGCCTCATAGATCAACTCGGTTCGCGATGTAAGTATTGGTTTTCGGTTGAGTCCATTCTTGGCGCCTGGTGGGACTTCATTCGTGAACCAGGCCCCACTTGCATGCTCAAGCATTCACAAGGGGGATGGAATCGAGGGCTGATAGCCAGTGAGGTGAAGGTGGTGATGTGGAAGGAGGATGCAGCAAGTGCACCAACCCCCGGGTGTTATTCTGAGTTTTATACTCGGAGAACTCTGTGCAAACGAGAGTTCATTCCGGACGAGCCCCGTCACGGACGAACGGAAGGCTAAACCGCATTGTGACTGTGGACCAAGCGGCCCACAGTCCCGGAAACAGGCAAAACAATTCCCACCACATGAACACTGCTGACTGGTCATCTTATCAGGGCGACTGGATCCTCTTCACCCACGAGGGTGGTGTTGACGTTGGCGATGTCGATTCCAAAGCCGAGAAGTTGCTCATTCCTGTCGACCTCACACAATACCCTTCAAACGAGGAAATTGCTGCCACTCTCCTGAAGAACGTTCCCAAGGGCGTCCACAATGTCCTCGTTGACTTTAGTGGGTCTTACCTTCGCCTTCACTTGCAGATGTAGTTGCTGACCATGGTTGCTTCCAAGTCACCCGCCTCTACGCTGTCTATGTGGACTGCCAATTCACCTACCTCGAGATCAACCCTCTGGTTGTGATCCCCAACGAGGATGCCACCTCCGCGACAGTGCACTTCCTCGATCTGGCTGCCAAGTTGGATCAAACAGCAGACTTTGAGTGTGGTTCGAAGTGGGCTATTGCGAGGTCGCCGTCCGCTCTGGGCATCACTGCCCCGACTACCAGCAACGGCACCATCAATGTCGATGCCGGCCCTCCGATCGAGTTCCCGGCTCCCTTTGGCCGTGAGCTGTCCAAAGAGGAGGCTTACATTGCTGAGCTTGATGCCAAGACTGGCGCCTCACTTAAGCTGACGGTTCTGAACCCCAACGGCAGAATCTGGACCCTGGTTGCGGGTGGTGGTGCGTCGGTCGTCTACGCCGATGCCATCGCTTCGGCCGGCTTTGCCGATGAGCTTGCCAACTACGGCGAGTACTCTGGTGCTCCCACTGAGTCCCAGACATACCACTATGCCCGGACTGTGCTCGACCTAATGCTCCGGGCCCCGATGAACCCCAAGGGCAAGGTTCTTTTCATTGGTGGCGGTATCGCCAACTTCACCAACGTCGCCAGCACCTTCAAGGGCGTTATCAAGGCGCTCCGGGAGTACGCTAACACCCTCAACGAGCACAACGTCCAAATCTGGGTCCGCCGCGCTGGCCCAAATTACCAGGAGGGTCTCAAGAACATGAAGGCGGCTACTCAGGAGCTCGGCCTCAACGCCAAGATCTTTGGTCCTGAGATGCACGTGTCCGGCATCGTGCCCTTGGCTCTGATCCCGGGCAAGTGGGAGGAGAGCAAGGCTGAGGAGTTCAAGGGTTAAAAAACGGTTATCTTAGCGAAGCATGACGTTATTCACCTTGCCGTTTGATGATTCCTTCATTACGGCGCATTTATGGCGGGAAAGATTCCCAATAGAAGTATAATACAGCAGTTATGGTGCCATCTTGTCCTACCCAGTCGTGTTGCCAACGCTGGTGTTCGACCCTTTCTATTTTTGTCAAAGCCGCATTGTGGCACCAGGGCAGATATACGGAGTGGCGTTGCCGCATCTTTGGGCTGGTCGATCGCCTTGTCCGTTCGTTCCCCTTCTGCTTCATAGTCTTTCGTTCCCTCCCTCGGGAATGGCTGTCATCAACATGAGTCAGCTCTGGCATTTCGGAGTTCTGTCCATCCGTTGCGGGTGCTAAACCTTCAGTGAAGCCGTACCAGCACCAACCGAAATGGTTGTACAGGAACCTTCTTGAAACCCTGCGGCCCATCGCATGCACAGGTTAGAGGTTAACCATCCATGTCGTTGCTCGGAGGAAGCCGGCGCCGAGAGATGAGAGACAAGGAACACTTTGGTCTTCGGCGACACGATGGGGTGGGATATTGGCGTGTTGTCTCTTCATAATATCACCAGCACAGGAACAACTATGCTGCAGAAGCCAACTATACCTGGCAGGAAAGACCTCTCGAGATTTGTAGTTAAATGGATGACAAGTAAAACTTACAGCCGTCGAGCGTCCCAGGACTCCTGGGTATGACTTCGAGCATTCTCGGGTCAGCGAGTGGCCTCCATTAGCAAAGCAGTGTCTGACCGACCTCCACTACAGCAAGCAGCAGTAGTAACACCGCCCAGAGTCTTTTATACAACCAGGTGGACATGGGCACCCATCGACCTCTTGACCTCAGAAGCATATAGCCAGCTACTCAACCGAATGGAGAAGAACAAATAGGTTCTGGTATTAGATGATGCATGACCCATGACAGAGAACAGCAAGAGCAAGAGAAAACCGAGAAAGCGGCGCGACGAAGACCAGTGAGGAACATCTTGTACAACACCAATAGTGGAAAAGTCTGCTCTCCTTCCCTTTGTGTCCATGATTGCCCTGCCCTGCTTGCTGTATACATATACAACATCTCTATTTATAACCAAGACAGTGTTGAATAGGTTCCCAAACCCAGTCCGACCCGGCCTCAGCAATATCACCCCACCCCTTTGTATTTTTAACAGAAGCTGGTTGGTGGCGCAACATAAGAAGACACATGAGTCCCGTCAGCAAAAGTCATATTGAAACCGGGCTCTCCGTTGGCTAGAAAGCTCGTCGGTTGGCTCGCTGGCTGGTCTAAAACGCAATACCAGCCACGACGGCAAGCGCGCCAAGGGCCATGGGAGGCAGGACGCCCGCGCCCGCGGGGACAGCGGCGTTGCTGCTCGTGCTAGCGGCCGGTGACGTGGAGGTGCTGGTGCGGCCGCTGGTGCCGGTGGTGCTGGCCGGGGCGACACTGGCGGTGTTGCTGCCGGGTTCTACGGGTAAAAGCAAGAAGGTTAGGGGGTCCGACAAGGAAGGGGGAAAGGGCGGGAAAGAAGGGCATACCGTTGGTTTCATCGTCGGCCAGCGGCTTGACGGCCAGGCCGGTGATTTCGGAGCCGTCGGGGTTCTTGACGGTGTGCTTAACTGTCCAGCTGTCGATGGTAACGATCTTGCCAACAGGCTTGGGCTGGACGCCGCCGTCGATGATCTCCTGGGCGCCGGGGGGCAGCACGGGGAGGGTGAAGTTCTTGTTGAAGCCCTCTGTCTTGATAAGGCTGGCACTGCACACCGGCGGCGTGTTGGTCGAGGAGGCGGCCTTCTGGCCCTGGATCTCGGTGAAGTTAAGCTTGGCGTACTGCTCCTTGAGAGACAAGAAGTCGGGCATGAGATCGGCGGAGCCGTCGTCGTGCATGTCAACCAGGCCAAAGTCGTTGGGCTCCTGCGTGTACTCGTAGACGACGCCGCCTGAAAAGATGCCCGTCATCTCCGAGCCATAGATGGTGCCAACCTCTTGGAAGATGCGCGGCTTGACCTCGTTGCAGCCGAACTCAGAGAAGAATATGGGCACGGCGGCGCCGCTGAAGCCGCTGACAAGTTTGTCGTAGCTGGACTCCGTAAAGGAGCTCTCGCCGCACCAGCTGTAGCTGTTGAGGGCGAAGATGTCGGCGCGGCTCATGTTGTCGTCATCACCCTCCAGGGTGCACTGGAAGTAGTTGTACGTGTCGAACAGAATCTCCCGGACATCGGCGGCCGAGTAGCCGACCGGGATGGGGCGCGAGACGTGCTTCTTGACGTAGTTCTTGATGTCGCGGGTGACGGCACGCATGTAAGGGGGAACCGTGGCGCCCGTGTCTTCGTTGTTGAGAACCTCGTTGCCAGAGAAAAACGCCAAGGTGTTGGGGTAGTTCTTGAACGCCTCGACGACAGCAAAGGTGCGGTTAAGGTAGGCGGCATAGTATGACTCCCAGGGGTTCCAGCTGGTCAGGGAGTCGCCTACCAGGGGCGAGTTAACGTCGACAACCATGTACATGCCGGCGGCGTTAAAGATGCTGGCGCATTTGTCGTGGTTCACATTGGGGTTGACATTGTAGACGCGGATAGTGTTGACGCCAAGGATCTGGAGCAGGGCGGCATCGCGCAGGCAGACATCGGGATCGCTCAGAGGGTCACGGCCGGTTTCCTTGTTGTAGCCGGCGGAGCCGCCCGGCTGGTAGGCGACGCCGACAATCTGGAAGCGGTTGCCGGTCTTGGGGTTGACGAAGTACTGGCCCTGCACTTCCAAAGGCTGGACGGCTGCGGCGAGGGTTGCGCCGAGCGCCAGGAGCGCCGAATGGAGCTAACGGGACATGTCAGCTCTTCATCGGTTCGCGTCGAGTGAATTGAGTGGCATACAAGCATTATGGATTGGACGGCTGATGTTTGGTTTAGATACAGCGGAAGGGATATTAGCTATGAGACTGGCGTCGGCGCAAAAGCCGAAAATCAACAAAAGCTAAACGATCGGGTGCCAAAGGAGCGACAAGAAGAGAGACGGGAGGAAAGGAAGCGCAGAGCGTGTCCCCCATCAAATGCCAAAGAAGGAACGTTGAGGAGGAGGATGAGACGAACCCCAAACGACCAACCAACACGAGAAACTCGGCGGCGCAAAGGAGTTTAAAGGTTCGCCCTGAGTAATGAACCTGGGAAACACGAGGGTATCGCCAAGGCGAGCCTAGCGGCCTCGGGATGGCTACCGAAAAGCCTGGGAGCCTTGAAGGTACCAAAGCTGATTGGCCAGATCGCTCAGGGGAAATGACCGTCTTGCCTCTTGTGGCAGGACCCCTGGGGGGATCCACTGTAGCGTCACTAGCGTGCCACCATAACGTTTAACGTGGAGAAAGACTTTGAGTGCGGACAGCAAAGACGCATCAAACAGCGAAAAGATACAGAGTACGGAGTACGAGATGCACCATTCTGTGGACAGCCAGCTCATCAATACGATGGTTCCCGAGTGATGCAACTGAAACTACAGCTACCTGCTGTGCGGGGATAACGGCAAGTGACACTGCATGGAGCCCCGCTTCAATCGTCAGGGACACCCAAAGGACAGGAAATACTTCCAGTTCCGCCGAGCCAAGCGAACGGAACTCTCAGACTGTTTCACCTGGACACGTCTCAACTCTCAGAGCACCAGGATTCCAACAGTGGCTGACGCTAGCCGTGGCTTACACCGGGTTAATATTGTGGCTTAACAGTCGCAAAGGAGAAAGATAGACAAACAAGGATGATTTGACTCGAGAAAGCATGCTTGCCCGGAAACCGGAAAACAGTTGGCACTGAGGGCATGTTAGGCAAGAAGTTGGGCTCGATGTTTGATCTGAACTGGGAACGCCCCCCTTTCCATTTCTTGCCAGTGCGGTGGATATTGCTTGGATCATGTTCGGGTAAGCTCTATGTAGTTCCAGTCTACACACTCAGGAAACTTCTCCCGGTGTGTTCAAGAGACAATCGACAAGCTGCAGTCGTCGTCCGCGTGCATCTCGTTTGGTGATTTGGGCACGGCATAATATTCAGTAACCTCCTAAACACCCGAGGTCTTGAGCATGCAGACTACTGGTGAGTGCCGGGATGACCGCCGCCGTTGGGCCCAATCCCGACTCCCCAGCCGCCATTCGAATCATTCCTGCCGCCATTACGCTCCATCATCTGGGACAGATAGTTAGTGTACGTCAAAAACACACACGACGTTGGCAGGTTACAAGCACTTACATGACCCTCGGTAACTGTGCCCTCGCGCAAAACCTTCTCCAGGACTTCCACATCCTTATGGGTGCCAAACTCGTTGTCGAGGTCGGCATTCGAAGCATGGTCATACATTCCTTGGTTGCCGTGCCTAAAGTTGAGGTCATTTTAGTCACAGTGTGTGACCACAGCCAATGTCCCAGCTAAGGTACCTTAGCCCAGGCCACGTACTTGTGTGTGCAGAAGATCTGGAACGACCGAACCACCTGTGCAAGGGGAATGGATGAATCACCCAGCCACTTCCTGTAGTCCTCAACGCTGTCAAGAAAGACGAAGTAGTCGTCATTCTTGCCCCTGTAATGGACTCTGGTCATCTGGGTACCGCCACGAGCCATGGTGACTAATGGTGCCGGTGGTTCCTGTGTATGAGTTCGTGAGTGGTACTGGATAAGTCGCTTGAGATGTGTCGAAAAGATTCAGCTCCGCCTCAGACTGCAATCATTAACTTTTTGAAAGTGTACTTGTCTCGGTCGGATTGGCTTTCTAAAGAAGTATCAGCAACCGCTAGCCCCTCGTCGGGGTATATGACCTGAGTTGAGTACGTGTGATACTTCTGCCATTACGTCACGATGACAAGCTCACAGTTTTGCAGTGAGCTGCATTCACGTGTATCATTGCCCGCGTGTCCTACTGACCTCTGCCGCCATGCTATATGTATCTGCCTGATACTGACATGCAACAAATCTTCAAGTTGCTCAGTAAAGACATCAGCAGTTGATTCGAGTATTTCAATGTCAAGGAAAGCATTGTCTCCGAGTGCTGTTTCCGAGCTCTCGATCAGCTCCTCCGTATGGTATTGATGGGAAATGGTAGACCCACTAACCTCTTTCTTAGACACGATCGAACGAGACGGATATTTAGGCAGTGCGGGAAACTTTCATCATCTTTATTTGCCTGTTATACCAAAGCTTCTGGCTTTGGGCTTTCCACTTGAATTGTGGCTCAGTTTTCCCTGTCTGGTTCCAGAGTGCTCTCCGACAACCGGCTACAGTATAATTCAGAGTCTCGAAGTGGCAGCGGAGGATGACAAAGCAAATGCTTAACAAACCTAATAACCGCTTCTGGATTGTTCGATCTCACAAGCATCAAGACCGCCTCGCGACTTTACAACGAAATTCCATCCTCCCCTAGCTATCTTTTCAGTATATCTCCGCTGAGCGTAGTATCGTATTTATTGCTACAGCCCGCGGTCACGCGTGCTTCATAACCTAACTATCCACGCCGACATTCGTCGCAGTCTCGAGGCTCTGTCTTGACCACGCCTCTCATCTCGTATATCAACCGCTACAGGGCTTCTCACCCTTTGGAAGACCTTCTTACTCCGGGCTGCCTGTGAAGTCTGGCTTGATCTCTCTATCCATTATGGAACCCAGAGAGCCCACGCCACCAAGAGACGTCGAGTCGGACACGTCGAGTCCCTCTCACCACGAACCTCCAGTCCAGATAACACTCAAATTCCCACCAGAAAAGCACATGCAAAAATGGGAATTTTATCCAACCGACACTTTCGAGCACCTCATCCTCTCCCTGTCCCTCGAGTTCCCTTCGTACGACTGGTCTAGAGCCAAAGCCCTTCTCGAAAAGCGCCAACCAGGCCTCAAATCAGTCTACACCCCGTCCGACGACGCCCACCTCCCCCTCTCTGCGCTCAACCACACCACCCTCCGCCTGCTGGCCCCGCAAACCTCGGATCTCACCTCCCTCCAGAACCAACGCGCGTCCGCCGCGTCTTGGCAAGCCAAGCGAGCCGCGGCCCGCGCCCGCCTCTCGCGGCTGACGCCCACGCAGCGCGCCACCGCCGACGACGTCACCTACACATTCCACACGCTTCGGCCGCTACCACACCTGCCAAACTCGTCCCGCAGCCTGGCGCTGCTGGAGCGGCTCAAGGCGGACCCGGGGATTCGGGCGGCCATGAAGCGCCACCGGTTCAGCGTCGGCCTGCTGACCGAGATGGACCCGGCGGCGCACACGTCGGCAACGTACGAAGGCGTGACGCGCATTTTGGGCCTGAACCGCAACAAGGGAGAAGTAATTGAGCTGCGGCTGCGGACCGACGCGTACGACGGCTGGCGCGACTACAAGGTGATCCGCAAGACGCTGTGCCACGAGCTGGCGCACAACGTGCACGGCGAGCACGACCAGCACTTTTGGAAGCTTTGTAGGGAGATTGAGAAGGAGGTTGAGAGGGCTGATTGGAAGAGTGGCGGGCAAACGGTGGGGGCGGAGGAGTATGCCCCTGGGAGGGGCCAGCAGGAGGAGGAGGAGGGCATGGTGATGGATCATGGCGGGTGGACCGGCGGGACGTATGTTTTGGGCGGGGGAGGAGGCGATGCTGAAGGGTTGAGCGCTAGGGAAATAAGAGCTAGGGCGGCTGAGGCGAGGTGGTCGAATTTGGAGAGGGCGACGAGGCAGGGGAGTGGTGATGAGAGGCAGGGGAGAAATTGTAAGACGAGAGAACAGGGGCAAGACTCGGCTTGAGCATCTACGCTGGAAACCACGCTTTTGGGGACTTTCCGTGGAGCGCCCGAATTTCATTTTTTTCCTGCGAGATGGTCACCCGCATGTCAATCTGGGTGTGAAGGGAATGATACCATACAGGGGCCTACCGAGCTGCAGCGGGTTTTTATGACACGGTTTCACTGATACCATCGTATGCTCGTACTTGGTTCTGCGCCGTTTGGGTGGTTAGATGGTGATGGAAATGAGGTGAGAAGTCACCGCCCGTGTTCCAAATATATTCACTCATCTGAACTGTTACCACAATGCCAACATGCGCATCGCCAGAGAATACTTTGGCCGACATCCCTGTCTCCGCTCAACTCCGTGTTCATCGCGAAGTTTGAACAAGAGAGCTCAAGAAGTGCGTCTTAATAACCTTGTTCACGTCGACGGCCCTAGCGGTGGGAAGGATATCCCAATCCGCCCAATTCATCTAGCAACCGCCGTTGAGGAGGCCATGAGCCCCCTGGTGATAGCCCACCCAAGCCAGGTTTTGGAGCCTTGATACCTCATATAAACCAGAGGTTCAGATATTGGAATCACTTCTACTTCGCCAGCATATCATTCAGCTTACACAGCCATAGCGGTATCCAGCAAGATCGATCAAACCACGACTTTTATTTCCCCTTTCCCTCACAACACTCATTAGCCGTGCCTGATACCAGGACTTACTGCCAACAAGCTCTCCGATAAGCTCGTGACGTCCCGCCAGCCAGCCACCCCTTTCCTATCCCGGAGGCAACGGCCCGCCCATCCGGTAAATTCCATGCTTACAGTACGGAAGGCGTGTTCTAAATAAAACAAAGGCATCGTGCAAGAAAAGAAGAAGGGAAAATCAAGGCGAAACCCTAGCGAAAAGCATCACATTCAGCCGTCTCCCGCACAGAAGCGGGCTTATTCAGTGTATAAGTACCCCTTATTACCCAGTCCCATCCCGTCCAGAACGCCTATCCATCTCGACTACCCATCCTTGTCTTATTTTGTCCGCGGCTTGTATTGCGAGTAGTATATCCAACCCCGTTCCATGGCAAGGGGATACCAAACCGAAGTCTGATAATGGAAACAACGTAATAAAAGAAAACGGCAGATAAATAAGGAAATATGCTTGACGCCGTAAAAAAAATGGCAAGATGTCACAGTGGGTGAGTATGATACATGTACAGAGCGAAGAAGAGAGGAAAAGGGACGAACAAAAGGGAGAGAAAGAAAGGAAAACGAAAAACCTGAGCAAAGGGTATCGCGCCTCCAGTTCGCCATCTTCGCCCCTTTCTACCCATTACCATCACCATCACCACCAACCCACCCAGTTCTCTCCGCACCGCACCTCATCGCGGCGATTAGGTAATATTGTTACTATCCCAAGCCCACGCCAACAAACCCTCACACCTCCTCGGGCTCCTCACAAACAACCCCACCCTCCAAACTAGCCCCGGACGTCGACCCCGACCTCGAACTCGACTCTTCCCCGGCAGTTTTCGGCCTCTCCCTTACCAGCGCGTCCTTCTCCTCCTCACTCAACCTCAGCCTCAACTTCTCATCCAGCATGCTAACCAACCGCTCACTGTACTGATCCAACAACCCACTCAAGACCGACTCACTAACCTCCTTCTTCCCGTCTTCCCCGCCATCCCCGCTCCCACTCTTCTCCCTCTCCCAATGATGATGATGGTGCCGCCCCCTAACCCCACCCCCGGAAGTCCGGCTACGAATAGCCCTCTCCCCCAGCGCAGCAGCCGTCAACCTCAACTCGGCATCCAACTGCGCAAGCACATCCCCGTTGATTGCCGCGTCCGCCGACGCCGTCGTGATCTTCTTGCGGTACGCCCTGAGCTGCCGGCACGTTTGCTCCGTCGCCATGCTGAGAGAGCCGAACCCATACCCACCACCACCACCCCCGCTGCCACCGCCGCCACCACTACCACCGCTGAGTCCGTTCCCGCTGCGCTGGTTGTTATGGGAACTGGAAAACTTGCGCGACTTGAGACTGCCCGAAGGGGTGGCGCCCAGCGCGGGGAGGGACGGGCGGCGGAACATTTTGGATCGCGTCTTTGGGCTGGAGGGGGGTGGGCTGGCGTCGGAGCGGGAGCCGCCTCCCGAGGAGGCGCGGCGGGAGGGGGTGTCGTCTACGACGGCGGCGCTCGCGCTGGTAGGGCTGGTTTGTTTGTCGGCGGTCGGGGTGCGGAGGGACGAGACGGGAAGGTGGAACTTAGAGGCGCGGCGGTTCGTGGGCCGGGGTGGTGAGCGGCGACCGTTGGTACTGCTGTTGCCGCCGTTGGCGGAAGAAGGGCGTTGGAACTCGGCGAGTTCGGCCTTGGAAAGGACGCGGCGGAGCGGAGGCCGCGTGGAGGCCAGTTGGGGGGTCTTTTCTGGGGATGGGTCGCGGGTGCGGGTGGGAGCTGTTGGATCTGGGATCTCGAGTGCCCAGATCATGATGGTGCCGTCCTCGCCGACGCTGACGACCTTTCGACCAGCTTCTTCCGTGTCGATCAGGATGACGCCGTTGATGGCTTCGGTGTGACCCCATTCGCGGTCCATGAAACATCCTGCTTGTGCGTCGTAAACTCTCACGGATTTGTCTGTGTTGGAGATGCCGAGAAGGAAAGGCAAGTCGGGACCAAGCTGGCCGTAGGTCAGGGACTCGAGGACGACCGAGTCGAGCCCTACTTCGTCGTTGCACTTAAAAGAACTGAGAAGCCGCCCGTTGCTGAAATCATACTGGCAGACGGACCGGTCCAGCAGGGAAACGAAAATCGCCTTTTCCTCGGGCGTCACTGCCATGGACGACGGGGATGCCCTTAGAGATATCACTTTAGAAGGGATGGCTGCTATGACGTCCGGCTCCCCCTCCTTGCTCACCAGATCATGGATCTGGAGTGTTCGATCGAGGGAGCACGTCAACACCTTGTCTTCGGCAGAGAAGAGCACCTGTACCACCTTGGCGCTGAACTCGAGCGTCTGGAAGTGCTCAAATTCCCCTGCAGCGGAGCGGTGGAACAGCTGGACTGTCCGGTCTCTCCCGCAAGAGGCCACGAGAAACCTCGACTGGCCCTCGTGTACTGTGATGTCTTGGCAGTTGGACGAATGTGCTTTCGTTTCCAGAAGACACCGCCCGTTAGACGTCTCGACGATGCGGAGAACGCCAAGCTTGTCTCCAGCGATGAAAACGCTTCCGTCGTTCGTGGCCCTCGCCACAACAATTTGGTTGACTGGATCAGAGTCGGTGCCCATGTCAACCTGTTCGATTGGTATGTCGAAAGAAGACTTGATCATGCCGCCCAAATCCCAAGCGGTCACTCTCCCAGGGCCAGACCATGTGAAGAAACTAGCACCTAAACTGTTCGGGATGGACAACCGCTGAATCCCACTGATGGGGTCACCGAGTCCCGGGATGGGGATGTGGGCTGTGTCCTTATCTTCACCGTCCCCGGCAGGGGTGTAGGCAGAGTTCCAGATCTTGATCGATCGCTTGCTGTCTATGGTGACGAGATTTTCTGCCATGAATCCCATGGCAATGAGACCTGCCGCCATCGCCGACCCGCGGACAGCCGGCTCGGAGGTGCCGGCTACTATGCTGTCCAGGCTGATGACGGCAAACTGGCCATCTTTGCCGCCGACGTACACGTTATCTCCTCGGCTGGATATGCATGTAACGCAGAAGTCAACCTCGAGAACCTTCACCAGCTTCATTTGCTTGTTGGTGTCATCAAGGAGACACACGCATCCCGTTTCGGAGCAAATGATGGCCTTGTCGTCGGATATCGGGAATGCGCAGCTAAACGTCGCATCCAGCATTGGGCCAAGGAGGATGTTCCTGCCCGGCAACGGTTTCTGTGCCTGTGGCGGGGGGACAGGGGCTGATGCTTCGCCGGGAAATTTGGGTTTGGTGGGAGAGACCTCGGGGCCATCTTCGACCCGCCACACCTTGACGTGGCGGACACCGAGTGTTATGAGGTTGTTGCCCATCCACACCATCCCCTTGACGAACGAAGTGCACTTGTTCTGCTGGAACAACTTCACCGCGCCAGTCCGGGGGTCGAGCTTCCACAGATAGACGAAGCCATCGTTGGCAGCGCCCAGCGATGCGAGATACTTGGTGTCCGGGGACCAGGCTACGGCCTTGACACCAAAGGTATGTTCGCTGATGGATACCAAGGGTATGTCGGATGAGGCATCCTGTAGGTTGAAAATGAGTACCCGCGGGGCATAGCCCGTCTCGCCTACTGCTAGGTACCGTCCATCTCGACTGAGAGCTAGACAGGTAGTCGCCTTGATCCGCTCGCGGCTCGTCCAGGTCTTTGAGGTGGGCGACTCTGGCCAGTCGGACGTCGTATAGAGCGAATCTCTAGGGGAGGGGCCCGCTCTGTTCCTGCTGTCGTTGGCTTTCGGCGTGGAGTTGGGCGTTGTCGACGAAGGGTTGGAGGTGGGCGAAACGGAGAGCAGGGGCACTGCCGTCGGTCTGGCCCTGTAGAAGCGCTGTGTGTAGTGCTCACCCGAGACATTGACCACAACGACGGCGCCGCCAGCAATGTAGGCGAAGGACGAGTGGACCGTGTCGAACCCGGTCGGGGAGTTGCAGGTGGTCCCTACCACGCGCTCAAGGGACAGGCAGGATTCGTAGAGGGGTCGGGGCCGTGTCGATGGGCGAGAAGGGCGTGCGAGAAACGGAGAATTGGACGGTGTAAGCTTAATCCGGTTTGAGGGAGTGGATGCCATCGCTCTTCGCCATGGACTGTATGTTTACTCGAGATAAAATTGGACGTGGTTTAACGAGGGCGTAGGCGTCTCTGCGGAGAAAGCGCTCCTGTAACGGACGAGACAGAAGGAGCGTAGCGAAGAGAAAAGGGAACTTTGTGCGTGTGTCGAAAGAATGAACGGTGGGTGTGGGAGCTGGGAGCGCACAGCATCAGAACCGACGAAGATATCCGTGGTTAGACCGCACAGCTCTCAGGCTCGCAGAACCATCACCTCAGTATTATGATGTAGCTTGCAGCGAGTGACATGAAGACCGTGCAGCGAGACGCCAATCGTCTCAGCGTGGGGTCAGTCAGGGCCAAGGTGAGGTGCACGGCATTGCTTGACGGCGTTGTCGCAAAACGCCTTGTGTGGAAACAATCCTGGTGAACAGCTGCGATTCCCAGCCTCTTGTTGAGCAACAAGCCGGAGCGGGACAAAAAGTTGGGCGGCCGGGTGCTGGTCCTTGACAGGGGTGCCTCAGTTGCACTTGACAGGGGAGAGCGAACCGAGAAGTTGGAAATATGAGTTGGCTCGTGCACCAGCTCTAGCTGGGTAGCGCCCTTTTTCTCCGGAACCCAGTTCAAGTCCATTTCATCAATTGGAATCCGAAATGTCCATCAGTGGATCATTCAAGCGGTTGCCCAGGCAATCAACGGCACTTAGTAGCCACGAACATGACCAGCTCAGTATAGTATCAATATTTGCGAAGAGTCACCGCGCATCACCCTCTCATCTCTTACCATTGCTCAAGGTGGTGGCCCTTCCCTTAGAGCTGTTGTGATATCGGTACAATCTACGGAGGATATGTGACTCGGAGGACGCGGTAGGGCCCATGCCTGAGCAATGGGGGGTTGCATTACCTAGCGGACCGGTCCAGCACTCTGCGGCGAAACTGCTGTGACATGGTTTGCCATTGGCGGCTCGACTGCCGGACGACCTGGAGCTCGGACCAGCAAAATCAGCCAGAGACCTCAGCGGGGAATGTTCATGGCGCAGACTCGATCAGCTGGTAGGCTGTCTAGTTGCCATGCCACTTCACTCTCAAGACCTGGGGATAGAGATATGCCTGTGAAGAACCAATCGCAGATTCGTATCGTACAGTGCCTGCCTTGGTATGGTACATCCGTTCCTTTTCTGTATGTTACAGTTTGATCCGACTCCCCGTGCCGAAGCCCGTCGAACAGCGGAGCATCAGCCCAACATGCGCTTCGCCAGCTTTCGCTGCGCCTCGGCGCGCGCGGCCCTGTCTTTGTGGTTCGGACCTCTCGGTTTGTTCCAGATGGGATCGCGGACAATGCCCTCGGCGCGCCACTTCCTCGGCGGCTTCTTGCCCAGCGCCGCCCAATGCGTCCACACCTTCTTGCCCCGGTTGTGCCACCTCTCCTGGCGCTCGAGCTCTTCCTCCGCGTCCGGCGTCCACTTTGACTTGAGAATCCGGCGGATTGCCTCGGGCGACACCTCGAACTTCTGCGCCAGCACCTCGGTTGTGTACTCGTCTGGGAACTGCTTGTGCAGCATCCGGATCCCCACCAACGCGTCGGGCGACAGCTTCTTGCGCGGGTTCCAGCCCGTTGGGAACTTCTTCTTGAGGGCCTCCTTCTGGATCATCCAGGGTTCTTTCTCTTTGGGCCGGTACCACGCGTCGTCTTCATGATCGGGTGCGGGTTCAGGTCGTTCCTTGTCCTTTCCGGCCTTCTTTGCCTTGCTGTCCGAATGTTCCGCATCGCGTGTGCCAGCCGCCCGTTTATGTGGCCTAGAACTCGCTGTGTCCGCATGATCGCCTTGAAACCCAGTCTTGGGGGAATGGTCTGCAGGAGTTGCTGCCGTCACCGCAGCATCATTGTGCTTGCCTCCACTATCATCGCCTCCTGTTCCGGCGTATTGGGCGTATTCTGTTGCGCTGTTCCTGACAAATGATGTGTGTACTGATCGTGATGCAGCCGCAAGCATGGGAGTTGTCGCGTGATTGTAAAAGCGGTTGCGCTGGCCCAAGGACTGGGCGTGTTGTTGCGTGACTCGTGGTGTGGCGCGAAGAGGGACATGAATCTGGGCGATGCTCTTGACAAAGATTCTGAGGGCTGCTGTCCGGCAGGGGCAGTCCATGGTTCGAGGAAAGGTGCTGGGTGGGTTATCACGAGAAAAGGGAGTCGCTGTTGCAGATTGGCACGCTCTTGAGATCATTCGAAAATTTCCCTTGGCCCCTGCACTGCGCTTCGACCGGTGGGGCTCTTGGCTTACACTGCTTCCATCCAGATCCAGGCAGTCTTTCGTCGCTCACCTAGATGCACGCTTGTCTATGAGGGGGGGTGGATTTGGTAATCTTGTCAACCGTTAACTTAAACACTGTAGTCTCGGTATCAAGCCGTGAAGAAGCAGGGAGCGTTTTCTTCGCAATAATAATTCCTTGGCTGCGTCAGGAAGCTGGTGGTGGGAAGTGGGGGATAACCCTCATCCATGAACCAACCTGTTTCTGATCTCCCCAAATTCTCTTGTCCCGAGTTTCGGCCAACGTCAGACCATTGCATCGGTTCCTCGACGTAAATATCTAGCTGTGGTTTCCCTTCCCCTCTGCCAGTACACAAAACAAAGAGGAGACGGGCCGTAAGATGGCTTTTAGGAAATCAAATCGCAAGCCAAGTCAGATACTGGTGCTACAAGTTCAAGTAAACTGCATACCATCCCACCGTCTAGGTGTACGGGCTGAGAGAACAAGGAACATGGGCGAGGGAGGGAGGCCGGTGCAGTTAAATGGGATGGGCTAGTACTCGATGTTAAGCTGGGACCGTTTGAGGTGAATGAATGAAATACCCAGTCACAACCGAGGACAGCATTATCAGCAGCCTCATACTAGAGCTACCTATCTGCTCCATGCACTCGTTGGAGAATGCAAAATGGAAATGCATTTTAGCCGCATAACCAAAACCCGTCGTAGAATCCTGCGACACTCGTGAAGGCTTTCCTGTCGCGCCTGGCACCCAACGCCGCCCATGATGCTCCTTAAGCCCTAATCAATGCTCGCACAGTACCCTAACCAGACTCAGTAGCAGACGACGTAGAAATGTAGAACACAGAGGGATGGAACGTAAAGTACAAGGAAAAGAAAAATCCCGGAGAGCGCTACCATTGACCCCTCAAGCGTCGTGCATCAACTCGACCGGAGGCCGCGCCGTATGCGCCATGATGGGCTTCGGCGCCGTCACTCCAATCGGGCTCATCTCGTCGGGCTCGTCCGTCATGTCATGAATAATGACACACGGCAGGTCCGGGCTGGCGCCGAGCTCCGGGTTGGGCTGGAACACCAGCGTCGAGCTGCGGCTCCGCTGCGGCCCCGTACCGCTCTCGGCGGGCGACACTGGCGACGCCATCATGCCGCCCGTCGAATCGGCGTTGTTGTGGTGGTGCCTCAGCTTAGCGAGCGCCTCGGCCAGGTCCTCGGCATGCACCATCTTGTTCGGTGCGTCCTCCATCTTCTGCTCCCAGCCGTGCGGCGGGCTAGGTGGCGGGGAGATGAAGAAGAGCTTGCCTGCATCGGGCAGGGCGAGGTGCGTGTCTTGTTGGGTCTTGAGCGGCGTCGGCTGGCCAAAGTAGACGCGGCAGCGGTCGCCCATGATGTTCTCGCCGTCCCAGTCCTGGCGCACAGCGATGGCGTCCTCGTCGCTGTAGAAAGAGACGATGATGCGGTTGAGAGATTTTAACGGGGAGAAGGCGTGGATGCGGGCCTTTTGCGAGATGAGGTCGCGGATCCTCTGCAGGTTGTCCGGGGCGAAGATGTCGCGTGATTGCAGGTTGGTGAAAATCAGAGTGTTGCAGGGCGGGGTGGGCTTGATGAGGGGCGGCAGGTTCGAGAGATCTAGGGAAAGGTTCGACTTGCGCGAGCGGCTGCTCGATGATCGTGAAAGCGTGGGCCGAAGCTCTGGTGATGATTGCTGTTGCCCCTGGGCTTCGGAAAGCGCCCGTAGCGGCAATTGCTGCTCCATTGCGATTTCGTGAATACTGTATGACTTAGTCTAAGTGACGATGGGGAGATGTACTAGAAGAGATGAATCCCTCTAAAGGCTGCTGGATGTGGCGGGTAAGTTGTTCGTCGAAACTTCGTTGACAATGTCGTTTTTCAGGTGGATGTGAGAGGTGATGCAATGCGGGAAAGGCGGTTTGCGCGAGATATTATACCAGCCACTGTACGCAAGTCCCGGGGTCATGGATCACAAGCGGGCCCGTTTGAGAAACCCCGGTTTGGCAGGTGAAAGCCGTGATGGTGGCTGAGTTCTGGATAACAAAGCGGCCTCGGCTCCACCAAGACTGAAGTCAAACTTCGAAGCCAAGCACTCATTCGCTTTTGCCAAGCCCCTCTCACATGGCCAGATCCAGGGCATTGAGTTCTGGAGCGCTGTCTTGCCACTGCATCACGATGAGGCGGAAATGGAAAGCGAGCGAATGCCTCCATGAAAACTGTGACAGAAACGAGACGAAACTTCCTTACATTAAGTAGTGGTTTTCAACTGGCCAGGCGAGCCAGGTCCATACCCTCTGCACCGCCGCATCAGTTAGCCAATTTCTGACGTCTCAAGTGAGTTCTCGAACCTTGACACGCCTCGAACTACGGTATAATTTCGGGGTTCGTTTTTCACCAACGGAGCCAAACTTCTGGCTTCATTGGCTTTACTCTACATTATCGCTAAGTAGACAGGCCTCAGCCAATCGAACTGTTGCTAGTGAAAAACGAAAATGTCTAAATTATGCCGTACAGCGAAGCTCTCGGGGCTGGGTCCAGGGTTACGCAACACGGCGCGGATGCAGCAACTGCTATAGTCACTGCCCTCCTGGATGCCCATGCTCAACAAAACACTCCATGTACTCAGGTTGGCAGCGGGAACTTGTGTATTCTGGGGTCACGGTCCATGCTCAGCCTTCTTACCCTTGGGAAGTGTTTTTCACGCTACCCGCTCCACGGGTCCAAGTCAGATGAGGCAGAATTCGAGGCTAGGTAGTAGGTAGGTAAGGAAAGGGTCAAAAACATGCTGCATTGGGAGATATTATAATTACTAGTATTTTAAACAGGAACTCTTGGCTCAACCTACCACAGTACTGATTAGGACCGCACGCTAGCAAAACGAAGTGGCCGGAATACCATCACCAAGAATTATAGGGAAGGCACAGTAGTTATCAACTACAGTCGGAAACGATCACAATGTTACGTTTCGGAGTGGAAAACAAGCCTGATATCTTGGTCAGCAGCAACCCACAAGCAACGCGACGAGGAGGCACAGCAAACTAGAGTCTGAGGCTGATGAACGCCGCCGTCATCAAGCTTACCGTGTTCGCAAGCTCAATTTCCCCGGCGGATAAACCACGGTCAATGCAGTGCCACCCAGCAAGTGGAATGGCGACAACTATGGCTGCCTTCACCATGTCTTGGCTCATTCCGTCGACGTCAGTACGCTCACCAACACCTCTGCGCCGCATTCAACTTACCAACACCACAAAGACATCCTCCGCCCGCCGGGAACCCACCAAGAAAGCCCATCTCAGTTCCCGCGTGACATGCTGATCTCTTGGTTCTCGCAACAGCCAGACCCTCACTGATGGCCCCACAACGATTGCACTGCCCTGAATCTATGGACGATGATTGGCCAGAAGTCGAACAGCATGCCCCTTATCATACACATTGGTCAATCCGTCTATCTGCCAGAGTATACACTATAGTACAGCCCACAACATGACAACGGCACAAGACCACACAGTTTCAGACCGCGCGAGATGGTCGAACCATCAACCTTGGAGAGGAGAACGAGGAGACAGATCCCCTCATCAACGTCTCACCGGGCGTGGCTGAGCGGCTCGGCGGTCAGCTGAAAGGGGCCAAATTCGTTCCTTTCCTTTGCCTGTCCGCCAGTTCCGTTCACAAGCAATGTCAACCCCTTGGGCTCGGGAGAACGGCACCAGAGCAGCGAGGGGAGATAAACCAGCCCAGCCGTAGCAATCCCCAACATACCATCCCACAAACCACTACCAGTCCAACTACCTAATCTCCACCCCCAACCGCTCCACCAACCCCCTGACTACCCTGTCATGCATCTCGTTCGTCTCGGCATTCGTCAACGTCCTCTCGAGACTGCGATAGTTGATCCGGTAGCACATACTCCGCCGGCCCGTCTTGGGATGCACAAACTCATCCACCAGCCTCACATCCTCAACACAATCCCCGGCGGCATCCCTCACCACCTCCATGAGATCATTCCCGTGCCAATCCACCGCCCCCTTCCCGGAGCCCCCGCCGCCGGCGGCGCTCGTCCCCTTCAACCAGAACGACACATCCTTGTAGCAAGCCGGGTGCTTGCTGAACGGCACAAAGGGCCGCATCCTCGCCAAGTTATCCTCGACCCCTCGAAACTGCGACAGGAACCTCTCGTCGCGCGACCAGAACAGCCGGATGTCGGGGATCTGGAAGAGCAACATGGCGATGCGCTCCAGCCCGATGCCGAACGCCCAGCCGATCTGAGACGGCACGCCCGCGATGATGTGCAACTCCTGCTTAGATACCCCGCACCCTAGCACCTCGAGCCAATCGCCCTGGTAGAAAACCTCGAGTTCCCACGAGGGGGAGGTGAAGGGAAAATAGGCCTCGACCCAGCGCACGCGGAGGGGCTCGGTGGGTTCAACTGGCGAGGTACCGTTGTTTGCTGCTGTGGCGAAGGCGGCGGCGGCTTTGGCGCGAGAAAAAATCTCGTTGACCATCAGCTCGAGCGAGCGCTTGAGGTGGGCTGCGACGGCGGCGGCTTCCTCGGGCGTGTGGTGCTCCACCTGGAGAGGATTGCGGTCTGGGTGGAAGGGCGGGTTGGGATCTTCGACGGTCATGTTGTGCTTGGGGAGGCGGTCGAGGTCCTGGAAGATGGCTGCGGCCAGGTCACCGTTGGGCACCTTGTTCCGGTCCCAGACGCGGGCGCCCTCCATCTGGTGGAAGACGGGGTAGTGGCTGCGGTCGACCTCGTCGCGGCGGTAGACGTCGGCGCTGATGAGGTAGCCGCCGCTGGCGCCGGCGCGAAAGAGCTCCGCCTCATGGGCGCTGGTGTGTGTTCGTAAGAGCGTATCCTTGTTGATGTAGTATGTGTCGGAGCGGGCGCGGCCAGGGTGGTCTGGCGGGAAGCACAGCGAGTCAAAGTTCTCGTAGGTCGATACGACCGGGTCGAATTCATTGTAATATTTGTAAGTCGGCGGGGGGAAGACCGACTCGATAATTTTCCGCGTGATGGCCACGGGGTGGTCTTTCTGGAGATGCAACTTCCGGGAAGTCAAGGAGAGGACGGTGGACGATACATTAAACCACGGGTCGGTCGCATACTTCTTGCCGTTGATCTCGACCTCCTTGGGGCTTGTCGCCACGCCCTGACGCGCACTCGTAGCATCTTTTTAGCGAAATTCGTCAGCACCGCTGGACCTGGGCCTTCGGGTTGCATGCTCCTCCTTGCTAACCTGAAGAGTAGGCTGCTCGCCAACACGGCTGGACAGGCAGTCTGCTGATGCGGCCGCCTCGTTTTATGAGAAGCGCAATGTCGGACCGGTTGCCCGCCCGAGGCCATAGCGTACTCACAATACCCCGCAGTCCGACCATGCTGTAGTCGGGAATGCGGCTCCTGAAGGCCTGACGGTTGGGAATCGGAGACCTCTGGCTTGCTTCACGACCAGCGTGATGCGCCTTCGCGAAACTCATGTGGGTCTTTTCTCGAGTCGCCAAGCCGCAGCGCACGGGTTCATGCACAATGACATCGCCCATGAGCATCACTATTTGTACGTAAACCTTCCCTGTTCTATGAGGCTGAGACCGGCTAACCCCTTATGGTAGCTTCAGCCATAACAGGCCTAGGCCAAGATCACCGCCAGCACCCCAAAGCCGATCTTTGAATCCTTGAACTTTCTGGCACTAAGATGATTGTTCATCGGGAATGATTGCTAATAACTTCATTTCTTCCTATTATTGATAGAGGTTGGTGGGCTGGTCTGTGGTGGGGCATTGGTGGGTCTTCCTGCCCTACTAGCCCACTGCCTTTTCCCTTCACCATCGAGTATCTTACTATTTCCGTGCACTGATTACATTCACAATTCCATCGACGTTGTCACGGCTGGTGCGCCGTAGTTATGGCTTGGCGCATGGAGAGCTTGGACAAGCCACGAACTGTAGTTAGATTTATCCTGCGAGAGCGTTGCCTTTCTTCGGCAAGCTTCTTATTTTGCACAATAAGCGTCAATCTCCAACGCCAGCTGCAATCGCCTCTGGCGAAATTACGCCTGCCGTGACAGATGTATATCACTGCTTGCCTCTTCTACCTATACCTATGTAAGCGCTTAGCGGCTACTATGGTACTTAGGTAGGTAGCTGTACTCTTTTGAGTGTTCGGCGTCCCTCCTTAAAAGCCCAATGTGGCTAAACTTGCCTTGAAAGGTTAACCAGTTCAGGCCGTACATGACAGGGTGATGCTCATCGCCCATTGGCTTCCGTTCCTGATTCTCTGATTAACCGATAGTAGAGTCCGTAGCCCGAAGGGTTCTCCGGTGGCCGAGCGATGGGATGAGGAGCTCGGAGGGTTGACTTCCTTAAGCATGGGCAGATTATGGCCATCTCAGCTTCGCTTTGACCATTTTGCACCAGGCGTCTTACTCGCTCAGGGGATCGCCATCCTCGTCTTCGGCGGTCAAAACGCTCCAGACGGATGACCAAGATGCCAATGGTACCAGCCGTGTTGATGGATTGGAACATGCCGACTGAGCCTCTGGAAGCGTGCCTCCGTCCTGTAGAATACAATATTTGCAACGATATTGTAGCCCATGAAGTAGGCGGCGCCCTCAGAGAATAGACACTGACATAAGGACATCACCGGCGTAGTGCTTCTGGGTGTATACGATCAAGTGAGATCACTCTTGCAAAATATTCTTGGAGACCAGTAGATGAAGTTGAATTACTTACGTAGTTTGCTCACCTTGATAAGTTCACCTTGACATCCTCGCGGTGGTCAAGAGAGGACTCCGTAGCTATCGTTTATCAATCGGGAAAGAAGGAGCCGAGACGCCAAGCAGTCTCGACAATCCCTGCGTCGGAAACTGACGTAGAAGGGCACGGGCCATGTCGAAACCTGGAATCACTGATAAAAATGGCTGCTTATCGCATTCTTAACTCCGGTCTGCTGTGGAAGATCACTAGTCTTCTTCAACTATTGATCATTCGTTTCAACATTACTCTACGACCTTTCCCCCCCTTCTCAATCAGCGTGATGCAATAATAACAAGGCACGGTCTGCTTGGATAGTGCAGCGCACAATGCAGGCAGCCAAGAGTGAACGACCCGCTGCCCCGTCACCGGTGGCACCCTCGGCAACGACGGCCATGGCGATGAAGGACGACAGCAGGGCAACTGTGTCGTCGCTGACTAGGCCTCGACCAATACACTACCCATTTTGGTTTGGTGGCAGCGCAAGTAGTATGGCCGCCTGCGTAACGCATCCCCTCGATCTCGGTAAGCACCCCTCCGCACCGTCACCAAAACCCAATTGACGATCGCATGGCTAATCAATATCCCAGTTAAGGTAGAATTCTCCCAAGACCTCCGCAATACCCTAATTGACACCTGTCCTGTCTAGGTCCGCCTCCAAACCCGCACAGGCGCCATGCCCTCAACAATGAGCGGCACCTTCATGCACATCCTCAAGCACGCCGGCCCCCGGGGCCTCTACAGCGGCCTCTCAGCCTCCCTCCTCCGCCAACTGACCTACTCGACAACCCGCTTCGGCATCTACGAGGAACTCAAAACCCGCTTCGTCTCGAAAAAGACCGACCCGCTCACCGGCAAACCTAGCCCGCCCTCGCTCCCCTTACTCATCGCCATGGCCTCGACCTCGGGTTTCGTCGGCGGCATCGCCGGCAACGCGGCAGACGTGCTCAACGTGCGCATGCAGCACGACGCCGCGCTGCCCGCCTCGCAACGGCGCAACTACGCGCACGCGCTCGACGGCCTGGCGCGCATGGTACGCGAGGAAGGCGTTGGCGCGCTGTTCCGCGGCGTGTGGCCCAACAGCGCGCGCGCCGCGGCCATGACGGCTAGCCAGCTGGCGAGCTACGACGTGTTCAAGCGGACGCTGCTGCGGGTCGCGGGCATGCAGGATGGTCTCGCGACGCACTTCACTGCGAGTTTTCTTGCCGGGGTGGTGGCGGCTACCGTGACGAGTCCGATTGATGTCATCAAGACGCGGGTGATGTCGGCGTCGGGGGGAAACCACGGGGTGGTGGGTGTGTTGCGCGAGGTGTATGCCAAGGAGGGGATGCGGTGGATGTTTAAGGGCTGGGTGCCCAGTTTTTTGAGGCTAGGGCCGTAAGTTTCTCTCTGCCTGTCGCTCTCAAGTTGGGGAGGGCGCATGCTAATCGGTCTGCAGACAAACGATCTGTACATTTCTCTTTCTAGAATCTCATCGCAAGATTTACAGGAAGATCAACGGGATAGAGGATCCGGCGTAAACAGAGCTACGAACGAACGGTTTAGACAACGGCGCGACGATATACAACCGACTTAAGATAGACGACGACAACAAGGCCTATACAAGTAGACCGCAGCACTATACCCTGGGACGCAGGCATGTAGAACGGCAGGCGTTTGTGTTGGATGTATTTTGAATGGGGTGGAGAGGCTTTCGCAGGCATCGGCATTGGACAGTTGCCGGTTCAGTGGCAGTTCGGTCCAGCGGTCGCCCCTATTCCCTCTATTATTGGTTCATGCATAAATTGGACAAACATTGGGCTAAACGTCCTTCTTCGCGCCTTGAAATGTCGAGCACTTCTCGTGAAAGATGAAAATGCTTGGCGGCTTCCGTCCTGAACTCCCGCTGATATACAATCCAGACAACTTAAGAGAGCAGCCCGTTATCCGGTGCTTTTCAGAGGCTTAGCGCCTCGGCAACAGGATATCGGCAAAAAGTTGGTTGTTTTCTGGTTCTTGAATCATGACAGGGCGCAGCAACCAAAGGTGCTGAGCACCGAGAGGGTGACCATAGGAGACTGCCCTGCCGCACTCTCGCTGGAGGATCTCATCCGCGCCAATCTCACGCCTGAACGTCAGGCCATGCTGGAAGAGCCGAAGATGCTTCATGGAAATGATCGGACACGTGGAAGGTGCCCGGCCGTAAAAGCCCCATTGATCATGGCCAGCTGGACTGCCCAGCGCCGTAAGGTGTCGTCCCGTATGGTGTCGTTCCGCCAGCACCGCCCCATGAACTCTGGTTGCCTGCATTACCGAACGGCGTCGTGTACCCGCCGAAGCCATCGGCGCCGGTTCCGTACTCTGGACTGCGCGGGCCGTTGTAGTCTCCGTTCATGCTGTTCCCACCCTCGTCGGCGAGCTCGTGAATAAGACCAGCAAGCTTCTGCTGCAAAACCTTGATGCCTTCGCTTACAATCGTATCCGGCGAGAGGTTTCCAGCGCTCTCGACGTTGAAGTAAAATCGATTTGGGACGGCGTCGTAGTCGAACGGCTCTCCTTCTTGCGGAGGCTCCTCCCAGGCGGCATACTCGCTTGGTGGCCTGCGCGATGATAGTCAACCAGTGTTCATAAGAATTTACATAGCTGGAACACTCACCATTCCGTCTTTGGATCCGACTCGTACCAGAGGTCGAGGTGATGAAGCTTGTTGTGCGGGTCGTACTCAAAGCCGATGGCGGCTGAGGGTGCCCACTTTGCGTGCTCCTTCGCGATGCCCTTCCTGGCGATACACTCGAGCTTGATCTCCTGGCCCGGCCGAAGCTTCAGGATGAGCGGGCCGAGCCCTTCCGCATCTGACAGCACGGGTGTGCCGAGAACTTGGTTGACGCGTTCGCCTGTGGGAACCAGATCGCGCGCAAAAACATGCATATTCTCATCGCCCGTGCACTTCGCGTGGAGGGTAAGCCTAACGCTGCAGTGCTCGCAGAATCCGTCGCAGTCACAGTCGCGCCCGTAGAGCAGAGACTCGACACCTTCGGCGTTAAGTGGGATGAGGCCGAGACGGTGGGCGATAAACTCGTCGGCCAAAACCGAGCTGTTTTCTTCAATCTCGACCAAATCGATGGCTATTGTGGGAATTTCGGCGAGCATGACGCGGCGGAGCGAGTTCGCGAAGGCAATATCGGCATTCGAAAGCTCGTACTTGACGCGTACAGAGTCTGCCTAGGTCCCATGATCGCGTTTAGACCAAGTCGCTTCCTCACAGAAGAGAAAACGAGCAGCCAGCCACAGGTTGCGACAAAGACATACTTGGGAAATCTTGACAACCGGGCCCAACGCCTCGGCGTCATCCATCACCATCGGGTCGTAGTCCATGTTTCCGGCGGTGCCTGCTTATGCTGCAAAGGTCGCTTCAGTTTTCTAATAGCGCATACGACAATGAGGCTGCAATCCGTGCTGTTGAGTTGGGGATCTGGTCGTTGCGAATGAACGTGGAACTTCCAGTCGTGGGAAGTTCGGCGGCGCTCAACAAAGCGCAGGGAGAACTGAATCTTATCTCCACACCTGCCTAGAATGACAGTGGGGTGACTGCAAGATTACGTATGATCAACCACCGATCGTAGGCTTACGATATTTCAATCGGAGTTCTGAAACTGGAAAATGGAGTCCCCGGAATTTAGAGATTTCCAGCAATTTTAGCTAAGTTAACTATTTGTCAGGCGATATATTTCTGGTTAGAGTTAACTACTGCTCTATGTAAGTGAAAACATCCTGCCACTATAGCCGAGGCCCTATAGAAGCCCACAAGTCTCACGACCATACTAGGACGTGAAATGTACTATAGACAGCTCATGCTATAATTCGTGCTAAATGCTACAATGCATACCAACTACGACTGCAAAATAGCATCAAAGATAGCCGACTACAAATGGAGGTTCATACTAGGCTCAGACTCAAGTAGAAGACTTGTGTTAACTGAGTGGGTTCCTTGGCACCAAGATTCACGGACTGAGCACTGATGTTCAATGCGAGACTCTCAGTCAACACAGATCCATCACAATGACGCAGTTCCTGACATAAGCGTCATATCATGGCACACTGTCTCTATATAAGGGGGTAATTCCCCTGGCAGGATTAGAGAGGACAATTTGTCCAAAAAAGAAAAGGGACATTCTGAGACACCCTAACCCACTATCTTGATCCTTCATTTGTGTGTCACTCTGGAATCGTGACTCCAATTCAAGCTTCATCTCATACCTCAATCTATTCAATACCACTTGGTTGATCTAAGCTTACTCGAGCATGTAACTGTTGGCTGCCCAACAACTTGACTTTAAAAGGATCTAGTAAGTAGTACAAAGAGCAAAGGAGTTGAATACCATGATTTGAGGGGCTGTTTGCTAAGCCGGCTTAGATTGCTAGCACAATTGAGTGAGTCCTAGACATCTTCGCTGGTAACTCCGAGAATTTCCTGGCTAATCCTAGCTTCATTATCAATTTCATTGAATTTCATTGGCCTAAGGAATGAAGTTTTTGATTGGCGGACCTTGAAATCCGAGATATGTAAATTTTTCATTCCATAACCCTAACCCGTCAACCTCAGCAAGCCACGTACGTACCCTGGCTTGGCAAGTAATGATTGCTGTGGCGGCCCGTCAATGATCCGCCCAAGCTGCAAGATGACGGGGGCTCGGCCGCGACAGGAAAGCCAAGCCAGCTTCACATCGCCCCCATAAAATTTGTTGCGCAACACGCGATCATCTGAACATCATCTCGCCGGAGTCTTCAGTATCCTGAGAGTATTAGACACAATACACAATCCGCAATCATGCTACGACAGACCATCTCGGCCACCTCTAGAGCCCTCCGATCCACTGCCAGACTAAGCACCCAAAGGCAAACCGCCTCTCTGCCTCACTTCTACCAGACGCCATTCGCAGCCGTGCGGACAATTACGCCACGAACGAGATGGTACAGCTCTGAAACGGACGCTGCAAGGAACAACGGCGATGCAAAGGACAATGGCGAGGAGGCAAAGAAGGAGGGGGAGGCCGAGAGTCCCGAAGCTGCGCTAAAAAAGCAATTGGAGGCCAAAGACGCGGAGATCCGGGAGCTAAAGGTACAGTATCTTCTTTTTCCTTTTTTTCTACCCTGCAATTCTCATGCTAATTCGGCCGCCATCCAGGACAAGTACCTCCGCTCCATGGCTGAGCAACAAAACGAGTTCCGGAGCCTGCAAGAACGGACAGCACGCGAGATTCAGAAGAACAAGGAGTTCGCTATTCAGGGGTTCGCCCAGGACCTCGTCGACACGGTCGATAACTTTGACCGGGCGCTGGCCATGGTGCCCGAGGAGAAGCTCAAGTCTCAGTCTGGAGAGGAGAAGTCGGAGCACCAGCAGGACCTGGTCAACTTGTACGAGGGGCTCAAGATGACCGAGACCATCCTGATGCAGACGCTCAAGAAGCACGGCCTGGAGCGCTTCGACCCCAACGGCGAGGTTTTCAACCCGCACGAGCACGACGCCACCTTTATGACGCCCATGCCGGACAAGGAACACAACACCGTTTTCCACGTTCAGCAAAAGGGCTTCCGCCTCAACGGGCGCATCCTGCGCCCGGCCAAGGTCGGCGTCGTCAAAAACAAATAAAGGGGCAATGCCTTGCATCATTGCAGGCTCTTGAACGAATAGGGAGTTGAGTCGACCTTTCTCCCCTGTACTATTACCACTGTTGGATCACATTTGCACGCACCATATACTTCGGGATCAGGGTGCGGGGCGTTCATGGCTGTTTTTGCTGGTCTCATATGTATAATGCTCCTCTCATGATTGGTCGTCGGTTCATACCAGTTTAGCATATGGTTATGCGGGGGACAAAAAAAGGATAGAGATGATGGATTGCTCTTGGAGCGGGTATAGAGGGCATCGCACACAGACACACAATTCTAATGCAGTTATTGGGCTGGGGAAGTTCGGCGGCGATATCGTTCAGCAACGACCTCATGGCACTTTCTGTGATATTGTATGTATGCGAAACGATTCAATACAAGCTAACCATAGCAGCAGAAATGCCTCGGGGTATATCCTTTTCCACACCCAGCGTCATCCGTCCATTCCGACTCTATCCCCTCTTCTCTCTCACCCCACAACTTTCTCCATCTTGGCCTGCAGCTCCGCCCTCTCCTGCCGCAGCGCCCCGATCTCATCCCGGAGCTGCTCCTTCTCGTTGACGAGCTTGCTGAGCGTGCACTTCAGGGCGCCGATCTCCTTGACCGCGCGCACGGTGTCGAAGGTAGGCACGCGGGGTCCATCGGGACGGTGCGGGGTGTCGATCAGGGGCGTCTAAGTCACACGGATGTTAGGCTCTTGATTTCTGGCAAAATATTGGGTATATGGAGAGGGAAATGGGATGGATTTTTTTTTTTTTTTTTTGCGCGCGGGGTTGCCGGGCGGGGGGGCAGGGGGTGGAGGAGGGGGAGAGAAAGGGACGTTGGTTTGTCTCTCACTTACGCTGTAGCGCTTCGGTCCCAAACAGTTGAGCGAGGAGGTGCGGGCGGGTATGATGGGCGGCTTGGGAGCGGTGGTCTCTTTCTGTGTCCAGTCTTCAGGGGCGCAGCCGGTGGCCCAGCTCGCGAAGGTGCACGGTGAGATGCGCGTGAGGTCCGGGTGGCCCTCCTCGTCGGAGACGTAACCCTCTTCGAAGTGGGAGCTGTACAGGGGGCTGCCCGGAACTAGCATTGCGTCTGTGATGAAGGGGCCGTTGTGGTCGGGGACGATGTCCCCGAGACCTTGCACCGTCTCCTCGCCACTGCTTGTGGTCATACCCGTCTCGATGTTTGAGCGCAGTTCGGGTAGGCAGGTAGTCTTGCCATTTGCGGGTGTGATGGGCGGCCAGTCATTCTCAAGGGAGTCCTACTCTTCTTTGGCGTTGGCTGCCTTCCAACCATCGCTACATATATGGTTGATTGCGCGGAGCCCCTTGAAATTGTAGTCGGGCGGGAGATTCAGGTGCTCATCGACGACGTTGCGGGCGTAATAATAAATCTCCGGGCGGTTGAGGCGGTCCGGAAGATAGGGGCTCAGTTCCCAGTGAATGTCGTGGATCATCCTGTAGATTGTGTTAACCAGCGAAACGGGGAGAGTAAGGAAAGACGTGAGCAAAGCAGAAAAGCGGTGAAACAATAAACGCATTAGCATATTGCATCGTCCAACCCCGCGTGAAGGAGGAAATACGCCCTGTAGGAAGGAGGAGCAGTGGTATATACGATGGAGAAGAAGAGAGTCGACGAATGTGGGCTTGAAGCAAACCAAAGAACAACTTACCGAGGGCTTCCCAACTTCCCAGCCAGCTCCTGGCGAACTAGCTTCCCAAGCAGAGGCTCAATGGTACTGGCAACGACGCTATTCACGCCCGCTCTCATGGCGACATAGGTCTTCATCATCGAGTTCGTGATGGCCATCTTCTTGTCGCCCCCCGAGCCATCGGTCTCGGCATTCTTGACGCAGTTGGGGAGGGGGCAGAGGGCCAAGTTACCATCGCCATTGACACGGGCGTGCTTGTCTTGAGCTGAACTGCGCCATGCGAAGCGCTGGCTGGGCGAGGGCGGGGGAGGTCGGAAAATGGCGGGCTCCTTGGCGCCATGGTTAGTGCCCTTGACAGGCTCGATCTTCTTGGCTATGTTCATGTTGGTAAGGCTCTGACCTTGGTGTTGAAGTGAGATCTGACGGGGAAGTCGAATGTCGGGAGTTAAGGGTAGACGGTAGTGAAGAGAGGAAGAATAGATAAATCGAGACTTAACATGGCTACTGGCAATGAGACGCGTTCAACATGCGTGACGCACACCCCTTGAGATCGGACGGAGTATGGAGTAAATTAACCTCAAAGGAAGCATTGAGGAGCCAATCTTTCTCTCAAGCAAGAATTCCCCAGGAGTGGGTGCAACGACATGCCTGGGTCTCGCCGCAGAGATCAGAAGGAGTCCCGTCAAAAACCACGCGTCAAGGTGCATCAGAACAGGTTTCAGTTGCTCACTTTGAAGATGGCCTGTTTTGAAGGACGTAGGCCAGGACGTGGTTGTGCCACACCCACAAAATCAGACAGAGTGCTTCCAAGGGATTAGCCCATTCGAATAATGACCAAAGACCAGAATGTTGATATAAAAACGAGGGGGTGATGAGAGATGTAAGGAACGAAAGGCACATTATGGCACGAAAATGATAGTGCACAATCATTGCCCCATGACAGTCCCTGTGGCCAGTCAAATCAGCATTGTTTGAAGGGGCCCCTACAACAATCCACTGAATATGTGCACATAGGTAGCATAGGCCTGCCAAGCCAGTCTACAACATGCTCCAGCTCAGCAAAAACTCACAAGCGTACAAGCCCTTGCATTACGCCTTCTTCGGCCTTCCCTTACCCCTAGTGGCAGCCTTGCCCTTGCTCTTCGCGGGCTTGCCACCCTCACCGTCATCATCATCATCATCGTCTTCATCCTTCGTTGTCTTCTTGGCTGTCTTCTTCCCGCCCTTGGCCTTCGGCTGCTTGATGTACTTGTCCGTCTTGAGGTCGAGCTCCTCGTCCTCATCGACATCAGCAACCTCGGCAACGTCGTTCTCATCCTCCTCCTCAATGGCCTCCTCCAGATCCGGCATCTCCTTGCCGAGCTTCCGCGGCGCCGTCACGTTGCTGGCCTTCATGAAAGGCATTGGGTGGGAGGCGGCGTTGTACCTGTAAAGAATGTTAGCACTAGTCAACAGGCGCCCCTCGCTACGGCGAGCACTTACATCCTGGTGAAAGTGGCTTTGGTCTGCGTATCGATATTGACGGTGGTCTCCGACTGGTACCCCACGCCAAGCTCCTTGATGGAATCAAAGTCCTCCCGTGTGAGGTAGTAGCTGTCCATGAGATTGATGACGTCCTCGACGGAATCCTTGCCCTCAATCTCCAGGCGCTTGACCAACTGGTGCCAGAGCACAGGCAGATACTGCTGCCGAATCTCGTTGTGGTCGCCCGAAGACTTGAGACGCATGTGGGAGTGAATCTCGCGAACGAATCGACCCAGCTTTCCGTACTTGCTGTTGTTGCCGAGCCATGTTGTAAACGTGGGCTGTTCCGTGAACATACCGGCAATGAAACTCGACGGCCTGACGGTGCTGAAGACTCCATGCGTGGGCATCAAGCTCCAGTGCTGTTGTGGGCCATGGATCATGCGGTCGACTAGGTCTCCGTCGCTGATGCTTTCAGCGGCCTGATCGACAAGCTCAAGGTGCTTGAGAATTTGAAGCCTGTCAGTGTATCCCTGTGCGTTCAACCCGGCCGGCCTTGCGCGCAGGTAGTTCTCCTGGATCATCAGGAAGCTGAACTCGTGGTCGTGGAAGTAGAGCTCGATTTTGTCGTTCAGCGTCGCCTTGCTTGCTGGGCTGAACAAACCGCCTCCGATCATCTTCTGACAAATATCCCAAGGCTTGAGCACAACATGCTTCTCCCAGGCCTTGGCCATGGCCTTGCTCTGATCAAAGTCCATCGTAGTCTGGTCTAGCTTGGCCGTGGAAAGCATGTTGATGATTTGGCGAATGTCCTTGCCGCTGCCCTCAATGAGCGCGTTGACGACGGGCGGCGGCATCTTCAGGCCTTCTCTGTGGCAAATAGTCATGATCCTGGACCGGATCTGATCAACGGTCGGGCGCTGGAACTTGACATCGAATGCAACGTGGTCGAAAGGCTTCATCTTGGGCAACCTGCGCTCGTTGCAAATCAAAATGAGGGGGACGTCCGTCTTCTTGCAGAATTTTGCAAGCGCACCAACACCGCCTCGATCACCTGCGGACATGCCGTCGACCTCGTCCATGACGAGGACAATCTTCCTTTTACCGGCATCGACCTTCTTGCCGTCGCCGGCAAAATAGCCCAAAAGGGACGTGTTATTGAGGACATCAGCGACTCCGCTTTCAACAAGTTTCTTGCTGCGTGTGTCGCTGGCGTTGCTCTCCAGGACGTCGTAGCCTTCAAGCTTGGCCGCAAGGTGGGCAGCCGTCGTCTTGCCGATTCCAGGCGGTCCTGAGATGATGATGGCGCGATACGCGCCCATCCCATCTGCACCCCTCTTCTTGAAGTCGTACTTGCGAAACTTGGGCCAGTTGTGGAGCCAGGACTGAATCCTCTCGACGTTCGCCTTGTTGCCGCAAATCTGATTGAGCTGCGTCGGAGCATACTTGGTTGTCCACAACTGCGATAGAATCTGGGCCCGCACCGGAGCAGGGGCCCCGCGGGCGGCAGCAGCCTTCTTGGCCGCCTTCTCGGCTTCGGCCTGTCTGGCTTTCTCTTCCTTCTCCATGCGTTCAGCCTCCTCACGAACCTTCTTCGCTTCCACCTCCTGCTTCTCCTTGGCCTTCTCAGCACCCTTTCCGCCACCGCCATGAGCAGGCATTGTTCGGATGAGGTAAAACAGACCTTCCTCATCAATCGTCTTGATACCATGCTCCTTGATCTTCCTGAGTTTGCTGGGACCCGCATCATCGCCCAGGACGACGAAGTCCGTTTTGCTGCTCGGTGCGCCAGTAACCTTGCCGCCATATCGTTTGACAAGGGCCTGTCCCTCCTCGCGGCTGAGGGTTTTGAGCAGGCCGGTAAAAACAAACGTCTTGCCCATCAGACAGTCCTCCTCACCCTCGGGAATCTCGGCGGCACCGGCCATTGGAGGTGGCCCGGCATTGCCGCCACCTTTGGCGCCGCGCCAATCAAACTTGGCGTCCGGGTCTGGTGGAGGTGCGTCGGGCGCCTGGACGGTCGGGACCTTGTCAAGAATGACTTTAACATCATCAGGGTCGGACTCGGGCTGCTTCTTGGCCCTAGGAGCGCGGGGTTTGGCTGCCTTCTTGGCAGGCTTGACATCGTCCACGTCTTCCTCGCTGTCAGAAGCTGGTGTTTTGCGTTTCCGGGTCGAGGCAGGCGTCTTCTTGGTGGTCGCTTTGGGGTTCGATTTAACCTCGTCTTCAGACTCGTCCTTTAGGGGCTTGCCGGCGCGCGAAGCTACGCGCTTAGGCTTCGGAAGAAACTCTTCCTCGCTGTCTTCCTCCAGGTACTCGTCGTTCTTTCTCTTGTTGCGGCCCTTCACATCAGCAGCAAAGATATCATCGCCTGCATCCTCGTCATCGTCCAAGAATGCGTCGTCATCGTCTCGATCATGCTTCTTGTAAGAGGTGATCGGCTTCCTTTTGATGCCGTTTTGCGTGGCCTTGGCGGGCTCAGGGGCTGGCTTTGACGCGGCCGGTTTAGTTCTCGGGCTCACGCGAACCTCGGCGCCAGGGGCGGGCTGAGCCCTGGATGCTGGTTTTGGAGTAGTTTGCACGGTGCCTGATTTCGGTTTGGATGATGCAAAGTATTTGGCGGCCGTTGTCTCTTCGCCCTTTACCTCGATGGGGGCTCTTGCTATGGAATCAGCATCAAGAGGCAAGACCGGATCAGAGCAAGACAACTCACGATGCCTTCTTCCGAGGGGTGGCCTTGGTTGGTTTCTTGGTTCTATCCCGTTATCAGAGACCAGCCATGTCAATTCGTTATCCTCTTCTGGACCTACTCGACAACCTCATCCTCGTCGCTGTCCTCAATGACCTTTCGGCCTTCTAGAAATGTGTTAGAAGGCAAGGTCAATAAGCACCAAGGTCAGTATTTGGAAACACGGACTGGCTCTAGACACTTTTGTCTCTTCCTCCTTCTTGGTTGCAGGCTTCGGCGGCGGCGCACCGCCCTTGGAGCTGAAGAAGTTGCGAATGTCGGGCATGGCGGCGATATGGAGGGAACCGACGCAGGAAAATGTGTTTACAGGGATGATTTGTCAATGAGGAAGCCGGGGTCAAATGAGCTTCCTGTAAGTTCAAAGCTTTTTTCGTCGGTGGTTGCCGCTTGGGTTTAGGCAGGGTGACGGAAGCCTGGAAAGCTCGTCACGGCAAGGCACCTGAGCTCTGACGCGCCTTAATTGAGACGGAAAGGCGCGACGCGAATGAGCTCGCTCAATGCTTGGCATTCGCCGAGCGAGGTGACTATTGGATAAGAGGGTAACCTTATATCCGAGATTGCAGGTTATCGAATTTCCCGTTGTTGCTCCGGACGCAGTCCCAGCTTTGTTGGGGAATTGTTGGCGCTGGGAATAAACACCTTCCAGATCCATCTCGGCCGCCTGACCCGGCCAATCCGACCACCATGAAGCCAAACCCTTCATCAGGGCTCCTCAGTGCCTTCCAGGCACTGAGGATAACGCCCGCGACGCTCCTCCGAGCTTCCCTTCCGTCGGCGACCGTCCTGCGTCCCTCAGCGGCGACGACATCAGCCGCGAACCCCCAGTATGTCAGGTTATTCTCGGCGACGGCGATCCGGGCAGGATCATGGCTGGAGCCCAATCTCCCGCGCAAGAAGAAGATGATGAAGGGGCGACCCAGAGTGCCGACAGGAGGATCCACCAAGGGCACGACGGTGGTCTGGGGAGACTATGGCCTGCGCATGTGCGACCACCACCGCAGAATCAGCGCTGCCCAGCTCAAGGTGGCCGAAGACACCATTAAGGCACGGTTGCGTGGTCAGCGATACCGGCTGTACAAGAGGGTTGCTTGCAACGTTGGCGTGTTTGTCAGCGGCAACGAGGTGAGATGATTCTGCCTGTTGCAGACCTCGACAATCATGCTGACGGGTGCTGCACAAAAGATGCGAATGGGCAAGGGCAAGGGCTCTTTCGATCACTGGGCGGCCAGAGTTGCCGTTAACCAAATCCTGTTCGAGATCAAGGGGGTGCTGCACGAGCAAGTCATTCGGGATGCGTTCCGTCTTGCGGGCAATAAGCTGCCAGGTATCGATCCTCTCTGCTGGATCACTACTTTATTCACAAGCGCTGACTGTCGCTCCAGGGCAATACGAGTTCGTCAAGAAGGGCGATCCGCCGGTAGTCGGAATTACAAAGCTGGAAGGGATCACTCTGGAAGAGCTCAAACGGCCGTGGAAGAAGCTTCCCGAAGACGCCACGGCCTCCTTGCCACCGACTACTTCCACCTCAGCACCTCCCCCTTCATAGCCCTCGCCAACGGCTTATCTCGATTGTATATTATGTAGACTAAATCGGCAGCCACTGTGTGTGGCCTTGAGAACCCCTGGTCATGGTGTCTGCCGTAGGGCCAAAGTACAGTCCAATGAGCCTCAATTGAAGGAAGCAGTGACAAGCACAGTCGAAGCAGTGCCTCCCCACGTCGTTGACACCTTGATTTCGGCTCGAGAGGAAAACCCCGTGGAAAAGGACGATGCAGCTTTGCATAGACACTGAAACTCCTTGTGGAACGCATGATGATATCAAACGTCTGAACCCGTTGTACCTGGCACACAAAGATTCCATCACCGATATGTGAAAAGTGCTTTGTGCTTGCTGCGAGCAAGTCCCTCTTCGTCGACTGATTCCAAAGGTGGTCCGTGCGCCTCCCGCTGCTTAATTGATTCATTCTCAGAAACCTTCAAGTCGCGTCACCCAAGACGCGTCTTACAGATCTGGTTCTTGCACCTCAGACCTGCCCCCGAAACACCGCACACAGCAACACAATCCAAATGGCGCTCATTGTTGATAAGCATCGACCAAGATCTCTTGATGGCCTCACATATCATGAGCAGCTATCGGAACGGTTGCGCTCACTGGTATGACTGCTCTGCTCGTTTGTGAGGCGACTGCTAACAGCCTGTCGCAGGCGCAAAGCGGCGACTTCCCCCACCTCCTCGTGTATGGCCCATCGGGCGCAGGCAAGAAGACCAGAATTGTCGCAACACTGAAAGAACTATTTGGCTCCGGGGTCGAGAAGATCAAGATCGATGCGCGCGTCTTCCAGACCAGCAGCAACCGCAAGCTCGAGTTCAACATTGTGGCCTCGGTCTATCACCTCGAAATCACACCGTCAGACGTCGGCAACTACGACAGGGTAGTGGTGCAGGACCTGCTCAAGGAGGTTGCGCAGACACAGCAGGTCGACCAATCGGCGAAACAGAAGTTCAAGGTCGTGGTGATCAACGAGGCCGACCACCTCACTAGGGATGCCCAGGCGGCGCTGCGTCGGACAATGGAGAAGTACTCGCCCAACCTGCGACTCATTCTTCTTGCCAACTCCACAGCGAACATTATCGCTCCCATCCGATCAAGAACTCTGCTCGTGCGGGTTGCGGCGCCGACACATGCAGAGATCTGCGACGTGCTGGCGGCGTCGGCGAAGAAGGAAGGTTGGCCGGTAGTGAAGGGTCTGCACCAGAGGATTGCGGAGGAGAGCGGGAGGAATCTCCGCAAAGCACTTCTGATGTTTGAAGCAGTGCATGCACAGAAGTAAGCTCCTCCCGTCATGATGGCCACGCCCCATCTCCAAACAACAGGCTGACCCCCTTGCAGCGAAAAGGTCACAGACACCACACCAATACCGCCTCCCGACTGGGAGGCGCTCATCGGCCAGATTGCCAAGGAGATTATGGAGGAGCATACGCCTGCCCGAATTCTCCAGGTCCGGTCGAAGCTGTACGATCTGCTGACCCACTGCATACCGGCGACCACCATCTTGCGGACACTCACGTTCAAGCTCATCCCGCTGATTGATGACGCCCTCAAGGCTGATGTCATCAAGTGGGCTGCATTCTTTGAGCACCGGATCAAGACTGGCACCAAGGTGATTTTCCACTTGGAGGCATTCGTGGCCAAGTTCATGAGGATATTCGAGATGTATCTGATGAGCATGGATATGTGAGAGAGGGATACACCGGAGGATTGGGCATGGCGTTCGGTTGACTTTTTAGGGCTGAGCAAAACTTTCCCTGTGAATGGCAATAACAAGCCGATTTCGCTCTCTGTTTTGAAGGCAGGTTTGACTGACCAGAGCTAGGGGTCGCTTGGAGCAGTCATATAGAGTACGTGGTGTGACACGTAGCGCAACGGAGATTCTATAAAGATAAAACTTCTCCTCCCAAAACGGTGAGAGACCCCTTGTTTGACCCACGAGATGTTTCCTTATTCATACCCAACTGACCAGAAAACCCTTCTCGCTCAGACCTACGTCAACTACCCTAACCCTTGGCGTTCTTTCCACCCGGTTCTTTCAAAGCGGCTGATTGGTTAATGCTGTGGGTCCTTGGCTTGCAGCACCAATGCGGCTTGCTTGGCATGCATTGTCGTGCCGTGCTTGGAAGGCGCGATCGTGTCCTCAACAGCCAGCTGTTAGAAGCTTCTATTGCGACGCACACGCTCGCCTTGACGAACCGACGACGAACTACCTCCCCGGCAGCTTCAAGGATAACTGCCTACCGGCCTCAAACTGGCTGTTTCGTAGACAAGTCGACGGCCTGCATTGCTGTAGCGGCTTGACCCTGCGATAATCGAAGCTATCGAAGTTGCGCCTAAAACAAGCTGAGAGAGAGAGCTCTCGAGATGGGGCTCAATCTCTTTCGCGTAGCCGGTATGGCATCTCCGTGGAACGACGTAAGATGAGGACGGAAAGGGAGAAAAGAGACGGGCTGACATGTGTCATTGCTGCGATAGGGGACCTCTCCCACCTGGCATCCATCTTCATTCTGCTGCACAAGATCGTCCAGCTTAAGGTGCGCACCTCTTGACCGTCGCCAGATGCCCACGTCCGGATACTGACAAGCGTATGCAGAGCTGCTCTGGCATCTCTTTCAAGTCGCAAGTCCTGTACCTGTTAGTCTACATCACACGCTACTTGGGTATGCTACCTGAACGACCACTCCCGACATTGTCAAACACAAGGGAAAGCTAACAGGATACGAATGCCGCAGACCTCCCATGGACGCACTCCCCCTACAACTTCATCTTCAAGGTCCTCTTCATCTCCTCCCAGCTCTACACAATCTACCTCATGACCAAAGCCTACCGGCCGACCAACGACCCGGGGCTCGACACCTTCCGCGTCGAGTACCTGCTGGGCTTCGCGGCCGCGCTGGCCATCCTTTTTCCCGTGAAATACACCGTGCTCGAGGTCTTCTGGGCGTTCTCGATCTGGCTCGAGTCGGTCGCCATCCTGCCGCAGCTCTTTATGCTGCAGCGCACGGGCGAGGCCGAGGCCATCACGGCGCACTACCTGTTTGCGCTAGGCACGTACCGCGCCCTGTACATCCCCAACTGGATCTACAGGTACATGACGGAGCCACACCACAAAGTGGATACCATTGCCGTGGTGGCCGGTGTGCTGCAGACGGTGCTGTATAGTGATTTCTTTTGGATTTATTATACCAAGGTGATGAAGGGGGAGAAGTTCAAGCTGCCGGTTTAAAGGGCGATGTTTCGGATTGGCCTGGGCGGGAATGGGTGACGGTTGGTGGGAGCTTGAGGGTGAGGTAACGATGCCATCTATCGCATCGTCCCTGTTTCTCTCCCTCCCGAGGTGTTGTGGGGGTCAAGGGGGCTATGTGTGATGAACGACATGGATGGATGGATGGAAAAGTAGTACAAGGCTATAATCACGCGAGGCTGAGGTACGATTTGGTCGTTCGGAGACAGAAAAAGAGGCGGCTAATGCCTGTCCGGCGTTTGGGAGATATGGGTTCTACTTCAGCTGAATTTGGAGGCGGCGGGTTACGGTCGGATAACAATTGGTCGAACGTCTTCAATGTATATAAATAGCGGTTCTGCAAAAAGCTGGAGTTGACGTTGTTTGGCTCAGGGATCGGGTCCCATGAGAATCAGACTGCTGAGCCTCCCACAAGCAGTCCTCACCCCAGCCTTGCCGGTCGGTTCACGGGGTCGGGCCGAGTAGGGAGCAAACCAAGAATGGGGAGGAACCATACTCCTACCTGTACGGATTACTACTGCGATGACCGAGCTTCCGTCTCCTTCACGTCAGACCTCGATGGACGACTTCCATCCACTGCCGACCAACACACCTCACGATGCTCGACCAAAATGTTATCAACGGCGGTAACGAACATACAGAGATCTCGAACGCTGGCCATTCCCAGGTAAGAGTTTAGCTGGTCCGCAGCTCAGAATGAGAAAAGCCCACTCTTGCATGAAAGCCCCAAGTTTGAAGTCGGGCCAGCATAAATAAACACCCCGGCGCCCATCCGTCTCAGGTTCCCGGCTCGGCCGAATCGGGTCGACCGGGGCAACCGTGCGCTCCGGTGCGACCTGGCTCCGGCGCGATCTGCGGCAGGATCCGGGTTGCGACGATGCTTGGCTGTGGCCGCATCTTGCCCTTCCCCATCGCATTCCCGCCGGTCCCACACCTCGGGGGTAGTGCATGGCGTGGGCGTGGTTGCATCTTGCCCACGAGGCTATGCCAGTACTAGGGGTTTGTCGACTCCCCGGCTGCCAGAGTTGTTTCCGACATGGAGGTTACCAGAAGCAGATGGCTCGGTTCCAAGTTCTGTCGATGGGGGTTGGTAGGAACACGGCCATGCCCACACCATCCACCTTTATCTCCGTGCTACCCTCTCTCTGTTAGTTTCTATCCTCTCTCTTGCCCTTCTTCTTTCTGCCGTTTTGGCTAATTCCCACATCCGCACCGCCGGCCTTTGGCTGAAAGGATGATCGTCAGGTCCGCCGTCGCTTGTCCTACTCTGCGATTCTGCCGCGGGCGGTATTATCCGTTGTCTTTTATTGTGCTACTCATGATCACACACCATGGTCAAGAAGCCGGTGATATGTCCATCTCTTTTGCTCATTTCTCTCATATGCTCAAGCTGTGCTTGGGTCGGTGAGGGGCTAGCAGACGGGCCGTTTCCGGTGACGGTTAGGGGGAGGGAGGCTGTCGATGAAGCGGGAGGGGCCGAGCCGTTATGGGGACGGGTAGCCGGCAGAGTCGAGGGTCGTCGTGAGGGACCATATCCCGGGTTACCGCTCGCCGCCGAGCCGGCCCACGTCATCCGGGACGGGCGCCCGGCTACCATCACGCCGCCCCCGACCCTTCTGAATCGGCAGGACCAGGGCCAGATCCAAGCGCTGAGCGACCAGCTGCGGCAACTCAGCGAGCAATCCAGGTCCGTCAGCCAGTCCAGCCAGCAGCTCAGCCAGTTGCTGCAGCAGGCGACCCAGCGACTGAGTCAAACTGAGCAGCAGCTGGCCAGCGCTCGTCTGCAGCAGAGTGCTGCCGAGTCCGCGTCGCGGTCCATGTTGCAGGCCTCGGCAGAGGCGTCCCGTCGGGCAGATGAGGCAAGGGCCGGCGCGGACCAAGCCATCTCAGAGGCGATTCGCTCGGCTTCCCAGAGCGCCAACCGCGCCATGTCCGAGAACATGGCGAGCGTGACGAGCTCGATGGGCGCTAGCTTCTCGAGCGCCCTCTTGCTGGCGAGCCAGAGCGCGGCGTCGGCTGCAAGCGCGGCGCAAAAAGCGCAGGCCGATGCCACGGCCTTGAGTGTAAGTCAGCGATGGGTGACCATAAGGGATGGACACGAAGGCTCACCGATGGCAGAACAACGCCAGCGAGCAGATCCAGCAAGCTCAGGGCGACGCGCTGTCGGTCGCCCAAACCGCCATCGCAGTTGTAGGCGGCATCGTCGGATCGTCGCTGCTCACCGGCGTAGGATTCATGCTGGTCCTTCGCCACCGCCGAAAGAAGAAGCGCCGGCACGGCGAGGGCATTATAGGGAGTATTGGATACCAACAAAGCACCGGCACCTCCAACAAGGCATATTCCATCTCGCACTCCAAGAATGGCTACGTCACAAGCGACGACGGAAGCAGCACCTACAGCACCGACGACACCGGCTTCAAATTCCCGCCCAGCAGCAACACTGGCAATCTCCGGCAGCCCGCACCTGCAGTCACCACAGATGGGATCCCAAGGAAAGGCATCGACCCCAGTGGCGGTGATAGCGGCAGCGGCGGCGTGGGCTACGCAGTGAGCTACTACGGCCCACGACCCTCCGCGACCAACACCAGTGGCAAAACCATTTTCTCCACCAACGAGACCAGTCATCAACGACCACGGCAATTCCAGCTCGGAAACCCGCCCGCTCCCAGGGGTGCAGCAGCAGCAGCAGCAGGAAGAGGGAAGTTCACCCTCTTCCCCAGGCCGAAAGCTACGAACCAGACGAACGGGGCCATCAGCAGGAGTGGCCAGGGAGAAGAGGAAGACGATGCGGAAGAGAAAGTTCGGCACCACCACCAACAAGCGACGTCGGCGCGTCCGCCGCCGTTGTCGTCGTCAGCTGGTGGGGCCGGGGTGGGGTTGCCGGGAAGTGGATGGGAGAGGGACGTCGAAGAAGATGAGCAGCAGCATCAGCAGGGAGTTCAAGCACAAGGGCAGGGAGAACGGCGGATGGGATTGTCGTCGGGTGCCGGGCTGCCTAGTTTGGATCGGTGGTTGAGGGAAGGGACTGATGTTAGTCCGTTTTCGACTCTGAAAGGGGTCAGGTAACTAGTTGCAGCAGAGGTCGGTGGTGGTGGTTGTGGTCAGGAAAGGGGAGTGGAATTTAATGTGCAGACGCAACACAGAATGGCGTCCAAGGGGCATTGGGTGGTTGCATTGTTCAAGGGGGTGGAATAGACGGGAAAATCCTTATCGTCTTGTTGGTGTGTTTGGGACGAGTCCGGGTGGACTATGAGTGGACTTGAAGCTACTGGCGATGTGGAGGGGCGAGTTGGCGAGCTAGTACTGTGCTAGATGGGCTAAATAAGCTTGGTTTTTGGCATCCTGTTCAAGGAATACCCAGAGCGAGAGCAGTACACACAGTAGAGTTCAATACCACTAATCTGTTACACGTACAGTAAGTCACCGCGAGCAGAGTAAATTCGATTATGGCGAGTTCGATTTTGGACTGGTGCCATTGGACGGGCCGCAATGAACCGTGTCCTCGTGCATAGCGAGAACAGGGACGCGCGGCCTACTCCGTGATTTGTTACACAGTCTAGCCAATATAGGGTGCAGTAAGTGATGAATCGGAAACTGCGGCACTCTTCAACCCGGAAACTGGATTCTCGAGAGCCTCCTCCTTGGCAAAAGGTACACCCGAATGACTGATTCATACTGAATGCCTTGGCATCCCGAGTTGGAGAAGTATTGGGTAGATCTGGTCTGACCTGTGGTGAAGTAAAGTCTGATGGTATGGCAAACTGCTTTGCATGCGAGGTACTGCAGAACTTGCGAACGCCTTCCATTATGTTTCTTCTCGCGTGGAAAGATTCCTAACTTGCTCACGGCGACGGCACCTCCATTGATGTGCAATGTTGATCATACCGGTCTTTGGTAGTTACTGGGCCTACTGAATGCCCCTGAGTCAGGGCAAAGGCAATCAGACGCTGAGGATGTGTCATTAGGGATGACGGGAATGCCCGCAGTACATGAACATAAGGTATGAACTCCAACCCGGTAGGGTACTCCGTACAGGGCCACTCACGTTCCGTTAGCAGGGGCGGACCAATGTGGGGCACAACAAGCCTTGGAAATGCCATGGAGATAAGGCATGCTTCGCCATGTTCGGTAATTGGTCGTGTGCTCGAGAGATGGCGAGAGGCAGCAAACAAGCTTGGCAAATCTTGGTCGACGATCAGGATACCAGATTATCTGGCTTGGCCATCATTTTTTTTGACCTTCATCAGACCATTATGAATTCGACTTCACTGGTCACTTGTTGCAGCAGACTGATGACCGGGTTATACCGGCAGCTCGAGACGAGGCACCCGTCTGCAAATGAAGCCCTCAATTATCCATTACCTACCTACCTTACCCTGGGCTCGCCCACTTACCGGGTGACGCGGCTGTTGCTCGAAAGTCTCGCGTGCCCGGCGCAATTGAGGCCTCTGATGAAGGTGGAGGAGGATTGGGGCATGCTCCATCCGCCGAGCCCGAGGTCATATCAACCTGGAAGAATCAAGTATACTTTCCACCCCTTGTCAAATCACGGGCAGACCCGTATCGTCATGCTTTTTTGATATGCAACCCGGACCGCCTTGTTCTCAGACCTGCACTTGTAACCCCATGTTCATTCTCTTTCGGCCACGTCTCATTCTTATGCTCGAGCAACATAGCTACAGCCAGTACACATAGCGTTGCTCCGTCTGGGTTGGCTTTGGACAACTCCAGCGTCCGAACAGACAGACATGATACCATCCTCAGTCCTCTTCTTCGCCCATAAGAAGTTCCTCCTCGCAGTTACCGCTCTCCTCGTCTTCTCCGCTATCTTCAGTACGGCCGCCGTAGCCCGAAGCGGCAGCCTGCCGTTTTCCTTCTACAGCCTCCAGGAGCAGGGGGAGAAGCAACAACAAGAGCAATCAACCCTGCCCAACCCAACCACGACCACCAGCAGTACCAGCACCAGCACCAGCACCAGCACCAGCACCAGCACCAGCACCAGCATCTCCTCCTCGTCGCTAACAACGTCCCCAAATTCGAACCACAACCAAAACAACGCTGACGCCCCACCGTCACCACCCCAAGAATACAAATATTTCCATGAAGCCGGCTTCTCGCTCGAGCTAAGCCACTACGACGCGCGCTTCTTCCGGGGGCCGGTGCCCTACGCGACGCACCGCGCCATCCTGACGCACCTGATCCGCAGCTACCTGTCAACCTTCCGCGTGACGCTCGGCCTCGAGACATGGCTCGCGCACGGCACGCTTCTGGGGTGGTGGTGGAACGGCCGAATCATGCCGTGGGACTTTGACGTGGACGCGCAGGTGAGCGGGGCGACGCTGGCCGTGCTGGCGGAGCGGCACAACGGCAGCATGCACGAGTACACGTTGCGGAACGAGACGAGCGGGAGGGACGAGACGAGGGTCTTTTTGCTGGACGTGAACCCGTTCGGGACCAAGGTCGACCGCGGGACGGGCGAGAACGCCATCGATGCGCGCTGGATCGATGTCGAGACGGGCATGTATGTGGACATTACAGCTTTGATGGAGCGGGATCCGGAGAACAGCCCGGGCGTGGTGAGCTGTAAGAATTTTCACTGGTACAAGATGGAGGAGCTGTATCCGTTGAGGGAGACCGTGTTTGAGGGGGTCAAGGCCATGGTGCCGCGCGAGTTTGAAAAGGTGCTGGTGGATGAGTACGGGGCCAAGAGTCTGGTCGTGACGGAGTGGGAAGGGTGAGTTGATGTTCCCTGAGCTTGAACGAACACAGCGGATGAAGAGGGAACGGGTTGGCTGACTTGACCTAATACAGGCATCACTTTGACGCCGAATTGAAGGAGTGGGTAAAGAACGAACCGAAACCGGCGGAAACCGAGGGCGTCTTGTGAATTTTTTAATAGCCGTAAATAATACGAGGGTTTGCATTAAGGTTGGCTGATGGCTGGACAGGATTCGAGCGTACATACGGCGGCGATGTCTGTCTCTTGTCAATACCTGGCGTTTAAGAGGTCCGTTTGGGTTTATATACCAGCATCGCATCGAGCGTGTCTTTCGCCTGGAACGGCTCTCAATCTCTGTGCCATGTCAGCTTGCTGTCTCCATGAGCACTGGAAGCAAAAGAGGATGAGGGGTGCAAGGCCAATGTGATGATGTCACGGACTGGATATGCTGGATATGGTAAGTCGTTGCAACCGACATAATCCCATTTAGTAATGTGGCCGCCGACCAAGTGTCCGTCTCACCAACATACCAGGTGAGCACCTCACATCTCCATGTGACCACAGTACAACAACATCGCTAGCCAATTCACACAGGCAGACCCTCCTCCATGGCCTGATCCCGCTCCAGCCTCTCCAGCCCATTACACGCGGCGCCGTACACCCTCAACGGCACAGCCACCTCAAAGCTCTCACACATCAAGTTCTCCACGCCCACCAGCACCAGCCCACCGCGATCATCCTTCGATATCTCCTCCAACAGCGGATGCGTCTGCACCTGCTGCTGCGCCAACACCTTCAAAGTTCTCTCCCTCACCCCAACTAGCATCCCCTCACCCTCAGCCTCACCATCCTCCCTTCCCTCCTCACCATCCTCCCTTCCCTCCTCATCCGCCTCCCCACCTTCTTCCCCTACGTGCTGCGCCTGCCCCTGCTGCTGCTGCTGCTGCTGCTGCTGCTGAACAGGAACAACAAACTCCAACCTAACCTTCCACTCCAACCCAACCCCACTCGTGACAAACTCAGGCGTCGCCCCGAGCGGAATCCCACACCCAAACACCCACCTCCTTGCAAACAGCACCGTCTCGCTGCCCGTACCCCAAACCTTCCTCGTCACCCTCTGGACACTCGCCTCAGACCGCAACGCCAGGCTCGCATCCACTTTCTCGCTCGTCTCGAGCGCGGCGTGCACCGCGTAGCAGGGGATCTCAGAGCGCTCAAAATCTACCACGCACGTGATCGATTCGCCGAGCCGGTAAGCCGGGCGCGGGAGCATGACGACGGCCACGCGGCGGCCGTTGCGGGCTATCTCGAAGCGATTGGAGGATTGGTTGTTGCTGCCGCTGCCGCTGCTGCCGCCGAGATTGGAGCGGAGGATGGCGAGGTCAATGGCTTCTTTTGCCGTTGGGGGTGGAGCGTAGTGGTGGTAATAGTCTGATATCGAGTTTACCGAGGGTCGGCGGGAGGAGGATGGCGAGTGAAGGGTGGGAGGCGCCGTGCTGGGGCTGAGGAGAGCGCCTGGGTGGGACGAGGTGGTTGGTGGTGGGCGGGAGAGGAGGTCGTCCACGTAGGTGAGAAAGGAGGCCATTGTCGAAGGGGTAGAGGAAGATGGTGATGGGCGATGTTTTGTCGAGTTTTTTTGCGAGGTGTTGGCGCTGGCGCTGAAAGTTTGTACACGGGCTTGGTCGCGCAGCAGAATGTAGGGGGACATGAGGTCGTGGCCTAATATCTCGCCATGGCTGTTGACGCTCCCTAACACGCGGAATGGTATGTCAACGGACTTGACGCGCTGCTCCTTGGCGCCGCCCGGCCGCTGCGTGCCAATAACGAGGCTGTAGGATATCTTCATCGCCTTTCCACGATGCGTCGGTGGTAGCCCTTTGGGTAGTTTGAACGAGTACTCAAACGCCTTGCTTTCGCCCGGGGCTAGTTGCAGATCGACGAACAGGATCGACTGCGGCGTGGACAGCAAGGGTATCGCCTTCGAGTTCACGATGCCGCGCATCTCCTTGATGGTGCTGAGCTCGCCGCCGCCTAATAGCTCGCCGATGGAGCTGGTAATGTTGCCCCATCCGAACCCGCGCAGCAACCCGCTATCGCGCTTCGTCGTCTCCAAGCCGACGACACCGCCTCCCTGGCCACCAACAACCGCTTTACGCTTGACTGCTTCAAACGGGCCGAGGTTTATGAGCGAGCCGTCCAAGGTGAAGGAGCCCTGAATTTGTGCGTAGCCCATCATCAAGGTTTCAGGCAGCCTGGCTGCGCTCGACGGGAGGTTTGAGGTCCTTCGGTTGTGTTGGGGCCGGACCTTGGTCCGCAAGGGCTGCTGCGTCACGTACTCGGAAGCCAGCGTCTCGGACGAGTTATTGCTGAGCGAGTAGAACTCGCCGCTACTCCTTGGTGTGCCGGCTATGCTCATGGTCGAAAGCACCCTGGCGGACGGCGCTACCCATTGCTCGTTTATTGTGGGTACGGAATCTTTGGTCCGCACTGGTAACCCGCTTGCAGTCGGGCTCATAGGGTCCTCGTCTGCTAGCCCTCCTGCCGCTCCCGGTGAAGATGGCGAAGGCGACATGGGGAATTTGAACTCGGCGAGTGGATTTGGCGACAGAGGAGATCGCCGGGGGAAACCGACGCTCGGTGTATTGGGCGCGGTTGCAGTGCCCGGAAGGCGGCCGTTGATACTCCTTTCTGGCGGATATGACGCATGGAAAAGCGGCGATGACTGTGAAACGGGTATTCTGGGATGTGTAGCTAGTAATACCGTCAGCGCTCTCCCCGCATTCTATCCTCGCCGTCCCAACTAACCTGACCGAGGCCCACTGAGCGGTCCTCCGCGGGGTAGTATCTGCAGGCTCGATGCCCGTGCATGGCCCCTCGGCCTTGGTGGCTTGGGCGACGAGAATATGGTCTGGCCATCGTCGACGGTGCTCAATGAGCCAATCGAGACGATTGACACTGATCTCTTGTGCCCGTGACCATTTCTACTGGCGCTTCCATTCCCGTTGCCATGGGGCTCAGTTCGGGCAGGAGGAGCCGGGGGTGGCGTCCAGGAGACCGACCCGGTCCTGGCGCGGGAAGCGGCCGATGGAACCGACAGCGAGTGGCTGGAACGGTGATGGCGGGCACTCAGTGGTGGCGCAAGACCAGAATTGGGCCTCCCACGGCCGGGGGCTCCGGGGTGTAATGGTGATGGCTGGCGCGGACCGCGCTCACCACTCGGATGTCGGGACGAGGTTGGCGAGAACTGGGACGATGGTTTCAGGGCCGCCGTCGGCGTCGAGAGCGGGGATGAACTGCCCTGGGCGCGGGCGACATTCTTGAAGGTGATTGTGCACTTGACCTCCTCACCAGCGAAAACAACCTGCTCGTGCCAGCGCACAAAGACGCGGATGTTGCTGCTGTTGTGGGAGTCTGGCGACATGGCTCAGCTTCGAGGCACGAGCGGACGGGAAACAGGGGTGGAGAATCGCTTATAGCCCCTCAACAAGGAGGCGATGGGTCGGGAGCGTCGTCAAAGCGCTTGATTTCGCATTGCTGGTACCAAGCAGCATCTTGCGCCACAATGGTGCAACGGCAGGATGTAGGGCGCTGAACGCGGCTCGGTCCCGTGTCGTGGCTTTTCTTTCCGTGTCAGTGGTCCGGGAGGGTGCCGTGAGAGCGCCGGGAGAGCGATGCGAGCGGCGAACGAACGAGATCCCAGCGGCATGATCTCATTGGAGCCCCCTTGCCTTATCCGTTTCAAGAAGCTCCACCATAGAGAGGCTGATGACTAAGGCATGAGTATGAGTATGCCGGTATATAGCCCTAAACCCTAAACCCGGTTAGTGCTGTATCTCACCCATCGCAAAGGTATCATACATGTACCGGTATGTTTCTTGACTGACCACCCTTTGGCCCACCGACTGATACATATTTCTCCAGCAACATTGACAGTTGCTGTTCATAAAGCGAAAAAATGGATATCGGAACGGCATTCGTAGCAGGGAAAAGTCCATTGAACTGAGTCCTGTTAACTGCACATATTCAACTATCCTCCCTCCCTCCAAGGTCGCCGGCTCCAATCAGTACTCTGAATTCGACCGTGTGCTCTGCGACGAAGCCGGTGCCGTTGTCTGTCATGGCGGAAGACGTCCAGTGAGCCGGTCCGACAGCATCAAGTAGCCCAGTTGGGCTGATGCAGACCAGGAAGTGCCGTTGGGCCCGCTGGCGTATATGTGCGACCATATCAAGCATGAGCTCGTCCTGGCCCAGGACGGTGAACTTGCGCTTCCCAGCCGAACCACGGGGTTCGCATTTGGCGACGGGGCAGAACGGCGCTTGTTATCTCCCTCGCCGTTGGCCGAGGTAATGACGAGGTCGTGAAGGAGCCTGGGAGCCTGACATTATATGCCAGTACTGCTCCAACAAGGGCCCTCAGGATACAGATCTGGTACCACGCCAGTTTGGCCAGTACAAATCAGAGAGTCGACGAGGCAGCAGTATGTCTGCCTGTCGTAGCCTTGCGAGCCGTCATCGAATCGACGTAGCTGACGACGTAGCGGTGCGATATGAGTTGGTTGTCCACCGGGCGGTTGTAGTGCTCGGCAAAGTGGCAGGCCTCGACCAAGTTCGACCAAGTGTTGGACTCGCAGCAGAAAGGCTGCCACCCGGACTTGCTGAAAATGGCTTGACGAGATCCCCAGTTGGTCTACATACCTCAGTGTACCTCCTAACATCTGTCGTCTGCGCCGTTTCCTTCTCCGTAAGCTTGCGTCCACCTCCATGAAGCAGGAACCTGACCCCTTTGAACAATGGAAACGCTCACACCTCAGCCTCCCCTTTCCCCAGGTGATTCCTCCCCTTCAATACTCGACACGCCGCCTCCGCCGCCCTGGTCCTCGCCTCCTCCCTACTCAACCCGCCTTCCGCCGTCCCAACACACTTCCCACCCACCAACACCTTACACCCAAACACTCTCCCCTCCACCCCGTCCTCCCCAACACGAGCTTCAACAACATACTCCACCCGCTCCCTAACTGCCAACCTGCCCAACTCCTCCTTAGGATGCAGCAAATGCACCCCATCCCTCACCAACCGCCTCATAAGCGGCAGGATTCCCGCCCTCTCCACCACTGCCTCACAGTCTTCGATCGACCCAGAATCCACCCACACTGCCCCGAGCACACTCTCAAACACATCACTGTAAAATTTTTGCGCCTGCAGCCGACAGAGCAGCGACCACGGGTATTCCTCGCCACGCCACAGCGCCTGCAAAATCCGCTCCCGCATCGCCGCGTGACGGAGCGATGTCGCGCGCTGGATGGCGCCCATGTCCGGGGAGGCGTGGCGCATGAAGGACCAGAGCGGGAGCGGGGTTTGGGATTCGACGAGGTGGATTTCTGTTGCTCTATTGGAACCTGTTTTAAACCATTTGGAGTCATCGTCGACATTTACATCCACGCGCGCCTCAGTGACACACCACTCCATGGCCAGAAAGCCGAGGATGTCTGCGTTGACGAGGGCCGTGCGGAGGAGATGAAGGGTGGCGTTATCGAGCGGGCCCGCCGTGTCCTCGCCGGTGGTCAGGCGGAAGAGGTTGGTGACGACGATGTAGTCGAGGAGGGCGTCGCCGAGGAACTCGAGGCGGTCAAGTGAGGCGCGGATCCCAGGGCCGGTGCAGGACGGATGCGTCATTGCTTCAACGAGTAGGGATTTCTTGTTGAAGGTATATCCGATGAGAGACTCCAGGTTGCGCATGGTTAGGGGGAGGACTTCGTCGGCAGGCGCCTCGTTGTTCAGGATTTCTTGGCTCTGCTCGATGCTTTGCCACTCAAAGTCGGGGAGGAAAAGAGATATGCAGGCGAGGGCTTTCGGGATGCCTCCGCTTATGTAGGATGCGCCGATGAGGGCCTCGACTACATCGGCGAGGGTCTTAGTCGAGAGCCTTCTTGTTTCTGTGGCCGACGGCGGGTTCTTGAGAAGGTCCTCGACGTAGGGTGGCCGCCATTTCTGGAGCGTGAACGCCTTGTGGATGATGTACCGATCCAGGCCGAAGTCGACGGCAGCGCGGAAGAGCCTCGAGTTGGCGACAATCTTGTCTTTCAGGGGCGACAGACACCCTTCAGGGAATTTCAGATCTGCCAGCAGTCAGCGCCGGGGGAAACGTCGGGTTGTGAAAGAACCTTACACTTCGCAGAACAATTGATGGTCGTAGAAAACTTGAGGATTGAATCTCCGAGGAACTCGATCCGCTCGTAGTCAGTCGGGCCCCTAGCCGCGGTCGCACTGATGGCCATGACGACGAGAGACAGGTCACTGATGCCCGTCTGCTGGAGCCGGGAGTCCAGGAGGTCTTTGGCCACGAGATGAACCTCGAGTGCATGAGTGATGGCTGGAATCATCATGCCAACGTGCGCATAGACTGCCGGGATGTTGTCAACTCGGACCTGGTCAGCAGGAAGCACTCGTGGATATGGCTTGGTGCTGGGAACCGGTGCGGAATTCGGATCCAGTTGACGGAAGAGGCCAACCTTCTTCGGCCAATTTCTTACGACGACGTAAGGCACGTCTTCCGCTGCTTCGTCGAAGCCTCGATACGGCTTTTCCACCAGTTCGGCTGGAGGCTTTGCGGGAAGCCAATCCACATAGATATATGGTTGCTTCTTGTTGGCAATATCCCGGACGAGACACGTTGACCCGACGGTGGCTATCTTTTGGGGATCGACGTCGTGGGTAGCCATGTCGTCGAGGCCGATATTGTGACCGAGGCAGACAAAGCCAACGGGGTACTGCTTCTCCTGAATATGCCAACGGTGTCCGAAAGCCATCGCAAGCAGGACGGATGTGTGGTCTCGGCCTTCGACTGCGTCATCAACCTCTGCCATGTCAATGTCTCGGTCCATGATGACACGCCACAATGAGTCATGATCCCAATAAAGATCAAAGGGTTCCATGTGCGGAACCGGAACAGGGAGGACGAGTTCGAATTCCGCACTCCGCGACTTCTCGTGGCTCGAGACCGTCACCCTCCTTCTCGAAGTCGGGGCACCGTCTCGCCATGCCTGCGCAACCCGCGGCCACGGATTTAGTTGCTCCTTGACCGTGGACAGGCCGGGACGGGGCTCAACCTCCTTCAGCAAGTCGGTCTCCCTGATGGGAAGCAGATGGCGGTTTAGCAGCCCAACCTCGTAGAGCTTTGCGTAAGCCTGGAAAGCGGCATCTTTGCAAGCGTTGGCCTCCGAAGGCCAGGGCATAAGACTCTCAAAGCAGCGCAACTCCGGGGCCAGCGAAACCGGTAGGTGGACTGTGGCCTTCCGCAGGCACAGTTGGTGCGCGTCTACTGGATTCCCTTCCAGATCGTGGACGACGTAAAACGGGCTCCAGTCGACGAATTTTCGCGTCGATAACGTGGCGCAGAAGTGCTCCAGGTGTGCCTTCGCGTCGTGGATGGTGATTTGTGCGCCCGTCTCCTGGTCTCGAAGTATCGGGTAGTCCAGTGGTTCACACTTCTCCGCCTCTTCGAGCTGTTGCTTCTCCCGCAAGTCATCCTCATACTTGCGCTTCATCTCCCGCTCGAGGTCAAGCCAAGCGCGAGCCGCGTCACTCGAGTCATCCTCGACAAGGAGATACATCTGGGAGTCGGCCATTCGGGCTCGGCCCCGACGTTGGATGAAGGATTTCAGGTTTTTAGGCAGCTCAAAGCAGACGACGAGGTTGCACGCTGGCACATCGATGCCTTCCTCGAGAACGCTCGTTGCAACGAGGAGGTTGGTTGTGCCCTTGCGGAACGATTGGAGCGAGAGCAGATAGTCTTTTGAACTCAGGTCCAGAAAGTCCCGTCTTCTGCCCGGTACTTGGGAAGTGCCAACCATGGAACCCACTCGATAGCGACTCGCTGTCTTGGGATGAACGGTGAGTATGTGGGACAGCACGGCGACCGTAGTCCTCTCTCTGACAAAGACGATGCCCAGCGGGTTCCCTTGGTGAGACTCGAGAGCGTTGAGCAAGGCCTGTACCCTCGGTGAAAGGGCGGTTGGTGCACCAGCAGGCGCCTGTGCGTTCACTTTACGGAATGTCTCGGACAGATATTGCCGTTCACGGTCCGCCAGAGTATCGGTTGATGGATGAGAACAGTCCGGGTCTTGTTGGAAGGTAGAAATGGCCCTGTGAATATAGTAGTCGGCAGCCCAAGGCCCAAGACAATCGCACATATCCGAGGCCCTGTTATACAACGACTTCACCTGCCCTCTGCAGAATGTCTTCTTGTCCAGAATAACCTTGTTGAGCTTGTTCTGGTTTCGTGGCGTAGGGTTAGCCAGTAGATGTTGGAAGTATGGGTCGTCCTCAATGCGAAGACTATGGTAGACGTTCTTCAACCTCGTCATGGTGGGGGTGGCAGAAGAAGCTCCCTCGGGGCCTGGGATAGCTCCGTATGAAACAGTTTTCATCTCAGGAGGTTTGACCAGAGCCATCAACTCGTCCCTGTGTTTGCTTGGTGTCTTGCAGACGGCATCCAGTGTTTGTTCGAGCAACTCCAGGTCGTTAAGGTCGGATCTCATCAAAGGACTTGCTGTAAGTCCCAAAATATGGGGAACAGGGTGTCCTTTCGCCTTGCTGGGAGCATAGTGCTCAACCATGAGTCTCCTGACAGAATTCATCTTGACAGGGTTGTGCGCTATGAATGTCAGCCGCATTTCGAGGGGTCAACCGAGCGTACTCACCTTCGTCTATAACAACGAGACCGATGGAGGAAAGAGGTATAAAGGCATGGGCTACGGCGTCGAACAGAATCTGGTAGGTTGACACAATGATGCGGGTGTTGAGGAGAACGGCATCCCACACGCCGGGCTTGGTTGACCATGCGTCCACGTTGTTGGACCCGACAATCAACTTGGACTGGACCCCAGGGATCTGGGCTCTGATGGCTTCGAATTGCTGCTCGGCCAAAGCCACGGTTGGGGTCAAGAACCAAGCAATCTGATGCACCAGTCAGTGAATCAGGGTCCTGTTCGGCATACCGCCTTGGACCGACCTTGTCACTCCGTTCCAGTTCTGCTTGGATACGAAGTATGGCGCTGAACCTCCGATCAGCATGGGTCGTCTGCCGAAACGGCCGTCCAACTTACACCTGGGTTTTCCCACTCCCTGTGTCCATCTTAAGGAGATAGGTCAGCACATTAGTCTACTACTCCCATCTTTAGAGAGGTCAACTCGTACCGCAACGATGATGTTCTGCTTCAGGCTCTCCTCGAGCATCTCGAGCTGGTAGGCCCTCGCCGTCATGGTTACTGTCGGCGCGAGTTCTTGGTCGGGGGTGCTGCTGCGACGGCTGTCTCGGGTTTCGGTGTCCACATACTCGAAGGCCAGGTCGCTGTTGGATGTGGGGAGGGTGTTCGATTCATCAACAATCCCATATACGGCTTCGTCTTCCGTCCCCGAGGAGCTCGAGGTTCCGTGGTCGGAGGCCATTGTCGTCATCTCGCCGGCCGTGGCCAAAAGCAACTGTGTGAAGTACCAGTATGACCACGACGATAGTTGGCGTGGATGGATTTGTCAAGCAGGAGCCTAGTCCTGAAAGTAGCTGCCCGTAGGCCGCCGTATGACGCGGCACGGTCCAGATTCCGGAGAAGAGTTGGAAAAGTCAGGTTAGAGTTCGACTTGTGGGGTGAACAGGAAGTGAGCAACACGGGTTGTGGAGGATGCCGGAGTGGTTAGGGCATTCTATGTAGGACAGCTCCAATTTTACATTCGAGTGACTTTTAACAGCATTTGATGCTGGGTTGTATTTTCCCATCCATTGCCTAGAGGTTAGGCGTTAGTGGCCGATGAAGCTCAACCGGCGGCCGGCGGCCGTCCTGAGGTGAGGCCCACAAGGCCGAGGGCAGTGAGGCCCGAGGCCAGCAGGACAAGGCAGAATTGAGCCGCGTGAGCCAGGCAAACCATTTGTCCGATTGACAACTGCAGGATGGCCTCATCGGCCGGCAAATTCTTTGCAGGCTGTGTGTAGCCGTGAATGACGCTGCGCAGACCCTTGCTCGGATTCTCGGAATATTTGGTTTTTGTGACCCCCGGCCGGCAGTGATGACCGGCCGCGTTGCGGCACTCGGCGCGCACTTTTCAGGTCGAGAGGGCGTCACGGCACTTTGCTGCATGTTGCCAGGTCCGGACTCCGCATGGAGGTCACTTGCAGCAAGCCTTTCTGGCAGGGCCGATTTGGAACTCGTCATCCCAGGGATCCTACTGAGCAGCACCTTCCTCTTCAGGCTCACTCACGACGCAACAGACCGCTCGTTCAAGACACGATTACTCTTTGACATTGACGCATGTCCTGAAAAAGGGAGCACTTCGTCTGCAGTCATGGAGTTGTACGCAACCGGGTTCAATGCCTGGAACCAATTGCGATTTGACAATTCACATGATGCTGGTGATGAAGAGCCCGAGGACATCTCAAGCTTCACTTGCATATTGCGACATGAGGCCATCCATCAGATCCATGCTTTCCTCTCATACACGCGAGGTAAGTGACGACTCATAAGCCTGCTGCGTCATGCAACGTGTCGCTTCTCAATGATGCAATATGCTGGTTTGAGAGGACCAAGGTAGGTTGTCAAATTCAGTTCACTGACTTGCTCACTTGGTGCTTAGCGACTTTGAACGATGGTGCAACTCGGGTAGCCGGCATGGTTCCGAGAAGTCATGAAAGAAATCGCCTACTCAACAGCAAAGCCTACATACGTTTTCTTGAGGCAGCCAACGGTGTCGTAGTACGTAGGTAACTTGCTTGAATGCAACTTCATGGCTGTCCATGTCACTCACTTCCACCTCTCCAGTCCGCCACACGGAGGACGGGCAGACCCTCTTCCAGTACCCCTCCATGCGCAACCTCCAATCCAACGACAGACCATCGCACACATTCTCCATCAACCCAAGCATAGCCCAGCTGGTTGCTTATGAAACCGGTTTCGCAGCCCTCACATCAACAGGCCAGGTGTGGACATGGGGTGACGAGCGATACACCGGTTGCTTGGGCAGAGAGCCGACCAACGACAGGTAAAAGCATGCCACCGTCCCCAAGATCCCTCATCGCATACCTAGAACGGCAATCAAGATCAGGCCTAACTCCTCTACAAACAAAAACAGCCCTGCAGAAGGCCCAGGCCTGGTCACCGACCTAGAAGACCTTCCCACAGGGCCCGTCACCAAACTCGCAGCAGGCGGCTACATCCTAGCCGCGCTCACGGCAGGAAACGACCTCTACTGCTGGGGCCACGCAGGGCGCTCGCCCATCCTGGACGATATCTCCGACACGCCCAGTCCCGTGGTGATAGACGACAAGGACATCATGGACGTGGCGGTGGGGGAGTCACACATGCTCGTGCTGACTTCGGACAGCGAGGTATACGTAATCGGCGACAACAACAATGGCCAGCTCGGGCTGCCAGGCGTAGCCTCCACCAAAACTTGGACCGGCATTGACCTGGGCTCTGTGCTCAGTTCAGGACAAACCGTCAGGGGAGTAGCAGCCGGGCCGAGAAACTCGTTCTTGATCGTTGGGAAGCCGCCCGGAGCCCGGTAAAACGACCTAGCTCAGGTACTCTCTATCACCCCGTCATGTTCCTGTCGTCTAGTGTACAATGAAAGGTTGCCCGCAGAGAGGGGAACGCCTAAGAGTCGCTTTCCGTTCATCATTCCATCCGTGCTATCAGAACGTCATCGCAGTAATCATAGATTCGTGAGGTAATCCTCAATCTCCTGCGGCGAGAGCTTCCGGAAGCGGGGTCCTACCGCACCCTCGACGCCTTCAACGCCAAGGAGGTGGTGCGCGGGCGGGCCAACAATACCTAGTTCAGGTCAGAAAGAAAACTAAACTTGTTGATCACGCTGGGAAACGTAACTCACCAATCTCAATCGTCTCCCCGTTCATCTCCCCCTCAATCGTCTCCTTGAGCGTCAGCAGCGCGATGTGCACCGCATCCTCCAGCTCCAAGCCTTCCGTGTACCTCTTCTCCAAGAACGTCTTAGCCGTCGTCGCACTCTTGCCGATCGCCGTCGCCTTCCAGGGGAAATAACTCCCGCTCGGATCAACCTGGTACAGCATCGGCCCGCCCTTCAGAATCCCCCCGGTCTTGCCGCCCAACTTCTTCTGCTCCCCCTCCCCCGACTCCCCCCCCGCACCCTCCTGTGCCGCCTTCTCCTGCTTGAGCACCTCCTCCTCGGGCAGCACCCCCTCGTCCCACCCGGCTACCAGCAGACTGACACCGTAAGGACGCACGCCGCCCGACTGCGTGGCTTCTTGCATGACGCGCGCCACGTCCTGCACCAGGATGCGCGTGGGCGGGTACTCGTTGTAGATGCGCTTGTAGCCCGTGTGGGAGACCTTACGCGCGCGGTCGACCAGCACGCGGTAATCGGGCCCCATGCCCGAGTAGACCATGCCGATGTTGGGCGTGATGAGGCTGATCTTGGAGAGCGAGGAGGGGTCGGCGAGCGGGGAGGACGACTTCTTTTCTGTCGCGAGAACGATGCCGTTTGTTGCTGTTGGTAGAGGGCAGGAGTGGTTAGATGTGGACGGGTTGCTTTGGGGGTCGGGAGACAGCAGGGGAGAGCGGGAGCGGAATGGAGGGAAACATACCCTTGATGCCGAGGGCTGTTACGCCTTGGTTGACGGCGTTGAGGGCATATTCTGGCGGTTTGTCAGTAATGGAGTGCTCATTGCATTTGGGACAGAGCTATCGCGGGCTGTCGGAACTGACCGATCTGAACCAGCTTGCCGCTGTCGGGCTGTTAGCATCCTTCCGTTTACCCTGCAGCCTTGGGCGGTCGGCCTTACCTGGGCGAGAATGTTGTGAGAGAGAATGAGTATCTATCCGCCATGATTCCAGTCTGAAGGGTTCCAAATTTGCGTCGGCAGAGAGAGCGTCGTAGCTCGGTTTGGTCGAATTTCTGAAAGTCGGCGAGGAAGATCGAAGCTGGCTGTTGTCTGCAAGCTTGCTGCAGCTAGGCACAGCGAAGTTGCGTGTCGATGGCCTGGGGCCTCTTAGCCTGAGAGAGCTTGGGCCAACAAGGCGACGGACAGGGGCCAGGCTTAACTGTGGATCTAGCCGCTCCACTGCTGGGCTAACCGTAAAGGGAAAATGACTTGTGGTGATGAAAAACGTTGCCGCTCCGCCTGAATGAACCTTGAACTCTTTGTGCAGAATCCTCAGCTGCGTGTTTGGGCGTCTAAACCGTCACTGTGCAAAGAAAAGCGCGTTCCTGGCGCTTTTTGAAATAAGGACACGGTAAGAGATGTCCGTCGTCGGCCAACTGTATGAAATCTTGCGAAACACAGCTACTGAGCCACGGTAAATTGCCGGAACCAGTTGGCGTGGTTTGGCTGACACCTGTCACCTTCGGTGACGTTCGATTCCTCTACGCGGCGCGCATATACTCCGTACTGATGCACATGCAACGTCCGGAAGAGTTGGATCTGATGACAACCGGACGGTTTCTCTACCTATAAGCACGCTTGTCTTCTTCTCACTTCTCTCTTCCCTAGCTTTCCTCGACCTCCAGCTCGCGTACTCAGCCACACTCCATTTAACACGCAGCTCTTCGTCTTTCTATCGAAAGCTCAAAATCGAAGATGGCTTCCCAGTCCTCCCGGCCTCAATGGACTTGGCCCTCGGACGAGGACAATGACCCGGCAGCATCGGAGGAGCAGCCACCCGCCGCCGCTGCTTCCGCCCCCGCCACCGACAACACCGCGGAACCCCCCTCGGCGGGTCCCACCCCGCCGAGGCAGAACCAGCGGCGGTACAAGCCGAGAATGTGCCGCATCTGCCTCGAAGTCGTCCACCCCACCACCGACCTGGACGAGTCGCTGGCGGGCCGCGTCTTCTCGTCCGCGCCGCGCGTCCGGTACGTCTCGGAGGACCCGGAATCCGGCCGGCTGATGAGCCCCTGCCTCTGCAAGGGCTCGTCGAAGTACGTGCACGAAGGCTGCCTGCGGGCGTGGCGGAAGGCGTCGCCGCTGTCGGACCGCAACTACTGGCGGTGCCCAACCTGCCAGTTCGAGTACCGGCTCGAGAGGCTGCGCTGGGGCCGCTGGCTGTCCAGCGGGTTTCTGAGGGCGGCGCTGACTGTGATCATCATGGCGGTTTCGATCTTTTTCCTGGGGTTCGTCGCTGACCCGATCATTAATTTCTGGGTCGATCCGTTTGGCAGTCTTGCCGAGACGATGATGGACCTGGATTTGGACTATGACGGACCGGTTCTGGCGGACACTGAGCCCGGGTCCTGGTCTGCTCACTTTGTGAAGGGATTCCTTTCACTTGGGCTTCTCGGCTTCTTGAAGACCATGTTCGTTATGTCGCCGTGGAACTGGTTCAACGTCCGGTTTGGCACCGGAGGTCGTCGGAGGAGGAACAGAATGGAGCAGATCAACTGGGCACTGGTCGCCATTGGCGTCGTGACGTTTATGGGGGTAAGTAATGCCCCTTTTCCACATTGGCTAATGACGTGCTGACTGAGGTTTGCAGGCAACTTGGAAGTTTGTCAACCACCTCATGGCCAAAACTCTCGAGATGGCCCATGATCGGGTGGTCGATGTCCAGGAGGACGGTCCGGATGAAGACGAGGAAGACGGCGGTCCTGAACCTGACACCGCGGCCGAAGAGTCGAGAAAGGATCGGTAGCATCGGTGTTGCTGAAGTGGTCACACTAATACCAGTGGATTCTGGATATACGCAATACCATCTCCAATCCGTGATAAGTAACCCCCTTCCTATGCAACTGCACACTCTTAAGTTGCCGCGGCTTCGCCTCCGTGCTGTCGCAACTAGTCTGTGTGCAGAGATGAAGCTTCGCTACCGCCCTGAGGGCAGGACGTCTTGTCCTGTTCTCGCCGTGGTCTGGCGCGAATGCGTTAATCAATGCCTGCAATGGAAGAGCTCCTCGGAGCTTCTCGCCTCTATCTCTGCTGCCTAGGCGTTTCATGCCAGTTTTGTATGGGCTGTTTGAAGGCTGGGTTAATACACGTCTGCCGTAGTTGGAAATTGTTACTGCTCAGACCGTCGAGAAGCTGGCTGTCGCCAGTCATCGTGTTTTTGAGAAGAGTCGGTTCGCTTCGCCAGTTGCTGATGGGGTAGCTCTTTTGCTCGTTAATCTTCCAACTGCAAAGCGTTGGCAGACACCGTTCGTTACCAGGCATAATTTGTACAGTACAATACATACTAGAAAGGTCATAGGTGCAGGGCATGTACTGGTTAGAGATTGCCCATGTGTTGTCGCGAGACTGCTGGGCTCGGTTTCACGCCTATTGGGTTAGGGTTGACTCTTCAACTCGATAAGCTGGCCTTACCCACTGGTGTTACAGCCCACATGGTAAGATACTCCAGATCAGAAGTTCTGCCATCTCTTTCAGAGCGCCTTCGTGATGACTTTCCGCAGGCATCCAAAAGGTCACCCTCCGTCGTCTCCCTACGCAGAACTGGAGGTAGCTCCCTAATACCTCTGTCGTACGGACCACGCGATTGCGCCAATGCCTTGATGCCGACCTTGTGCGACCCTGCGAAATCTGCGAGGCATCTTTGACAACGGTGACATAGCCCGTAAGCCCGTTGTTACGCCAGTCACTTGTTGGGTGCATCTCCGATTCGTCGACATATCCGGCGACGCGTCCCATTTGTATCTTTGTACAAGCCCTCCTCTGTGTATCCGGCGCACTCCTCGGATCCCCTGCGACGCAATTCCATCGAACGCCACCAGACCCAGCACGTACGGAGCGACCTCCTAACGACGAGTTGGTCTCAATCCGGGCCTAGGGACTGCTTCCCGGGCTTTCTGTCGACGGCGATGCACTTCGCACTGCCTCCGCGAAAGACATCCCAGCCCCCACCCTACATCCCTCGAGCATCTCGACTGCCAGGGCTGCGACGAACCCGCTTCAAGCTGATCGCGCTCGTTGGGCTCGCTCTCCTCGCCCTCATATACGTCATCACGCGGTCTAACAATAGCCAACATGCTGCGCCAAACACTCACGCGCCGCGAGGCAACCCGCCGGTGGTTCTGGTGACGGTGCTGGACGCGGCCAAGTACAGCAAGGCGTACCTCGAAACGGTCAGGGAAAACAGGATAAATTATGCTGAGAAGCATGGTATGTTTGTCACAACCAACGTACATCAATCAGCCATAGCCTCTGACAAGACTGTCCAGGGTACCAAACCCTCTTCGCCAAAATAGGCGACTACAGCCTGAACGGCTCCCCCGGATCCTGGACGACGGTGGTCGCTGCCCGCGATGCGCTGACCAAGTACCCCGACTGCCGCTACGTCTGGTACCTCGACGCCAGCGGTTTTGTCATGAACCCGGCGCTCAAGGTCGAAGAGCACGTCATGCAGCCGGCCAGATTGGATGAGCTCATGAAGAAGGACATGCCCGTGGTGCCGCCGGACAGCATCATCAAGACTTTCAGCCATCTCAAGGGCCAGGACGTGGAACTTGTGCTTACGCAGGACAAGGAGGGCTTGTCAGCGGGGAGCTTTATTCTGCGCAACGGCGAGTGGGCGCGGTTCTTCCTCGAGACGTGGTTTGCGCCTATTTATCGGAGCTATAATTTCCAGAAGGCCGAGGTGCACGCTTTGGTGCGTTTGTTCTCCTTCAACAAGTCCCTCCTCCTCCAGCTGGCTCACAATTCGTGTGCTAACTAACTTGTGTACAGGAACATATCGTGCAGTGGCACCCGACTATTCTCTCCCGCATGGCCATTGTCGATCAGCGCCTCATCAACGCGTACAACAAGGGTGTCCGAGGAGAAGAGTACAAGGACGGGGATCTGATCGTCCGGTTCCCCGACTGTGCGGCGGCCGATGCGCAGGCATGCGAGACCGAGTCCCAGTCGTTTGTGCAGGCCTCGCGGCGGGCATTTGCAAGCTCATGAGAGGCATGGAACAGGTAGCCGAGGACGGTTCGCACACAGACCAATGCTATTTGGATTAATGAGATATCCACAGCTTTGCTCATGATGGATTTGCCAATCACCAAGCCGCGGATTCCTCAGGTCTTTCTTTGGACATTACTTCAATCTTCAGCGTTAGAGCTGTGGGCGCACTTAATTGGGGTTGGAAGATGCCGTTTAAAGGGCCTGCCAGCACTCCGTTATTCACCATCGTGTATTTTAGTACTTCAGGCTGGCCGCTAATCGCGCTTATTAGCCAGCCGCTGACCCCATGCCTATCATGATCACGCCTCTCTCCCGTTCGCCCAACAACTCAACAGCCGCGAGGCTTTGTCATTATTGAAGAATAAAGGCAATGGCATTGCTGTTTAAACGGATATGGACCCGACGATCAGCATGGCCTCCAAGTGTGTGCTCAAACATCAATTCCGAAAAGATTGAAGAGGATACGTTTCCGGACTATCTCGCTGGACGGTATTATCCCGTCAATATTGGCAAGGTCTTCGTCTCGCGATACCAAGTGGTTGGGAAATTTGGTTGCGGAGCTTACTCAACAGTATGGCTGGCAAAGGACCTAATGTAAGTAATGTTCCCTAGCTCAAGTCATGACCGTTGACCAACGGGGCAAGCACAGGCAATACCGCCATGTTGCCTTGAAGGTTTTCATCCGCTCACAGGCGGTGGGGCGTGCCACAGACCATGAGCTCAACACGTATCAACATATAACTCGCGTGTCATCATCATCTAGCCATCCAGGTCGCGAAGCAGTACGCTCACTCCTCGTCTCGTTCAACGTATCCGGGCTGGATGGCGAGCACCACTGCCTTGTGCACCCACCACTGTGGGACAGCGTGGAAGGGATTCTCAGACGCAACCCTATCGGACGCCTCCCGCTCCCGGTCCTGAGAATCGTGCTCCAGCAACTCTTGACGGCGCTAGATTCTTTTTCACTCAGAACGCCATTTGGTCCATACCGGTGAGAGCACGCCACCCGAATCCAGCTTTCCCCCTAGGCTCTCTCGCTAAACGGGCGGTGTGCGGATCTCAGAATGGACAATATCATGTTTGATGTTTGGGACGACTTGATATTCGATCAGTTTGAGCAACAAGAGCTGGAAAGCCCTTCACCGAGAGAAGAAGTAGACGGCCACTTCATCTATCTTTTTCGTGAGCTAAGTATCCCGGACAGCTTGGGGCCGCCTGCGCTCTGCGACTTTGGCTTTGTGGCGCCAGGCGACCAAGAAACACCAAAGACGTCCAGCCCAATCTGTACCGATCAGCCGAGCTTATTCTTCAGGTGCCATGGAGTTCCGAAATCGACATCTGGAATGTCGGCTGCATGGTAGGAATGCCGTTGCCCACTTCTCCAGAAGAGTTTTGCTGATTATCCACAACGTCTTAGATCTGGGACATGTTTGAAGGTGGCCACCCCTTTTCTGGCGAAGACCCTGAACACCAAATTTACCGCACCCGGGCCCACCTTGCCAGTATCATCAGCCTCCTCGGCCATCCGCCGCAGGACTTCATCACCCGGGGCGCCCTCAGATCGAAGTTCTTCTCCGAAAAAGGTCCTTTCAGGAGAAAGATATGGTCGACTCTGATCGAGCTCCAGCTTACGCATATTGTAGGAGAGTTCATTGCTGGCATCCCTAATACCGCCGGCTCGTTCCCTGGATGAGATGGAAACGAACCTCCTAGGCAAGGACAAGGAGCGCTTCCTGCAGTTCATGGGGAAAATGCTACAATGGGTACCGAAGCAGCGAAGTACCGCCAAAGAGCTGCTTCAGGATTCCTGGCTTACCGCTACCACCTGAGGAGGAATGTATCCCATCGTCGACAATGATCGCATGTACCAATAGAGGTAACGACCTGGAGCGCGTGCCAGTCCTGAGAAGTGCTGGCGCACGAACGGCTGGCTATGGCATCCTTGAGACTTTGCAGCAGCAATATTCAAGCCTTAGGCGCTGGGTTTGACTTTGACATGATAATCCTGCTGGTTGCGATCGCAGGCCCAATGACAACAGCCCAGGTTGCCTGCGCTTCTGGATGGATAGACACAGAACAAGAGTTGTTTCGTTCTTTGTCCCCAGCGGGTCACACCGTTTCGTTCTCCGTGCTGCTGGTGTCGGGGGTACCCTGAGGCTTCTGGTATCTGAGCTCACAAACGGATTCCATTCTGTATACCGGTGTAGGACGTGTTCAGATTCAACATGGTTTTCCAAGCCAGCTCAAGCGATTTTTGTCCGTTGGAAATCGTAATTTTATCTTTCCGAGTCCAAACCTGCGTTTCCGAGCTGCCAAATCCCATCCCGCGCCTGGCCGAGTCCCTCTGCTACGACGAGTCCGATGAGGTCACCCCGAGAGGGCCCAATGCCAGATCTGCACCCACTTCCGAATCATCGTATTGCAGAATGAAGGCCTTCTCAAAGTCCGAGCCGCCCTAGTCGCTTTGACCGTGACACACAAAGATGTCTTGGCGTGAAAGAAGTACAGTCAAGTAGCGTGGGATCAAAGCATGTGATAGCTGGGATAGATGCATAAATATGAGCAGTGGACGCAAGTAATTCACTTACCAGCATGCCGGATCGCTCAATCGATGTCAACGGCCCCGTGCCCCGGGCGCCGCGGGCTGCTTGGGCAGCATCCAAAAAGGCCGGGGTGCCGCTGCAGTTTCCGAGACACCCCTGCCATTTCGGTCATTGAATTCCGGAACTTGAAGCTCGCTTTCCCTCTAGCGACCCCAACCTCGGTTTCCCAATCCTTTGTGACAGCAAGCAGTTTCCGCAACTGCAAAAATGCCGGGAACGTCGCGCATGCCCATCAGCTTGCGAGGGACCCTCAACAATGTTCGCAGGAGGTCGCGAGCTATCAATAACCCTTTGGGGTTGCTCGACTTAGACTTGTCAGTGGCTGCTTATACACCCCCCTTCGTCGCGTTCCTCCAACTTGCCAAGCAGCTACCATCTCAGCCGCCGCTGCAGATCACCTCCCCGTCAGCATCCTAAAGTAAGCACACTAATACGACTCAAATAACGCAGAATCCGCAACATCATCTTCTTCCTTTTCCTCCTGCGATGGACTCGTCGCGCCATCTGGAAGCTCAAGGGCCGCGGCCTGCTCGGCACTCTGGCCGAGGTGTACGCTGATGTGCGCCGCGTGCTCTATGGGTGGTTCCTGAGGATGCCGGGCGTCCGCGCAAAAGTGCGCAGGCAGATCGACGAGGCGCTCTCCAAAGTGCAGGCAAAGATGGTCCCTTCAAATGCGACGCGCTACTTGACGCTGCCCAAGGAGGGTTGGACCGAGGAGGCCGTGCGCAAGGAGCTCAAAGACCTGGCTGATATGGACCACACGCGCTGGGAGGACGGCTATGTCTCGGGCGCCGTGTACCACGGCGAGGATGACCTGCTGAAATTGCAGACTGAGGCGTACGGGAAGTTCACCGTGGCGAATCCGATCCATCCGGATGTATTCCCCGGCGTGAGGAAGATGGAGGCTGAGGTGGTGGCGATGGTGCTGAACCTGTTTAACGCGCCGCCCGGTGCCGCGGGTGTGAGCACCAGTGGAGGGACAGAGAGTATCCTTATGGCTTGCCTGAGTGCGAGGCAGAAGGCATATGTTGAGAGGGGTGTTACCGAGCCGGAGATGTAAACAACCACCCTTGCCCCTGAAGCCCATAACGCCCACTGACAAATCCCAGGATCCTCCCCGATACGGCACACACGGCTTTCCGCAAGGCAGGCGAGTACTTCAAAATCAAGGTTCACCTCGTCGCGTGTCCTGCGCCTGACTACCAAGTCGACATCCGGCGCGTGGCCCGCCTCATCAACAGCAACACCATCCTCCTGGTTGGCTCCGCGCCTAACTTCCCGCATGGCATCATGGACGACATCTCGGCCCTCTCCAAGCTCGCCCTGAAGAAGCGCCTGCCGCTGCACGTCGACTGTTGCCTCGGCTCCTTCCTGGTGCCCTTCCTCGAAAAAGCCGGCTTCGAGACGGCCCCCTTCGACTTCCGCCTCAAGGGCGTCACCTCCATATCCTGCGACACGCACAAGTACGGCTTTGCGCCCAAGGGCAACAGCACCGTGCTCTACCGCACCCAAGCCCTGCGCTCCTACCAATATTTCATCGACCCATCCTGGTCAGGCGGCGTGTACGCGTCCCCGGGGCTCGCCGGTTCCCGCCCGGGCGCCCTGATCGCGGCCTGCTGGGCAAGCCTGATGTCGGTAGGCGAAGTCGGCTACCTATCCTCGTGCACGCAAATCGTGGGCACGACCAAGAAACTCCTCGCCCATATCCGCACCTCCCCTGCGCTATCCCCCGAACTCGAGATCCTCGGCAACCCGCTCGTGAGCGTCCTCGCCTTCCGCGCCAAGACGCTCAACATCTACGACATCGCCGACGGCATGTCCGCCAAGGGGTGGCACCTCAATGCGCTGCAGTATCCGCCGGCGATTCACGTCGCCGTGACGCTACCCATCGCCAAGGTGTGGGAGCGGCTGGCGGCCGATTTGGAGGCTGTCGTGGAGGAGGAGAAGGAGAAGGAACGAGTGAGACTCGTCGAAGGGAAGGGGGCGGCGAAAGGCGGCGCCGAGGCCGCCGGGGACACGGCGGCTTTGTATGGCGTTGCGGGCAGCCTGCCGAACAAGAGCGTTGTTGTGGATTTGGCCATGGGGTTTCTGGATTTGATGTATAAGGCTTGATATTGTATTGACACCTTGTACTTGTTTTGATTGGTGCGTGATCGCGCTGCTTTCACAGCATAACTGACATCAACACAAGGGGGGCAACTATGTCAGATACCGCACTTCTGGGTGATGGCCGGCGTACATCAATGGACAATGAAGGTACATATGCGGGTCTATCAAATCTTTTCCAAGCAAAGTAGGGGACACAGGAGATTCCTGAGGGCCGCGACTCAGGGATTGTGTGATGTACGTAGGTATCTGTGCCTCACGTTGTGGTCTCTTCTAGACTCACGAATCAAGAAGCTTGCCATAACCACATCCTTCCATTTGTACAGTCTACTCACGACAGAGTGAGCAATGATTTGTTTTTACAATTGCAGTAGCAGTGTCAAAGTGACAACAGCGTAGGTCCCCGTCCCGTATTGTTTAACCGATCAAATTCGAAGCTTTCCAGCCTCCACACCATCGTATGGAGAGCACCGCGCCTATCTTTCCCATGCAGATGACAGTGAGTTTACTTGAGCCGAGTTCAAATGCGTGTGGGTATAACTATCGTCCCAGAAACCATTGGATCACCCCCTCAAGGCATATACAGTATGTTTGGATGGCGACGAGATGCGGAGGAGATAAGTAATCAAAATCTCCACCCCTGCCCAGATAGTCGTCGGCGCGGCGTGTGGTTTCTATAGCTCACTCTCACTCCCCCTGGGAGGGTAGTGCGGCCCGGTGCCTTGGTCGGCAGCGGCCGCGAACGGTGGCGGGTTCAAAACGGCCTCGGCGTCGCCGACTTGCTTACGCTCGGTGATTTCGAGCGGAGCTGGACTCTTCAGGCGCTTGCGCATAATGTATCGCATGGGCAGCGTCAATCCTCGGGGTGACGTACCAGTACCCCTCATGACTGCTGATTGCTATTGAAGAGGCTCTGCCGAGCTCGACAGGCGGTTCAGGTGCAGGTATACGTCTGTCCCGTAGCTGTGGTGAAAAGAACAGTCAGGGTCGGCTGCGGAGATGAAAGAGATAAGGGAGACATACCCTTCCATACTGATCAGCTTGAGGTCGCCGCCAAAATACCTCGCATATAGCCGTGATAGTGGCAAGCCGTAGCCGAACCCGGCCATGGGAGCTTTGAAGTCGCTCTTGTCAAAGTCTGGGTCAAGGTTGGGCGTCCTTTCCACTGTGGTGTACATGTACGTCCAAACGAGCGGAATGGCACTGCGCGGAATGCCGCCGCCCTCGTCAGAGATTTTGATGGTAATGTCCTCCTTCCCTTCGGCCACGATAACTTTGGTGACAGGAAACTCCTGCTTGTCCTGGCCGTGTGTCTCGACGACGGCACGCAGCGAGTTCTTGAGCGTCTCAAAGAGCATGTGCGACAAGTGTCCCGGCACGTACATGAAGTTGATATTCGGGTCGCATACGAGCTGGATCTTGGGCGCTTCGAACAGCCCGTAGTGGTCCTCGCATACAAATCGCGCGTTCTCGATGGCTTCTTGTGCTAGATCTTTAACGTATGTCTTGGTACAGATGATGCCGACGTACGACGGGTCTCGATAATGGCTTTGATCGGTCAGGGCAATGTGCTGGCCTATAAGCATGCGTATGCCGATTCGTGACATATAGAAGCGGTCCAGGAAGGACTGGATGTTGTTATCAATCTGCATCCGTTGTCGTCTGCGTTTGTACTCGAGTATGCCCTGCGCCATCGTTGTGACGACGCCGTCGTGCCTCCTCTTGATCCGATGCAGCGTCTTGGCGAACTTTTGATTGTACAGTTGTAGCTCGGGTGGCCAGTCGCCAGTGTCGTCCACCATTGCGAAGTACCTTCTCGCTGCTGGAAGCCTGCCCTTGGTCCAGCCATTGTTCGTGCCGTTCCAGGAATTGTACTGGCCCTCCTCGATGCTTGGGTTCGGCGTCGCCTCGCTCAGCCACGAGGTGCCTTTACCGGGTATCTTTGCAGGCCGCATCAATCTCTCTCGTACGTCCTTGTCGAGAACTGGCCTCGGTAAAGTGGTGATCTCCTGGACAGAGGTCTTTGTGAGTCACGCAACCCTGTCACCGGGGAGACTGTGTGCTTACCTCAAACGACTGCGCGTACCAATCTGCCACCTTCTTCACTGAGGGCATCTCGTTGAGCCCATCCGGTAGGGTTTCGAGTTCTTGGACGCGGTGGGCGAGTCGTATGGGAAGCTCCTCGGCTAGGAACTGTGAGGCGCGGAACAGTGTGCCTTGAAGATCAATGTGAGAATCAGAGCCTGGCGTATAGGTTGCAGGAGAGCAATTGGTGTCTACTCACCAGTAGATGGCCTTTCGCCGAACTGCACCATCTGGCGCAAGCTCACACCCGTTGCCGGGAAGCTTGCGTAGTGCCGGATGGTGTCCATCAGCTTCTCGCTCTTCTTCCACGACATGTTGGCGGCTCAGGATTCGCCAATTGGACTCGGTGGATAATGCTCAGGTCGGGTGGCGTGCAGCATGGGGACAAGAAGCGTGGTTGGGGCGTCCGACGTGTTGACTCAACTCAGCGTGGTGTTCGTCGTCGGGCGAGTCTGGCGTGGAGTAGACGCCCGGTCCGGGGGCTGCAGCTTGGGCCGAGGCAAGCAGAACTGCGCGCTCCAATGACGCAGCGGGGATACCGAAGCCGGCAAGATTGCAGCGAGGGTGATTGGGTCAATTGCGTGCGCTGCCCTGCGTCGTCTTGGAGTCGATACTGGTGGTCTTGAAGGTAAGTGAAGAGGAGAGCGGCAGGGCGGGGCATGGAATGGATGGTCAGGTACTTGAGGTATTGCGGTTGAGATGCGTCAGATGCTCGTGTGCGTTTTCCGGGGCTTGCCGCTTTGAATTCGGAGTCCAGGATGCCTGCTGTGACTCGACACCCCACTATGACCCTCGATAGCTGCAAACCAACGGATGCAGCGGAAAGAAGGATATATGGTGAAGACTGAGGCGGCCTGTAACTCAGAGATTGATCAAGAACGTAGACGTCTGGTTAAGCCCGAATAGCGGCTGCAAAGTTGTATTTTAGCATAACCTAAGTGTAGTATACGCCGGACTCCAAGTCTCGACAGGTGTCCTATGAGTTACTTATGGAGTACAAAGAACAATTTGGTTCGGCTAAGTGAATGGGTCAGTACAGAATTGTCGAGCTTCACGTGGCATTGTTTCGCAAGAGGGCTATACCACAGTTTTGGTATATAACGGTGTGTCATTGATGAATACCAGGGTCCTTAGTTCCCTGGAAAGTGGTAAGATGCTCGTGAGGACTTCACTAACACAACGGAGGCTGACGATGGTAAAGCCTTTCGCCAGCTTTCTTCTCGAGGGCATATCTCCCCACCGGTCAACTCAGCTGAATCGATCAAGCTCCAGGTACTCTATAGGTTGCGTCTACTGAGTATGAATAAGGAGCTCGACTCGCAAACAAAGCGGGTCTTACCCCGGGTCTTGAGCTGTGCCAGTCCAGACCGTTGCTCGGTCCAGGTCCCGGCTGTGCGTCGGATGGGCGGAAAACTTCGGGCACCGCCAGGGCAGACATATTACTGGCTGCACACCGAGCCAGACCGAGCTCACTGTCCGCGTCTTAACTGAGTTGGTCGTTCGGTGAGTGAAGTTGGGTGAAGAACTGAAGATAACGTTTTTATCAACGACGACTGCGGGAGCAAAATCCCCATACCGTACAATTTATTGAACAACCTGGATATGCACCAATTCCATCATGCAAAAGAGGATTAAGACACTACGGAGTGCCGGCAGGTAAACATGAAATCGAACCAGAGTTGAAAGCAGCAGCAACAGAAAAGAAGAAGGCTGGGGAAAAGCTCGAAGGTCAATTGAACCGGGTCAGGCAGGAGAGTGGAAGTCTACCAAACAGCTGATTGGTTGTGCTGTAACAATCGCTCACCTGGACAACACAGCAAGTGGGGCAGATTGAAACGACCGAAGAATCATCCTCTTCACTTCACCTTCCACATGGACAATGTACATAATTCAATCCGACGATACTGTGAGGGTTTGAGTATGTAAAAAAGAGAAAATCATTCTTGATCAAAGGGGCCAAACTTGGCGTAGGATGGCCTGAGTACTGTCAGTGACAAGTCACATCGGCACATCTCATCTCACCGCATCTCGGCACATCAGCTCAAAATGAACGATCCTGATGAAGGCGCGACCGGCTCAGGCGATGACTGGGAACTCAACTTTTCGCCGTCAATATCCCCTCTCTCCTCGTTCGCCCCAGAAGATTTCTCACTTCCACTACAACAGCACCTTTCAGACCCAAAACCAGAGCCCAACGAAAACCAAACAACATCACCACCACCGACATCGCCTCGACGAAGACATGAACAACCACCACAACCCCAAACCCGCGAGCATGATTCCTTAGTCCGACATCGACAAGGCCAAAACCCTCAAGATGAAACCCGCCAAAAGCAACGCACCCCACCGCTCAAAAACCCAGCCCCATCCCACATCCCAATATCAACCATGGCAAGGAACCACCCAGTCTCAATCCCCATCCCAAACCTTCACACCCCACCACCGACATCTCCCCGCCGAAGACCGGGTATTCTACTCAACCGCTCCAACTCCTCACCATCATCGTCAACAGCAGCTAGCATCGCGCGAGCCGGACAGGGGCAGAGCAAAATGGACGGGCCAGCTGGTGCTGCCGCTCCAGGGAACACTGCAGCTGTCGCTACTACTACCAGCAGCGGTGGCGTAACCTCCTTCTCATCCTCCTCATCGTCGTCCTCGTCGTCACCCTCTCCAACAAACATGGGCCGTGCCAACAGCACCCGCGCGAGCAGCAGGCTCGGCGGGCTGGGCCTGCACATGGGCGTCGGCACGGGGGTTGGGGTGGGGTTGGGCGCGGGGCTGCCTGTTTCTGGTTCCGGGGGGTTGTCTCGCTCGCTGCATTCGGGTGGTGGTTCTCTGCAGAGTAGGGGCTTTATGGGGCGGGGGGTTGGTGCTGGGTACCGCGGTCGGGAGGGGCTGTTGGGAGGAAGCGAGGCGGAAGCTGGGAGGGAGGGAGGGGACGGGGAGGGTGAGGAGCCCGGTCAAGGAGATGAGGGGGTGGAAGAGGAGGCGGAGAGGAGGGAGGTGCTTGGTGGTGATGAGAGGATGTCGAGTGATCCAGGCCGGGGTGGCGCGGTTGCCGCTGAAGAGTTGGTTGTCGGTCAGTACTCTGAGCATGATGACGCGGACGATGAAGGCGATGGCTCCCATACCCATGTGGAAGAGGGGTCAAGCGGGTATAAAGAGTATGAGATTTCTCAGGAAGATGGTGCTGCCCATGGGACTTGGGAGCCTCGGTGGGATGATGATCCCCGCGTGATTGCGGTCGACCACAATGTGCTCCACGAGGAGGAATATGTCCGCGACCATGAGATCTCCCGGGGACATGACGGCGATAGGCAAGCTGGTGAAGATGTTGTGAGCACAAAGCGAAGCGAGGAAGAGGAGGGAAGTGGAATATGTAAGGAGGAACGGAAAGGGAGCGGAGAATGGCGTGTAACCTGGGGCTCATTGGTGCAGGAAATAGAGGAGGATGAAGGAGACACCCTCCCGCCGGGCAGAGTCATGCTTATGGAGCGGCTGTGCGATCTGGTGCAGAGGTTATCTTCGGTGAGGGTGGGCGGCGGAATGGAGGCGGACGTCATTGAGGTCCTGAATGCCAAGGTTGACGAAATGGAGGACCTCCTGGTGCTGGCTGAAGAATCAGCCGAGGCTGAAGCCACGGCAGACGTTGAGGAACATGCGGAGACTGAAGAAGAAGCGGCGGAAACCGAGGCGGAAGCGGAAGCCGAGGCGGAAGCGGAACGAGCATCAGAAACCGGTGCTCAACCGGCCGGGGCACGTCATGAAGGGGACGAAGCAGGGACGGAGGTGGAAGCAGAGTTGCAAGAGGTTCAGGTCGGGCCTGGGGATAAAGAAGGCAGCAAATGGGACAGCGGTCGATCATCCGCCATCCTCTCGGTCCCATTGTCACAGGTGGACTACCAAGACGTTCGCGACCTTGCCAGCCCCCGCCCATGGTTCGCCGCCGCCTTCCAATTCTCGGACTTGGAGATCTCGCCGACTCAGTCGCAACCGGAGCTCGCAGCGGCCACCAACGAGGCCCTTGAGGCAGCCAAGCGGGCGGCCCAAGCCCAAGCTGAGATGGCAGAGCGGGTGGCGACCGAAGCAGAGAAGCTAAACCTCGAGTTGGCCCAGGTGGTCGCGAAGCTGCAAGCTCGAAAGGAGGAATCCGACGTAAGTCTGAACGCTACCCCTTACACTTCCAGAACCAAGTCCTTACGAAACCAGCACCTCCACTCCCTCCTGATCGACCGCGCCGAGGCGGCAGCCACCCGCATTCTCGACCTGGAGAAGGAGGTTTGCGACCTCGAGGACGACATCCTCGCCAACGAGTCAGAGCTGCGGCACCTGCGGCTCAAGATTCGGGCGGTCGAGACGCTGTGCTGTGAGTTTGTGCATCCGGACGCTGACCCGGAGCTGTTCCGGAGCATCGAGAATTGGAAGGCCGACTGGATGCTGGTGCGGGACCGGATGCTGGAGCGGAAGAAGGACCGCAAGGAGCGGCGGCTGAGACTGCACCGGGCCGGGTGCGTCATCAGTTTGCTGGAGGAGCGCGAGGAGGAGTCGACCCTGGGATCGATGTCGGTGTCGCTGCTGGGCCTGGGGAGGAGCCCCAAGAAGGCTTACTGATTGATCACGATGCATGTCTGTCCGGAGTTGGGCCCTGGAATTTGGTTTTTAATGTTGTTGGGCGTTTGCATTTCCGTCTTGGTGCCGGTTGCATTGTCTCTCGCTTCGTTGATACCCAGTGAGACTGGCATGGCTGCATGGCTGCATGGCAAGCAATGGCGTTGCGAACGGCGGTTCGTTGGACGAGGTGGGATTGTACAGAGTTGGCAGAACGTCGTTAGTCTTATAGATTTAGGTGGACCTCGTCAAAGCACATCAGCTTGGCACCAGTGTCTGGGTATCCCGGCGGTAACTTGCACACACCAAAGCAGGAGTTGGTGGTGCTTCCGAAGGGGTCGTGATGTGGGCATCACCTCCAGCGTTCAGTCCGAGGCATCCACAACAAACATTAACATGTACGGATTCGTAGACCCTTAAGATACGCCATCCACAGCAGAGCTAAGGGCTGAAGGCGGAGATTACCCCTACCGCCATGGCTCATTGGGTGCTTACCTAGTCACTTGCAGTCTTCCGGTGCATATCCTGGCGCTCAGCTCTTCGAGAGCATCCAACATTCAGCATCACACGTTCGAGTTCGAGTTGGTTCAACTGACTCGTCAACAGAGCCGTGTTGCAAGGCGCATTACGTCTCAGTCCCGCGCTCCCGATCGCCAAGATGAAGAAACTCATTCGATCCGACCGCCTTTTAGAGGTTAACAGACGGTATAAACGTTTCAACCTCCTCACCTCCCAGCAAGGAACTCGCCCCAAGTCTGACTCCGCTCGTCCCTCGCATCTCTCACCACCACCAGCGTCCTCCGCATACTACCGCCGCGGCTCTTCCTATCTGAGTAGTGATCAGCAACCGACGCCAACTTTCTCCCTCTAGGCCTCTCCCTCCTACTGTTGTCCGTTTCCCTCTCCCTTTCTCTTTCCCTCTCCCTGTCCCGCTCTTTTTCCCGCTCCCTACTATCCCGCCTCCTCTCCCTCCCTCTATCCCTCTCCTTCTCTCTAGCCCGGTCCCGATCCCGATCCCGATTTCGCGATGACACAGCCGAATCTGACGTCGACCGCGGCAGATACCCCGGCCATGTACACCCTCTCTCCCTATCAAGCCCACCACTCCCCACAGTAGTACTGCCATTTCTACCGTTACTACCTATCACACCCGCGACAGAGTGTCTGTGGTTTATGGTGGCAGAAGAAGAAGAGGAAAACGGTTGCGGCGGGGGGTGCGTTGTTGATGGGAAGGGACTTGTTCGTCTTCTGGAGCTTGAAGTAAAGCTTGAGCTGGAGGGTGGCGGCGGTGATGGTGGTGGCGGCGGGCGGGTGGAAGAAGAGTTAGGAGAACGTGGAGAAGGAGGAGGGTCGCGGCGTGCTGTTGGTTGGATGCTCTCGCCGTATGTGCGCACGTGGCCTGCGCTGCCGCGGTAACTCCGCTCTCTGTCGCGCTCCCGGTCTAGGTCTCGGTCGGTACGGCGGCGGGAGTGGTGGTCGATGTCGTCGCTTGCTTGGGACGGGGATGGGAAAGGGAGGTTGGCGGGCCGGTAGCGGGATCGGGGGCTGGCTGGGCGGGAGCAGGCGGATGCTCGTCTTTCGGCGTCCTCCAGAGGTGGCTTGTTGCTTGGAAGGGCGGTTGCTTCGAGATGGGGCTTTAGAGCTCGGTTGAAGAGCATGCGGGCTTGTCGGTCGGCCTTTTCTGGGAGCAGGCGGCGGGAGATTTGTTTAGGGAGGCGCTCGGGCTTGCCGTCGAGGAGACTGTCTGCGTTGATGGGCAGGGCCGCGACGACATTGGCCAGTCGCTGGGCTTCCTCGTTGGGATACGCCCGCATGGCGAGCGTCATCCAGCGTGTCCAGCCCGAGAGAGTCAGTCCTGGCACCGTGGGTCGCGCCTTGGGCTCCGCTGGGACCAGGTAGTATTCGCATGCCAGCTGCTCGTAGACCTCGGCCAGCCTGGTGTGCGATGGCCCCTGGCTGGTGCGGAAGATGTCTTCTCAACGGTCAGCGCGGCCTCGTCTGGTGTTGCTGATGAGAGGAACCTCACCTGTGTATTGAAAAGGTTCCAGCTCAAGTGGATGTTGGGAGTAGAATGCCGCCATCTTCCCTGGTGTAATCACCAGCGTCTTTTGCGGCATTAACTCATTCATATGTAACAGTGAGCACAAGACTCTTCTGGCTGGTTAACATAGGCTTACCAGATAGTTGCCGATTCCTCTGAGTACTTGATCCCACCGCCTCGTTGGAAGGCCGTTCTGGTCAAAGAGGACGCCCCATTTCACATCCAAAGGACTCACTTCTTCCGGCAAACACTTGCCAGCACCAGGAGAAGGTGGTTGTGGCCTAGGCCGCATTTCCGGTGCGTTTGAGGCTCTCTGTGATGGGAAGGAGTGATGAGGGGGAACGAAGGGCGGCGGCCTTGGTCGGGGTGCTGACATGTTTGGCATTGCCAGTTCAGAAACCTGCTGGGACATACCGCTGGCATCGCTTGTCCCAGGGCTTGTGGGACTCTGAATCTGTTCTACTGCGAGGACGTCAGTCCAGCGTGGATCATGAAGACGGAGATAGTGGCTTCATACGCTCCTCCTTGATCATCTTCCTGATCTCAATAAGTACGTCAAGCGGCCCAGCTTGCCCTGGAAATTTGGGAGATTCAACCATCGCAGAATTGGCCTGAACCTGGGTAATCGTGGGTAAAGCTTCGAATTCTTTCGGTCTGCCGACATTGGGCGTGGTCTCCTCCGGCTGATCCTCTCCCTGTCCGCCACATTCATCATACGACTCGTCCTCGGAGCAACTCGCATTCGTCATGTCGTCTTCGTTTGCATCCTGAAGTATCGATTGGGTGGGTGACGGAAAGGGGAAGGATCCCCCATCCACAGAGAAGGCTGCGGGCGGCAGCGGCGGAGGGGCATGCCAACCGGCCCAGTTCTGCGTCTGTGAGGCCATTTTTGAGGTTCAAGGAAGAAGATTCCAACAGCAGTCATCTAAAGTCGGCTGCACAAGCGAGATATTTGCATTAACACAGGATGTTTCCCTACATGGCCGGCTTGCTTGTCGAGGAAAAGAAGGGAGCGGGCGGGAAGGTATGCACGTTGCCGGGCCGTACCAAGATATAGTGCCCATTGCTCATCACTTTTGAGCCTCAATTCGCCCAACAAGGCCGATTCTGTCCCGGGCAACATCAGAATCCGGGCGAGCCATCCCAGGGGGATGAGGGCGATCTTGCCTCGTCCAAGTCCATGACCTGCTCCCACCTAAACCCGACGGTTAGCGAGTCAAGACAACCAAAGAAAAAGAGCAAGTAGTCCAGCTACACGTCAAAATTCGCACCATCAACTCAACCCGGAAGCCTCCCTCATGTCTCCGAGGTCACAGGCCAGTGGCCAAACCAATCGAGAGGGAACCCACAACCGACATCCCAAGGCAACAAAGATTCCCGACGCACGACACGATGCGGTGCGCAGCAAACTATCCATATTTTGGTGCTGTTCCCTCTCCCTTGGGCCATGTACCCATAACGCCATGCGCTTGTCGCAAGTGCCCGTCGGGCTAACCCGAAGCAAGAGACACGACAGCCACGCACTGCAGCCGGGCAACGGGACCGAACGCCCGGTCAACCACGCATCGCACCACACCCGGCTACAGTAAAGCCACCAAGTCTTTTTGCTAGTTTGCCGCGCGATGCGCTTTCGCATGAAAGATACGCCCGTCTATTTTGGCAATGCTGGTGATAGCTGGTCTCCAACGCGTCAGCACCACACCCACAACTCCAAGATGATAAAAAAGGCACTCAGCCATCGGGAATTTGAAAGATACCGAAGAGGGTGCATGACACGCTCAACTTATTCTGCTAGCAAGGAACCTTGCAAGCGAGGACGGCACCCAAGCCGCGGTCGTACACACCAGCCTTGACCGAGGATGAGTTGGGTAAGGGGGTTGATCCTCTCCAACATCTCGCAAAATGTGTAATACCTGACGCAACTAGTCCGGCCCGGACCGAGGCACGCACATGGAGGCAGTTCTTCCATTTCACAGGACGAAACAAAACAACCGATCCGTCCAAGTCATCAGAAATCCACCCTGATATTTCACCTCCTACTCTTCTAATAGTCCAAACCGGCCAGGCAAACCAGACAAGACAAGACAAGCAAGGTCAAGGCATTTACAACCCTGACAACCCCGAGTCAAGAGATAACTAAGTCAAATCCAGCGAAGATGAGGCAGCCCGGGGCAAGGGAATGCCACGAAATCTACCAACCGCCCACCCCAACTACCGACATGAAACACCCACACCACACCACATCCCTTTCCACCCTCACACTGCATGTCGCCTTACCGCCCCATTGCCCATCCGCCCGGCTACCAGCAGACTTCCTAGGTATTGTAAAAAAGGAGCAAGGCAACTCGCCTCCTTACCCCCCCTTTTTCCGGAACCTACCCGATTCGTTCTCGCCCAGCCCATCGTCCTACGCCCGTAAACACTCTCGTGCCGACTCCGAGTTTCAAGCACTACCCAGATGAGTTGACTACCACGTGAGTGCCCTGCCTAGAAATGTGTCTGTCCCACCCTGTGTGCCTTCCACACCCCAACCCGTCCAATCCAACACAATTTGGGCTCAATGAGCTTCGCGTGAGGTGAGGCTATGCTATCTCAAGAGGTAGTTGGGACGGAACAAATAGATCGCAAGGCATACATAGCATCCCAACCACAGTCCATCCTGACCCGGGCAACGCATGGAACATGTTGGTGACGATACTCTCTTAAATATGGAACATCGGGCAAAAAACGAGAGAACACATCGACCAAAGACACTGATGTTCAGCGTCAGGGTCTCTTTCTTTCCTTTTTTTTTTTTTATTTTGATCTGGAGTTATCGTGTGCCAGCCATTAGCCCCCTTGACACGCACTGGGGAGTCATTCTGTCGAGTGAAATGAGAAATGAGACTGCCCTTCCCTTCGCGCCCGTGTTTCTGGTATGAAGAGCCATCTTCCTCAAACTGCCGTTACCGTGTGCTCTCCCAAAGAAGACTTCGATATGCGGAAGAAGCAGAAAGTTGTGATCCATCGCGCGTCAACTCCTGATCAGCGCGAGCAAGTGAGAGATAGTGAGAGAGAAAAGAAAAAAGAAAAAAAAAAGATCGCGTAACCTTGCCAAATGACCCCAGAAGCGTATCTCGATGCCGGTGCATGGGAATGGCGACAGATTCTTGCCGGAGATGTGCGCAAATGGCGAGAGAACTCGCCATCCTTCAGAGGGTTCTGATGCCATCATCTGACTCAAGATCGAGGCCGTCAGAGTCCTTGCCATCGTCGTTGACAATCGGAACGTCGTATTTGAGATAGTCGGGCAGCTGGGGCAGCTGATTGCGGGTAGGCTGGGCCAAAGTTAATACCGAGTTTACTGCGCTCCGAACAAGGCACCACTTACCACCTTGGCCCAACCACTTCTACACTTGTTCTCGGGCTCGCGACAAGCCGTGGCGCGAGTGCTACCTGAAGCCACGGTCGGGGTTTTGGTCATGCGAGCGAACTCGCCGTTCGGGCCCCAGGCGTTGAAGCTGACAACAGTCTGATTCAGGCCACGGTCTTCGCGTGCAGGGCCTGTGGTGACACTGCCTACAACAGAAGTTTCGTCGACGGAGGTCGTCAGGGATCTTGTAGTGGACGACTCGCCAAAGTCGGGAATGAGCCAGTGCGGCGCTCTGGCGGCGGGTCGGGGTCTCAGATGCGGCGGGATCAAGTCGTCCAGCCGGTTTCCATATGTGATCGGCTTCTCGCCGGTGACGCTCTCGCCGCTTGTCGACAGCTCCCTAGGAAGTGAGAGCGTGGACATCGAGTCTGAAATGCGGCCGTCGTTGTAAGGTACCTATGAGATGAGTGTGATAATATTTTTCTCTTTGCACTCCGCTGCACTAAAAAAGCACTGGTTCTGACAAGAAGAGAGGGCAACGGTAGGAAAAAGTAAGGGGAGCACGTTGATGGTTGCGGTTGACAGAATTCAGAATCGTAGACCATTGAACGTGCTGATTATGCTGGTCATTTCTTATTGCCATTTGGAAGGTGACGGTCACGGTGTCCTGTAGCAGACTGGAAAAAGGATATGGGATAGTACAACTCAGTCCCGACTGCGAGAAATCTATCACGCATGTTCTCAACTGTCCATAATCTAGCTGTTTGGCTGTCTGGTAACTGTCTGGGTGTGGGATGAATAGGGTGGTAAGGCCGATTTGTATATGGACAACGAATTGTTCATGAAGAAAGACCCTGAGCAGCAATGGCGAAGATAAAAAGAGCGGAACTTCCGGCGCAGCTGACGTCTGAAATCTAAATGCTTGGGGACATAGGAGATTCCAAACTTGAAGTCGACGGACTCATCAGGTAGTAGCTGGCAGGTGGAAAAGAAGCTTGAGAGTGAATCGCAGCACTGAACTTGAGGAGAATGAATGTATGGCGATACTCAGCGGGACGAGCAAGCTGTGATTAACCAATATTACCTGGTATGCTCGCTATGGTCAAATTGGCCAAGGCGACGCTAGCTGCCGGTCTGAACTTTGAGAGGGCCAAGAATACAGGTACTCTAGACAATAGGACATGGACAAACCATCGGAATCTGTTCGCTATGCAGTTTTGTAGCCCTCTATTACATCCATCTTCATAATCGTTTCAATTCTCACACGAACAACTAAATCCCAGAAGGTACACTGGGTCCTTGTGAGTGAGAGGAGTACTGACGCCATCTACACCAACCTCAGCCACAGTCAATCTCGTACCAGACCGGGTCGGCATCTCGTCTCGCCAGATGTATTAGAGAGGCATTCGATATGATCTTGCAATCCGTTACAGGCTAACGTTAGACTATACCCCATTCGATCAGTCAACTGAATAGGTCGCCTACTTATGAGCAGGTTTCAGGTACTCCATCTCCTACATACGACCATAGGCGCAGGAAAATTCGGGATCCCGTCCGCTCTCCCCTCGACAAACCCGCGACCGCCAGATCAGTAGTTGGGTCGGTGACGACCAGCGAATCCTTGGTGTTGTATGTTCTTTTTGTCATTCTCGCAATTGTTTTGCGACGCATATTAACTGCCAGCTGGGAACTCCACCTGGCAGCAGCTGAGCTGCGTAGCGTTCCCCACAGGTCCCACTTTAGTCAGCACTTTCCGTGAACCCCAAGTGTCTTTGCTGATCACGTCTCTCTGCTCTCGTAAAACCATTTCCAGCGGCAGCCGTAACGGCGCAGCGCATTAACCACATCATGCCGTCGTGGGAGAACTGAACAACAGTCGCAGGCAAGGCAAAGGGTTGGCGCTCGCATGAAACGTCCACGGGAACTGAGGATATCAGGGCTAAGCAGCTGAGTGTTACAGTATTGTTCATCGGACTGCTCCGTGTCGGTACGGCAAGTTGGCAACCTAACGCAACGCAAGCACCAAGGAAACATGGCCTCGCTTGGGCCCCTCCCAGCGGAAATTTGAGACCAGGGGTCCGCGTGCTCGCGCCCATTGCGATCCCCCAAATTTCATTGCCGAGTTTGCACGGATGGGGTCGTTCGAGTTTAGCTCACTTGGTGGCCCCGCGCGGAACCTCCGGCGATGGTGCCGGGCAGGGACCGTTAGCTGCGGGTGGCGGATTGCAATCTCCCCAGCCTCTTGGAACGAGCCGTGATGAGGATGGAGACGGTGGCTCGTTCCTTGCCGGTTGCTGTGGAAGGAATTGTAGGATACGAGTGACAAGGTCAGAATTGTTGTCGTGAGCTTGTGAGAAGCTTCGGGGCCGCGTGCTTCTGTTCCACCGAGCTGACATGCTTCGGCGGCGAGTTTCGGCGTCCAGACTCCAGCGGACTCGGACGCTCGCGCAGCCCAGGCGAGGCTGAGCGACTGCCGCCTCGGTGCATTCAGGTGTCTTCTTCGAGAACTTCGACACTCGGCAGTGTCACAGCTGAGTTACCTTGAAGTTACCATCATCCAAAGTGCACTCCTGAGGTCCTTTCTCCGTACACACCATTGATGCAGATTTGATGCTCGAGGTAACAGTACCCCTCGACTACCAAATCGCGCATCCACTCTGCGTGTTTGACAGTTATAAAGTTGGACGTTTCCAGAATTCACTGAACCGTGCCTGCCAGAACCCCTCATCCCACCAACAGGTGGCGCTCCAAGCCTGATCAGGTGGCTTGTGCTGGTGTTGCCCTGGACAGCGTCAAATCCAAAGGAGCGGATCCATCACCAAAAGCGGCAATCTTCCCCTTGCACTTCGCCAGAAGAAGCAGTCTGGTCTCATCTGATTTTAGTAGGTGAAGATCTCCGTGAGATGCTCATCGAAACATTCACCATCAGGCTACGCAACGAGGCCGAAGAAATTGCAACTACTGACTCCGCTCTCGCGTGGCTCGTGGTGCCGAACTCATTCAATTTCATCAAGTCCCCATCCAGCATCTCATCAATCTTGGTTGTTTCCCATGTCCACGATGTCTTGGCAGGTTGACTCTTTTTGAATCGAAAACAGCCTGGCGCCCCCTTTTAGGTGGGACCAGAGACGTTGTCGGTAAATTGAATAAAGGGAACGAGGCATTATTGGGGGATGCCAAGCTAGCCTTTCCCACCGCGTCGCCTTCCTCCGTCATGCATCACCGTTTGGCTTGTGTCGCAGGACGTGATGGGTTCTGTTCGAACGTGACCTGAAACACCAAAACTTCCAGGTTTCGCGTCAATAAGTCTGTTGCCCCATCTGTTCTCTTTTGCTCTGCTGTACACCATAGGAACAGGCCAGACCCTCTCAGACACTAACAGTATTTCTTTTTCCCACCTCTCCCAACGATTACACGTAACACTGTTCGACGCTGGGACCGGCCCCCTCAATTTGATCAACGCATCCACCGTTTGAAAACGATATTCCCTAAGTTAGTCTGAACAGATGTGGGGCCGGCGAGAGGTCCGCCAATGTAAATGAGGCTGCGGATGTGTGCGTATCGACGGCTTTGCTGACGTTGAGAACTACAAGCGATCCAAAGCTGCCAATTCACCCAGGTCTCAGGACGAATCTGCATGCTCATGAACTGCGTGCTGATTCCCGTCTCGGTTCCCATTGGCGTATCCCTCGAGCATTTGCATTTCTCCCCTCAAAAACAGCGGGTTTTGCATGTTTGGCAGCCAATGACACATGCTGTGGGTGAAAGCTCTGCTTGGCGACAGCCGAGCTTTAGCAGCATTACATCGGTTGCATACTGTAGAAGAGCAACCTACCCAGGCTGTGCTGCGTCAATGACGGAGTATGGATGATCATCAACAATGGGCAACTCGGTGCTGGGCAGCCTGGAAAAGTGGGAGATGAACAGTTGCTTCCGGAGCGACCGGTCTCCCTATCTTGATAGTTTTGGTTATGAGAAGCTGAAAAACAAAGGTCATATGCTTAAGGTACCTTACAGTTCCCTCAATGGCAACAGCAAATCGACACGCTGGGAATAGTTAACTGACGACCGTGCCACCATCCTGCCTCAGGCATATTACAAACGCTTGTCCACCACCCAGATTCACGGCCTGTTCCCCAAAAGCACCACCAACGTGCTCTTTTGAGCGTTGAGTTTTGTTTTTCCACACTTCTCTCTTCAACCCCCAGCCAATCTCAAAAGTGCGCTCCTGAAAGGGCAACAAGTTCTTGAGTCGCTAGCGAAATTGGCGTGCCCTATCGCATTTTCTCGAAGACAAACCCCGGTCACAACGATTCATGCGAAAAGGCCGGGCCCATTTCCCACAGAACGACGGGACGGACCCTCCCCGTCCCCTTCCACCCAGCATCTCGACTGATGCAAAACCAATCTACCTTAGCATCCTGTCTCGCAATCGCTGAGGAGCCCTGCTCTTGTTTTGGGATTAGTTATGTTCATTTCGCCCGCTCCTTCAATCCGCGTTGCTCCCGTTCTTCTGCGAAACACCTGGGCTGCCCAGTGTGGCGCTGGCACCTGACAGACCGCTGAACACTCCCTCGAGTCCAACCTCCCGACTGCTCCGACACCAATATTCACGTCCTTATCACTCCTTATTACAGGCTCACATCGCTTGCGTCGAGGAGGAGACGCTGCCCCGGGCTTCCCGCTCCTGTGGAAGCAATTTCGATCTTTTCCTGGCACCCGTTGCTTCGGTTCGCGCTAGCAGGCCTTCTGTCGCACCCACCAGAGCTCCGTTTCCACAGCTCCCCCAGCCCCTGGCTGTCGTTCCACTTCCCACCCATCCGCAACGCGGAAGATCCTGGGCCCGCGGTCTTCTCTCCCCCCCAAAACCCTGCCATCACTTCTCAACCTCCTTTTCCCATCGTGCAATCATCTCATGTCGCTCTTTTTCCGAGGTTTCACTCGTCCGCTCATTTCAACTCGACTCTCCAACTATTTTCGCTCCTTGCACATTCACGTTTGCGACACTTTAATCGCTCGCCGCCATTCCCAAGACCCAGCCCTTTGACTGGTGTGACTGATTCTCAACACCACCCCGACGCATCTGACCGGACCGGGAAACAGCCTCGCTTCGACTGCCACATCGTCAATCCTGAATGCCCCGGTAACAGGACCGTGGCTCTTTTGCAGGAGCTTGCACTTTGCAGCCTGTCCAGTTGCAGTGCGCAAGGGGACATTGGCATCTGCTCCACACACCACCGGAGTGCAACAATCTCCGCTCGAGACAATTCCAAGTCTACTGTTCCGCCAGCATGACAGTAGCACACGACTTGACCCGGCGAGGGTCGACACAGGTCATTAACGGGATGGCGCTCGAGGACAGGTTTGAGGTGTTGAAGGAGATCGGCGACGGCAGCTTTGGCAGTGTGTGTCTGGCCCGGGTGCGGAGCGCTGGCGCTAGCGTCGCCCGTCGTGGGACTGTGGTACGTGTCGTTCTGGAGATCCGTTGACGTTTTGTATGCTGACCGGCACACTGCCAGATCGCCATCAAGACAATGAAAAAGACATTCGACTCGTTTTCGGCCTGCTTGGAATTGAGGGAAGTCGTGTTCCTCAGGACATTACCCGCCCACCCTCACCTGGTTCCCGCCCTCGACATCTTCCTCGACCCGTTCAGCAAGAAGCTCCACATTTGCATGGAGTACATGGAGGGCAACTTGTATCAGCTCATGAAAGCAAGGGACCACAAGTGCCTCGACAATGCCAGCGTCAAAAGCATCCTGTTCCAGATCATGCAAGGCCTCGAGCACATCCACGCCCACAGCTTCTTCCACCGAGACATCAAGCCCGAGAACATCCTCGTCTCGACATCGTCTCACTCCGACTACTCCAACTCGTTCAAGAGGTATTCCGCCTTGGTAACGCCGCCGTCAACACCGCCCACCTACACCGTCAAGATTGCCGACTTTGGCCTGGCGCGAGAGACGCACTCGAAGCTTCCCTACACGACGTATGTTTCGACACGGTGGTATCGCGCTCCAGAAGTGCTCCTCAGGGCCGGCGAGTACTCGGCACCCGTCGATATATGGGCTGTTGGTGCCATGGCGGTCGAGGTGGCCACGCTCAAGCCTCTTTTCCCCGGCGGAAATGAGGTGGACCAGGTCTGGAGGGTTTGTGAGATTATGGGAAGCCCTGCCGTCTGGCACAGCAAGTCTGGCCACCCGGTTGGCGGTGGTGAATGGCGAGAAGGGACCCGCCTCGCCGGCAAGCTCGGCTTCTCATTCCCAAAAATGGCTCCTCACTCGATGGAGACCTTCTTGCCGTCCCCGCAATGGCCTCGCTCGCTCTCTCAATTTGTCACATGGTGCCTCATGTGGGACCCCAAGAACCGCCCGACATCGACGCAGGCACTCGCGCATGAGTACTTTGCCGACGCTGTTGACCCTTTACGGCCCAAGTCGTCCGCTTCCAAGATACTTGGCCGGAAGCAGTCCGTTGTTGGTAGTGCCAAGGACTCCGCCGCAGCTACGCCAACATCGTCGAAGCCGTCTTGGTTCAGGAAGTCGTTAATTGGGCGTTCAGAGAGCACCGACGTCATCTTGGTCGTACCGCAGCCCGCGCCCAAGGAAAATACTGCTCCCCGCCCTGCCCCCATCGCTCCTGTTGAGGCTCCTGCGCCGAAGCCGAGGCCGGCCGCCCAAAAGAGGGCGACGTGGACGAACGGCGCATCCAATGCCGCGCCGATGCCCATTCTCCCTACCATCCGTCCCATCTCACCCCTATCTGACGCCGTTACCGTCCAAGGAAGCGGCAGGATGCCTTCGTACAGCGATGCTTATGGGAACGGAACCAATCGCGTTGCGGCAGTCGACGAGAAGGGTTCCAAGAAGATTGGCCGTCAACTATCTGTGCAGAGTACCAATCACTATGCTGAGCTCCACAGGCAACAAGCCGAGCGCGCACTCAACGGAAGCTCGGGTGTTGTCTCCCCCACGAGCGGTTATAAGGACTTCTTTTCTCATTTGCGAAAGCGGGCAAGGAGGTTCTCTGGGAGGCATCAGACGCCAATTTCGCCAAGCTACGACGACCTCGAAGCCCAAGCCGGTTGTGGGCCGTGGGGCAGCAACAGGTCGTCCATGGTCATGGACGGCCCACCCCCTGCGCCTGTTCCGAAAGACACGTACGATTCTCTGGACAAGAAGCTTGTTTCCGAGGTCCCTCCCGTGCCACCTGCCCATCAGGTGACGCCGAGCAGCCATCTCAAGCGCCATCACTCGCTACCCCATCACCAGCCGAGGTCTGTAGATAACCTGGCGGTTGCAGCTCGTGGCTCAGGCCCCGTGTCGAGCCGGACGCGACGGGCGCAGGCTGTTCAGGGCGTTAGCCAGTACGACGCTCCGGACGAGGAGGACGAGCTTCTTGATGAGGTCCTGGTCTCGACCCAGCGTGCTATGAAACGCTTGGAGAGGGATGAGCAACCCCTGAGACAAGCCGCCAGCAACATGGGGCTCGCCAACCCGTACCCGACGCCATCGCCGTCTGCGAGCGGAAATGTGATGCTCTTTGGCGATGGCAAGGAAGCCGTCACCCCCAAGCCACTGAACTTCAACAAGCAGGCGGCCGAGTACAAGTGGCCCACGCCTCCGTACGACGAGAGCGACTGGGCTGCCTCGGCGTCGGCGAGCATCTGGGCGGCAGGGAACCGCTTCTAAACCGACAATTCGCGCTGCGGCAGTCTCTTGCTGCGACGCATAACACTTCTCACTCTCCATCGGACACGCACACACGCACATACACAAAAGTATTTCTCTGGCTGGGTTTCATGGGACGGTGTTGGGGGCTGTCTTCGCTATTCTGGGTGGCATCACATCATACACTATCGGATCGCATCGTTCATTTCTCAAAGTACTATATCGGTTATCGGTTTCTCGGCGGTGTCTGCCAGTGAAGGCGGACATTTCGATTTTCGGTTTGTTCTATACAGTTGGCACCGACGCCCATGCCTTTCGGACGTTGGATTCTATCATGCAGCTTACAATAAGCTTTTCTCTTCGAAACCTCGCGAATACCCCCTGGGGATGGATTGTTGTCACCCATTTTTGTTGGAAGTACGGATTCTTAATAACTTTGCGTATTTTTCTTAACAGTTGCCCCCCTTGAATGTGTTGGCCCGTTCCAAATACTTTTACAATACCCCCCTTTATATATAGATTGGAAGGAAAGGCTGGATGGGTGAACTGATTTGGTTGTCACCCGCCTTGCTACAAACAGTGTTTATACTTCTTCCTTTTGTCGTTCACAGATAAACGCCACGCACACAACATATGCTCTTGTATTGTCGGCGGTAGTTTTGTTGGGTTGGAGCGAGGAGGCGGTGGAGGAGGAGGATTTGCTTGGTATCTACTCCTCCTGACTTCCATTTTATTTTGTCTCTTGAATATATCACCGACCATCGCCGCTATATATCCTTCATCCTCAGTTTACTCATCCATATATGCCTCCCTTGTGCACACCTCGTGTCCTAGGCAACATCTCAGTCCAAATCAATGGTTTCGGGCCATCATTATCGCTGCTCACAATCGAGATAATGCTCATTATCGCAGTTATCGAACTTATTTTGCATTCGAACATGTGCCATTTGAGGGAAGTGTCATCCAACGGTTATGTTGCTTCTGTCTCTCTCTGTGTTTTGCCTGCCCACCGGCCGCCTGTCCCGCTTCTCGACCATTGCCCAGTGGAACTCGCACTCTGATTCCGCATGACCAGACGATTACCCCTCTTTGTGAAATTATGGCCGTCCAGTCGGGCCTCATGAAAATAAGTGTGTTATTGCTCACATCGTGAAGATCAGGTCTCACTCTTGGGCCCCCTTCTAGTAATGTACAATCAATACCTGGTCCTCTTGCTGGGGTTCTTGCCTTCTTCTTCGAGTGATCGTCTTTCTTGCTATGGCATGTATGTAGATTGGTTTGGCAGGCGGGCTTGCTTTTGTGGGATTGTTTCACACGCTTACGCATTGTAAGAACATTTATCCGTGAGTTAGGACGGCGGGGAGGCTTTGTTTGCTTTCTTTCTTGAAAAGGTGGCGGTCACTGGGACGCCATCCCCTTCTCTGGGAATGGCTACTTGGTAGGTCTATCTGGTGGGACGGGTCCGATTCATCTGATCTGGTGTGTGATGAGATGGGCACAAACACATAGACTTTGGATGCAAGCCGCATGCTGGAGTCACCATTTTTGACACGCAACCATTCTGAATGTTGGTTGTGTTTGGGTCATGGCTGCCTGGTTGCCGAAGTTGTGTCTGAATACGTGCCTTCAAAAGTCGACTTCGTTGGTTCCATGCATAGTGTATCCGGGAGTTCTAAAGGGCACGACAACGGACAATCTCCATTCCAGATTTACACTTACACGGTCACTGCCATGTCCTGATGGAGCAGAGCTCTATTCCTCGATTCGAGTCTCATGCAATGGCAGGGCAATCCCGTGACACTTCCAAGGCGGGAAGATGTTGCGCAAGTCTCCGCTTTTCGACGCGCAAGGCCCCACTTTTCAGGTACAGGTCCAGAGCTAACCCCTGATGAGGCGGCTCCAGCCGTAATACCCCACCTCAGGCCCAGCGCAGCACCCACGCGATCTTGGACCACTGAACCTGCAAGTTGTGGCACGCAGCACAGGCAGCAGCAATTCGATACACTGGGACTCGCAGCTATCAGCCTCCAAACATTCCGACTGCGTATTGTTGACTTGTGTAACGGCGTCTTTACCTACGGTACTCGGTCATCAACCTTAGTTGCTTGGCTCTTCGTGACGGACTGGAGTCAAACGGAGTACCTAACGTTAACCTTACTCTCGATCTCAGTTCAACTTGAGGAAGCCCCGCCATAAGCATCAAGTCGATCGCAGGCGCCGCCTTGGTGCTTGAGGCTTAATCTGGGATGAGAATCTAGAGTCAATTCGTTGGCTCTTACTCTTTCGCCCTTTATCACCATTTTCACTACCTTTCTGTTTTCTTGAAGTGAGATACTTAACGGTCAGGGGCTGTTGTTGGCTTGTTGTTGTGTCTTGTCCGTGTGAGACGATCCCCCGGCAAGTATATCCCCTCTCTTCAACACGGCAGGCCGCCCGGTCGGTCTTGTCTAGTATTCTCGCCACCACGCCATGATCTTGTTGTCCACCCGGGAAACGAGATCAGCCGCCACCCGCCATGAACATCTCCCTGCCCTTGCGCCCCTCTCCGAGCAAGAGGAATCGCGACAGCAGGAACTACTTCACAAACAGCCAGATCAGCTCCGCGGAGGCCATTAACGGCCCAGTGAGAGAGCCGGCTCAGATCAATGACCGCCTTATTGTCGGCGTTGACTTTGGAACCACCTTCTCGGGGTAAGTCGCCACATCTATCACTTACACATTGGTCTGCTGGGAAGCCTACTAACACGGATCCAGAGTTGCTGCGGTTTACACGGGGACGCCGGATGATATCGAAATCATCAAGACATGGCCGGGCGGGAATGGCATCACCTCGGACAAGGTGCCAACTGAGATCTCGTACGAGTTACCGGCCAACGCAGCCCCAAGCACAGCTCCAACTGTGAAATGGGGCTTCCAGTTCAAGCCCGAGGAGTCGCGGCTCCGGTGCATCAAGCTGTTCCTTGACCGCTCCCAGAAGCTGCCTTTCTACGTCAGCCCCCTGGAGACGGCCGCCCAGCTCAAGCGGTACAACAAGACGGTCGTCGACGCCGTGAGCGACTACCTGACCCAGATATACAAGCACACCATGGACACGCTCCGCCGGCGATACGGCGAGTCGTTCATGGCGTCCACCAAGGTCGACTTCGTCCTGACGTGTCCTGCCGTGTGGTCCGACGCCGCCAAGAACACAACCCTTCAGGCTGCTGAGAGGGCCGGCATGGGCTCTCAATCACAGATACAGATGATCAGCGAACCAGAAGCCGCCGCTGTCTATACCCTAAAGGCCATACAGCCGAACCACTTGAAGACCGGGGACAACTTTATCGTGTGCGATGGAGGCGGCGGCACCGTCGAGTGAGATCCCCGTGAGTGTTTGTCAAGGAAGGCATACCAGGTGGCTGACAATCGAGTAGTCTAATTGCCTACAAAATCGTCTCGCTCAACCCAATTCGTGTAGAAGAGTCCGCTGTCGGGACTGGAGGGCTTTGCGGGAGCGCTTTCCTTAACTACCGGTTTGAAGAGCATGTGAAGAATCGGATTGGGCAGAGCCGGTTCGATGAGATGAAGACGAAGAAGGGCAAGACATGGCAGATGGCGCTCAAATACTTTGAGGAGTTTGTGAAGCGCAACTTCAACGAGGACGAGCACCAGGAAGTTAACGTTCCGTGAGTGAGTCCCGCATCGCGGATCAAATCTAGCCTGCTGACACGTACAGGTTCCCGGGCCTCCCCGACGACGAAGAAGCCGGCCTCGACTCGGGATTCCTCGTCGTGACCGCAGAGCAAATCATGGACATTTTTGAGCCCGTCGTAAAAGAAGTGTGCGACCTTGTCCAGGGCCAGGTCGACACGCTCCGCGCCAAGGGGGGCGTCGTCTCGGGCATCATCCTCGTCGGTGGCTTCGGCCAGAGCGATTACCTCTACCGCCGGCTCAGGAGCCACTTCACCACCAGCAGCGCGCCGCCTCCCTACACGGAACTGCCCACCAGCGCCGCTGTCGACCTGCAAGACCGGACCTCCATCGAGGTGATGCAGCCCGTGTACGCGTGGACCGCCGTCGTGCGCGGTGCCGTCCTCCGCGGGTTGGAGGGCAACATGGTCATCTCGCGCAAGGCGCGCATGCACTACGGCACCTCGTACGCCACCGTCTACGATGAGACCAAGCACTCGGTCATGGAGCGGTACTGGAGCCCGCTGTGGGAGCGCTGGATGGTGTCCGACAGGATGCAGTGGCACATCGCAAAGGGCGAGGCCATCTCCCCGCTCCAGCCCGTCGCTTTTCACTACACGCGCAATTTCCGACCCGGTCAGTCGCTCATCGTCACGGATGACCTGATTGCCTGCGAGGCGGATGACCCGCCGAAAGCCTACACGCGCGACCTGGTGCATGTGTGCACCCTCACGACGGACCTGAGCGCCGTGCCGCGGAGCTTGTTTACTCGTCTGACGACGACGAAGGGGGTTGAGTTTGATAATCTGGATTTTACCCTCGAAATGATGGTCGATAGTGCTGGGCTTCGGTTCGAGTTGAAGGTGGATGGGGTGAGGTACGGGCGGGTTGATGCTGAGTTCCATTGAGTTGGGTGATTGATGGTAGATGGATTGGATTGGGTCAGTAGGTAGATGGTTGGGTAGCCTGTTGGGGAGGTAACATGCTGCTGGTTTATAGGGGTTTGGATGGCCGGGCGTTATGGGCGGTTCTGAGGTGTCGTGGACGGGGGATCTGGGGAAGGGGCCCGCCGGTTGCAGCGGCAGAATATATAGTTGTCATCGAAGATGAATGGAACCGGTGTGGTGTTTCTGGGCCCATGTAATGGCGGTACAATGTTGCCTCCAGACGAATGGGATAACCACTTCTAATCTCTCGCAAACGCAGAGGATTATCAACGCTTTTACCTCACCCAAGATGCTCCCTCCTAGCCCTAGCCGGACCTTCCCTTCCCAAGCAACGACAGCCTCTCAAACCCCCCTACAACTGGCGGCGTCTGCCTCGACCTCATAGCCTCCAAGCTGTCATACAACACCCCGTCACCGCCACCAGGCCTATACCCCTCGGCCTCCGGATCCCGCGTGGCCTCCTCCTCCTCTCTCTGCCCAGCAGGCCACACCTCGTCAACAGCCTTCCTGCAGCCCTCCACAACCTGCCCCATCAACTCCTCCACCGCCCTCGCCCGCTCCTGCATCCCGCGCCTGACCAGTCCAAAAACAAGCCTCTCGACCTCCGGCTTGGCCGCCTCCACCCTCTCCACGAGCCGCCGCACCGAGTTGACGAGGTACTCCTCCTCGTAGACGGTCCCCTTCCTGCCCCGCGCGCGCTTCTTCTCCTCCCTCCGGCGGTTCTTGCTCGTCGCGCGCGAGACGTTGCTCCCCACGGTCCCGACGCTGCCCGCCTTGCCCGTGTAGCGGGTGAACAGGCTGGCGGACGTGCTGATGCGGGAACTAGCGGCGATGGACACGTCGTCGGGGATTTCGGCTCCTCCCGCAGCGGCGCGGGCGCCCAAGGGGTTCTCCCCCTCGTAAAACGCGAGCGGGTCCTCGATGGCTTTGCGCCGCAGCTCGGCGATGCGCGGGACCTGGGCCTTGAGCTGCTCCTTGCAGTCGGCGAGAAACTCGGTGCTGCTGGAGAAGACCTCGGCAAGGCCCGCGTCGATGACTGTGGGAAGGAGGTCCGGGCGGTTGTGCAGGGCCACGAGGCGCAGGGCGTCGGCGAAGAGGTAACCTTTGCAGAGGTGCTGGATGGATGACTCGACCGAGGAGAGGTAGTCGAGATGGATTGTTGCGGCAGCCGCGTAGTCTTTGGCTTCGCGTAGGGCGTCGGCGAGGGCGGTGGCGATTTCGGAGAGTTTGGCGTTGCTGAGCGGCGGGGATTGTTGCTGAGCGGCGTAGAGGCATTCGCGCCAGCAGGTCGCGCCGGCTTTGAGATAGCAGTCCGTCGCGTCCGGGTAGTTGCCAAGGGACTCGTAGGCCAGGCCAGCCTCCTTGAACTGGGAAGTGGATTTGAGGTACGCGGCGAAGAGGTCGGTGATGGCCTGGTGATGCTGCTCCTCGTGGCGGTAGAGGCCCAGCGCGTACTGGTAGAGCTTATGTTTGACGACGTAGTTCTTAACGTCTTCAAAGTTGTTCAGTGCCTTCAGGTGGTCCAGTGCCTTCTCCCAATGTTCGAGCTTGTCGTCAATGGTGAACTGCCGCTTCAGCATTGGCATCTTGTGGAGTTCCTGGACGAACGGTAGGTACTCCCGCGGGTCGCATTGGGATTGCTGAGCTACCAGAAGGGTGAGATCAAGGTTATACAACCCCAAGGCATGGTCATAGAGTTTGTTCACATCAGCCAGGAAGCAGATGTGCTCGACGGCGCGATCTGCCAGCGCCTCGTCCTCCTGCATCAGCTCGGCAACAACCCGCAAGCCATCGTCTAGGGCCGGCGGGTTCTTGCAGACATGAGCGGTGATGATGTTTTGGAGGTTGCCCTTCTTCTGGATACGGAGTTTCTGCAAGACAGCGTCACAGATGGTATTGATTTTGCCCGGCTTAGCCGCAGGTTTGGGGTCGGAGGGCGGTTGGCCGGCAGTCATCTTGGTGTCTCTGTACATTGTTTGGGTCACATCCTCTTCCCTGGAACCAGTCAGCAAGGAACTCCGAGTTTCTTGACGGAGTCAACGTACTTCAGCGTCGACAAAAACAGGTCAATATTGGCCGGGTCTTTGACTTGCTCAAGGAATAAGCCGACGTTGTCCAAGAATTGCTCGGGACGGTGGTCGAATAGGATGTTCATGTCTACGCGCTGGGTGCGGCAAGTTGCAAAGGCAGAGCCGTAGTCCTTTTGCTCGACTAGCCTCCTGATACCAGCTAAGACCATCGCTCGAGGGTAGATTGTCTCGAGATTACCCCGCGGCATCTGCAGCACCAGGCTCATCTTGGACGGGATGGCGGTGACGAGCCGCCCGCCTCGTTCGATGCTCCGGCACCGCTCGTCTTTTTCCGGATCATCTGGCGGCACATCGAGGTCTGAAGTGGTCAGGACAGGAGTTCTACAAGCATACCGGATGAGACACCCACCTTGCTCAGGGGCCAGATGAACAAACTTGACCAAATGGTTGCTTGTCGTGAAGATGAGGTGATTATCGGTAACGAGGAACGATGTGCAATTCTTGGTAAGCTGTCGGGAGTTTGCATACAGGTGTCCGTTCCTCGACAAGCCGAACCCTAGGAACTCGTCGTTATGCACGACGCAGCTGGTCCAGGGTAGGAACGTGGGGAAGTGCACCGGTAGGGGCGAGGACTCCCCGTTAGCAATAGAACTGAGCTTCCCAGATACATGCTGGGCCACCACTCCTTCAAGACCGTCTGAGCCGGGCGAGAAAATTGTTGCAACGACGCTTGTATCCGTCCTGAGCCACTTCGATGTCTCCAAGCTAAAGTCATACCGCAGCAACTCGAGGTCGTCCGCCATCTGCAAAACTTGAACCTCACTTGGCCCTGAAAAGGCAATCTGAAGCAGAGACTCTTCGTAGGTTTGAGGCCCTGCTTTCCCAAGTGCCGCCAGAGCCACGAACCGTGGCCTGGGAAGGCGAGAACTATTGGCCTCAAGCGCGAAGAAACTGACACCAACTCGGTGCAAAACGGCCATCGAGGTGCAGTCGGTGGAGAAGACTACGTCGATGACAGGAGACTCGACTTCGAGCTCGCACATGGCCATAGGGGGCGGTACATTACAGGTCCGGAAGGGCGTGTACTTGATGACTTGCCCGTCGATGACGGCTACAACGCCGTAATCGTGTGGAGCCCTGGTTGGCCCTCTTGAAACGGTGAGGGCATATTCGTTCACGAGCACCTTGGCTAGACGGCATGTCAGACAAAGCCAGATACGGGAACACATAAATACTCACCACGAGTGGCCGCAGCAAGAAGCAGCGATTTCTCCGCGTGCCATGAGAAGAGCGGCCTCTGGTATTGGGGCGTGGGATCATCCAGCTGTGCGCATAGAATCTCCTGCTTCAAGTACCAATGGTAATTGCCCATGGTCCACAACTGGATTCGGTCTTTCAGGATGACGGCAAGGACGGTTGAATCCGAGTTCCACTCCAGCGCAATGTCTTCAACATCGGGCTCACCGACAGGGGTGCGAAGAGTGAACTGTCCGTGGCGCAAACCATTCCTCTCAAAGAAGGCCACATCCACGCGGTCAGGGAGGCGTTGAACACCAGCAATCAGGTTGCCTTCGGGCCGCCAACTAAGGCTGCCTTCCAGACCATCAACAGGTTCGCTGACGCTGTCCAGCTCACCATCGCGGTTATAGACTCGGATGACGCGACGCACGCCTTCCTGGAGGAAGTTGACCGCAACAAAGGCGCCGTCTCCCCTCCAGCTGACGGTGCAGCGACCGTCATCGTGGGAGCTCGGTGTGCCCTCGTCGACCTTCTCCGGGATGGTGGGATCTCGGAGGGCCTTGGCTCTGGCGCCCCTCCCTTGAAACTGTGTCTCCTTCTTTCCCCAGCCGACGGAGACGTGCCTGGAGAGCTTCAGATCCTCGGCAGAGAGCCCGACTCCGGCAATGACGTCGAAGCTGCGGCTCATGAACAGCAGCTTGGCGTCTCCGGTAGCGATGACCAGCAGCTCCTCATCCGGAGACCAGCGCGCAGCGGCGATGGACGGCGACAAAGTGCCTACGATCTCAACATGGGCCTCGCCCTGCACAGCAGTGGCCTCATCGTTCTCGGTGACGGTGACGATGTCGCCGCCGGCCATGATGACACATGTGGTCAGCGTGTCGCTGAAGTAGTGAATGTCCCTGATGGCGTCCGCCTCCCCATCTGGGTTCGGATTTGAAGCGTCCCATATTGCGATGCTTGTGGACTGTCTATTGCATGTCTAGGTATTAGGACCTTGAAACATCTTCGCACATGGATGAGTTGATCAGATCTTACAATTGTGATGGAGACGGGCTGTGGACATGTTTTGCAACCCGAAGCAGCTCTATACGGGCGTCTCCCGCAGCTGGCCCGCATGCGATAATCACCTCGTCTCGGGCGACATCCCAGCATAAAGCCGAGACGGGAGGTGCCGTGGCTGGGGCCGAGGATGAGTTCGGGATTCGGCAGACGCCGTGCCCGATGTTGCGCAAGTTCCGCATCTCAGCCGGTTCGCGACTCGGAAACCTTGTCGAGTACCACAGTGATCCAAGACAGATTTTGATGTTGTGTGGTCGGTTTAAATCATCATGATAACGTAAAAAGTGCCTTCGTTCGGGAATGGTCGGCGCTTCGTGGGTGGGGTTGTGGTGAGAATTCGATAAGCAGAAAACAAAGTGGCAAAATTCCAGGTTCTAGATCTGATTGTGTCCCTTTCCCACTCGTCTGTAGCAACGGACCTGTGTGATATGGACGTGCCAGGTCAGAGAAACTGAAGCACTTCAGCGTTGTTCTGACTGGATATCAAGCCCTTCGACAATTCCAGATGAGAATGCCATGTCAAAAGCGGGAGAGCACTAACTCCTCTGGACTGAAGTACCGGATACAAGCTCATCAGGGCTGGACCGAGAAAAATTTCCCAAGAACAAAGTTTCAGTTACCTGGAGTAAGCTAGGGCCATTCTGGTCGTTGACAGGCCCCACCTCCTCCACCAATCTGTAAATGCAACGAATCGGAGCGAGTTATCCATGTCAGACGCGTTGAGGTGCAGCAAGGATGAATTGAGTGCACACCTGCAGCTCTTCGTCAACTTGACAAGTGCCAGAGCTTTGCTGGGCACTTGCAAACCGTAAAACTACTTAATTGTGTCATCCCACGGTGTGGGCTCTGTCCACTGCCTCAAGGTCACAATCTCTTCTCACCACTTACTCACCGTCATTCAATCCCTGCAAGAAACATCGCAATGGACTCAATTTGTAAACCGGATGACGTCCCAGCGGAGCGTTACCTTCGTGGCAAAGAGTATGTAGCCACCCGCAGGGCCTCCGGCTACTTCGATGAACACTACGCCCCAAAAACAGCGAGCCGCCGTAACCCGCCTCCTCCGTCCCTCGACCTCTCCAGAAGGAGCAAGTCTACCAGCCATCTAACCACCGCCTCCTGCCCACCTGCCGCCCGCCGCACCGCGACCAGCACCACCTCCACAACAGCAACCACACCCACCACCGCCGCCCGCCACCGCAACCGCAGCAGCCGCCAAAGCAGCCGCCGCAGCAGCAGCCTCCAAAGCAGCCGCCGCAGCAGCAGCCTCTTCGACCCCGAGAACCTCGCATTCTACACTCACCTCGGAACCAAAATTTCGACGGCCGCCCGTGAGGCGAACGGCAGCACAGCCAGCCTGCGCTCCGCCCTCGGCGCCACCCTCAGTAGCGGCACCGCGGCAACCGACCTCCCTCCCACCCGCGCGGCGCCCTACTCGCAGCGTCCCCGCGAGGACCCTTACGAGCGTAAGGCCTACCTGCCGCCGCTGTCGTCTGCCACTACTAGCCCGACGTCGCCGTCCTCGTTGTCGTCAGTGGGTTCTCCGCCGGTGTCGAGGAGACACAGTCGGGATAATGGGGCTGTTGGGTCTGAATCTAGGTCTGGGTACGTGCCCGGCCCGGTTTGCAAGCCGGGCAGCGTGACGCCGCGGCAGAGGGCGGCGTTTGCCAGGATCGACGGCACGGTCGAGGGGCTCCAGTTCTACTTTGGGAAGGGCTCTGGGGCGAGTCAGTGGGAGGTGGATCAATTTTTCTATGGGACCGGGGAGGAGGAGGAGGAAGTGAACGGCGGAGAGTGCGACGGGGACGGGCCGGATTTTGTGAATCTGAACGAGCGGCTTGAGGGCCTGCAAGAGGAGGACGAGGATGAGGAGAGGGTGGTGGTTGACAAGGAATATCTGAGAAAAATGGTGAAGGAGCAGGGGCGGTTTTGGCCGTGGGTTGCCAGCTTGATGGTGGGTGAAGCCCGATCAGATTTGGCAGAGGACGACGACGAGGACGAGGAGGAGGACGAATACGGCGGGGAGGTGGATCCCTATGAGCTGGAGCGGCGTTTGGAGGAGGAACGGCGAAAGAGGCGAGCGGCGAGCGAACTGAGGCTCCAGGAGTGCACCATCACGCCGCTGGATGCCACCAACGATCCGCCGCCCGATGAAAACGGGGGTCTATGGCGCGATGTGTCGTGGCTCCTTTCTGTGGCTGGGAATGCCCTGTTTAGGTAGCCTCGCATGGCTGCCCTGGACTGTCGCTGCAGCATCTTTTCATACCGCTGCGGTCTGAACCGGCCTTCCACCCCAACACAGCGGTTGAAGCGCTTGATGTTGGGACAGGGCCAGAATTGTTACTCGGTCTGAAGCCTTATCATCGTCGGTTTAGAACCCGCGTTATTAGTAATGATGGTACAATTCACAGTCGTAATACCCGCTTACCCTTACCCTTCGGATTGCGGACCTTCCGTTTCGGGACTTTACTGTGTGCCCCAGCAGTAGTAATCCGTAGTGTAGTCCGTGAATCCGGTATCATGGGGCCTGGCCGGTGCCGCCCAAAACGTGGACCATTCCGCCATCTTACCAATGATATACGTACAGTACATGCCTATCGTGGTACTCTTCAGGTCAGGCGGGACCCTTCGCTCCCTTTCCCACAGGGCGAAGCCGGATCGACGCGTTCCATACCCCTTCACTAGGGTGGATTAGGCAAAAGCCAGCTGTGTCTCTACCCCTCCAGAAGGTCTCGAACTTTCTGGCCTGTGGATATCCTCAACCGGCGGCGGGGAGAGGCGGGCGAGGTGGAACAAACGACAGGCGGGTTTAGGGCACAAAAACAGGTTTTTGAAAGTGGTACTATGCAAGCCAGTCATGCAGGTCGGTGGCATTTTGGGTATCGCGCCGCTCCGGCGAAAAGGGGCGCCGGGTGGAAGAAACGGTGAAGAGGTCATGGCGGGTGTTGTTGTGAGACCGGTGAGGGAGAACAGGACATTGTTTGGTTGCTCGTTCTACCATTGGAGATGGAGAGCCTTCCGGGGTTTGGACTGGCTCTGTTGCTCGGAATGCGGTGCGGTTTCTTCATAGAATTGTCTTCAACCACAGCACAAGAGGCCTGCGAGCGGACCATTCGGCAATAGTGTTAAACTATGAGAAAAGCTTCTTTCCCCTCCCAAGGTGGGCGTCTTGGAGGAGTCTTGGAGGCGAACGGGCCCTTTCTCGGGGGGGTTGCTCCATCTCCGACTACCTGAGCATTGCCCAGGCGCCGGGCCGGCGGTGGACAACTCTTGCATCCACCTACTTACTGAACTTCGCCAGGGATTCTGGGCTGACGGGGGTCTGGTTCGGGTATTCGACGGATGATGGGTAACGGCGAGATCTTCGCTCCGTTTCGATGGCCGCTGACGGCGTGCCGATATCCGGTCAATTGCGCAACGCCGACCAGCGCACACACGCTGCAGCCGTCAGTGGAAGAAGCAATCTTCTTCCAAGAAACCACTCCTCGATGGGAGGTGTCCCCACCAACATCGCAGCATAATCCAAATCCGACCTTGGTAGCCAATGAGCATTTGGATCGTCCATGGACCCTGAATTTCATCCCTCCAACTCTACAAAAGGAAAAATGGCAAAAGTCTCTCGACAGATGAATAGTATCTCCCCTTCTCTCTCCTGTTGTTAAGCGGAAATTCTCACACCCGCAGTGTAAAGGCTCATGAGCCAGTCCTCTGTGGTTAGTCAGAGTCCCTGCATGCATGGGCCACAGAAACTTGTGCTTGCAATGACGACAAAACGCGGAATGACGTCGGGGAACAGATGAACTGGTGCTGCTGCTCCACTCAAGCCAATGGAAGTCCAATCAGCGATTTGCCAAGCTCCTGCACACTGGGCGCAGGGTCCAAAGTTTGGGCTTGGCGGACTTGAGCCCCGAACACCATGCTCGGCTAACCGAATACAGGTTCCCTCTCCAGAATAGGGGCTGCCCTTCGGTTCGTCTCAAGGTTGTCTCTCTTCGTCCTGCAGTGCTTTACTTGAAAGCGGTATAGACGGGGTTTTCCGTGGTTTGACGATCGTTGAATATAGTACTCGGGGCCTTGACATTTGGGAGTGCGGGCTACCTGCATGCTGCAGGCTGTGTCTGTCGCCGTGTGATCCCAACAAAATACGTCGTGCCCGTCGATCGCAACAGGCCGGGCACTGTCGGCAAGGCGGCCCTGGTTTCTGCTGATATCTGACACGATAATAAGAAATGCCAGCAATATTAGCTGCGTGAAATCGGTCGTGCCTTTAGACTGTGGTAGGACTATGATGTATCCGTAGGCCTGCATGAAATCCGGCGCTGTGCCAACAAATATACTGGGAATTTTGAATAGCTCCCGTCGGTTTGGTAGCACATTGTATCCGCCAACAGGAACAAGCTGGGCAATTTACGTCATGAGCTTGAGACGGCTGGGGCGAAATGTTGCTCCACGAGACGGTTCAATTATGTTGATAAGAATTTGCCAAAAGTTCGACGGGAAAAACGGGTTCGAGGGAAGCGAGGTAGCAAGGTCTCGAGCAGACGTTTCATGGATCTAAGATCAGCGGTTCCAATACTTCCAGAGCATACGCATGTGTAGAATGCGCCTAACCGATGAAGCCCGAATCCACAGGTACGTCGAGATAACGTGGTGGTCGTGCTCTGCTGACGGGATTGTGCTCTCCGAGGCGGGGCTTCTGGCCGCCGGGATCGCACCGTTTGAGCGATGCCTCATCACTGACATAATGATGTCGTAAATGCGCACCAGTGAAGAAGTCAATCTGCCTCACCCGGTTGGAATGGGCATAACAACGTACTTGAGTACATCTAGAAGTCTGCGGATATAGACGAGAGACGACTTTGCCATATCTCAAGTCGACGTGAAAGCATCAAAACAGGTAAGCTGTAGGAAAAGCATCAATGACTGTTGACTCATACCGTGTACGGAGTATTGTACTTGTACTCGACGTACAGATAGGGGTCCTGTGTCAGTTAGCGGGAGAGTTTACGTCACAGCCCAGAACGGTAGTGAAACTCCCTCCGTATCCCCTGTAGGAAAGGTACAGGCACACAACTCGAGAACTAAGGTAGGCAACAACAATAAAGCAGCTCCTTCATCCCGTTGCCAAGATGTTTGAGCGCTGGAGCACTCTTCAAGGCACTCCAAGCGGCCGGATGGACATAGTCAAAGCTCTGATCAAAATTGAAATGTGGGCTGACAATAGAGATTTTTATGTTCAGGTACCCAGGTTTCTTCGAGTGCAGATAGCGCCGCCTGACTGAGCTTAGGTATGGGGTTCAATAATTGAAATAAATCGCGGCACTGGTTCAGAAACTTGTGAACTTGTGATTTCCATCACTGCCCTTTCTCCGCTATTGGTGAAAGTGGCATCTTCCAGGTTGCTTGGTGCATTATTTCCCACACAAGGGACAGGCGAGCGGCAATCCTAAAACCCCATTGACCTCCCCACTGTGCTCAACCTTCCACTCCCGTCTCTGGGCGTCTTTCCTCGGTGGTGAGTTTGTCCCCTCCAGGCCGGTTGATCTGCCCCTCCCCTCTGCCACAAAACTTCGCACGCGATACAGCAACCCACGTTTGCTGCGAATAACTAACATTGACGTCCTGAGAGGCCTTTGCCTAAGAGACCACCTCACGCCTCTTCTACATCCCCTTTCTGGTTTCCGTTGTCAGGTTGGACCCCACTTCTACTCGGCTTCCCGAGTCGCTGGCCTCGATTGACACGCAGATCATCAGACTCCTGCGAACCTTCACCCTTGCCCGCGGACGTTGGATCTGAACGCTGAGGACGCTGGTGGCCTTCCTCCGTTTGGAGCCTCTCTGCCAGTGATCAGTGTCCGTGCTCTCCCACACATCGATAGCCACAAGTTCCTGTAAGCCTTTCTCGACATCGATTCAGCAGCGTTGCCCATCTTCCTTACCCCGCGATGCCCGTCTCGTTCTCATCGGTTACGGTGAGCGTTGCCGTACACGCACTCCGCCCCCCACCATCAATACACCACCACACGAAGACACTCAACGGCTACCGTGCCTGTCTACAATCCGGAGTTGTAGCACACAGCGCCTTTCTCCAGTGTACACAGGGTTCCGGGTACTGGAGAGAAAAGTGCAAGGAACTCGGCAAGTGTGGCTGCGGCCGTGGTGCACCCGATCTCGCTTCTGAGAACTATTCTCGTTCATTCTCTCTCTACTGCCTTCAGTCATTCTGTCTCTCTCTGCCCCGTTAACCTCCGTTCCTTGCTTTATCGATTCAAGCAGCAACCCCCTGCTTCCCTCCCATCACACTCCTTCACTTCAGGGCGGCCCATCGTGCGCCACGTCTGCAATTATGCGAGGGATTGACGATAGGGTCTGTTGCATCAAGGCGTAAGGTTGCAGCGGGTTGCTAACTGTGGGAACAAGTCGTTGCGACAGGACGAACAAGAGATCGACGACATGCCCGAGTTTGGAGACGACGTCGATAATGAGCTCTTCTCGCAGATCCTCGAAATGGACGAAAGTGAGGAGGATCGCGACTTCAGCGCCCCGCTGGTTTTGAACTTCTTCGAACAAGCAGAAGAGACCTTCGCGAAGATGCAGGAAGCGCTGTAAGTGCTATCCTCGCCCGGTTTCGCAGCCTATCTGTCTTGGCTCCTTGTTTCTTTGATTGCCCGGTGGACCATACTTCGTTCCCTTAGGGTCATGCAATCACACTAATCGAGTTCCATTGGCTTCTCCCTGCTCTTCGGGTTATGGGAACGCAGAGGACACGAGATGAACAGCGTTAGACTGACGGTTCACATGGAAATCCCCAGGAACGCCAAAAATCTGGAGTCTCTGTCTAGCCTCGGCCACTTCCTTAAGGGTTCTTCCGCTACTCTCGGGTTCAACAAGATTAGAGATGGTTGCCAGATTATCCAGCAATATGGCCACCAATTGAACGTGGACGGCACCCCCGAGACCGATCCGGCGGTGTGCCTTAAGAGGATCGCCGAGGCTCTCTCTACGGTTCAGGCCGACACGGCGAAGCTAGAAAAGGTCATGAAAAAGTTCTTCAGTCAGACCGAGTAATGGGGGATGGTGTCATGAGCTTTCAACCGTCATGTTGCATCGGTTCTTCCGATGGTTACAGCAGCCCCCTATTCTTCTCTCCGACTTACATGCGATCGGGTCCGCAGCAGCGAGAAACGGTTGTTGTTTTCGTTAGTAGGGCAGGATGCAAATTCCGTGGAGGATGACCAGCAGCAAGGCGGGTTTGCTTCATGGAGAAGGAGGTAATGCAGAAGCAACTTGAACAATTGATCTTGAAGTCCAGATACCGGCAGATGCAGAAGGGGAACTTCTCAAGAGACCTGCTGTATGGCTTATCGAACGGCATTGCAAAGAGCTCAGGGCGGCTTGCAGAGAGGACAGCCTGGTCTACCAGGGCCTGAGGGAGCCTTGTGTGATGCCTTGGCTGTTTTTTGAGCCTGTCTGTGGTCAAGGTAGCTGCGGTTTGTTGGCTGTGGCCTCGCCCATCATTTGACGATGCGATGTCTACGAGCTCGGGGTCCATTCTGATAGAGCAGGGAATGAATGGATGTGGATGTGTTCAGTCTTTCGTCAATTACCACCGTTTCTCCGCCTCTCGAGTTAGGCACGAACATATGAGCACAGACCACGTCCAGTCAGAGTATCGTCACATCCCATCAGACTGGGTCGTCCACGACACTTCTTTGCTCTCGACTACCACACGATACCGCACTCAGGGGTCACATCCCCAACCAAGCCCAGGGCAGAACCTCCTGAGACCAATTCGCAACATAGAACGGTCGTCGATCAACAAAGCCTGAAAGAAATAAAAGAAGAGAGATAGCAAACATGCCGTTGAAACCTTCCAAGACAATGCCAACCCACTTCCTCTGCATCCCCCTCGTGACAGCCCACTCGCGCCCGCAACTCACCGCCTCCCTCTCCGCTTTCCGAAGCGACATCTGCTCGCCGCGCGCCCAGGGCGGCTTCGACGCACCGCCCGACGCGATCCGCCCCGTTGGGACGCTGCATCTCACCCTGGGCGTGCTGAGCTTTCCCCGCGGGGAGGAAGGCGAGGGGAAGCTTGCGAGGGCAAGGGAAGTGCTTTTAGGGTTGAAAGTAGGTGAGATTTGGCGGGGTGTTCGGAGGGAATGGAAAGGGGTGATAGGGAGGGGGGAGGGGATTCAGGGGAACATGCTCGGGACTGGGACGGAGTGGGCTGAGATGGGGGTAGTGCAATCTGTGGCGGGTGAAGTAGGAGGTGCCGTGGAACAGGGTGGAGAGGGAGGAGATACGGAACCCGAGGAAGCAGAAGAAGGCATCAAGATCACCCTACGCGGGCTGGCGTCCATGCAGCCTGCTGCCCGAGCGACTGTGCTCTACGCGCCGCCGGTGGATCAGCATGGTCTGCTACAAGCGTTCTGTGAGAAGGTCAGGGCAGCGTTTAGGGAGGCCGAGATAATGGAGGATGAGGGCCGGCCGCTGCTCTTGCACGCCACCCTCGTCAATACCGTGTATGTCAAGGGCAATAAGCGGGATGGGGCAAGTAATGATCGAGGGAGAGGTGGCAGGGGCGGTAGGGGAGACAAGAAGTGGGATCGTCTGGTCTTTGATGCTACGGGGATTATTGACCGTTATGAAGATCAAGTATGGATGGAGAATGTGCCGGTCGAAAGGGTGGCCATATGTAGGATGGGCGCGAAAAAAGTGGTTGTAGACGGGCAGGAGGATGAGGCGTATGAGGTTGAGGCTGAGGTCGAGTTTTAGTCTGCAACAGGCGTGTGAAGATTCCATATATCTACATCCAGTCACTTACGGTAGATCTCAACGAGTTCCAACCAATATGCCTACCATAGTAGGAGATCAATCACGTCCTTGTCACTTGTACTACCAACGTTCTTCCGTTGCCTATTGACAATTCCGTCCCGTCGAGACATGCGGTCAATGATGTTGGGTGGTCTTCAGGTTGAGCACAGGGGCGTGGGTCCACTAAATAGGCAGAGCTCGGGCCACCCCCGCATCCATTCAAGTTTGTTGGTGCACCTGAATCAGCACCCTGCCTCCACCAGATTGGACTGACGAGGCTGAGGTGAGCCCCATGTGAGCTGACCGGCAACGCCGCAGCCTGGTTCGTCTGACGCCGAACCTGCCGCCATTTGCAGTCGTCCAGGCAGCTGCAATACAGTCTGCCTTCGAATTGGTCAGCGACGTCGAACGAGAGTTTATTATTTCGCAGGCCGGTGCATATTACGATGCAGCGTGATCTCGACGACGTCAACCCCGTCAGCTAACTCAGCGTTCTTGAGAACATACGAACGAAACCCCCAAATGCCGCAGAATAACACTACGCCGCTCATGCCACGCAAAGATATGAGCTCACCGGCAAAACGCCGTCCTCCTCCTGGAGGCACCGGGCCCAAAGGCGCCAGCGGCAGCATCAGCGGGGCACGCTCACCTCCACGTCCGTCCCGCACCGTCGCCACCAGTAACACTACCACCGCCCCCGGCAGCAGCAACACCTACATCGCCCCTCCCCCTCGAGCCGCCCTCAGCGGCACCTCCTCCCCGACCCCCGATAATCCGCGCAACAACACCACCTCCAGAGACCCAATCGGCGCCGTCCCGAGTCCCCGCCTGGGCGGCCTTGTTACCCGACCAAGCACCACCACCAGCCGCTCCCCGTCCCCAGCCACAAACCAAATAGGACAGATAGGTTCAGGAGTTTCAGGAGCAGGAGCAGGAGCAAGAGTAGAGGGACCCACACAAATCGCAACAGCCACCTCCAGCTCCGCCTCCCCGGCATCCACCACCCCCCTCGCAACAGCCCTCCAAGGCGCCCTCCGCGAAAAGGACCTGCGCATCGCCTCTCTTGAGAGCGAGCTCGCCCTCATGGAGTCCGAGTTCCATCGCGAGCTGGACAAGCTGAGCAGCGCCGAGAGCGAGACGGCGGCGTACTGGCAGGGAAAATGCGCCGCGCTGGAAAAGCAGGTGGCTACTGTCATTCTCTCGTTGCAACACCAGCCGCCATTTCCGCCGTCACGGCCGCATCAGCAGGGGGTTGTTGGAGTTGGAGATGGGGAGGGTGGCGGTGAGCGGGAACGGGAACGGGAGCGGGAGGAGGAGCTACGGGAGGCGAGGGCGGCGTGGGCCCGGACGAGGGATGTGCTTGAGCAGAGGGAGCAGGAGCTCAGAGAGGTTAGGGCGCAGGTCCGGGGGCTGAAGGAATGGGTCAGTGTGAGTACGAGGGCGCACGGGGAAGCGCAGACGAGCGATGAAGTGTTTGGGGAGGGGATGGCGAGGCTGGGGAATAGGCTGCAAAATTGGGTGCTGGTAAACTTCAGGCGGGCGAGGGTTGGTGAGTACTGCTCTGGCCCTGGCGCTGGTTTGCGATTGAGTGGCGGACTGACGGTAGCAGATCTCTCGGGCGCCGATGAGGATGCGATATCGGAGTTGGCGCGTCTAGTGCCCATGTACGAAGACCTGGCTTCGGCCTCCAGAATCCATTTGCTTCAGTCGCTCGTGTCGCGGGTGCTTGTGGAACTCGTGTTTAACGCCTACTTCGTGGGGCTTCCGGCCGATGTGGCGGCGCAGATCAAACAGGTCGAGGTGTTCCTCTCCTCGTGTGGTGAGATCGTTCAGCCCTTACATCGACAACTGGGAGGCTGACAATCTAGTAGCATCACCCGAGTCGATAAACCAGTGGCGGTCTCTCACCCTGACGATCGTTAAGAGAGATGCCGGCGAGAAGCTACAGACAGGAACAGCCGCCATCGTCGACATGGTTGTATCCAAGGTCAGTAGCCTCCTGGACGCAATCACAAACACGAAATCAAGTGAATCGCGAGACCAAGGACTCCAAGCCCTCGTCACCAGCGCGATTGAGCTCTCGCGGCTGTTGGCAGTGCAAAAGGCCGTCTTCAAAGTCGAAATGCCCGAGATCCTCCCGCATCAACGGACCATGTTTGATCCTGAGATCATGGAAGATATTGGTGGCGAGGACGAAGACAGCCTCGCAGACCGCGAGATCTGCTGCGTCACGTTCCCGGGCATCATCAAACGGGGCGATGAGAGTGGCGGGCATTTGCAGTACCGCAATGTCATATCCAAGGTCAAGGTGCTCTGCAGTCCGGAGTGAAGCGTCGGGGTAGATGAAGGCAAGGGGTTGGCTGTTGTACCACACAACGTCCGGTGCCTGCATTTCCCTCTGGAGCAGGCGGAGGAGATGACAGGGACTTTCCCCAGCACTCTGACGTTGCCATTGTCCCCTGAAGCGGAAGCGTGTCAACCTTTACGGCCGCTGTGTGATCCCAACACTTCGACTTGAAGCCCGGCCGCAGATACAATTTCAAACTTGGGGCTCGTCAGTGTTCTCCAATCAGCATACTTTCCGGTCGATAGGTGCAGGAATCTGGCGTTGATGCTAGAGGGTTGCAGCGCATGCATGGCTAAGCGTAAATCGGCAAGACCGGAAGCTCATTGGCATGGCAGAGCCTCCAACTCCCCTCCACTCTCCGGAATTGGTGTTCACAAGGGAGGACTATGTGTAAGCGTGATCAGGAGAGCACATTGCATGTCAAGCCATTGTCGAGCTTCCAAACATGGTGTCAGAGAAGGTGACCATTCCCTTCGAGCCACGACATACCGCTTGTCGACGACCGCCACAGCCAGCATCTGCACGGGTCCTGAGTGGCTTGCATTGCTGACACGGCCATCTGGTGCAGCCCAGGTCCGTCGCTCGCCACGAGGCCGGGTCTTCTCCGGATCAGCTGACTGCGATGCTCATCGACTACCTCGATGTGCTGTGGAGGAGAGCTGCACTTTTTTGGCCGTCTCATAAGCGACTCATTCTTACAACGGCCATGAACAGAAGATGTTGCTAGCCACGAGGACACCGGGTTAGAGCATGTGGCTTTGGAGCTAGCACCCGATTGCAAGTGCCGGTTGGCTCTGATAGCTTCCAGGTTCGTGTACGTTGTCATTGACACGGAACAAACCGATGACTTGGCGGCTGCCCGTTAGACGCTCTGAGATGCATCTATTAGGTACGCTCAGCGCTGCCAGTCTATCTCTATCTATGTAACTGTCCTCTGTCGAGAGCGGTGAATCCCCTGAACTCCTGAAGTGCCGATGATAGGTCAAAGACGGGTCAGAAGTGAGCGAGCTCTGCTCGTAAGCACTGTGACGTAAACGCGCGGTCTGCACTGGCTGAGTTCCGGGAAGGCAGCACCTCCTTTTTTTTTACTGTGTACGCGAGGCAGCACGCGCAAGTACCGCTCCATCCAAGCTGTTAGTACATCCCAAAATCATGTAACATGTAATAATCATCCTCTCGACTACCCCTTCTAACAACTTGCGCAGTCGAAGTACATTGAAGCAACGTCGAGCACACAGTTGCCCACCGAAGCGAACCAGAAGCTGAGTTGCAGATCGGCTGGTTCATGCAGCCTCTGGGACGACAGATGTGTTGATGTCGGCCACCATTACCCAAGGGGGATGAACACCTAGCAATCTTTGCTGCTGTGCCACCTTAATAGCGCAACCGCCTCCAGCCATGGTCGGTGGACTGGGAGCTGGGAAGCTTCGCGGACTTGTCCATACTCTGAATGGTCCGCTATCAGCTCCGCCGGTTCTGTCGGACAACCGATTGGGTGATGAATTGAGGCTCAAAATCACCGGCGGTCGTGACCATCAAGCTGTGCCAGAGAGCTAACCCACCGACCTTCTTTTGCCAAGTCGGCTGAGCCCGCAGTTGTATAAAACTTCGAGCAGGACAAGTGCTACCTTATCCCATTGTGCATGGGGTACCACGGTTCACTGTGCGCAATTGCGGGAAGTCGATAGCCCGATGCCCGCCAAAATGTTAAACCTCACTCTGCGTTCCACAAGCAGAGTGATCGCGCACTCACATGGCGTGTCATCCGGTGATAGGCTCAGCGCGGCGCCGCCTATACGGCATGTCCACTCGACTTGATCTGCGACTGCGCACAAGTCCCGAGGCAGAGAAGCGGAATTGCGGCGCGAACTTGGGTCGCAGTTACGGTGAGAGTCGACGTGATGAGTGGTTTCCATGCAACCGCCAACGGACACTTGCCCTCTTCCGGTTTCTTTCGATTCCTGTGAGACGGCTTGTAGCGGGACCGGAACCGCGGCAGCCAGTCAGTGACGGACGAGCTGCATGGCCAGAGCCTCGACCAAAAGTCCCCGAGTCACGTCTTGCGAATTGGGTATTCGAGGACCAGCGCAAGTGCGCCGTGACGGGAGGCATGGATTGGTCAGAGCCGGCGGTGCGAGGACTCGAGTCCACAGGATCCGGCAGCTTGGAGACGACTGCGATCGCCATGAAACAAATTCGTGTCGACACTCCGGTGGGTCGGCAATGGATGGCGTGCAGAGAGCTGGCGCAAATGGGACAACGTACCATCGGTCGCGCCCGCATCCGTGCACATGGTCGGATCGGGCAGCAGGAGGAAAAATCTACCCAAAATAGGCGGGTGCGGTGTGATGACGGGCAGAGGGCCGGGCCGATGGATGTAGGGTCGATAGCGGGAAGAACCACACCCGATTTGTTCAAGAGAAGGGAAGGAACGGCAAAGGGAAACCGCGACTCACCTCGATACCAGGACCGTGACATTTAAACCGGACCCCGTCCCGGATTAAGTACCAATTTCATCCTCCATTCTGCCCCAAACCGGCAAAGTTTCGCAGTTCCTCGGGCTCGTAATTCACGTCCAGTGCTGGACGCTGCCCTCCCAGCCCTTGGGCATCGGGTTGCCCAAGCTAGAAATACTGCATACGCAGTCCTTGGGACGCCTCGACCACCATTCCAAACAGTCCAAACCAGCCCAGTCGAGTGTTTCCACTCGTCGCATTCCTTGCCTTCACGGCGACGTCTGTCCTTCTTTCGCGACTTTGTTGGGCCATGGGTTTGGTCCGACATTCAGATCGCAATCGTTCGGAGTGTCAGCAGGATCGAACCCCGGTCGGCGCCGCTCCCCAACCCCAACAACGCCCACCGCACCCCTCCCCCGCGGCATCTAGCTGCACTCCGACCGACTGGCCAACCGTATCAGAACAACATCGTAATGGCGTCCGGCTTCAACCGGGACGAGCCGTGGAGTCTCCGGAACCTGCGCGCCCCGGAATATGCGCACAGCCAAGCATCGTCTCTCGGCTCTGGCATTGGCCCGCGCTGGGCGCCGTCAGTGACAAGCAGCGATCAGCTGAGCGAACGTGACGGTTCAGAGTACGACGACGCGCAGTCCGAATATCGGACCGCTTCCACCGTAACCTCGCAATTCACCATGCGATCCGCCCCGCCGCCCTCCATTTTCAGCAGCCGGGACGGTGCGACAAGTTCGGCGGGACAGAGCTCGGCGCCATCGTTAGGCGGACCTCGGGTGCCGATCATGGGATTGTTCGACAACCCAGCTTTCGCCCCTCGACGTCCTGATCAAATCTTGTGGTGCGAGTTCGCCCGGCTTATGAACTGTCACGCAACCTTTTCCCTCGACGACGAAATCGGCTGGATCCAGCATCACATAAACCACCTGAGGGATACCTACCCCCGGGAGCTCATGTGTTGGTTCTGCGACTACCATCCCTTCGTTGCCTGGCATTATCCCGAAGACGGCTTCGCCAACTTTGAGGAGCGCATGCAGCATGTGAGGGGGCACATTCTCAGCGATCATCGCTTGACGAACCGGGCCATGCGGCGCGACCTCCACATGGTGGCACACTTGTATCACCACGGCCTGCTGAGTGCCGAAGAATATAAGGCGGCCATGGAGTATGACGAAACACCAGCTGCGTTCCGACTGCCTGGCTCTCATTCCTCGTCGTTGCTGCATCGACCGTCGATTGGCTACCAGCCTGCGGCACCCAGAGAGAGACAACAGTACCACGACTTGGACAGAGAAGAACGACGCCGGCAAAGAGAGAGACAAGGCCGCAACCACGGCAAAAGACGATAAGAAGAGAACTCAAAATATATGCTGACGACACACCTGATTGCGGTTTGCGCAGATTGAACCATACCGCCATCGAGCTGGCAAAGGATGGCTTTATATCTGTCGCAGGCGGGACCGGAGTATGAGAATCCGCTTGGAGATGGAGGTGCGGAAGGGGAATATATCAGACGAGACGCGACGCGTCCCGGGGCTGTGCCCCGTTGCCCCACCAACGTCTTGCACTCGGTTCCGGGGCTCCAAACCCCGGCCCAGCCTGACCGAGACAAAGACTGTCCGGTTGGGCGGCTCTCGCAAGCGAAGATGGCCGAATCGATCCGTGTGGTTTCTGTGTTATTATGTTCTGCTGAATTTCTATCGTCGTTGATGCTGTTCTGCTTTTCGAAGCTCTTTGTTTGCTCTTTCTTTCCCCACTTCCAACTCCTTGGGAAAATGCCCCTTGGGAAAACGCCCCTTGGGACGAACGACAGCACGTCATATTGACGCAGGAATTCGCTGCTGCATAGTTCTTTCTTCTTCTTCTTCTTTTTTTTTCTTTTTTTTTTTTCGAGATTTTCGGTTTCGATTGATCTTGGTTCGGAACGTTGTGCGGAGGCCAGGAGCCCTGTTTGATTTCCTGCGTTTTGTGTTTCGATTCATCCCGGGCATCTCTGCAGGTTTGGATGATGAGGGGTCAAATTGCGTCTGACGGCACATATGAGATGATCACGACAGATGCCTGGACGAGAGGCAGTCAGTCATTGGTTGTGGCTTGAGCACTTTGTGGACTGGCTTTGACAGCCGATTTGTTAGTTACGTTGTTCTTTTGGTATAAGTCGGTCGCTTGGTGGGAGTCTGAGGATATGCGGAGCTATTTCAGGGGCCGTTTTGATGACTGGCGCGAGGAGAATGAAGGAGCTCCATCAGTGGTTCGAAATAGGCGACAGGACTGGACTGTCTGTATAGAATACAGTCATTGCCGGAAGAATAACAGAGCAATGTTTGTGGTTCTGTCTTCCAGAAGACTAGAGGAGGTAAGGTAAGAGGGAGGAAAGGAGCTTGAATATCTGAGTTTTTCCGTCGTTGACGCGCCTCGAATAACAGGTGACACGACTCTGTTGATCTATGTCAAGTTTGCCTGGGTGGCAAAGTCAGAGTTACGAGGTACTCTATATGTTGTCTAGGTACCTTGGGTGATAATGCTCTCTTGTCTTCTATATGGACTGAACATATGCCGTTCCCTATGGCGCTGTGCCGCCCAGCTGTCCGAGTCAGGCTACCGTTCACTTGTCCTTCCAGGTTCCCAGCCTGTTTGCAGTGCTGCCTGCTCGCCTCACCTCGACTTACACAGGCAGTGGGCGCCCTACTCTGGCGGGTGTTGTACGCCCTGCGGGTTGCAGACTAATCAAGCGGTATCTTACGACCCAGACTTGGGAACCTGTGTTGTTATTTGTAACACGAAGGAGGCAGTGCTAGCCACGCGTTGCTGACTCTGGTTGGGAAGCTGGGGTTCTGGTCCTGTTTGCTACTGGTTGGTAATGCGTCGTGGTTCCAGTAATTTGGGTCTAGAGCTATCCAATTAGCTACCGGTACGACGACGATAGGACTGTTGCTGTTATTGCCGACTGCAAAGGGGTGTGGAGGACTCATACGGCGTGGCGCTCTTGGTGTGGACTACCTTATTTCTCACTGGACACGTTTTCTCAGTTCGGCTAGCTGGTGATCCAAGGGAGAGAAAGAGAGGATGCCGGCACATGCTGCGCAGCCGGCTGTCTGGAGACCAGATGGCTAAGCTTATGTGGCTGCTGGGTATGGCGAGCTTTCCCTGCGCGAAGACTTGCGGAACGGCAACGATGGCAGCCTTAGTCGAGGAAGCGGCAGGAAATCCCATGGTATATGCTCTATATCCACATTATCGTTACACGGAATAAGGAGCACTGATTGCTGTCGTAGCAGCTATGATACAATCCCCCTGTTTCAGCAACCCATTCACATGAGCTCACACAGAAAGGGGTAGATATGAGCCCTCGGCAGAAAACCCAGAGCGGGGGAAGAGCAGCCCTGTGCATCATCATGCCCTGGGCTGCTTCCCATCTGTAGTCCCCAGCGCATCTCCCGCGATCGAGAGCTCCTCGACCGCTTTTTGGACCTTGTCCACCTCGGCCTCCGCAGCTGGGGTAGCAGCGCCGTGCGACCTGGCCATCCTGTTCCTGGCGATGACCTCGCCAATCTTCTCGAGCATCTCCTCCGACAGCACGGGCTGGCCGCGCTCGCGGCGCAGTTCCCGCATCTTGCGGTTGTACTCCTGCACGGGCAGCAGCATTTCACCGGCGCGGGCGCCTTTCTGGCGGGCCTTCTTCTCGGCCTCACGCGCCTCAATTTCGGCGACGTACTCGGGCATGTGCCGCGTGCGGAATTTGGAGTACTTGTTGCGCAGCTCGTCGAGGACTGTCTCTGGCATGGGCGGACGCAGCAGCGTCGGCACAAACGTGCGCTCTTCGACCTCGAGACGAAGTGTGTCGAATGCGTGGTCTGGCCACTGTTTTGGTGTTTGCTTCGGCCATGGGATGCGCACGTTCGGACCCGGCACCATGCGGCCGTAGAAGACCTTGCGAGTCGGCCGATCGTGGATTATCCCGACGGGCTTGAGCTCACGGATGATGACGTCGCGGGTCACGCCGGTCATCGGGTCAGGGAGCGGGTGTACCAGCCTGATGGCGGAGATGGGTATGCGCCCTTTGATCTGCTGGACGGGGGCTTGGCCCTTTTGGGACAGGAACGAGGGGATCTTGGCGTTTGTCTGTTCGGAACTTCGTGTAAGTAAGTCCCATCATTACTCAAAGCTACCTTACCCGAGTAGGGACGGCACAAGACCTACAATGGCAACGTTGCCGTCCAATTCAACGGTCATATTATCCTTGTTGATCTGGGCAATGGTCGAAATCTTGCCCTTGTAGGGGCCCTCGGTAATGACAACGCGGTCATTCGGGGCGAGACAGAGGTACTGCGACCCGCCGGCCCAGGCGGCGCGGGCGTCTCGCTGCTCATCGGTGAGAGTGGTCTGGAGCAGGGCTCGGTCGGTCGAGATGCTGCCCCAGTAGTTGCCGAATGGGTCGGGCTTGCTGACGTCGCGGCGCGGAGCGAGCGGGCCAAGCTCCAGATCTTCGTGCCTGGCCTTGATGGCCGTATTGAGTTCGTAGCCGGCCTGATCCCTCATATTGCGGACTGTCCGAAGGCGATTTCTCTTCTCAATAGCGTACGCGAGCTCTTGCCGGCGCTTGGCTCGCCGCGCAACCTGGCGCTCGGCCATGCGCACCCGCCGGAGGATCTTGTCCATGACGCCGGCCGATCGTGGCGCAAAGTCCTCACTCAAGAGGGAAGAGGGCGGCGGTGGGCGTCAGGGTTGTTGTCGGCGTACTCCGTATCCAAGCTGCTGCTTCTCTCACGCAAATGCGATTTTGAAAAGTTGAAGCAGTCCCGAAGCCTGCAACGGACCCACATCCTGCTTTGGCTGCAGGGGAAGTTTTGTGCGGCTGGCGGGAGGCGGTGACAGCTGGTCGAGGCCAAGCCTGACGGCGAACGCAGCGAGCAGCCGACCCGCTCTGGCTCCGCGGAGCGTTGAAACTGCAGCCTCTCTGCATAGATCCACCCAAGGCTTCTTAAAACGTCTACCATTGTCAACGTTTCTGACCCTAGAGTTTGTTGGAACCTGAATGAGGTGCAGCCAACCAGCAACAACAACAGCAGCAAGAAGAACGGCCTCCATTCAACGGCATCAACCAATCCCCGTCCACGCATGTGCTCTCAAACTGGTAGCCAATGATTGCGATTCCCTGCCCTCAGTTTCGGGGCTTGCGAGTTGCAATGCCCTCTAGCAAAACGATGCTTCTTTTGTCCATTCACTCCATTGCGCAGTTCCGGCCCGCCGTGTCTTGATTGCCAGAGTGGCATCTGTTGCCTGATCTAGCTGGCATCAAGTCCTGCAGGACTTTGGGGCTCCACTCAAGGCGGGACTCGTAGGCACGCGCCACAGACTGCCCCGGCCTCCCCCAGCTTCTGACGGTCGAGGTCTCCAATTCCACACATGTCCACCATCGCGACAATCTCAAGCCCGAGTAACCGTTTTAGGTTGAGCCAGAGAGGCTGATGCAGCGAAGCCGTTTTTCTGCCGCCGCGTTTTTGGGTGTCCTGAAATGGCGTATTCAGTCCTGTGATGCGGTTCGTATCTTTGTTAGCCGTAGTTCTGCATGTATGTACAAGTACAACACACGTCCTTGTCTATCAGGTCCTGCCGAGGCATGCTTCAACCTCGGACAGATGATTGCAACTGGCCGGCAGAGTCATGCTTTGATAGCTTCCTTTGCACTGCCGCCCGTGTGCAGGACTTCCACTTGGAAGTACCGAAGACATGACGCTGCCTGCTACTAAATGCGCAGACATTTACCGATGATATTAAGTAGTATGTATGAGCAGCGTCTTGTGTCAACAACAGACCAATCTGACACTCTTTCAGCAATTCTCAGGGGTTGCCGTACGGTTTTGCGGAGTTTGCCAGCCTGCGCCAGCTTGTTCTGGGCCCAGATCGACAAGCAACAACAGAACCCAATTCAGACCGCAGCGCAACCATTTGTTGATGACGAATTGCCCTTTCCACAGCACGTTTCTACCAAAGACGCGAATAAGGAGTCGTTTCCCCCCAACGTCTTTCTTGAACAAAACCGCACTCTTCCCTTGCGTTACATATGTGAGTACCCTTATTTCAACGTCGGAAGACTTGTGCAAATCCGACACCTGACAAGTTGCAACCTGGAACTGACGACTGCCTCATCTCAGCCCAGACCAAGCGAACAGCACTTGAGCAAGCCCCCCCAAGGTCGCCAGGTTTCTGACCACTCAGAACGCTCCATTCTCGGCGGACCGGCACCCACTCTTCGTCCCCTTCTTTCCCGGCCATTCCCCAGCGCAGAGCACCCGGCCGCCCTTTCTCTGCCATCAATTGCATCGACCGGCTTTCTTCCTCCACTTTTCACCCTTTCCATCTCTCTTGCATTTGCTGCATCAAACAACCCGGCAACCCGGTTTTCCCAGTGGCATCGCCTGCCACCTTCCCTCCCTCTGCGACTCCCGACCGAACGCTGTTCCGCCTTCGCGTCGCCCAAACTCCGCGCCTCGCTTGCAGCCGAATCCTGCTGCAGCATCCTCAAACTCACCCGACACTCCGTTACTCCATCGCATAGCTCTATCCCCCAGCAACCATGACTGCCGAGCTCCGCAGAAAGCTGGTCATCGTCGGTGACGGTGCCTGCGGCAAGACCTGCTTGTTGATGTAAGTCTCATTTTCCTCATTGCGTGCCGGCCTCGTTGGGGGCGCCGAGTTCCAGGTATGTCCTCGTGGTCCACACGGCTCTGTACTGACACGGTTTGATGGCAGCGTTTTCTCTAAGGGTACCTTCCCAGAGGTGAGTTGGTTCATGGAATTCCCTTTTTGACATGATTCGAATGGCGAAGCCCGGGTTCCAGCCTCGCACTCTGCAGATCGCCTCGATATATGGCGCCATCGCTTTTGATAGCGACGTTCCGCTTCACAGGCGTTGCATCATCGCATCGAAACACGACAAGCGTTGCCAATCAACGAGCTGACATGGCGCACAGGTCTATGTCCCTACCGTGTTCGAGAACTACGTCGCCGATGTCGAGGTTGATGGCAAGCACGTCGAGCTGGCGCTATGGGATACGGCCGGCCAGGAGGACTACGACCGTTTGCGACCCCTGTCATACCCCGACTCCCACGTCATCTTGATTTGCTTCGCCATCGACTCTCCCGACTCCCTGGACAACGTCGGCGAGAAGGTCAGCTAAAATCGACCCGGTGCAGCACACGTGCATTATAGACTCTCTTGCTAACGCTGCCCTTGCGACAGTGGTGCTCCGAAGTACATCACTTCTGCCCGGATGTTCCCAAGATTTTGGTTGGCTGCAAGAAGGATCTGCGTTTCGACCCCAAGACCATCGAGGAGCTCCGCAAGACCAGCCAGCAGCCGGTGACCACTGAACAGGTAGGCAGCATCGAACCAACCCGCAGCGGACTGGCAGCACACAAGGCCCGACCCGTCTGGGTGCATACATTATGCTAACGCGAGACAGGGCCAAGCGGTTGCCAACAACATCAAGGCCACCAAGTACCTTGAGTGCTCGGCCAAGACCAACGAGGGTGTCCGCGAGGTGTTCGAGTTCGCAACACGGGCTGCTTTGCTCAAGAAGACCGGGAAGAAGAAGAAGTCCTGCGTCATCGCCTGAGCACCCACCGATTCTGAATAGACGCCTCCCATACTGTTGGACTCTCTTGCCCCGACCTCGATTCTACTCGCACCAGGTCTCGCAAATACGACGTGCTCCCTTCCTTGTCTTTGGAACGACAGTTAGAGGTATAAACAGTGCTCAGGCTGTTTCCCCCCAGTCGGCCGTCTATGAGCGCCGGACGTGGGAAAGCGCCGTGTACGCTCGGGGAACTGTACGCAGGCGCCCACAATCGCGGAAAGATTTGGAGGAAGAATAGTTTTGGCAAGCAAGAGCTGGAAACCGAGGATGCGGATGGTGAGCATCATGAGTCATCTGGGGTACCTCCTCGGTTGCCTCATGCGACTGCAACCTCGTCAGAAGATGGAGTTGGCCGGTTAAACGACGAACTGTGGCGGCAAGCTATAATCCAACACGTCCAATGCACTTCCCTTTCTATCTTGACTTTCTTCTCTCTTGTCTGTCTGTCTCACATTACTCGACGGTGCTGTGGTTTCCTGTCCTCTTGTTACTAGCTAGCTATTTATTATGCTCTTTTTGGACCAGACCATGTGCTCTGCGCGTCTCTGACTGTCGAGCTTTGGTACGCTGTTGTTGGTACGGACCGAGTCAATTTACAGAGCCACGGTATCTTTTTCTTTCTTGGTTTCGTTTTTGCGTGCTGGTCATGTGGAGGGAGCGACCGTAACTAAGAGCAGCCCCTGCGCCTGACGCTCATATCTGTTACCATTGGCCGCCGTCCCGTGGCAGCGTCAGCTTCTTGCCCTTGGAGCTACCTTCCAGCTAACAGTCCGTCTATTGCAAACATCGTGAACCTGAATCAGGTAACGGCGTAGGCACGTTCCAGCCAGACATTCAATCATTTTAATCTTCTGTTGAGAAGGTCTCTGGCCCGGTCATCACAGGCGTGATCAATCTTCAGTTCGGTAGTTATCCATTAACGCCCCTTCAACCACCCCCCAATCCCCTTGAAAATCAGTCGATTCTGTTAACCGCAGAACCCAAGCTTGCTCTCTTCCGCAGCAATCCATTGGTGATAAACGTCATCCCGTCCTGATTGTCACTCAGCTTGACCGGACCCAATCCGCACCACAGCTTAACCAACCCTCAGTGGTTCTGAGCACCAACGACAAACGTCCTATTGCGGTGAGGAGCTGTGGTACCGCGGGTTGGTCAACTCAGTTGGGGCAGCTCTGTAGTTGAAGGAGTTCGATTAGTAACTCTGTCATTATCGACGTCGTTGACTGCATCGAACGGGGGGGTCGTCGGATGTATATGTAGTCCTGGGAATTATGCCTTCCCAAGACAATAGAGACTCTGAACTCTTAATTGACGGGATGAGACGGGGGCTTACGGCGCCGCAGGAACCGCACGACTTAGAGGCGCCATCGGACGAGGCACCGCACTTGGGGCAGCTGGATCCGTGCATCTTGTTTGTTTGGTTGATGTTGAGTGTTTCTTGGACGGGAAGGTGGGATGGGAGATGAGTGATGTTGTTTTTGATTTTGAGTATTTGTGTATGTAGTAGATACAAGAGAAGAGGGGTCGAACTCATTCAGCTCTGGAGTTCCACACTTCAGTTCAGCAGGAAGCGGGGTCTTATACCTTTTCCCCGTATCTTGTCGTTCCCTCCCACCTTCCTTCTTGTGGTGCCTACATCTAACCGCCTTTATGCCCCCTCACAATTGTTAAGCTAGCTCAGCGTCAGGCTGACCACGCAGTCGCCTCCACGCCGCTAGCAAAGACGAGGTCAGGTGGTTCGCTTGTGCGAATCAGAACCGGGTGTCCGCCGACAGCACCGCCCCTTCCTGCTACTGTGTACACCGGGGCTGACGGTTAGGCAGCCGGTCACCCATTCGTCTGTCAGTGTCCTGCATTGCAACCCAGCAGGACATCGAAGGTCAAGCAGATACTGAATCGGGCGCGAGTGTAAGGTAGGTGCGGGGATCCGAGAGCTGGTGTCGGTTCCCCACGCCAAGAAGTTTGGACGTAACAGAGCCTATCTTGTGGTCGGAAGCGGGTGGGTGACACAGCAGCGATGAGCTTCCCGTCCCAGTGACAGGAAAAAGATGAGACATCAAGAGGCGGGAGGGGATTTTGAATGAGGCACCAAGTGACTCGAACGAGCAGCGTCTACTGCCGTATCTTGATATGATGGGGGCTCCGTCCCAGAGTATGTAATGCTAACACAGTGTAGATGGGGAGGGTATGTGGTCAGAGTCTTTAGCAACCCAGACGCCGAAACTCCCCAGTGCTAATGCACAAACTCCAACCGCTAGCCCGGCACCGTTTCCGCTCTATGCAGTGTATGCTCCCTCGAAGTCAGCAGATAGGTATAATCGTAATACCGTGGTCCATCCATGCATGATTATTTAGTAACATGATTGTTTAGTAACACTGCCTTGTTTCTCCTTCGCCTACAACACCAGATCCGTTAGCCATCATGCTGTTAACACGACAAGACAGGGCTGATGACCAACCTGTTATCATCTTCCCAATGGCCTGCAGCATGCTCATGACCATAACCGTACACCCGAATGCTACGACCGTCCAGGCCACGTACGTCTTCCACGAACGCGTCGTGAGCTTGATGTAGCACAGCGGCGGGAGGATATACGCCATGGCGGCGGCGCTGGTCCCGCCGACCAGATCAAACACGGTGCCGAGGTCGCATGTCACCAGACTCAACACCATGGCACTGAAGACCAAGCTGCTGGTGAAGATGAGGTGCAGGTTCATGTTGAACGGTTCCCCCGGAAAGTAGTAGTTCAGCATGACCTCGCGGCAGACGAAGGCCTCGAGCGGGAGCGTGGTGAGCATGTTGAGGCCGAAGCAGAGGCGCGCAATGTTAACCATGGTGTTGTCGGAAGGGAAGTTGTTAAGCACGTTGCCCTGCGTCTTGTCGCCGAAAGTGAGGAAACCCGCGAGGGCCATCAGCAGACAGGCCAACATGGACACGGCCGTCGAGATGTGCGTAACCCTGGCGAAGCGGTCGATGGTGGGCTTTTCGAGAGACCCGTAGATAAGGAGCGAGTTGTGGTGGCAGACAAAGGCTAGACAAGTCAGCACCGTATTTTTCTTGATATCCCCCCGAGAAGAGCTGTAACATACCGAAGGATATCACCCCTATCGCCTGGAAAATCCCATCGTTGATAACCAGCAGCCGCCAGTCCTTCAGCGACCCCCGCTCTGCCGCCGGCACCATCATGCCCTGCACAATGACCGTCACCACGATCACCGCCATGCTCACCAGCGCGAGGGTACTCGCCTTCGCCAGCTACACACTCCACTCATTAGCCCTCGTCCCCTTCCCTCACTTGCCTCTGAATTCCGTACCCCTCCTGTAGAAAAGCAAACTTACCTTGGCAATATCCCTATACAACGCCAGGGGGTAACTCACCCCGAGCGTAAACAACACAATCACCACCCTCCGATCCGCCAGCCACCCCACCACAGGCGTATCCCTCAACCCAGGCCACACGGCCCTCAAGACACTGGGGATTGAGTCTCCGACAATGACGCCAAAAGCCACCATGCCACCAAACGCAAAAGCCCACTGCGCCACCGAGATGGCCACGAGCCCCGTCCGCCCAAAGCACCGCTCCACCGTGCCCTGGAAACTCGTCGAGCCGCTGAGCTTGGAGTTGACGACAATCAGCCGGATCGTCCAGTCGACCACGACGGTGAGCACGACCAGCAGCAGGGTGCCTGCGAGCAGCCCCGCCTGGCGCAGCGCGTACGGCTGGCCGATGATGCCCGCGCCGATGATCGAGTTGGCCATGTTCATGAAGGCGGACGGCAGCGAGGACTTGGGGCGGCGCAGCTCTGACGTGAGCCATGTCTCTGCGTCAGTTGGTAAGGAGGTGGTGCTGGTGGCGACGGTCACCGAGGGGGCTTCGATGTCTGTGAGGAGGGGGACGCGCTGGTGTTGATGGTCGCGGATATGTGTTGTGTTGCGGAAGAGGGGGTCGGCCGAGTCGAGGTCAAAGTCGAGGCTTTCTCGCGGCGGGTAGGGGTTGTCGTCGTGGTCGTCGGAGCCGTTTCTTGCGTGCGCTTCGGAGACTATGGTCGGGCGCAGGTCGAAGCGGACGCGGTGTGGGGTTCGCGGGTTCGGGTGGTCGTCGTCGCCGTCGGCTGGGTCGCCAGGGTGGACTATGTGGCCGCTGTCCCTGTTGTCGTCGTCATTGTCGGCTGGGTCGGCTGCTGCTAGCAGACCCGTGGCCTCTTCGTTGTTGTTCCTGTGATTGTTCCCGCTTGATGGCGAAGGCGACGCTCCGTGACGGCGGCGGTGGGCAGCTGGTGCAGCGCCGTGCGATGTGGCCCTGGCCATTTCTCAACTGCAGCTCAGGGCATCTTGCGGAGTCGCAGCCCGGAGTCAATTAGTACTCGTCAGTTTCACTTCGAGGAACTGTCTTGTTGGCATGAAGAAGGAAGAAGAGAAGCTGCTTGTCAAGGATGCCGTTCTTGGCGGAAGAATGATTGTGTGTACCCTCGGACGGAGTTCCTGTTCAGGGAATCTGGGATTGATGTAGCCCAGACGTCAGCATCCCTGTCGCGTCGTTTCAGGGGTCACGGTCTTGAAGCAGCCTCATCAGCCGTTCGGAAACGGCTGAGTCTGCACTGCCGACGGTACCCGACGAATCCGGAGAGCAATGGAACTTATCACAGCAATTGAGCATAATATTTCCATTGCCAACAACTTTCTTTCAGACAAAGAACTGCGAAGAAAAGCGTCGATTGTGGAATTCCACAGAGTCTCATTATAATATGGTACAGACAAAATCGGTCTCTCCCGGTCGAGAGCTATTAGTTGAGCGCCGAGCTCAAAATGTTGGCGTTTGCCAATCCTCCTCCTGGGTATCACTGGATGTTTGTCAACCCGACCGCTCACAAATTAGATGCAAGACAACGGTGATCAAGCTGCGAAATACGTTGCCGGCCTGCTGTGGGCCGACTGTACGTTCTTCGCCCGGGTTTGCTCTTACCGGCGGAGAGCAGAAGCTTTAGCCGCATCCCGCCTCATCAACATTTCAACCTAGCACGGCCACGACAACAACACAACACAGTGCCGAGATGGAGAGGCCCCTTCCCAGTTGGTTTCCACCATTGACCTGCGTGTGTGCAGCCCCAGTGCTGGTCGTCGCCGGGACACTCCCAGCCGTCGCCGATTGCTGGCTGTTGAGGCCGGGCATGATGGGCTGTGCAGAATCGCCGCCGGCCACCGACGTGACAGCTGCCGATAGCGTAGTAGCAGAGGCCACAACCGACGTGGTTGTTGATTTTGGCGGGGGCGCAGGTTTCGAGGCAAAGCCGATTCGCATTTCGTCCGCATCAAAGACGCTGTACACGTTCTTCAAAAATGTGTCGCCCACCAGCCAGGCGCCCTCAAAGACTTCGTAGCCGTAGAGGTTGCTGATGCATTTATTATCGCCCTTCTGTGCGACCCAGTCCTGGGCCGAAATTCCGTAGGTGACACCGCCGAAGCTGAGATTGATCGGCAGCGTGGTGTCGCACGGGATCTGGTACTCCACATAGTCGCCATTTTTGAACGAGCTGGACCCGGGGACAAGCTTGAATAACGCCTCGAGATCGTCGGGGGGTGCAAAGACATATGACGTGCCCGTGTCGATGTAGCTGAGCCTGTTGGCGACACCGGCTGACGTGCCGTTGAAACTCAGAGCATCCATCTTGATGGCCCATTCGCCCTGCTCTTTCTGAGGCGACTGAATGATGTTGTACGAGATTTCGCCCGTGTACTTCGCTTTGTCAACGCCGCCGAACGTGACCTGACCGTCGTTTGACCTGTCCGAATCGCGGTTCAGGGACATGCTGACAATCAGCGAGCTCACCAGCCTCTTCGCCTTCAGCGTCTGCAAGAAGGTGCCCGTCACGGATGGGCCCATGGAAAGGCCAAGGATGCCGTCGAAAGCAAAGTGCTTGAAGTCGTTGTGGGTGTAATTTGCCAGTCCAAATGAGACCACATCCACGGTCAATCCGGCAAACGAGACTGTGTCCTCACCCACAACGCCCTTGAGGTCTCCCGAGCCATATTCGATCGAGAAGGCCTTATTATCCGTCCGCCACGACTTCGAGGAGCTGGGGTCAAAAGTGTCGTGCACCAGGCAGGCCTCGGACTCGCAGTCGGAGCCCATGAGCCACGTGTTGGACGCACCCGTGTCAAGCAGCATGTAGAAAGGTTGCTGAGCGGCACCTACTTGAACCTTGATGAAGTAGGAGTAGTCGGGCCCGTATTGGTAGATGCCTGCGCTGTTGGACGTTGTGGGCGTAGCGGGTTCGGATACCGAGTATGTGTTCTTCCGCTTCCCCAGTTCGGACGTAGGGGAATGCTGAAATCGTCCGAACTTGCGGGCAAGCCGAGCTGCCGCTGCGGCAACTGGGTCACTGTCTGCCGAGACACCATTGTCCTGTCAAGAGGTCAGAAACATGTCGTGAATGAGGAGTTTAGAGGCTGACGAAAGTCCGGCGTAGAATGGGGATGAATGCCTACATTACTGGGTCCGCGATAAAGGTCGACAGTTACCCCTTCGACAGTACTCCCTGGTCCAGCTCTTTTTGTTGCACTCACAGAAGCGCCGCAGGGCTCAACTGGATCGCATTGGTCGGGCGGGATGAAGGGGAAGAAGGCGTGAACGGAAGCAACCCATAGCGTCAGCTGCAGGAGCAGAGCTGACACGATCATCATGTTGAGGAAGCGCCGCCTGAGGCCTCACCACTCCCACACCGGCCTCGGCGCAAGGGGCGACAGGTCGCCGGTGGCCTCAGGGGAATAACTGGACGTCCCGGATATTGGAGGTTGGAAGGTGGTCGGATGACGGTGCTCAGAGCATTAAGCAACCAATTCGAGAGCTTGAAGAGGCCTGGTGCTGCCAATCGAGTGGCGGCGAGTTCCGGACTCAACGCCGAGAAATATTACGGTGATTAGTGATTAGATGGGCGGCATTTGTATGTATCTTGCCCAGACGCTTGTGGTTGTCGACGGTGCAGAGCGTCGGTAAAGGAAAATGAAAAAACTGGGCTTGGAATTATACAAAATGCTGGAATCTGTCGACAAAGCAATCGGAAACGGGCGGCTGGAAACAATCGATACGACAAATTGGACGACACGAGGTATGTATAGGCGAGAGACACACTGCTCAGGGCGAGACGGGCGGAGGCGCGGATCCAAGACAGGACGAAACCAACAATGTCCTTGATGATGCAGACAGAAAAGGAACCCTCGAAGAACGGCACACCATACGCACCCGACCGAGCCAGGCTGTAGGTGGAGAGGAGGGGGAGGTCGATGTGAGGTGAGGATGGGGTAACGGAGACGAAGGAAAAGGGATTGAGGAGAGAGGATGGAATCATGAGATGGTGGATCGGAACGACGCCGAGCCCATCGCGGAGACGACCTTGCAGGCCTTGGCCTGAAGCTAGGGTGGAGCGTGTGGCTGACTCCACTGTTGGCGCGAGACTTGGGCGGCCAAAAGGCCATTCTATCTTTACAGCAATATCCAGAGGTAGCAGTCTCTCTGCATCGCCTTCCCCATTGAGCAGGATGACGGCGGGTCAGCTGCTGGGCGACGGCGAGTGCAGTTTGGTCGGTTGACGTTAATTGGCAGTTGACCGGTTCGATGCAAGCAACGTGCATGGCATGGGCGTTTGGATGTGGAGGAGAGAGAACGGAGAGGAGAGGCGGAGCATATCCTCAGGAGTGCAACCCTCCAATTCCGTGGACATCCGGTCAGTGACGATTTACAGCGGCCGTTGCGCAAATGGCATCGACAAGGAAAGCAGACAAACTGCAAACCTAACTTGAATCCTTGAAAGTTTGTGATCTTGCAAAGGACGGGGCTCAAGGTCTTGCCAAGTTCAGCGCTCTCATTACACTCAACCCGAATTTATTCGTTAGCGCAGCGCTAGTTGAGATTGATAATTACCAACGGAGTACCACAGGTGTCATCTTCATTCGCCTTGACATCTCTATTATTCTTCCTCTTCCATATTACGTTCTTCACATCTCGCTATGGCTTAATAACTAATACATATCTTTCTTTTATCCTTCCTTCCCTTCTTTCCGTAAAGTACCGTATGCTCTCACCCGGTTCATACAACTCCACTCAGGCTCGGCTAGGTCTCGGTCCACAGCTTTCTGTTTTTCCAAACTCCGAGACAGCCAACCAGGTTTTCTTCCATATCATGATGACTGCTACAATCACGTGAACGCGGAGAGAGTTCTCAGGCACTCTCGGCAGCGGCGGAATTAATGATCTTCCGATTTGCTAAACCCGTGCAAAAGATAGGGAGGACGTGGCCGAAGATCCGGCCGAGCCTCAGTGAAGGTTATGAATCGGGTGAGAACACAAGGTAAACTGCACTTAAACACGCTAACAATCAAGCCAGTGTTTTTGGACAAATCCACAGCCGCGCTTTGATTGGACGATTACTTGACGAAGCTCAATCGGCGCTTCATCCAATTTGCTTGCCCCGGCTTTGTAACTGACAAGACCGGACGGATGCCAACCACGAGATGCTCGAACTTGTCAATAGCCAGCGAAATCAACCCGCCGCGCGCATTCTCGCCTTATGAGCACATATATACAGAGGACCCTGCACGCCAATTCCCGTACTTCATTGCGGGATGTTGGTGCTCCTCAGCGTGCACGATTGAGGGGCAACGGGGCCCCGAAGCTGGCCCCAGTTAACGGTACGACCTTGTCTTTGCATGCCAGTAACGAAGACTTCCAAATGGCCAACGGTTTCGCTTTTGAAGGACAGGACGACACGCGCGTACATTCAAGAGCAACACGCCCACATCACCTCGGCCGCAAGAGCAACTCTCAAAGGCTACGGATACTCCGTACACTGCAACATTTTCTCACTTATGATAGTTAGTGGCTTGCCCGGTGTCCCAAATTGTTTCGGATCGTCGTGGCTGAGGTGTGCGTCCGTTTCACCTCAACTGGGAACATGTGCTCCTGGAGAGTTTCCCCCCCGCAGATCTGACGATCACTTTGTGCCACCCCCTAAACTCCAAAAAAAGACGGGGTATTCAATCCACCGATTTCGGGATATGAACTCATGGCCGTGGACGCTAGTGCGCATCATGAAGAGTCCGTTATCAATCCATTTGGGTGCCTCCTGACGCAGAACACTCCCACCGGCTGAATGTGAGTTGCATTGATATCCCATACCATTGGACGCGAGAACCTCCAATATCACAGAGAGCAGTGTCTGCTTCTTCGTGGGCATAGAGCGGTTTAGATTGTGCGTTGGTTCCGATGCATGTTGTTGAGGGCTCGAGGGCTAGAGGACGGCCCGGCCTCATGCATTCCTCATTTCGGATGTTCTGTGAGCGTCTTGATATATTGCGCGACCCAACATCGTGGTGTTCAAGGCCGGCTCCTTCCGTCTTGGCCTCCAACCGTTGGCGCTGAGTGCTACGCCGTGCAGCTGCACCCACAGTCCTCTGGCCATGCTGGCCAGTACCTGATGTTCGGGAGGTTGGGAGTAAGCATTTGACGGTGCCGCCTCGCAGGCGTATGAACGTTTGGCGTCTCTTAAATCTTCCTGGGCGTGACTGTTGGTTGACTGCCCAATGGGTCTGTAGCAACAGGCTGTGTCCTACTGTTCTGCCGATATGTCTCGCACCATTCGAGAGCAGCTCGCAAGACAGCCTGGTCGGACTGCAGTCTTGAGTTCTCAAGAACGGCTGCCTGAGCCCCGAGAAAGTGAGAATATTGGTCTTCTCCAACAAGCCCTGTTGCGGCAACAGTCCGCAGAAAGACCCAGACAGATTCGTTCGTCAGGCGAAGCGATTTGACAAGGCTGAGGACCTCGGTGAAGGTCGAACACTGGGAGCCCCTGTTCGCGATGTTCCCAGCGTCGAGAAGGAAGTAGAGGAACGACCAGCCGGATATGTCGGTGTAGTGTTGAAAACACCAGGCCTGCACCTCTGCCAATACCGCTGGGAGATTGATGTCCCTGCCCGAGCCCATCAAGAAGCGGGCATGACACCATGCATAGTAATTCCGGGGATGTCTCTCCCCCGCCACGAACACAACGTCCCTGATATCTCTCAGCACGTCAATGGGTACTCCAAGCGAGGTGGACAGGCCGAGAAGCCAGCGGCGATGGCTCCAGAGAGTGGGCGATTTGGTATGCCTGTGTAGCCTGCTCGTCAGGAGGCCGTCCACAAAGCGCTTCTCCCTCTCGAGTCTCGCTCGTGCGTCACTCTGACAGCCGGATAGTAGCCTCTGGATAAGACGCTTCCGAGCGTTGGCGGCCGTGAGATGCTCTGGATCAAAGAGCAGGATGACTGCCGTCGCGGCGGACAGGTCGTCGTCTGGTAGTGGCTTGATCCCGTCGAGATGATGCCTCAGTTGCTGCCGGGCAACCATGAAGGCCTGTACAAGACCCAGTTTGGAGATCCCTATGGCGTGCCCGTCTTGAAGAACGTACTGTTCCTTCTCGAAGATGTGGCTTCTGCCGAGAATCTCGATTTCCAGAAGGCCTTCGGATGGCAGGGCCAGGACATTGGAAATGGCTTGGAATGCTGTCAGGGGGTCCCCTTTCTTCAGGGACGCGGCGGTCTCACTGTCCAAGGCCCGCGACATCCTTGGAGTGGGTGCCAACTCAGCCAACTATTGGTGTGTTGGAGTTTTGTGATTGAATTCAACAAAGCCAGACTGAATGTACGGATAGAGTTGGGAGTACGGCTGAAGAGGGATCTGAGTGGATGAGTGCTTCCCCCAGTGCCTGTGAGAACCCTAACCCTTGAGCACAAGGACTAGCGACTGGTGTGAGCTGGCAGTTCCGTCATCGACGGGCACGGTTCGAGCTGATTCCTAGAGCAGGACGCTGGCGACGACAGACACCAGGCCATGACAGCAACGTGCCCTTGACAATTACCCAGAGCCGCTGATCCCCTCTCTTCTTTCCTCCGCAAGCAGGCAAGATGCCGTCTTTGCTCGTTGTCATCTTTGTGGTCGAGCTCGTGGTCCAGCTCATCAACACCATCGGCGCATCAACCATTAACAACCTAGTGCGCCGTCTCCCCAACAAACACAATACCGGGATGCTGACAGGATGGTACAATCCAGATATGGCGCACCTATTTGTCACTCCCAACACCACTGGCCAAGGAGTTTGCCGAGCAGCGCAAGAAGCAAAAAGAATACCTGGCAGTCCGCCACGATCTCAATGCGACGAGCAGCCAGGACGAATTCGCCAAGTGGGCAAAGCTGCGTCGTCAACATGACAAGCTGCTTGAGGAGCTGGAGAAAAAGAGTATGTGCCTGCTGCATCCCGAAAGCATGTCACCTTGCTGAGTCCATACCGCGCAGAGTCAGGACTCGAGGCCTCCCGAGCCACATTCGACCGCTACCTCACGACAGTCCGATTGATCTCGACCCGCGGCGTGCAATGGGTTCTGCCGTGGTGGTACGGCAAGGAGCCAATGTTCTGGCTTCCCTACGGTTGGTTCCCCTACTACTTCGAGTGGTTCGCGTCCTTTCCTAGGGCCCCGCTGGGCAGCGTCAGCATCGTGGTGTGGCAGTGGGCGTGCACCGGCATGCTGGCGCTCGTCATAGAGACGGTGGTGGGCATATTGGGCATTGTCGCGGCAAGCAGGCAGTCACGGAAGCAGAGGCAGAAACAGCCCGTCCCGGCGGCGGGGGTCGGAGCTGGAACTGGGGAGAGCAAGAAAGAATGGTGAATATGCGGGATATTGCGAGGTTAGAAATCCGACACGGAAATGTCTCTCAGCATCTGACGCAAAGATTCTTCATCGCCGGAGCTAGAATTCTGCAACACTACGTGAGATGACTCTTGGCAGAGTGCTTGGGCTCGATTTAGGCAACACATTGACTTTGAGCGACCATGGGGAGGGCCGCCAAAGCTTCGATAGTGCCAGTTGAGAGTGCAGTCACAAGCGCAGAATCGGGACTGGAGACAGCAATGTCGTAAATTGCGAATTATAGGTGGTGAGTTAATCGTACAAAAGATGCCGCCAGCGTTGAGGCCGTTGATATCCAACCTCGGAGAGATTTGGTTATGCTTTGCAGATGGAAAGGACTGGAGTTTGCGTTCCAAAATCTATATTTTATACCCTGCAAGGCTGAGCCGAGCTCAAGCGACCCACTTCCATCGTCGCCCCACATCACCAAAACTCGCAGCCTCGTCCAAGTTGCAACACCTTGCATCTCGATCCTCAGGGTCTCAACAGCGCCATCCCAGCTTCCCACCACAGGGTCCGTTGTGGACGGCGGCAATACATTTAGAATGGCCGTACCTTGGGGGACGTAAGTAATTCTTAAGATCGGCGCTGGTATTATCAAGGCGATTTCTGACGTATCTCACAGCATCAAGTCCCTCGTCCTCTTCTTCGGGCCCCTCCTCCTCCCCAAAGCCATCGCCTACTACCGCCGCGTGCGCGCCGCGCCCCGAATCCACGGACTCACAGTCCGCCCTCTCCCGCCACCCATCTCCCGCGCCATCTTCATCCTCCTCGCGGTAGCCTTCGTCTTCCTCCTGCGCACACTCCCCATCCTTTCCCCAGAAAACATCTTCAAGGTCACTCAATCCCGCCTCCAAATCCCCGCCGACGTGCTCTTCACCCGGCTGTCGACCCTCAGGCCAGGCAACACCCTCACCCCGGCAGACCTGTCCCTCCGCGCCAAGTTCGCCTCGCTCGAGTCCCGCCTACTCTATCTGCAATATGGCCCCTCCGCCATAGCGACCTGCCCCTTCTGCACCTCAGACGAACCACGCTCCTACCTTTATTATGCCCTCCCGGACCTCCTCACCCCGCACCTCGTCAACCTCATTACCATCGCTCTCGCGACCTCCTCCCTCCTGACCGCCGCCTCCCCGGCCGCCACCACCTGGCGCACGCCCGCCACGCTGGCCGCCGTGGCCATCGCCTTTGCTGACATATACTGGGCCTCAACCTACAACCACTCCGCCAACGCGCGCGCGCTGCGGCTAGGCGAGATCGACTTCTTCTACTGGATGGCGCGCACAACCCGCTATCTCTCTCTCGCAGCGCTCGACCTCCTCCTATCCTTGCTGCTCTACCTCTCCGGCACGCAGCGCGCCTTCGTCACGGCGCCGTCGGCAGCCGAGCGCATCGAGAGCGCCGTGAGGGGGCTGGCGGCGGTAAAAGGGCGGATCAACGCCGCAGGAGTGGTAAAGAACACCGTTTTGCGGGACGAGGAGCTTCGCGCGAGGGGCAATGCGTACTGGGCGCATGAGGTCAGGTTGATGGGGGAGATGATGGAGGAGAGGGAGGTTGTGGAGGGGGTGAAGGATGCGTTGACGAATCGGATTGATATCGCGGGGATAGAGAGGGATGCTGAGGTGTATGCCAAGGCGGTTTTGATGCCGATTCCTAGTGGGGAAGGAGGGATGGGGAGGGAGGAGGTGGTTGGGTGATTCGAGGGGAATGGTTTTGTATCAGGTCAAGGGTTGGGTTAGACATGAGTAGCCGTTTAGGCACCCTCCTCAATATAGCCGTAGTTGGCTCTTCTGGGGTCACTTTACTGTTTGTGCTCCAGTGAAGTGGGATGAAGTATGCTGGAGATAGTTCCCCTGAACAGTGATGTTTATCTAAGCCAATACCCGCTGGCAGACGCCGCTGTAGGCTTGTTTTCCAACATACATACAATGTGATATGACGAGTGGCAGTGCCAGCCACCTCTACCCTTCACCTGATCAATCCCCAACACGCCATGCCGTGCCATGCCACGCACGCTAGCTATGCCCTCGGATATCCGGCCTTCCTCCCGCCGTGCTGACACTGGCCATACTATCCTTCCTCGACGGCCCGCCACCGCTGGCCGCCTCGTCGACGCTCTGCTCCAAAAAGCTGGCCCACAGATCCGCAAGCGACTCCTTCCCGCCGCCGCCGGGCGTCGTCGACGAAGTCATGGACGCCGGCTCGGAGAAGAAGTCGCTGTTCAGCGCCGGCGAGCTTGGCGTGCGGTGGAACGGCGACATCGGGAGCCGGAGCGTGTTGCCGCTGCCGCCGCCGCCACCGGGCCGCGCTAATCCGGCCTTTTCGCGCTGTTCGTCGTTCCAGTTCAGGAGGCCGGCCATGACTTGGAGGATTTGGAATTTCTTTGGGTCGGAGCGGTCCAAGGAGAGGAATTGGAGGAAGTGGTTCGTTACGAGTTGTCTGGGGTTTTGTTAGTTTCGGCGCTTGAAATTGGGGCAAGAGCGCGAGCAGCTTACTTGTCGATGGTCTCTTCAGGTTTGGTCTTTTTGATGTATTTCAAGGCCTTGGTTAGGTGATCGTTCAGCACAATGGCCTCGTGTCGGAGCTTGCCAATCAGCAGGTTCTTTTCCTTGACCTCCTTCTCAAACGGCGCGGTCCGCTCGAGTTCCTTTGATAGCGTCGCCTTTGCCGATTCTGCCTCGGCTGCGCGGGCATCGGCCTCCTGCGCAAGCTTCTTGAGCGCCTGCACTTGTTCTTCTGTCGACTCGACCATCTCCCGCAATTCCCTCTTCCGTGTCTCTTGTAGTTCCTGCAGCGCCCGCTGAAGACGGTCGACGGCTTGCGATTGTGTCTCCCGGTCCGAGTCGGCCCGTTCATACGCTTCCCGCGCGCTGGCGAGTTGGTCCTCGAGATCAGCCACCTTATCAGCAAGGCTCTCGCGTAAAGAGCGCTCCTCCATGGCAATGACCTCCCACTCGCCCATGGCGGCCGTCGTCGACTCGAGCTCGGTCTTGAGTAGCTGCATTTGCCTTGCCATGTCGTCTTTCTCCTTCAACCAGTTCTGCTGCGAGAGGTTGCTCCGGCTGCGCAAACTGGCCAGCTCGCGCCCCTGTTCCTGCACCTCATCCCGCAGGCGGTCTGCTTCCCGCTCCCGCGCGGCCAGGCTCTTCTGCAGCTCGTCGTTTTGCGCCTCGAGTTCTTCCACGCGGTCCTTGGCCTCTTCTAGCTCGGCCTTGTCCCGCTTCAGGCGGTCGCCCAGCGTCTCCTTGATCTTCTCAACGCGGTTTAGCAGTGTTTCGTACTGTGTCTCGGCGTGCTCCTTGGCCGCTTCGCTCTCGTCCAGGTCGGCCCGCAGCTGTGTGATCTCCTGCTTGTGCGCCTTTTGTATGCTCTCGAGCTGCTTCCGCAGCTGCTCCACCTCGAGCCGCAGGGCTTCCCGATCCTGTGACATGGTCTCTAACTTGGCGCTCGTGGCCCCTGATATTGTCCCGGTTGGTGCGTGTCCGTTTGCCCCTGCATGGCCGTTGGCGGCGGATGTCGAGTCGGCTTCAAGTTCTGTTCCCGTTTCTGCTCCTTCTATGTCGGCGCCGCCCGGTTCTGTACCCGACTTGTCTGGCACAGTGTCTTGTTCTGGCAGCGGATTTGATGGGCCCTACATCACGCGTTAGACGGAGAAATAGCGGAGCATACAGCCGACAATGACAAGGCAAGAGCAGAGGCAAGGCCGACGAACCGAAAAGGTGGGCCGAGCTTACCAGACCGAGAGTTTCTAGCTCCTCTGACAGTTCCTCGACCGCAGTGCTCTCAGCGCCATCCTTATCTCCGTTTTTGTGTATTCCGAGCGCAGGATTGTTTGGTGTATCAGGGGCAGCGATGTCACTCTTGCTGCCACCGGGACCAGTACTCTTGTTGCCCTTCTTCTTCTTATTTCCTTTCTTCTTGTTGGAGGCGGCGGGACCTAGATATTGCCGCGAGCATCATTTCCCATTAGTGCAAATGCACATAGCGAAGAAGCCAGGGTGGTGTTTTGGCCTTGCAATCATGTCTCCCGGAGCCCACTTTGAGACGTACCTTGGGCTGCTGATTGGACAGAACTCGATGGCGCGGCCGATGAGGACATGGTTATGGTTCGAACGCAATTGGCGATTGTGGTCAGTCTCGTTGGTGTTGCGGACACGAATGCATGTCCCAGAGACAATGGGTCCTGTCTAGTCTCCGTCTGTTGTTCGTCGGAGTACAAATACAGCACCACTGCAACAGGATGGATGGGACTGGCTCTTCCGCACCCACAGCCCGCAACCTGGTTCGTCTCTCTTACTGTTAAATCGGGAGGCGGTTCTTTTGGCTTTATTCTGGCGTACCGCAGTGTGTAATGTCGGCGGCTGGCTTCTAGGGTTTTTTTTTAAAACCGCCTCTTGATAACAATGTATTCCGTAAACGAAATGGACCCCTGAATTGTTGTTACTCAAATCTCGTCATTCCTGAAAATACATGTGTGGAAAGGGACACACAGCCCGAGGGCTGCAAGGTCTGGCCAGGCTGCCAGAGCGGTAGGGCAGAGCTGAGGTACATCTGCCCACTAACTGTACAATGCCCATCAGCATCGGGTTACAGCTGACCTGCTCCGTATACTTGTATTGTATTGTAAGGAGAAGACCAGCCATTTATCGACGCTGGTTAGCAAGGTTGAATGAGAAGGAGCCCATAAGCATGTCGTAGAGGTGCGCTCTAACTGTTGTGCTCGAGGGTCTGACTTGGATTCTCACACCTTAAAAATGGAGCTTGAAGCCGAATTGGCCTGCTTGAACAACCATAGTATAAACACACTGTGTTGATTATAATGATGCAGTCGAGTATGTTACAAAAATTTCAGCATGACACATAACAGTTCACCCACTAGGCGTACTTGGACCCAGTGCTGACCTTCAAGCTAAAATTTTTCCCTTTTCTTTCACACATATTTCATCTTCCGCCTGACATTCACTTTGAATGAGAATCTGCCATTGCATCAGCAAACGCTGGCTCTTTCACAACCGGGTAGAAGTAGATCAGCTGTTCGCGCTTTATAATCCTGATAGCTCTCTGGGCGCGAGCTCTATTTCCAAGAGTCTGTCAGGTTCGCTTGGTGCATACATTCCGGTGCGCGGACATTGTTAGGTCTGCAAGGGGCTCCTGACTCCTCGAGTCGCGGGTATTGGGTGACAAAACTGCAGTAATATGAGCACTCGCTCATGCTTTTGTTTTCTTGCCCTTCTTTCCCTTCTTCTGCGGAGCCGGCTCCTTCATAGGGCTCGTTGTGTTTGGCTTGGTGGCTTCGGGTTCCGCAGCCTGCTTCTCCTTCTCCTTCACCTCGGCCTCCTCGGCCGCGGGCGGAGCTTCAATCACCTTGGGCTCCTTCCCAGGACCGCTCTCCAGCAGCTGTTTGGCCTCGGCAGGCTTGAGTGCAGGAGCCTCAAACTCGTACCCTATCTCTTTCAGCTTCTCGGCCCTCGCAGCCCGCCTCTGTTCCTCCTTGGAAATCTTGGCCTGCCACTGGGACTCGGAAAGCGGCCGCTCAAGCTGCCTACCGGCCATCTTGTTCCACGGAACAACCTTAAAGCGGCGATTGGCGCCCCTGAAGAGATTCGGATGCACCTGGGCAGGCGGAACGATCTTTGCTGAGAGGATGTGGCCAAAGAGGAGGTACTTGTCCATGGTGCGGGCGGCAATGTCGGCGACCTCGGCGTCAGCAAACTCGATGAAGGCCCGGTGGCGGCTGGCGCCCGTCTTCTTGTTGCGCACCACCCGGAGCCGCGTGATGTCGCCGAACTGGCCAAAGTACGCCCGCAGCTCGTGCTCGTAGAAACCGTGAGGGATTCGCGCCAGGTACATGACGCCCGGCGTGCCGCTGCTGGTGCCCGAGTATTTCGCCTTCTTCGCTTTCGGAACCTTGCCGACGTCTTGGCCCTTACTGTATGTGCTGATCTGGTCTTTGGACTCGTCCTCGTCGCCGCTGTCGAGAGCCTGCACAAGGGCTTCTGTGTCGTCGTCGACCTCCTCCTGCTCCACATCGGATGGGACATCACCGTCTTCCTGTGGCTCTGGTTCTGCGGCCTTCTCGAGCTTTTTAGGGGTGGTCTTGGTCTTTGGCACCTGCTTCTCTTTCTTCACGGCCGACTTCCTCGGAGCGACCTCCTCTTTCGCCGGCGCGGCAGTCTTCTTGGAGGCTACATCCTTAGACGGCTTTTGCTTCTTGGTGGCAACCGGGGAAGCGTCCTCAGGGGCTGTGATACAAATCTGCATTTAGCTAGCGACGCAGACTTTGATGGGTGAATTATCACTCACCTTTCCGCTTCTCGGCCTTCGGGGTGGTTTTGGTGGCCTTCGCCTTTTTGGCGGCGGGCTCTGGCTCTGCCAGAGCAGCTAGAACGCAGCCAATTAGCTTTCTGTTAGACTAGGGATGTACTAAGTCAAATACCTACGCTTGGACTTCCTCTTACGGAGCTCAGGAGCCATTGTGTCGGGGTAGTCTTTCCAAAGCTGGGATGAGTGGGAGTGTTGCTTTGCACAGCGCTTTTCTGCAATCTGCTGCAGCCCCAGAAAATTTCTGGATTCTGCCGCTTCCCATACCGTCACCGCCCGTAAATTCCACCATCAACCCCACCAAAGTAGGACCCTTCCAGTCTTGGCCATCAGCTCTCTGTAACCGCGTTTAACCCATTGATGCCTTCAATTCCCCGTCAGACAGCGATCTTGAGAGTTGTAAGGGGTGGCTTCTCATTATCTGGTCTCTTGCTGGCTGTATTTAACGCATTGTATAACCTTCCTTGCAGCATGTGTATCCGCGTCGCCTATCGGTAGGTACTGAAGTCTTGCACTGGCTATCTTGAGCTCCACGTTGGGCAAAGCGAAACTGCAACGTTCGTTTCCCACAAGCGTGAACTGGCAAAACTCGAGCAGTGAAATGTCTGAGTTGGACATGCGAGGCGGAGGAGAAGCGCCCTCGGAAGAACCTTAGCTGAGAGCAAGGAGTGATTGGGCTGAAATTACCCCGTAGTGAAATCGGGCAGCCCCCTGGCATGCGCACCGCAGCTGCAATTGCGGGACAGCGCTGGTGTGTTTCCCAGGCCCGGGAGCTGCAGCAGCGCCGCGAACAGATCGGGCGGGCCACTACCTGACCTCATGCATGCCTCTGGTGCGTGGCACATTCAAAGCTGTTTCATGAAAACTGCCCGCGTGTTCCTTTCTGGAACCAACAGTTTCGTCTCTGCACCCGTTTCCATCACGAACTTCGAATCTTGTGTGGTCATCGCATCTTACCCTAAAAGATCTTCTCCTACAGTTGGCTGCAGCTCTCGATCACTGACCGAGCCGGTTCGACGGCTGATGGATACGACCGGACGTTACACCCGCTGGCTCTCCTTTCCCATGCGTCGGTAGTAAGCGTGGGTTGACTGAAAGACATATCATGACATGTGTGTGTGTTGCGGCAACTCAGCCTCGCAGACCGCTCCACATATTCATCAGACGCATGCGCACATGTTGAGCATCCTGTTAACAGTCCGCCAAAGCAAACAGAAGTCGAAATAGGACCCCTGACTGAGCGGCATGTCATTCAGTCCCAGCATGGCCGAGCCGAAGAAGAAAGGCTTCTGGAGCCTGTTTCGGAGCAAAAGCTCGGCGAATAAGAATGGGTACTTGGTATGATAGGAGCAACAAAGTGGCATCATCACCGCATGCTGACTGCCTTTACAGGAGAAGGACCCCCTGAGGAGGGCGAGCGATGGTGATGTACTTGGCCGCTCCAAGAGGCCTGATGAACCGGCCGAGACCTCAACCCGCCGCCGCAGGCCACGCCGGACCGACCCGCACGGCGTCAAGGGCAAGGGTCCCGAAGACCCTCATAGCTCGCCTTACGATCTGGTGCCCCTCACCGAGTGGCCGCCCTCAGGCATGTCGAGGAGCGAGGAACTGAGCCTGGGTCCGGCCATGCAGCTCATCTCGAGAGGTGTGCCCGCCTTCAAGGGTTACAAGAGATCCATTCCCCACGCCTCGGATCACTTTTATGCCTTGTTCGCGACTGTGGCTGGAAATCGGGGTGACGAAACAGATGCCGCGAACCAGCACGACTCGATGACGCAGCTCATGACACTGCGGCTCGCCGAGTCAGGACCAGCCACCTACCCTTGGGAGACACTGGAACAGCCGAGCTACTCGTTCCACTTTGGCAAGCGCCCGGGTACCATCACACTCAACCACTGGGTGTCCCTAGCAAGCGTCTTGCCGCCGACCATCGATCTCCGCGACTCTGGAATAGCACCCCGCGAGATCGACCTCGAGGCCATCTTCGCGCGCCTCAAGGAGCTGGACAGGGGGTTGGAGGACGACGACGAGGATCTGATGTACCGGAATCTGTACAAGCGGCTGCTCAAAGACCCCGACAAGTACCTGAGTCCACATAAGACGTTGGACAAGCAGATTACCGACTTGATCATGGTCCTCTCACGCCCAGGCTACTGGATCGATTTTACCAACCCGAAGAACCAGGTTGTCACCCGGTTCATCTTTGACACGAGCTCGGCAAACAGCCAGACCTTCCATAGATTTTGTCACCAGCTACTCCTCAGTCTTGAATTAGAGCTCCGGATACAGTCTCGGCACCACATGACGGACGCGAAAGAGAAGCTGCTCACCCAAATACCGCCGACAATACAATGGAACCTCGCACTCGCACGCAGGTGGCGCGATAACATCCGAGTCGATGACTACGGCAGCACGCCCGAGCAAGTGCAGCTCCGCTACAAATTGAAGAGACGCCAGGTCAAGATGCTCAAGCGCTTCGCCCAGATGATGAAGTGGCCGAACCTCGCCGAGACCCTCGCCAGCCTCAAGCGGCGCGACGCCGACTCCACCCTCGACCTCGTCAGCTCGCACGCCATGGCCTTCTTCAGCGGCCTCGTCCTGCCAGGTCCAACCTTCCCCTTCCTCATCATGAACGCCCTCATCGACATCGACCCGGACCGAGCGACCGACGACCTGACCCTCCTCACCCACGGCCACCCGAGCTGCGGCTTCCAGTACCGCAACAGCTACACCTACTGGACGGCCAGCTCCATCGTAGGCAAAGTCCTCGCGCCGACCTGCCGCGCCCTGGCGGGCTGGGTCGGTCCGGCGCGCCCGACCACCGACCTCGGCCGCAACCAAATCGCCCGCATCCGCGCCCGCCGCCCGCCCGCCCCGCGCGGCGTAATCACCCCGGACGACGTCCGCTCCATGTCGGAACGCTCCGACCCGCTCGGCCCGCCCACGCAGGTCTTCCCGGTAAAGGAATACTCCCTCGTGAGCCCGGACCGCGATGACGACGCCTACCTGGCCGACCTCGTCCGCATCGAGCTGCTCACCCTGCGCCCCTGCGCCACCAACGCCAACACCCCAGCGTCGTCTACCTCACTGCCCCAATCACCTGTTTCCCCGTCCCCGGCGCCGTCCAAACAAACTGCCGCTGCAGCAGCAGCAAAAGCGCCAAGGTATTACGACGCTTCGATCCAGTTTGCCATAGATGGCGTCTCGTGGCCGCTCAGGCTGGCGTACGACGTGTCCTTCGTGAGCGCCTGGCCGTGCTCAGACGGGCCGCACCCGCTCTTCTTTGACTATGTCTACATGCCGGTCAAGGCGGACCAGCTGGTCAAAGTGAGGGATTGGAATGGCGGGTACGGTGGTGGTGGTGGTGCGGGTTCGAGGCCTGCCACCGCTACGGCGGCGGGCGGTCAGAGTTATCAGGGTAATAATATCAATAATGGTCTTGGGGCTGGGCTGGGTGGCAATCATATCATTAATATGAACAAGACTGGGGTGTCGAGCCCGAGTACGCTGAGCGGCGGCGACGAGGAGAGGGTGCTGGTTGTGGAGGCGTTTGGCGTGCCGGATAACGAGGTGCTGGCGAGGGCGTGGTGTGCGCATTGGGGCCTCAGTGCCGTTGTGGCGGATCTCGGGAGGACGTGGTGAGTTTAGCTTGATTTTCTTTTGTCTGACTGCGTCTTTGGTTGTATGCTTTGTGCTGACTGAGCTGTGATGTAGCATGGCGTGTGCGATTCGTGAAGCATATGCCGCGACTATGACGGTAGTAATTTTGGTGGATGATGAGCAGGATGGGACGGATGATTAGTGGCACAGGGGGGTTTGGGGTTGCGGCGGTATGGGAACGGTGCATGGCATGGCATAGACTGCGTTGCTGCGCTATTTTGCGTGCTGTTTCTGGGCAACGATTACGACGATAGGTTCTTCTTTCCTTGGTCAACCTGGAATGCTTTAGTAGCTAAAACGGGGCGGTATGTGAGCAGGCAAGATATCCATTTCCGAGAGCAGAAGAGGTTCAAGACCAGAACGGCTGGGCCGTGACTGCTGGTCTGAGCTGAATGGTGTTTTGAGACTCGTTCCAGCGAGATAATTATACCCAGAGTAGCTTTGTACACACTGGCTTTAAATGGGTTTTTGACATTAGATTCAAATCGGAATCTGCATATACTGCCGAGTTGGGTGGGGGGTTTTGAGACTCCTAAGCCATGATCTAGTGCACATCCTCATAGTGGGAACAATAAGACAAGACGACGGATGAATTGAGGGTTTTAAATGTTCGTAGTATTCAAGTGACCGGCTGCATCATGAGTTCCATGGATTAAACATTATCCTGCATGCGTCCCTTTCCCTCAATTCCCCAACTCTATCAAGCGAGCGTGGGTATCTCTGGATACTGATTGCACACGACATAACATGCGTAAATGAACGCCATCGTAAAGTTTCTGTTGTGTTCTTTTTGAGAATGTCTTCGTATCTGCCGAAGGATGTGAAATGCATCAGCACCTTCCAGCTCCTTCATTCGAACACCCCCATCTCAACCACCATTCAGTGATTTAAACGGCTGGACTTAAACAGCAGTGGTGCCAGCCGGGGTAGCGGCCGCTGATGCGTGTGCCGCCTCCTTTTCGGGAAAGGTACCAGCCGCGGTCGGGACACGACCGTACTGGGTGAAGGCAATGTTGAGGCGGTGGTAGTCCCAACGGCGCGACAGGGCAACGATGGCATAGCCGACGCCGAGCAAGAGAAGGAGGTCGAGGATGCCGAACCAAATGAAACCCGCAACGACGCCGAGGTAGTTGCCGCCATCGGTGAGACCCCAAGCAATGGGGTATAACAGCCAGAGGAAATTGGTCCAGGCGGCGAGGGGCAGATAGTCGCGCTTGATGGCGACACGGTTGGCGCTGCGCAGGCCGTGCACCAATGTGGAGTAGAGCAGGAAGAGGTGGGCGAGGAAGCCAAAGGCGAAGAAGCCCCACTTGTAGTTAGAGGGCGTGTAGGCGGCGACGAGGTAGGCGATAATCCAGATCCAGGAGAGGAAGATGTTGAAGATGATGGTCGCCCAGGAGACACCCGAGAGGACGCCGAGAGCGAGAATGACAGCGGGGAACTCGACGACCCAAAAAACGTACTTGGGCCAGAAGATCTGGCGGAAGAAGCCGCTGCGGTTGACCTGATTCGACTGGCGGATAAGGTCCCAGCCGAGGTCCGAGGCCATGGCGTAGTAGGCAATCAGGCCGACGAGAGAGGCGATGATGAAGACATAGTGGAAGAACCGCTCGCCAGCGCGCGCGCGAAACTTGAGGGCATAGAAGATGAGCTGGTCGGTGTGTTAGTCGTAGAGCTTCCGGCAAACGAAGCATAAGTGACTCACAGTAGAGAAGCCAAAGAGGGCCGCGACGGCAAACAACCAGTTAGAACCGTTGGTGGTCAGGTACTGGTCACCCGCCGGCGGGTGAGTGTTGAGAGCGTCGTTGCGAGGCAAAAGAATTGCCATTGTGACTATACTAAACGTCCTTCTCCGTCAAGCGTATAAAGCTGCGGTTGAGGTTGAAGATGTGAGGTGCAATGTGTGAATCAAGGACACCAAGGCCGAAGACTACCGGAGGACGATGTTCGGATGGATGATGTGAACGTCCTCTGTCAAAATGGGAGAGTGAGCGCAGGCCTATTATAGCCGTGTCACCCCCGAGCGGACATGTATGATGTCGGTGACCCTGTCCCCTGATGCAGACAGCATCGCAAGGGAGCATCGCTCTTCCGGGCAAGCGAAGCATCTGGAACTCCGAGGGGCCCGGACCACAGTCGAATCGCCTCGACCAGCTGCCCTGACGACAAACAAGGCAAAGCACGCAAGAAGCGAGAGACTACTGTAAGCGTGCCAGATTCTGATTTGCCATGTCGTAGTGTAGGACAGTGGAGGGCCTGCAACATGCCGACAACCTCCGAACATGGCCCTTTCTCCTCCGGTCGAACTACTCCCGCAGTAACCCGGCAGCACAGCACTCCCGAGGGGTACCGTGCAGTCCCGTGGCGTACGCTGATGGCACTCTTACAAACCACGACACCAAACACGGCCTAGTTGCAAGCCTTTGGCGGGTGTCGGTGTGCTGTAGGCAACGGGCGTCCGATTTCTAAGAGATGTCAGACAGAATCATCATCTCGCCCAGACCATGCCATTTGGAGCGAAGGGGCACGGCATCCGGCTGCATGTGCAGGTCAGACAGTGACCCATCCACGCACTGGATTCGCCGGCCGTTGTCATCGACGAGGTTCGGGCCAATCGTCCGTCGATCAGGACCCGGCCCGATGCTTGGCATACGTTTAGCATCGAGCACGACACTACAGGCCGATGACCATGGGTTGATCCAAACCCAAGTCGGCCGAGCATCAACCGGATGCTTCGGAGGGAGAGGGGGGTGCACATGATGATGGCTCGTATGTCTGATTGATTAGAAAATCGGGGATGAACAAGGAAAATTTTGACGACGTGAATTGGCGGATGGCATCGGAGTCGACCTGTTTGCGCTGAGTGTCTAAAAGGAGAAATGTATCGAATCTGCTCGAGCCGTGATTATTACTCACCATTTCAGTGAGTCTGTAAGGTACAGTTTTCCGTGCTTTCCTTCCAGGTCACACAGCACCGCAAACTTACAGGTTGAGACAGCTCACTAGAGGACTGAATTCTTCCACAACCGCTTACACATGCCTCAACGTGTTGATGGACACGGCGGGAAGTCGCATCATGGACGTCACCACTTCACACCTCATCATGTTGTTACATCCTGACGGCATTCATCCTTAAGCGAAGGACGGGAGCCAAGCCGATCCACTATGATAGCGGTATCGCTAATGCCGGCACTCGCTCGCCCAGCAAGGCTACAAGGTCGTGTACGGAGTATGTACAGCACAGTGGCGCACAGTTTCTTGCACTATGCCTGCCGCCCTCTCATCGCTCCCTTCGATCCTGAGTGTACTTCCGTAGTCACGCCACCTCCGCCAAAACAACATATCGAATGACATAAAAGCTTGTCAGTCAAGGGGGTTGAGCTCCAAGCTCTCCCATTGGACAGCAACATCGATCGGCTCGAGTCCAGCTCCCGATTACCAAACCCATGAACCATGAAAAGTCTAAGATTCTTGCCAATCACAGAGAAGGTATGTCATCTTTGCTCCTTACCTTTAGCAAAGAGCAACCTAACCTATGAGACACGCGCGAATAACATCTGTGATGATAGCCAATGCCGGATGCCGCACACCTCGTGACCCACTTACGAAAAGGCACTCTCCCTTATGAGCCGTGTGTATCCGGGTCCTTTTCTCTGTTTGTTTTAGGGACCTGATTTATCAGCCCCTCTCTCATCGAACTGTCACCCGCCACCTTCCCGCCTGCATCCGAGAGACAGCTGGGGCGGACGTCCCGAAGGGTTCCCATCGTTTGATCTCTCTTAGGACTCCCACAGTACAGGAGGAACCTCGGACAGGGTAATGGAAGAGCAGACCCGCCGCTGTGACATAAACGGTTGTCGCTGCATGCATCCAATGTCAAAAGTTGCCCAGCCAGCTAGGCAGCGCCCATCTTCTCGCATGTTCGCAGTACCTGTAGCCAATAGCCAACGTACATTGCCTGTCCATCTGTATACAGCCGCTCCCAATGCCTATACCCGGGCCTGCCGTGTCCCGCCCGTGTCAGTCGCCCGGGCCTGCCACATAGCCCGTCACCCCCACTGCACTCAACCGCACTCACCACCATCACCACCACCACCACCATCACCCACTGCACTACACCGTAGGCGTCTTCAGCTGTGCCACCGCAGCCTTGGCCCGCTCCCTAACATCCAAATCCCCATCCCCCCTCTCCAAACCCTCCAGCTTCGCCAAGAACCCCAACCTCTCCAGCTCCATCGCGCGCTGCGAGCACGCGCCTCGATCCGCTTCCCCCTCCAGAAAGCTCAGATTCATAAACAGCTGACACAGCGCCCTCCTGACACCGGCGTCCTTGCTATTGAAGTGCCCGCCCAGCAACCTCAGCAATTCCGTCTGCGCCACAACCAGCTGTCTGTGCCTCGGCAAGCCCGCGGCCATGTGTACGAGGATATACGTTAAGTTCTCGACGATGCGCGGCTGCGGGTAGACGACGAGCGTGTCGCCGCTGCTCCTTCCGCCTCCGCGGGTTGTGCTGGCGGAGCGCCCCCGCCGGCCAAAGGCGCCGACAACGCGCACTTTCAGCTTGTCGGCTAGGATGCCAAACAGACGGTCCTGCCCCAGCTCGGTGAAGAGGTAGTCGACCATGTCGGTCTGGTTGGACGGTGTCGGGAGCATGAGCAGGTTGCGGATGAAGCCGAGGCCTTGTTCCTGGATGGCGAGCGTGTCCGCGCGGCACTTCCGCGCCGGGCTGAGCTCTGCCTCGCGGAGCAAACCGAGTTTGAGTGAGGCTTGTTGGAGGCGAGGGGTGGCGGCGGTCGTGGCCGGGATGAGGGCCATGGCTGGCCAGATCCAGGGATGCGTGACGTCGTCTTCGTAAAGAGTTTCTGTGTTCTCCATGTCCTCGTCCTCGTCGTCAGCTGGGCTGGTGGTGGCCCGCCGTTCTGATTGCGCCTGGGCGCGGAATGCTTCTTCTTCCGAGGTGTCGTCGCTGATGAGCTGGACGAGCCAGCCTGGCTCGAGCTCTTCGAGACATTGCTTCCGCAGGTTGTTGTCCAGGTTTACCACCAGATGCTTGAGTGCCCAGAGGGCGTTGAGCCGCAGCCCCGGGTTGAGTGAGTGAGCGTGCTCGCACAGTGTTTTGACAATACCCGCGTCGAGTAGTGGCTGCTTACGATTAGTACCCGTCTGTGTCATGAATTGTAGACCAGAGCTAGAAATGACTCACCTCCACCATAGGGCTGCAGTTCGTGAGCAGGTTGATGACGGCGCTGGAGGCAGCGATTTGAACCTCTGCATCAGGATGCCTCAGCAACTTGTTGATGGGCATCGCGATGCCATGGTCCTGTAGAGTTGTGCGCACGATGCTCGGCAGTCGTGCCAACGCCCTGGTGGCATGACATGCTGCTATAATAACAGCATTCGAATTAGGTCCGTACGGCGAGGCGCTGCCAGTATCTCCACCATCGGGCCCCTTCTCCGAGGCTGGTTTCTCCTTTGGGCTCTTTGGCTTCCCGGGAGACGTCGATAATGATTCCACAATGTATGGCACAACATCGGCCTCGACAAGTGCCTCGCGGTAGTCCTTGCTGAGCGTGGCCATCGCCGCTACAAGCCTTATGGCGTTCTCCCGAATCTTGATCTTGTGCGCCATAGCCGGCAATTGGCCAGTAGGCCCGAGGCGGCATGTGGGTAGGCCTTTGTCAGATTCGGCGGCTCGCTCGGGCGTGGGCGACCATGGTCGGGGAGCCGACTGCACCGGATGGGGTTCGTAAGAGTCCTTCAACAGCTTTGCTACGTTCTTGATGATGCCACAGTCATGGGCCGCCTGTTGCAGAACCTCGCTATCCCCTACCAGTCGAGCCAGAACATCCGGTATCCGCTCCTGAATCGCCCACTGCGTGGCTGTGTCGGGTTCGACGAAAGCGGCTTGTTGCACCGAGGCCGGTACCTCCTTATCGTGATCCTTCAACAACTGGCAGAGAAGTGGGACAACGAGGAAAGCCAGCGCTTGTTCCCGTTCCGGGCTCGCAAACCCAGCTTTGAAAAGGGATGTTAGCAGGGAAGCAGCCATAACTCTGTTGAGACCGTCGGTCGAACGGACGAGATGGATAAGCCACGGTATGAGCGGGCTCTCTAGCTCATCATTGTCCTCTTCCTCGTCGGGCACATCGAGCCGGCCCAGATCCACGCCCATAAACCTGAATGTTGAAGACCGGCCACTCGCAGCAAGGTTGTCGCGGGACAGGGAGAAGCCCAGGGGAGGATAATCGTTGAGTCCCCTGAAGTGCGTTTTGGTTTGAGGAACAGGAACTGCCGGAAGCAAATAGTCAATCGCACCGGGGTTCTTGGTCCGGACACCGCCAAAGCTGTTGATTTCCGGCGCACTCCAAGCCGCCCTCGACTCCGCAGCGGGAGGCGTGAACTCGGTCGAGGGGAAGACAGCCATGATCGCAGGTGAAAACAACAAAGAGCAAGAGAGGAAACGTGAGTTGGCCACGATGGTAGAGAGTGCCTCCAGGACTAAAGCCAAATCGGCGCCAGGCGGCGCTGGTTCTGGTATCATGTCGGCCAAGCCGTCCGCTTGTCCCACAAGTTCAGCCCCCGGGACAACTTCCCCTCTGAATACAACGAGGCTCGCCAACATCGTAGCGAGGGCGTCCAGGACACCTGCATCGGCCAAGGCGTTTTGATGTCGGGGGTTCTTGCACAGCCTGCTGATAAGGCTCGCCACCCGGCGTTTCTGTTCCGCTATCACGGCGTCTGACGACCCCTGAGACAGAATGGTACGCAAGGCGTCGAGCGAGCCAGACGAAAAGAGCGAGTCTGATAGACTGCTTGTGCAGCCGCCGCCGATGGTGGTGAGCTGGGCGGAAGCCGTGATGTTGCTTATTGCCCGCAATGCCATGAGGACCACCTGTGGAGGATTGTCCGCAGGAGATATCTGCGAAATGACCGCAGGAACCACGCCGGCGGCATAAATGGGAGGAAAGAAGACAGCGCCGCCTGGGGTGGGTTAGCTGTAGGGTTCGCGTGTGAAATCGGGATCGATGGTCAACTAACCATATGCGAAGCTGGCAATCAATTGCAAGCACAGCAGCCGCACCACTTCATTCTCGGAGAGGACCGCTGGCTGTCCTGTTTGATGGAGCTCCTTTCCGTTCGACCTTGCCGTTGACGGAACATTGTTCTGCAGCATCTCGACGAGCGGCTCGAGGATGCCGTTTTGAACCCACCACTCCTTCCGCTGGATATGGCCTACTATCTCGTCCTTCAATGCCCGGAGAGCGATCGCCTGCTCCGAATTGCTCCTGGCGACCCTGATCTGTGACAGCAGAGGTGGCGCCTGGACTCTAGCCATGGCGTAGGTCTTGGTATCCGAGGGGTGGGAATGTCTCGCAGGGTCGCGTCGTTTGTCTAGAGACTCTCAAGCTTCCGTATGTCGTGTACAATAGCCGGCCGCCTCGAGAATCGGCGCATAACCTGAGAGTATCGTGGATGTGGAAGCAGAGGGAGCGGAACTCGATGGCGCTTTTGGTCACTGTGGTGTTCCAGTGTTTCTTCCACCGACCATTTGATTCAGAACTGATGTATGACTCTTCTGGAGTCGTAATAGCTCTCCCAAGGAGCAGTGTAAGGGGAGCTTCGGAGATTTGTGTGCGCCTCGAGAAGCGCGGGTTGAGGGCCTTCAAGGTATCCGTATACTTGTCTGTTCAACACAGGTTGTCGACATTGTCGCCATCATGAACAGATAGGCTGGCCAATGGTGGTGTGATATGAAAGGCAACCGCCCCACCACAGCCGCCTTTGCGACCTCGCCGGGAAGTTACCACCGTACATAACTGTACGGATTACTGTGGTAGGTATGGTTTCAATGGCTATTTAAGGTAGCTATGCTTATCCCAAAAGGCAATACTTGCAGGATGCTCAACCATCTTAAAAAACCCAAAAAAAGAAAACACTGACAAAAAAGAAATAGAAGAGAATAGATTACTTCATACTTGCGTTAAGAGACTCAAAATGCAAATGTTGGACTGTGGTGCACCATGTTTTGAATCGTACATGTTGCCCAGGCCTTCCAATTGAAGATCACGGGGATGCCTAGAAACTTCCGTACGTTGACTTCGCAAGCACATCGCGAGCGACTTGGGCCGGGGCCTACTGCTTGCGACCCGAGTGTTCGGAATCTCCAGGTTTGCCAAGCCTCAAGTTTCATAGGAAGGACCCACGTCCGGAATCCGGATTGAGCTACGCGTGTAAAACGAAATCTCACGATCAACAGAACTGAATGTTGGGCTCCTCCCGTCGGAAGAGAGGTGCCGGAACGGTGAGACCGAGCATTGCTGGTACCCGATACGGAAATGGAGTTACATAAGGCAGCCAGCCACCAATAAGTAACTCAAGTCGAGTCAACTGCATTGGCACGTGGGCAACCGGAAGTAAGTGTGTAGTGTCGAAAACCTGGTTACCAGTCCGTTGCCTTTTCCAGACACCGACTTTCGCGTCAAGTCCAATGCTGTTCTGAGCTCGCCTCTGGTATCGTACCCGCTGACGTGCTCAGCCTTAATATCAAGGGCCAAACATTTGGAGTGCTTTTTGCCTTTCGACCACAAGAAACCCTGACATCGGACCACATGGCGTTGAACTTGTTCTTTGCTGTCACCGCTCCCTGTCATCATTTGCCGTGTCCAGCTCGCCAAGCTATCTTCATGGCCTTGGGTTCCCGGTCTGGGCCAATCGCGGCGGACAAAGACATGCGCCCTCCGGAACGCCTCCTGCTCCCGTCGACTCGGTGTCGTTGGATCCCAACGTGATACGTATGGCCTGCCCCTTTCGCTAAGTTCGCTGGACATGCAAGCAATTGCTTGTTTTGGGACAAAAATGAGCACGAGTTGATGTCCCACTACACTCTCCGGGGGGCCAGATGCAGGGACAATGCCAGGAATGTAACTATATAGCTATCTCGAGTGCCGTGCCCTGATGACAAAAAACCATCTCATCACCTTTTGAAAGTCGACCTTGCAAACGTCCCGTCCCTACCTCCGACCGAGTCCGTGAGACAGCCCGAAAGTACCACCACGGCTTGCAACAACCGACAGAGACAGTAACCCACTGGACCAAGAATCACTCCCATAACAGGAAACCTTGCTCGGCCTTCATCATCCGACTTGTCAGGTATCCAGAACGTCTGCGGTGCACTCCGGGCCGTACAGGGTGCAGCAACCGACAACCTTGGAAAGAGTCTGCATTGGACGGGGAATCATTTAGGTAGATCGGCGGTTTTGGGTTTAGGTTGGCTCTGTTTCCGGACACCGAGGCGCCGGCACGGTGGTACACCTCACTGGCCAGTGTCCCTTCAGTGTGGGCACCTCGAGCCTGGGCTGTCAGTGCGCTGCGGTGCGACCGAACTCGCCTTTGATGCCCCACCATCACCGGCTGGGCGTGCGGCACAAGAAAGACATTCCGACTTCTTTTATCGCGCCATCACCTGCGCTTCGCAGGGGAAAATGAAGTTGGGATGATGTTGGCACGGTCTCCCGTTCCCACAACGACCCCAACTAATGCGTCCCCTCGAAGCAGCTTTCACAGCTTCCACTATGCTCCAGCCCCATCGTCGCGACACTCTTCTCCTCGGGTTCCGGCCGTCGCAAAGTCTCGCCGGCCGTCCGACTCTCCCACTGCCGCAGCAATAACCTCGACGTCGACCGCCGCGCCGAAGCGATATGTAGCCGTTGACGCAGCGACCCAGTACTCGCCATTGGAGCCGATCGACTACGCCACTGGCGCATTGCTCCCGCGAGTACCACCGACGGCAAAATCACAGCACAACTCATTTACCGAACGCAAAACAATGCCCGCCCCCGAAGAGCGGGCAGACGCCGCCCCAGCCGTGCAGCCGCCAGCGCGGCATCTTAAGACAGTACCGCCTGGTCCGAAGCAGCGCATAGACTCTCCGTCTGTAGCAGCCTCCCCATCCAAGAGGAGGAACTCCCAAGGGCCTGGCAGCAGCACAGGCGCATTGGCGACCGATGCGCTGCAAAACCCCTCAGTACTTTCTAAAAGGGCTAAGTCCGACACAACACCACCAAAAGTGCTGCCGCTGCGTTACGAACACTGCGCCGTGGAAGACATGGTAGTTCTCATCGCGCACATGCTGGGGGAGCTCATCGAGACGAACGATAGCCTCGCCCTCAAGTCGGGTCACCTCACCAGATTCCACTCCCGGTACGGCTTCAGAGCACTTCTATTTTAGACTAAACAAAGTTTTGTTTCTTAGTTGCTTTTCGGCCGAACTGATTGAGATGCAGAACTGCCCCGGGAATATCGGTACTAGACTACCTTCACCGCCTCGCAAAGCACGCCACCCTCACCCCGCCCCTGCTCCTCTCCATGGTCTATTACATCGACCGCCTCTGCGCGCTCTACCCGGACTTCACCATCAACACGCTCACTGTTCACCGCTTCCTCATCACGGCCGCCACGGTCGCGGCCAAGGGCCTCTCGGACGCCTTCTGGAACAACTCGACCTATGCCCGCGTGGGCGGTGTCAAGGTCGCAGAGCTCAAGCTGCTCGAGCTTGAGTTCCTGCACCGCGTCGACTGGAAGATTGTGCCTAACCCGGAGGTTTTGGTTGCCTACTATGCGGGGCTTGTCGAGCGCTGTCCCGGGTATGTCCTGGAGGGGCAGGAGAACCACAACAGCCACAACAGCAGTCTTAACGAAGACGACAGCAGCGATGCCGTGGATGAGAGCGACGAGCTTGATGATGACGATGTGATCGAGGAACGCGAGGCGGAGATGGCCGAGGGCGGGTTAAAAATGCCTCCGAAGCCGAGCGGAGGGCCATCACTGGCGCAGAGATAATAAGCATGAGCGTCCGCTGGTGTTTGCATCCTTGTTACCTGAGGGCTGGTTCAAGAGCTGGGGGAGGATTGGTTGAATGCGTTGCATGGGGACTGTGAGCCGCCATAATCAAAGGGACATTGGCCGGAGTTTGGTTGGAATTGCTTTACAAGCCAAGTTTGAGGCGGGACAGCGACAACTCGTCGCGGTGGCATGGCCATGGCATAAGCTTGTAGGAAGATTAGCTGCTGGCTGGGTCTGTACATACATAGGGACCTGAGGGTCGGTGGAGATACCACGATGATTGGCGCATCCCCTTGGTACAATATACCCAAGGAACTTGTTTCATATGTTTCAAACACGGGCGAGGTCTTCGAAGTCGACACCTGGTTTTAGGGGGTTACCATCTTAGTTCTCCGTCCCACCACCTTCCTGCATGCGATGTAACCATCACAAACATTACAGTGTCAACGGCTTTGCCAGATTGCCACGATACCATGATGGGCGCATCTACTACTTACGACTGTAACACTAGCATCCTTGATGACCAACAAAATCCAAGTTGAGGATTGACGTCTATGAGGCCGGATACATGGCCTCGAGATGGAGTAGGCAAAGGAGCAATGGATTCATGTACAAGACGGATGTAGGTAGAGCGTATGCAGTCTGAACGCGAGTTATGGCTCCCAATGTAGTAGTGAAAAACAAGCGTTTCCAGTATCGACTTCCTTTCTCATCATCATGCCACACTTCAGGTTCAATCTCAGGGCAAACGCACCCTTAGCATGGGTGCCAGTGCGCGGGGAAGCGGATTCTGGACGACAGGGGCAGTGTGGAACGGTGCAGGATGCCAAGACCTGGAAGAACCCCATTCTCGGTCTGTCCATCAGCTTGGTTGAACCTCACAATTGGGCCGAGCTCCATCCTCCAATTCGGGCCTCACCAGCACACACCCACAAACAGCAACCATGAGGCTTCCAACCCTCCTCTCAGCGCTCCTGGTCGCGACCGCCAGTCTTGCCAGCGCCCGTGGCGCGGAAGCAACGCGCACAGCAGCCATCTACATCCAACCACTCATCTCCCCCGCAACGTCGCCCTCTCTCCTCGCCGAGGTCGCCATCCAAGAAGACGAGCCAACAGTAGCAGCATCAACAGGAGAAGGCCCCACCACCACCACCGCCAAAGTCCTCTCCTACTCCGCTCCGGACCTTCCCGACGCACACGATCAAGGCGATCGATTCCTCCTCCGCATCGGCGTCTACAACCCTTCCACAGGGCACTGGTTATCCTCCACGTCGGTCGCCTCCGCAGCGAACTTTGCCAAGGGCTACGCGCCGCACTTTGTTCTCTCTCTCGATAGCGAAGCGGGTGGTGACGTGCTGGGCGTCGTGTGCCGCGGCGTGGCCATTGACGCAGGCGTGACGAGGGACTTTGGTCCGCAGGCTCAGGTGGTCAGGACGCTGAAGGCGGCGCAGCCTGCGCTGGGCAAGCCGGTTGTGCTTGGGGAAGGAGGGAGGAGGGCCGAGGAAGGGGAGAAGAGCTTTGTGCAGAAGTACGTTCTTTTCCTTTGCTTGATTTCATTGCTTTCAGCGATGGGTTCGAGAAAGGGGAATCGGGTTGATCAGGGTGATTGTGCTAACGGCCAGCTTGGGACAGGTACTGGTGGTTGCTCGCAATTGGGGCGTTTTTGTTGCTTTCTGGAGGGGGCGACCAGAAGTGATAGACCGGGCTTTGGATGTTGGGAAATGTCATTTCGATGTTACCTTGGCGTTGGTGTTACAGCCGTGATGAAGGTGTTCTGTGGTCTGCTCCCTGAGGGCATCTCTTCGTTGTTCTCCCGGCTCTCTTTCCACTGTTCCATCCGGATTTCCCATGAGCAAGCTGCTCATGATTCCATTTCTTTCAATTCTTTGTCCCCATAATTGTCATCTGTTTACCTTGCTGGCGTCTGTGCGAACTGCGCAGTCACTTGACAATCTCACCGGGCAGCTCATTGTACCCTTGTCAGCTGGTTGCCAGTGGTTACCGGGCCGCCCCGTTTTGGTTACTGCGAGGCCCCGCAAATGTTTGGCTCGATCACGGCTCCCCAGGCCAGAATTTCACAAGTTGAACACCCTTCTGGCCTTTCCTTCCATCAATCCTCTTCTTTCCACCTCACTCTCGAACTTGACTTCGGCCCCGTCTTTCCGCGCTTCCAGAACCTTGGTCGCGTTTCCATCCCGCGAACAACCAAAACAGATTGAACGAAACAAAACACAAGTCAACCACACCACTTCCAGTCGCAATCATGGCCACCTCGAACGGATCTACCGATCCCATGGCCGCCACTAACCCCAAGCTCGAGAATGGCGCGCCCGTCTCTGATGTTAAGGGCAAGGGCAAGGCTGCGGCCACCGAGGAGCCTGTTGAGGACACCTCGATGGCTGAGGATGATGACGAGGATGACGAAGAGGAGGACGATGTCGACGAGGTAAGCGTGCGCGCGCAGCCACATCGCCGATTCACATTTTGTGATTCGTTTTGCTAATATTGTCTTCACAGGAGCCCGAGGCTGGTATGTCAATAATTGCGTCGCGACATCTCACGTAGTACAACGCACAGCTAATCACCCACAGCTGACGAGGACAACATGGAGGAGATCGATCTCGACAATGTCATCGGCCGCCGCACTCGCGGCAAGGTGATTGACTTCGCCAAGGCTGCTCAGGAGAACCCTCCCGACGAGGACGAAGACGAGGAGGATGACGATGACTTTGTCGACGAGGACAAGATGGACGAGGACTAGGATGGCCCTGCCCAGAATGTCGAGGAACCTGCGACTGCTTAATGCGACTACGAATGGGTTATGATATCACGAATGGATATGGCCGGCTTATCCATGCTGGATACAAGTTGTCATTCAGCAAGCAGGGCTAGGATAAGAGCAGTCACGGCAGCCGCTTGGCGTGCTGGACGGAGATCTGGGCATTATCCTTAGAAGGTAGCGAGCACGCTCTCGCGCTCGACTGGCTGCATTCTCAGGTGCCCATACCGTTGTCGCGACAATGAGCAGAGCACATGAGCTCGAGGTTACTTATTGACTTTCCACTGCGCTCTCCTTGAACCCGCGTTTCGAATTTAGATGTCCCGGGCAATTTCATCTGGCATGCCATTCCGGTTGCAAGAGTTGACGCCGCGGTCCACTTCCGAACCTCTCGATACCACATGCACCGAACATGGCGGCCTTCTCGAATCGCAATGCTAACAGACAGCTAAAGGTTATCGGCTTCACGATTAGCACCAAATTCGAGGGTAAATCAGTGCGCCTTTCCACAAGCCGAACCAGCCTCGCGTCAGCGTTACGTTGCCCTAGATAGCTATGCCTCTCAACGTCAACGTCAGGTCAACACCACGTGCTGCTTTAAGCTGGCATACACCTATATTCTAGGGCAGGCCCAGATAGCTCGGGATAGCCCAGTATAGTTACTGAACTGGTTGCAGTTGTAAGTATAGTTCGAATACGCGCTTTTTAGTAGTTATTTAGAGTTATTAATTAAAATCTGATCTCTCATTGGGAGTCAGCTACGGGGCATTGCAAAAGACCTCTAGAAGTGTCACGGCGGGACAGGCGGACAATCCAATGACAATTGTATTCGGGCTAAACTACAGTCTAAGCTCTATTCCGTCAGGTACGGGCAGGCTTGATTGTCAAGACGTAGCTCGAGGAGCTACGAACAGATCTCGCGGCAGCGAGGTGCAGAATATTTAACCCACAGGGGCCCGTGCTTTCCACATGCCGGGTTCCACCCGTGGGTCCTAGCAGGTACGGCGCAATCGCCGTGACAAGGAGAGGGCTGGAAGGCTCTAGAGACCAGTAAAAGCCCTCCTTTATTATATCGTATCGAATTCAAATATAGTGGCTATTAAGTAGAGAATAGAGGCTTTTATCTAGCCTATATAACTGATATACTTTTCTTTATATATAGTAGTAGAGAGACTAGTATGCCTATAAGCAAATTGATATAGAGAATAAAATAATTATAAGTCTTTAACTAATACTCTAACTACTGAAAGAATATATACTTGAAGTATATCTATAGCTTCAACTAGTTTAATAGCTATAAATGGCTAGCCCGAGCCACCTTGACCAGTCTTAAAAGTTTGGGCTGTGCTAGCCAAAAACAGTGGTGCTGGCTTGACGTTTGAGAGGCGCAGAGGCTTATCGACAATTGGCCAATCTCCAAGCTCCAAATTTCTTGAACAGGTGGACAAGACAGCCTGAACCTTGCCTTGGACTCGGTCACCGACCAACAACACTCAAAGCCTTCACGTTGTCGCTTTTATGTTGTGTTGACGAGACTTATCATACCACCATGGAAGGAAAGTCATAATTGACTTGAATTCATACCTTTCTGTAACGCGCGTTCAATATGGCTTCGAGGTAAGTCTATTCGGTTCCGGACACCCCTGCATCGTCAACTTGGATTGCATCGCATGGGACAGGAGGTCGTCGGCGCAGCACACCACAGCGACTGGTGGACTTCCTGCGCGAAACTAGGCCTATGGCGACAACGCGCATATACTTTATCGCTCAGCGACTGTCAACATCCCCGTTACTCGCGACACAACCAACAACGACGGATACTCTCCTACAGCCATCACCAACCCTCCCTTGGCAGACCGGGAGCTCTCCCGCAAGGAAAAGTATCCAGAAAGAAGCCAGCAGCTAACAGCTTGCGCTCTACCTTCTCCAATAGATTCGCCTCCTCCTCTCTCCACCAGCGCGACTCGCGCAGCGACCTCTTCAAAGGCTACACCGGCGGCGGCTCCGCCAGCAGACCCGTCAGCGCCAGTCCCAGCCGCCAACAACTCGGCGGCGGATACGGATACGGCGGGTACCAGCCCAACAGCAACCAGCACCACCTGAGTCTGACTGCCGAGAGCCGTGGCGGGTATAGGCCTGCGACGCCGAATCGGAAGTGCGTCCCACCCCTTACTTATTGCCGGAGTTCAGGCTAAGGGCGGGGAATTGATAATGGCAGTGATGGTGATGGTGGGCTGACGTGGAAAATTTTCATCCGTCTAGGGGACAGTACAGCGATGCGGTGCTTAACGAGCTCGAAAGCCAGAATGATCAACAGGTCGAGGGGATTATGGGCAAGGTTAAGATGTTGAAGGATGTCAGTTTTACCTTGGCTCTTGGCTTTTGCGGAACCATGCACAACACGACGGCATTGGAGAGAGCTTAGCTGACAAAGTGCTCGCTGGAAAACAGATGACGATAGCCATCGGCGATGAAATCCGGGACTCGTCCGCGCTGGCGGAGAAAATGAACGAGGGCTTCGATCAAACACGGTTGCGGCTGGGCAGAACTATGAACAGGATGCTGATCATGGCGGAGCGGACAGGCGTTGGTTGGAGGGTGTGGCTGGCTTTTTTTCTTACCGTCATCCTTTTGTTCGTTTACGTCTGGCTATTCTGAGAGGGAGGACATTGACGGGGGAAGGGTACGGGCTTTGATTAGACACGGGTTGCTTTCTCTGCCTGGCTGCTGGCTGGCTGGCTGGCTGGCTGAATAGGCGCTTGGAGTTTGGGACGCATGTCTACCTTGGCTTGGTTGATTGGGATATGACTGCTGGCATGATTTTGTACCAACACATTCGCATGCGGCCATGAATGGGGGGCTGGTTTTGATACAGATTTTGTAATGCTGCACATAAAGTTTACCCTCCTTAATGAGCCTTGTCCTACCCGGGTCCCACCCCTGATCGAAGACAGATAACCTCTGACGCCTAATAATGCTGGTATCATCCCATAAGAATTCGAGCCTTCCGGTCCGTCCGTTACCCTCCATTCCAACCCTAGAAATTACCCCTCCGAATATGCGGGCTGCTGCCCGCGATGCTGCTCCCGTCTCCGGACAAGAGCCCACTGATATCGAGACTCGACCTTGGCGCTTCGCTCCGACGGAGACTGCTTCTATGGTGGAGTATTCGTGAGCTGCGGGCGTAGCTGATGTCGTGATCACCATTGCTGTTGAGCGAAGCCTCGGAGTCAGTGTGCTCATAGCCGCCGCCCTCTGCCTCGGGAATGTCGTCGTCCAAGTTTGCACCCATGTCCATGTCCGAGCCAGCTCCAACCGAGGCAGTGGACCCCTGATGCGCGCCGTCCCTGTACAGGGTGTCCTCATCCAAGAGCTGACCCCTTTCGTCGTCGCTGATGTCCTCCTCGCCACTGTAGAGATTGCTGAGGGCATGAGCTCTCTGAACGGCACCGCGAACCATCATCTGGCGCATGCGCTCCTCTCGCGCGCGCATGTGGGCAATCTCTTGTCGTCGCTGCTGAATATCGACAGATGACATTCCCTGCTCCGCCTCACTCAACTCCTCCTCTTCCTCCTCATCCTCTTCATCCTCCTCGTCCTCGTCCTCCCCCTCCTCGTCATCACTAACCCCATCATACCCAAACCCCTCAGCATCCGCGTTCGGAATTTCCTCATCCAAATCCCTCCCGGCCTCCTCCGCCTCCATAAAATCATCCTCCCCATCCCCCTCAATGTCCCCCAGCCCTTCTTCCCCAGCCTGCAGAGCAGCAGCCGCCTGCGCCTGCGCCTCGGCCTCGGCAGCCGCCAGCTCCTGCGCGAGCATCTCGCGCCGCAGAGCCTCGGCGTGTTCCTCGGCCTCGCGCCGCTCCTCCCGCATCTGGAACAACGTCTTGGTCACCCCGGGAGGCTTGAGCCACGTGCTGCCCAGGTTGGTCACGGCCGCGCGCCGCCGCTCCATCAACTGCTCCTCGGCGTGCAGCCGGCCGAGGAGCGAGCGGTCAATTATCTGCGCCGTTGCGCTGGGGGATTGGTGGTGGGCGTTGGGGCCCTGGCGGGTGCCGGCGGGGGTTGTTGATGGGTTCGGGACCGGCGTGTTTTGGGTTGCGATCGCGGTCGTAGTTGTTGTTGTGGGGATGGTGATGGTTGTTGTGTTTTCGGTTGTAACGGCTGGAGGGTCTGTTGGGTACAGGGAGGAGGGGTGGCGGGAGGAAGTGTACCAGAGGGAGTGAGACTGTTGAGATTCATGGCACGGTTAGCAGTTGTTGGACAGTGGAAGGAAATGCAATCTGCTAGCAGGGAGACTTGTAACTCACTTCCCGCGGCGTCAAGTCTGGGAGAACAGAGAACATGGTTGTTGTTGTTGTTGTTGTTGTTGTTGTTGTTGCCGATTTTGGCATGTGATTTCAGATCGTCTTTGCGCTCCACAAGCTCCAGCAGGGTCGACTTCCCCGTTGGGAGATCAGAAAAGTCACGGTTGGGGCCAGATAGTCTTGAAGGCCGTCTGAACGAGAGAAATCGGCTGGTAGTGATTGGGTTGGAGGATTCAAAGTTGTAGAGCCCGGTTGCCGCGGTTTGCACGAGTCTTTTTGTCACGTTTTGGGGACGGACCCAAGGTGGCCCGCTATCATGAATGAAGACAGTGCCAGTCTGGCGCTTGATCATAAGGTATTGGCACCGTATACTAGCGGAGAGCTCCGCGCTCGAGGTTGACCTGATATGGTCTGTGCTCGCGCCAGCAAGGGTCTAGCGAGGACCACAGCCATCCCTCCAAAGACTGATATCTTCAGTTTTGGACGGAAATGGTAGACCTTATTGGCACGCTTTCTCAAACCATGCTCTCAGCCAGAGCAGCTCCAACATCCGAAACGAAACCTATGGTCCGGTTGGCTTCCACAGCGAACTGGCCTTACTGATCGCCCATTTGCTGTCATTTCCACATTTCCTGTCGGTGGTCTCCCCCGATTCCCGGAGTTCATGTTCGACGAATTTGAGTTCTTGTGAGGTAATTCTGGACCACGCATCTGCAACGTTGAAAACAGAGAACGTGTCCATTCTCTGTTGCCACCTTGCGGAACATGTCCTTCCTTGCATTTGAGAAGCCATGCTGTGGGAAAACTTCCAATGAAGGCGCGGCCAGTTTTCGTGCCTACCCACGCTAATGGAGCCATGTGCGGGACTTTTCGGAACACAAGTCCACCGCAACTGTGGGCATCATGCGCTGGAACCATTCCAAGATCATGCTCCGAGGAACTGCACGGCTTCTACTCTGCACACCTGGGCGGCAGGTAAGACGACAACGAATTTTTCTCCCTTGGCCGCACCAGAGAGGTTCAGCCTTCGCAGCAGGCTCGCATGATTTTCGCCGTGGCTGACGGGCGGCGTTTTGAGGCCAGTTGGGGACGGCCATGACTGCCGATACCGGTCGGCTGGCGGCAACAGCTCATTTACGAGATGCTGCTCTCACATCCACGGGACAATGGAAGAGGATGACTCTTCCGTCAACTTGGGGAGGTGGAGCAGAACTGGCCGAGAGGGAGGCAGATCGGATGTTGCAGCGGCCTATTCATGCAGAATCCAAAGACAGAGCCCCCACGGAGTGGGGAGCCGGTCAATCCACGAACGTTACCACAGTACCCTCCAGGAGACGGGCGTCGAATGGAGATTTCATCAACGTCCATGATCCAAGGGCAGTTTTGCGGGTGACTTTCCCTTCCATTGACCTCGGTGAACACGATATATAGAGATAGTACGGATAGCAGAGATGCAGACCTTGAATTCAGCCACGTTCCACCACCCCGAGTTCTACTCCAAAACCCCGGTGCAGACAAGGGTCGCGTACCCCACCAACCCGGAACCGGCTGCTTCCTCAGTCTGTGATGGCCCAGGAGCCAAAACACTTGGCTTCGTCACATCTCTCCGTAGGGCGATCTCACCTGGCGCTCTCTCTCTGCGCGCCATTCTATCGGCTGGGCGCGGGCGAGGCTGCTCCACCAACGCAAGATAACGGGACGAAGGCTGCGGCATGAGCCGTATGATTGGTGGACTCCGTCTTGTGTCTTGATAATTCTTTTTACCACACCCTTTCTGGCTGCGCTCACAGGAGGGCTGCTGAACACTCCTTTTTGCGGCAGACAGGATATGATGCGTCTTCCCCGCTAAGGTATTTTGAGTACCTGCAGGCTGTCGTGTGAAGTATCTACCGTCTCTCACAGCTCGTGTCCCCTTTCCCTTTTCGTGCCTGCATGATCTCTCCAGTCTGTGGTTGAGCCAAGGCGGTTGTGCAACTTGATGAAGGGTGATGCACACCCTTTCCGTTTGGTGAAACAGAATGCTTGGGTCTAAAACTCAAACGAGTTATGGGCGAATGCTAAAGTATCGTAGTTTGCTGGGACCACGTGCAAATTGTCTTTTCGATTGAATTCCCCGCCGTTGCTGTCCCAGGCTGCCGGGCGGACATTTCGGTGTGCAACTGGAATGGTCCAATCATGGCCCGGCAGTTCTCGATCTTCGAGCAGCTCCTCAACCCTCCGGGCCCTGGCGCTTGGGCAGGCGACATCGGCTGCGCTTCTTTGAAAGCAGACGGATGTGATTGGCTTAAACTTGTGCAAGTTGACGTCTCCCCGGTTCATGGCAGGGATCCCAAAACGTGCTGTGGATGCGGTCGCATGCAGGCAGGCGATGCTTGTGGATCTTGCGCTAGGCCTGTCCTGGATATGCAAGATGCAGCCTGGTGTGGGGTATGTTCATGAAGCCAGCTGCTTTACTCTCTCTCGGTGTTGTTTGTGAGTAATGTGTTGGACATGACGGGTTTTGAAAAGCTTACGATGCAGATTTCGATCAATAAACCCGTCAACGCCTTGATGGTAGAACTAGTTCCTTAGTGGGAGCCTCGAAGTTCAGACAGTAACTCCGCAATCACGACTCTCTGGAAACGCACGAAAGGTAGTGTTTCAAAGTCTATGGTTCAAGACGAATTGGCTTAGGCTTGGAGACGCAAAGCACCTTTTTCACGAACATACATGTTACAGACGTTCCGTACTCTTCGTTCAATAAATTCTGGCTGTCAAACTCAGGTCGAATCTTCTCTCGACGTTCTAATCAGCACAACGGCTCCTGGGCCGGTGACAATCCGAACGCCTGTCCATATCAAGCTCCAAGATCATCATATTGCTCGTCCCTTGAATGATATGTTCTAACTGACTTACATCAAATACGGCACTGCCAAAATTTGCTGTTCGATTCGCCCGAGCGCTCAATGAGCGAGGGCCGATGTTGTTGAAGTGGGCAGATCTATGCATGTGATGCAGCGGGGTCTGCAGCGATAGGAGGGCAGCTCTGAATGAATACGCCTTCGACCGGGTCGCATCCCCCACCATCAGGGCCGGTTACGGGGTTGCCTTCAAGGCATTCGCTTTCTTCCAGCCGGTGTTTCTTTCCACCACCCTTGCGATCCGCATTCGCACCACGTCTTGGCCAAATTTTTCTCCGCTTCGTTCGCCTGGTCCAATCGAGGAGCGAGACCCTGAGACCGGCAGCCAATTCTGCTCGGGACGACCTGGGCACATTTGCGACTTGTGTCTGGCCACCGACTTGCTCATAAAAACCACAGTCGCCACCCCTTCCCGGCTGCGAAGCGCTCTTTCCCCCTTCCCTTTATTCTTTCACGAACCATACCGCCTCATTCCGGAATCGGCAACAGCTCTCGCTCCGAGTCTGCTCCAGCAAGCAAACAGCGTGCTAGCGACCTTTGCTCAAGAGTCGCAATCAAGCCAATTGGTAAGTTTGTTCCTTTGCAACACTGTGCTCACCACTGTTACCCCTCCGGGAATGTTGGATACGATCCGGCGTGCCTCCATGGCCGGTCCCTGCATGAATCCGACACAATTCGACCTGCGAATCGCTCGAGGCACAATTCACGTCGACGAGCCATAGCATCTCCGGCTCAGCGCTCCCGTCCCACACCGCGGGGCAGGCCGTGGATCCGGATGGCAGCCGCCTTAGCCGTCGCCCTGCGGACCGACGTTTTTGAGGACGCGGAGAACCAAACCTTTGGCGAACTTACGACCGCAACGCACGGTACCACTGGATTTGGCACCATACCGACCACGCACACGCGCACAGAAGCAAACAAGCACATCAGAGAGATGCTGGTACTTTGGCTGGTGTTCCACATCTGGACAGACATATTGAAGTGGCATGTGCTTGTGGACAAGGGTCCACCTGGTGGGGCCTTCAGCCCCGCATCCTTTCCCACTCCCGCGCCTCGGCCGCTCATTTCACCCTTCCTCCGTACGAGGGACTTGCCGTCAGCATCTTGCTGGCCTAGGAGGCAAGCATCCGTCAAGGCAACTGCATCGACAACGCAAAACAGCGCACCGCTTTGCGCCAAAGTCGCCGGGGATGGTTTGCCCTCTTATCAGTGAGATTTCGCTCGCACATCTCAACGCGATAAGGGACGCAGCGATCGACCTGTCGTCATCCCGCGGCGAATGGGGGGAGGTGTGTGGGCAACAATGGAATTGGTTGGCCGCAATGCGGTCCATTGCATCACAGTCCTGGTGTGACCCGCAAGGCAATCGGGAGCTATCGCCAAAAGCGGCGGCTTGCCTCGCGACCACGAGCTTGGCGATGTTGCAGCACGCTAGCCGCAGCAGCAGTGGGCAGCACCCTTCCCAAGCCGATGGGAACCCAGGCCCCAGGACCCTGGAATACGTCGGACCAAGTCAACGGAGAAAGCTGCACTGCCCACTCATACCTCCTTGACTTGATACCGCTTCGGTCGGTGCCGTGTTAACCAGCCGACTTGGACGAGGAACAACGCATCTGCCGCTGTGGCTGGCTTTTGACGGCCCAGATTCGCTTATGTCGTCTTGTGCCGTGTGCTTCCGGCTTCGCTCTGTTCCACCGACGGCGGTACTTCATAGCTTGATCTCTAGCCGCCGCACCTTTGCCTCCCCGCATGAACTGGTTGACTTGCGTAACCGCCGGTCAAGCGGGCTCTTGTCGGATTTCCGTTCCTGAACCTTGGGTCTCACGTCATGTCATCGTTATCCAACTTCGGCCCGAGATATATTATGACTCCATCTGTCTTGAGTAACCGTGGCTGACCTTCTTGACTCTCCAGATCGTCACGTCGTCCCCAACGGCCTCGATATCCACCTGTTTGTGCCAGGCTCGGATCACAGCAGCCAAAGCACACTCGAGCGCTTTGCGGTTCCTCCGTGCAGGCATCCATTGAGCAAGCTTGCCTAGCATGGGCGTCATCAAGGTCCCCGAAGATTTCGATGATCGGCAACTACAGCTTGATGCTGAAGCGGAGCAATACCATCCCTATGAATACCAAACCGAGAACAATGATTCTTGGGCAGGCGCCCTCCCGGTGAAGCAGTATGTGCTAGATACCTTTCTCGCCACTCACAAGATGTCGTAACTGACTATTTGTTCTCTAGGGGACTTTATGACCCGTCTCTTGAGAAAGATGCTTGCGGTGTCGGCTTTGCTTGGTAAGCGACCGACCTTCTAATTTAGCAGAGAGTTGCGCTACTAACAACTTGAAGCCACATCAAGGGCAAGCCCAGCCATAAGATCGTCAGCGATGGTAGGCTCCTTCAACCCGCGGACGACAGGGGATATGCTGACCGGCGTAGCGCGGAACCTTCTTTGCAACATGACCCATCGCGGTGCGGTGGGCTCTGACGCGAGGGATGGCGACGGTGCGGGTGTCATGACGTCCATTCCTCACAAGTTCTTTGTCAAGAACTTTGAGCGCGAACAGGGCATCGTGCTTCCTCCTCCGGGCCAGTATGCTGTGGGGAATTTGTTCTTCAAGCCCGATCAGGAAACGTTGCACGAGTCCAAGCGGCAGTTGGAAGATATTGCCGAGTCCTTGGGCTTGAGAGTTCTGGGGTGGCGAGAGCCTCCTGTTGACTCGACGCTCCTCGGTCCTGCCGCTGCTTCTCGGGAACCCACCATTCTGCAGCCCTTTGTCGTCCTGCAGTCTGCCTACGGCGCGGGCAATGCTCCCGAGACTACAGACCCGGAGAAGTTTGATGAGAGGCTCTTTGAGAGGCAGCTCTATGTTCTCCGAAAGCGGGCCACCAAGACTGTCGGGCTTCAGAATTGGTTCTACATCTGCTCCCTCTCCAACAAGAACATTGTCTACAAGGGGCAGTTGGCGCCGGTTCAGGTCTACCAATACTACCATGATTTGGTGAATGCCGACTATGAGGCCCACTTCGCGCTCGTGCACTCGCGCTTCTCCACCAACACATTCCCCTCCTGGGATCGTGCCCAGCCGCTGCGGTGGGCGGCTCACAATGGTAAGAGGGTATACCGGATTATCCTGGGATTGCGCATTCGATGCTAACTGCCGTGGTTAGGTGAGATCAACACGCTGCGCGGCAACAAGAACTGGATGCGCGCCCGAGAAGGTGTTATGCAATCCGACGTCTTCGGTGAGGAGCTCGAGATGCTCTATCCCGTTGTTGAGGACGGCGGCTCCGACTCGGCTGCTTTCGACAATGTGCTGGAATTGCTCACCATCAATGGCGTGCTCTCACTTCCCGAAGCCGTCATGCTGATGGTTCCTGAGGCCTGGCAAGGCAACACCTTGATGGATCCCAAGAAGGCGGCATTTTACGAGTGGGCTGCCTGCCAGATGGAGCCGTGGGACGGCCCGGCTCTGTTCACTTTTGCCGACGGCCGCTTCTGCGGCGCCAACCTCGACCGTAACGGCCTTCGTCCCTGCCGCTTCTATGTCATGGACGATGATCGCATCATTTGCGCTTCCGAGGTCGGCACCATCCCCGTCGATCCCGAGAGGATCGTCCAGAAGGGCCGTCTGCAGCCCGGCCGCATGTTGCTCGTTGACACGCAGGCTGGTCGCATCATCGACGACAGCGAGCTGAAGGCTGCTGTTTCGAGCCGCTATGACTTCAGGACCTGGCTTGATGAAAATCTGATCACGATGCCTGCTGTCTTGGATAAGGTGGCTGAGAACAAGAGTATCACTCTGGCCGCCAAGCCTGACGAGTACAAGCTACAGGAGGACCCCTTGCTCCATGCTTTCGGCTATACCTTTGAACAGGTCAGCTTGCTCCTTGCCCCAATGGCCTCGGACGAAAAGGAGGCGCTTGGTTCCATGGGCAATGATGCCCCTCTTGCGTGCTTGTCGGACGCTCCCAAGTTGCTCTACGAATACTTCCGCCAGCTCTTCGCGCAAGTCACCAACCCGCCCATCGACCCGATCCGCGAGTCGATCGTCATGTCTCTGGAGTGCTATGTCGGTCCTCAAGGCAACCTCCTCGAGATGGATCCGTCCCAGTGTGGCCGGCTGCTCCTGCCTAGCCCCATCCTGTCCATTGAGGAGTTCAACGCCATGAAGAACATGTCGACTCTCTACCCCGAGTGGACTGTCAAAACCATCGACCTCACCTTCCCCAAGAAGGATGGTATTCAGGGCTACATCAAGCATCTCGATTACATTTGCGACGAGGCCACTGCCGCCATCGAGGCACGGGACCGCATTATCGTCCTGTCTGACCGCAATACTTCCAAGGACCGGGTGGCTGTTTCGACCTTGCTTGCCGCCGGCATGGTGCACCACCACCTTGTCGCCAACAAATGGCGTTCCATGGCTGCGCTGGTTGTCGAGACCGCCGAGGCCCGTGAAGTGCATCACATGTGCGTCCTTGTTGGCTATGGCGTGGATGCCATCAACCCTTACCTCGCCATGGAGTGCATTCTGAAACTCAACCGGGAGAAGCTCATCAAGAAGAAGCTCTCGGATGATGTCCTCATTCGCAACTACAAGCATTCGTGCGACGGCGGTATCCTCAAGGTCATGAGCAAGATGGGTATCTCCACCCTGGCCAGTTACAAGGGTGCCCAGATTTTTGAGGCTCTCGGTGTTGACGACTCTGTTGTCGATCGCTGCTTCCGCGGCACCGCCTCCCGAATCAAGGGTGTCACCTTTGAGCTCATCGCAGAGGACGCTTTCCGCTTCCACGAGCGCGGCTTCCCTTCGCGCGCGACCGTCGCCGTGCCTGGCCTTCCGGAGTCAGGCGAATACCACTGGCGTGACGGTGGTGAAGCGCATGTCAACGACCCGGTGTCAATTGCCAACATCCAGGATGCGGTGCGCAACAAGAATGACAAGTCGTACGAGGCGTACTCGGTGTCTGAGTACGAGCAGATTAAGTCCTGCACGCTGCGCGGCATGCTTGATTTCAAATTTGACGAGTGCACGCCCATTCCGATCGACCAGGTCGAGCCTTGGACCGAGATTGTGCGGCGCTTTTGCACCGGCGCCATGTCATACGGTTCGATTTCGATGGAATCCCACTCCACCCTGGCTGTGGCCATGAACCGCCTCGGTGGTAAGTCGAACACCGGTGAAGGTGGTGAAGACCCGGAGCGTTCTCAACGTCTCCCTAACGGCGACACCATGCGCTCGGCCATTAAGCAGGTCGCCTCCGGTCGCTTCGGCGTTACTTCTGCCTACCTGGCCGACTCGGACGAGCTCCAGATTAAGATGGCCCAGGGCGCTAAGCCCGGCGAGGGCGGTGAGCTTCCCGGCCACAAGGTGTCTAAGTCGATTGCTCGCACCCGGCATTCGACCCCTGGTGTCGGGTTGATCTCGCCCCCACCGCACCACGACATCTACTCGATCGAGGACTTGAAGCAGCTCATCTACGACCTCAAGTGCTCGAGCCCGCGCTCGCGTGTCTCTGTCAAGCTGGTGTCCGAGACCGGTGTCGGTATCGTCGCCTCGGGTGTCGCCAAGGCCAAGGCCGACCATATCCTGATTTCGGGCCACGACGGTGGTACTGGTGCCTCCCGCTGGACGGGTATCAAGTACGCCGGTCTGCCGTGGGAGCTGGGTCTGGCTGAGACTCACCAGACCCTGGTGCTCAACGACCTTCGTGGGCGTGTCGTCGTCCAGACGGATGGCCAGCTCCGGACGGGCCGCGACGTCGCCATCGCTTGTTTGCTTGGTGCTGAGGAATGGGGCTTCGCTACGACTCCTTTGATCGCCATGGGCTGTATCATGATGCGTAAATGCCACCTGTTTGTGATCCCTTTCGTATTCTCTTCTCCCTCCCCCTCCTTCTCCTCCCTTTTTTTTTTTAAGAAACTTTTTTTCCCTTTCGTTTCTCTCTACCGTTTCCCCCTTTGTTTTTCCGATCATTCTTTTTCTCTCCCGCTATATCATTTGCTTTCCTGTGTCCTCTCTCTTTGCTTTCTTTTATTGTCCTGTTCTTTGCTTTTCCATCTCATTCTATCTCTCATTCTCCTCTCTCTTTTCGCCAATGGTGCCTCCAACGTGATGGGCACGACATAGCTGACCTTGTTTCACAGGAACACCTGCCCGGTTGGTATTGCCACACAAGACCCTGAGCTCCGCAAGAAGTTCACTGGCACGCCTGAGCATGTCATCAACTTCTTCTACTATGTGGCCAATGAGCTTCGCTCCATCATGGCCAGGCTCGGCTTCCGGACTGTCAATGAGATGATCGGCCACGCCGAGGTTCTCAAGCTCCGCGAGGACATCACGAGCAACAAGATGAACACCATTGACTTGTCGCTTATCCTCACTCCTGCCCACAAGCTTCGCCCGGGTGTCGCCACCTTCAATGTCCGCAAGCAGGACCACCGCCTGCACGTCCGCCTGGACAACAAGCTGATCTCTGAGGCCGAGTTGACCCTCGACAAGGGCCTGCCATCCCGAATCGAGTGCGATATCGTCAATACTGACCGCGCGATGGGTACTTCGCTGTCGTACCAGATTTCGAAGCGCTACGGCGAGGCCGGTCTGCCGATCGACACCGTCCATGTCAACATCAAGGGCTCTGCTGGCCAATCCTTCGGTGCCTTCCTTGCGCCCGGTGTCACCCTGGAACTTGAGGGCGATGCCAACGATTACGTCGGCAAGGGTCTGTCTGGTGGCCGTCTGATAATTTACCCTCCGCGGTCGGCGGTTTTCAAGGCCGAGGAGAACATCCTTATCGGCAACACCTGCTTGTACGGCGCCACCAGCGGTACTTGCTTCTTCCGCGGCGTTGCTGCGGAGCGCTTCGCTGTGCGTAACTCGGGTGCCACGGCCGTTGTCGAGGGTGTTGGTGATCACGGTTGCGAGTACATGACCGGCGGTCGCGTCGTCGTTCTCGGCAGCACCGGCCGCAACTTTGCAGCTGGTATGTCTGGCGGTATTGCCTATGTCCTCGATGTCCAGCAGGACTTCCTCTCCAAACTCAACTCGGAAATGGTTGAAGCTGGCCCCGTGGAGGAACCCGAGGAGGTCGCCTACCTCCGTGGCCTCATTGAGGATCATCATCATTACACGGGCTCTGAGCTCGCTGCGCGCATCTTGGTTGACTTCAACCGTGCTCTGCCTCGGTTCGTCAAGGTCCTCCCTGTCGACTACAAGCGAGTCCTCCAAGAGGAGGCTGCCAAGGCGGCCGAGGCCAAGCGGGCAGAGTACAATGTTCCCATCGTCTCCGGCCTTGCTCCCAAGAAGGAGGAGAAGGAGAAGAGCACCAAGCTTCAGGACATTGAGGAAAGTGTTCGGGATGACGCCGCCGACAAGAAGAAGGCTCTCGTTTTGGACAAGACTCGTGGTTTCATGAAGTACCACAGGCGGTCCGAGAAATACCGCAACGCGAAGACGCGGACCAAGGACTGGGCCGAGCTGTCTCAGAGGCTGGACGAGGACGAGCTTAAGTATCAGTCTGCTCGTTGCATGGACTGCGGTGTTCCCTTCTGCCAGTCGGACAGCGGCTGCCCCATCTCGAACATCATCCCCAAGTGGAACGAACTGGTCTTCCAGTAGGTTTACGAGACCCTCCCGACACGCCGGGAATAGGATATTCACCGCTGACATTGTTTGTAGGAATCAGTGGCGCGACGCTCTGAATCGCCTGCTAATGACCAACAACTTCCCCGAGTTCACTGGCCGTGTCTGCCCTGCTCCTTGCGAGGGTGCCTGCGTGCTTGGCATCAACGAGGACCCTGTTGGTATCAAGTCGATCGAATGCGCCATCATTGACCGTGGTTTCGAGATGGGCTGGATGGTCCCTACTCCGCCCAAGGTGCGCACCGGTAAGAAGGTTGCCGTCATCGGCTCTGGCCCTGCTGGTCTGGCGGCCGCAGACCAGTTGAACAAGGCCGGCCACCTTGTCACCGTCTATGAGCGTGCCGACCGTCTCGGCGGTCTGCTCATGTATGGTATCCCCAACATGAAGCTCGACAAACGTATCGTAAAGCGTCGGACCGACTTCATGGCGGCCGAGGGCATTCAGTTCAAGACGGGCGTCGCCATTGGCGAGGACATTAAGCTTATGGATCTTAAGGCTGAGAACGACGCCGTCATCATCGCGACAGGCGCCACCGTTGCCCGTGACCTTCCCATTCCGGGCCGGAACCTCGAGGGCATCCACTTCGCCATGGAGTTCCTGCACAAGAACACCAAGTCGCTCCTCGATTCGGAGCTGGCCGATGGGTCGTACATCTCGGCCAAGGACAAGCACGTGGTCGTCATTGGCGGTGGCGATACCGGCAACGACTGCATCGGCACGTCGGTGCGGCACGGGGCCAAGTCGGTCATCAACTTTGAACTGCTCCCGCAGCCGCCGCCGGAGCGGGCGCGCGATAACCCGTGGCCGCAGTGGCCGCGCATCTACCGGGTAGACTACGGTCACACCGAGGTGCGGCAACACATGGGCAAGGACCCGCGTGAGTACTGCATCATGTCCGAGTCGTTTGTCGACGACGGCGCGGGCAAGGTCAAGGGCATCAACACCGTGCGTGTCGAGTGGACCCGGTCGGCCTCGGGCGGCTGGGACATGAAGAAAATTGAGGGCTCGGAGCAGTTCTTCCCCGCCGATCTGGTGCTGCTGTCGATGGGTTTCCTGGGCCCCGAGGGCCGCGTGCTGGGCGACGAGATCGAGAAGGACGCGCGCAAGAATGTCAAGACAGCGCCTGGGCATTATGCGACGAATGTCGAGGGCATCTTTGCCGCGGGTGACTGCCGCAGGGGACAGTCGTTGATTGTTTGGTAAGTTGCGCCGTTCTTTCGGTGGAGGTGATTGTATTACGTGGATGCTGACTGTCTGTTTCTCAGGGGCATCAACGAAGGTCGCCAGGCTGCGCGCGAGGTGGATCTCTACCTCGAGAAGTGTACCAACCTGCCTGTTACCGGCGGTATTGTCAAGCGCACCGCCGGGGAGGTCTTTGCTGCTGCCGCGGCTCCGGCGGCGCCGGTAGAGCCAGTTGCTGCTTGAGGAAGAGGAGTATCTCTCAGGGATGGGGAAAATGAGATATGGGGTCAACGATATTGGCTGTTTTCATTATAGCATGGACACTGGTTCTAGCATTGCTTATTTTTTTCCTAGAATGATTTTGATACCATTTCCGCATACGGAGCATCATCTGCTTTTTTCTCAGTCGGTGAGGCATAGAATGAGTGTGAAAGCGACTTTAAGACCTGGACGGTGTTGGTTGACAGTCCTGGTGTGATTTCACACTGGAAAGGGATATGTAAGGCGCTTGTTGATTGTTTATGTCACTAAGTGTCTTCCTTCCCTAAACTGAATGAGAGTCTGGTAAATAGGAGACGTCGTACAAGGAATGTGACTTTGCTTCTTCAAAAGCTGGACTGGACGCCCGACTGACTGTTGATCTCTTCAGGTGTGTGGTATGGTTCAAGATATATATGTCGAGGAGCCTCGGCAACCTACCCCGGAACAGCGGAATGTTATATATAGCTTTCAGTGTGACTTTTTGACTTTTTTGATTTTTTTTTACTTTTCTTGACTTTTCTTCCTGATTTCTTGTTGACTTTTCTTCCCTTTCCCCCTCTTCTTGACGTGTAAGAAAGGAAAAGCTTAAGAAAGGGAGGTAAAATAACAGACAACCCATTTTGGTGATGAAAACCACAAAGTCATTCTTCTCGTTCTGACTTCAACGGTCGCTTGTCTTCCGGGTCGACATTTGTCTTGGGCGAGGTTCGAGTTGAGGCTCTTGAGCCCTCCACAGCAGCTGAAAGCTTGATTGCTGCCAAGCACGTGGTGCATCGATTGGTCAATGGCAGCAGACCAGTCTCTCGGTGAGTCGGTAAGGACTGGCTCTCGGACGGTAGTGGGATACTTCGTGATGAATGCGCCTCTCCCCCGGTACTGGACAGTATTTCACAAGCACAAACACTCAATACTGCCTTGATGTGAAGGTACAGAAATCTGAGAGTAGAGGTAATCACGATACCCGGTGGTTCAGCTGATACTGGGCCCAAATAATACTGCAGTAGTTGGATGATCAAAGTACTCTCCAAATTATGAGACAGAGTGGGTCACATGCACTGTGGGGTCCTGCTTCCGGGATCCGTGCTTTCTGGTGGGGGGCAGTTGGTTGACGTGAAGTGACCGAGACAGAGCTGCGTCTGATTCTCCCCGTCGTGCTGTTTCCTTGTCAACAACGTCCCCTCTATGTACTATAGCATCCCCTCATTTTCTGTTGCACGCATTGAATTATTATACTTTTGATCGGTTTTCGATACTCTCAGCATTGAGAAGTTGCTCTACTCGGCCATGCGCTTCGGCAAAACACTCCGGAAATCGGTCTACGAACCATGGCAGGACAAATACATCGACTATGCGAAGCTCAAAAGCCTCTTGCGCGAGGATAAGCCGGATGACGACGACGAACCATGGACCGAAGATGACGAGAACCGCTTCTGCGACGAGATCTTCAATGTGCAGCTCGAGAAGGTCGCGCAGTTCCAGGTAGAAAAAGTCGAGGACCTGCGCCGCCGCGTCGACGGCGCTTTTGAGAAACTCAGGGAGTTCCCCGCCGCCGACGAGGGCAAGCCGATGGCCGCTGCCGATACCCAGCAGCTCAAGGACCTCGAGACCGAGCTCGACACCATCACCAACGAGGTCAAGGAGCTGCAGAAGTACAGCAACCTGAACTACACGGGCTTCCTCAAGATCGTCAAGAAGCACGACCGGAAGCGTGGCAACCGGTACAAGATCCGCCCCATGATGATGCTCAGCCTGTCCAAGCGGCCCTTCAACTCAGAGCAGGCCTACTCGCCCTTGCTGAACAAGCTGTCCCTCATGTACTTTGCCATCCGCCAGCACTTGGAGGAACCCGGCGCCGGGGATGCCTATCCCGTCGACCCCGACAGCCAACCCGAGACACACAACGGCGAGAAGTACACCGCCCACAAGTTTTGGGTGCACCAGGACAACCTGCTCGAGGTTAAGACGTACATTCTCCGTCGTCTGCCGGCTCTTGTGTACAGCGAGCAGTCAGCGAAGGAAGTGGATGGCCAACAGGACCCGACAATCACGTCGCTGTACTTTGACAACTCCACATTTGACCTCTACTCGAAGAAAGTCGAAAGGGAGATGGAGGCATCCTCGCTGCGGTTGCGCTGGTACGGCCAGCTGAGCTCACGGCCGGAAATCTTCCTCGAGCAAAAGATCCTGCACGAAAACGGCAGCAGTGAAGAGCGCAAGTTTGTCATCAAGGAGAAGTACATCAAGGCATTCCTTGAAGGCGACTACAGCATGGAGAAGTCGGTGCAGAAGATGGAGAGGCAGGGACAGAAACCTGAGGATGTGGACCAGTTTCGGTCTACGGCAGACGCCATCCAGCAATTTGTCCGCGGGAACAAGCTTGAGCCGGTGGTGAGAGCCAACTACAAGCGGTCAGCCTTCCAGAAGCCGGGCGACGATCGTGTGCGCATCTCTATCGACACCGACATCGCCTTCATCCGCGAGGACACGCTGGACCGCGACCGGCCCTGCCGCGACCCCAATGAGTGGCACCGCGTTGACATCGACAACAGCAACATGACGTACCCCTTCAACAACATCAACCAGAGCGAAGTCTCGCGCTTCCCCTACGCCGTCCTCGAGATCAAGCTGAAGGAGGACATCAACCGCGGCAAGCGCCCCTCCTGGATCCAAGACCTGATGGGGTCCCACCTCGTCCACCCCTGCCCGCGCTTCTCCAAGTTCGTGCATGGCACGGCCTCGCTGTTCGAAGACTACGTCAACCGCCTGCCTTTCTGGCTCTCCGACCTCGACACCGACATCCGCAAGGACCCGCAGGTCGCCTTTGAGGAAGAAGAATCCCGCCGCGCCCAGCGTGCTGAAAACGAGCAAGTCGTCGGCAGCTTGCTGGGCACTAAACTTGGCTCGTACAAGCCATCGCGCAGCTCGCCCGTCGCAAAGTCCTACCTCGCGGACCGCCTCGCCGCCGACACTGCCGGGCAAACTCCCAAATCAGCCACCAGCCGCCCGCCAGCAGGTGACGAGGCAGGCGAACCAAGCAGCAGCGCGTTCGGCGCCCTCTCGCCGGAACCCCAAACTGTCGACGGCGCCGAGCGGTCGACCCTCAACTACGGCACGCTATCCTCCGTCTTCCCGGGTTTTTCATTGTCTAAGTACTCTCTTGCGAAGCAGGCGCGCGAGGCCCGCCAGCGCCAACAACAGGATTCCGCGCCCCTGCCGCCAGGCGTCGTCGAGCCGACCGAGTGGCTCAAGAACGCCGGGCCGCTGCAGATCGAGCCGAAAGTGTGGCTCGCCAACGAGCGCACTTTCCTGAAGTGGCAACACATTTGCGTGCTGCTGGGCGGCCTAGCCGTGAGCCTGTACTCAGCCGGCGGCGGGAGCGGGAATGTCCTCGCACAGGCCATGGGCGCCGTGTTCATTGGTGTGGCGATATTTGCCGGCGCGTGGAGTTACTTTGTCGTTGTCAAGAGGAGGGAGATGATTGTGCAGCGGAGCGGCAAGGACTTTGACTTCTTGGCGGGGCCCCTTGTGGTTAGTGCTGCGTTGGGGGTGGCGCTGGTGGTGAATTTTGGTTTTGCGGTAGGTTTGGACTCTTCTTCATATGTCTCTCCTCTCCCTTTCTTGGTGTCGCATTACTAAGGGTGCTGTGCGCTAACTGGATTGTAGTATCAGAAGGCGTTTGGCCATGATGGACGGAATGGGAGCTCAGGTGTTGGATTGAATGGAACTGTGATTGGGAAGATGAAGGAGCTGCGGATATGAGGTGGTGCTGGAGATGATGTGTCGGTGGTTTGTTTGCATAAGGTATATAAGTGGGAGAAGCGGTGGAAGTTGGATATTAGCAGCGGAGAACCACAGTATATACGAGACGTGTAAGCGTGTAATGTGGGTGATGGGTTGGATTCCAAAAAGTGGGTCAGGACGGAAGTCGTCTCAAGGCTTCGATGTATGGTACGTGAGTATAAGCATTGGCATGGTTGTGATGGCATCTTCAACATGTATGAAACAACTATACAAGAGGTCTGGGCTTAGCCACAGCTACCCTCCCATCTAAAGTTAATAGCTGGCATCTCGGCCTGTGTGCTATCGCCTTTTCTGTCGCTCACACTCAGATAATGTATGGCCTTTCTCCGGCGGGACTGCTCAGGATAACCGATGAAGACCTCCGGAAACTGTATTGAGGAACAATCACGCTGATCATGCCGCGTCTCGCTCCGAGGTGTATAAAGTGGATACGAGATAAGATTAGCTTGAGGATGGCCTTCAACTGTTTCTGTTAATGCTGCTGTGTTTAGATCCCGCTCACAGGGCTTCAGTCTAAGAAATCACTCGCGTGGGATGGTTCATGGGATGGAGATGCGGACTGCCCGCCACCGTACCCTACTGCATGTATGGGAAACCACCACGGCTTTGGGATTCTTATGTAGTAGCATGCCAAATTTTGTTTAGGGAGACTGTCCCTTTTCACATTTTAAAGTCAGACACGCAATCAACCGAGTCACATACATAACCCTCAGGGTTAAGTATGAGTGAGCAGCTCGGTGAGCTCTTTAAAACAACGTAGCAACCTCGACGTCATTGGTGCGTAAGGTTTCGACCGGAGCTATTGGCGGAGCCCGGCCTCAACTTTAAGTCAACATCATGGAAAATGTTTACAGTACAATAGCTGTACCCGACCGGCCGTGGGAATAGCGCTACTTTTGGCCCTCACACCATAAGTTGTCTGAGTCACTTTGCAGCATTCCGTGGTTCCGAGTTGTGGGCACTGGTCCAGTCTGCATGACTCTTCTTGAGAATGGGCGACTCGGAAGGAGGCCAAGATGGCGCTTCGCCAGATCCTGCCCTCGATCTTGGCTTTCCAGTTGTCGACATTGCGCCAGACGGTGACATTCTGCTAGATGTGACCTTTGACACATCAAAGAAGACCCTCAAGGCAGCAACAAATTCTGCAAGACCCAGGCCGGCCCAGAAGACAGAGCCTCTGGTGCTGAAAGCCAGAACCCGAGTCGGATACAGAGTCCAGCTCGCCGTACTGAAGCAGAACTCGAGATACTTTGACAACCTGCTCAGTGACACGCGGTTTGCCGAAGCCCGATCAATTGAAGATGCCTTGCAGAGGCTGTCGCTTCAAAGCGTGAAGCCATCGGAGGCGAAGGCCTCGGACCTCCCCGTGGTGAAGATCCACGAGGATGATGAGGCAACCCAGTCAGCAGGCCAGGACGCTGCTTTTGAAGACCTCATGCGCATTCTGCATAGGAAGCAGTCCACCGCGAAGCCTATGTCGACACAATCCCTGGCAGTCCTGGCCGTGCTCGCCGACCGTTTTGCCTGCACGGCCACCATCTCCAGGTACCTGGCCGCTTTGAAGTACAAATGGCCCGCCACGCAAACCCTCTTACGGGAAGATGGCCGGGCTCTCAGCAGGGCAGCCGAAGAGACGTTGCGGCAAAAGATCCTCGTCTTCTGGTTGCTGGACCAGCCGCTCAAGATGCAGGCCGCCACACGCGAGCTGATTATGTACGGCTCGCGGCGATGGAGTGCATCCTTCGACGGCGCGGACGAGAGCAAGAACAACAACATGACAGCGGCGTGGTGGGACCTCCCCGACGGCCTCGAAACCGAACTGCACTACCGCCGTGAATGCATCTTCCGCACCATCGCCTCCATCCAGCGGCACTTCGTAGGCAACAATTTCCTTTGTGGACTGTTTATACCCCTCTATGGCTGTCTCAGGAGCTGTCCTGATCCCGAGACAACGCAGTTTGCTCCTGAAACCCTTCAAGGCATTTCCGGAATTGGAAATTCACAGCTGACATTCTTGGTAGCTCTCCCTCTACACCTCCCGCACCCGCCAGTGCAAGCTGGGCTACGAGTCTTCGGCAAGCTGCGACTCGTACCAGCTGGGTGAGATGGTCAAGTTCCTGACGAGTCGGGGCCTGCTGTTCCTGACCGATTTCTCCTCCTCCTCCTCCTCCTCCGATTCCCACCCACGCTCGGTGAATGCCAGCCACGACTTCGCGACGACCGACATCGGCCACGTCCTCGCGACCCTCAAACAGGTCCCCGCTTACCAGGTCGACAAGCATCACACCAACTGCGGCCTGCGCACGCGCGTGCTGCCCGTGCTCGAGTTCGTGCAGGCCATGCTGGCGGCGGGCGTCGTGGCCGTGTCGCGGCAGGCGTGGATCAAGGACCGGGAGGCGACGTCGTGGGTTTACGAAGCCGAAGCTGGCGAGTGCGAGCGGGAACAGGGGAACAGGAACGAGGAGGCGAGGAAGGTTTTCCGGTTCACGCGGGGCATGGCGACGGACCAGAGGCTGCGGTACGAGGGCACGTTGGCGGTGGATCGCATGGCGCGGGCGCTGTTTACGGCTTCGGAGTGGGACTGGACGGCGGAGGAGAAGGAGGACGTTAGGGGGGTTGAGTTTGGGAGGTGGCCTATCATGAGTTCTAGTAATGGGTTGATATATTGATTGTGGGGATGGTCATGGGAGCAATGGGGTGTTGGTGGGGGAAGTGCAACTTCAAAATGAAGGATAGTGATGTTGGGAATGTATGAGACGTGTGACGCGTCGGTGAACGAGGGACAACGTCAATACGAGGGCAGCTGTTGGAAAGAGAAAGAACGCTGGCGGAAATGACGAGGGCCGTGCAAAGTACGTGTAGAAAAACACTGGGGAAAAAAAGGTCAAAAAAAAAAAAAGAAAAACTCACCCCGAGCCCTTTGTGGAGGCTGATGGCTAAGAGAACCCCTGGTAGAGTTTTGCTTCGTCAAATAGGGGGAAGGGCCTGGGGGAATGGCGTGCAAAGAGGCCCTGGGGTGACCGAAAGGGGGTTCGAACCCGACTACCAACTTCAGAGCTTAGAGGATTGATGCCGGCCGCTGCGGAGGTTTTCGCCCACCTTACGCCCCTACCTCTTGGCCAAAGCAATGGCCTTGCGGTAGCGGCATTGACGGGAGAGCCGTAGACCTAATACATATAGTGCGGTCTAGTCACTGGAAAGGCGTGACAGTCATGTGCTGGTCACCAGTTGGAACCACGGACGCGTTATCCTGGAGTGCTGCTGCGTAAGGCCGTCGAGGATACAGCACTGGATAAGGTAGGGCGCGGAGCGCACGTCTTCACGTTGAGTGAAGTGGCAACATGAGACAGCTCAAGTCGAATGCTCATATATCATCACTTGTAAGCTTCCATATTCTCACGGCAGACTTCCGCTGTCAAACCGCAGCCATGGTAACCTCCTCTCTCGGCACCGTCTTTTCTCCAGGCTTCTCGGACCCTCGACTCACAGACTTCTCACTGGTCTGGTCCTCCGCCTCCAGGGCTGCTCTCGACAGATGAGAGTCCTTGGACTTCACCAATGGCCAGTGACCCGTCACCTCGCGGTACCTCATAACGAGGAACGAGACAATGACGCAGAGCCAGTACAGATTGTACGAGATGACGGATCCGTAGGTTGCCGAGTTGGTCCAGCCGAGAATGGCGTTGAAGAAGCCCCAACCGCTGCCGCCGTTGTATGTCGGGCTGCAGCACTGTGCACCATCAGTTAGTCCGAGCACTTTACGTAGGTAGTTAAGGTCAAGCAACATGACACTCACGTTGACATGCCATACCGACCGGTCAATATCATATGACCCGGGGCCCTCGCCGAGTTCGGCGGCATCGCCCCCTATCAGCACCTGCCAGGCGTCCTGCTCAAAGGACCACACAGCCCGCGAGAAGAGGCCGGCAGCGACGAGGTAAAGTAAGCAGGTCGAGATGACCAGGAAGACTTGCAGCTTCGTGGTTGATCCACCCCTGGACAGTCAGCACCCTCCGTCCCTTATCCCTTCTAGTGAGACACTCACTTATACAGCCCATACCCAACCACCGCCCCAGCCGCCAGGCCAACCACCACGGCCAACGGCACTGCAGTGGCCGGAGCCGAGAACGTCACGCCGGCAATAAACACGACGGCCTCAATGCCCTCCCTCAGCACCGTCACAAAGGGCAGCGCAAACATGGTATACCTCTCCATCCACTTCTTGACCGCATCAGCCATCGCCGTCACCCTCCCCCTTTCGATTCCCTTCTTCGCATTGTCTTCTGCCGCTGTAGCTACTACAGCCCGCCTGTCCATGACCCCCCCCAACTTCTCCTGCCACTTATCCCGCATGCTGCCCATCCTCAGCAGCGCGGCCCCAACGACGCTGATGATGATGCACGCAATTAGGCAGAAGGCGCCCTCAAACCGCAGCTCGGACGCCTCCCACTTGTTGGCGCCGGCCGTGTAGAAGACGGCGATGAGGGCGGCGGCAATGACGAGCGTGATGAGCAGGCCTAGGAAGATGCCGAGCCAGACCTGCACATATGGTAATGTCTGGTTAGTTGTGACTGGGGACGATAATGTGTGGAATAGAGGAGGAAGATTTACCTGGCACACCAACCGCTTGTGAAGCGTCTTGTCATGGTCGAGGGTCTGCTTGAGGAAGGCGAGCAGGACGGAGACGATGATGACCGTCTCGAGGGCCTCGCGGAAGGTGACGAGGAAGATTGGCACGGAGAATACGTCGGGCATTCTGGGCTCCGTTGTCTCCGTGACTTGTGTCGGGTTCTGAGCGGAGGTTTGGGACCGTGGGAGTTTGTGTGGTAGAGAAAAGGGGGGGGGGGGATGGAAGTGATTATCTGATCGGGCGATACAAAATCTGCCGATCAGATACCAAGGGCATGATGTGGGGGGGGGTTGTCATTACCCCGGCTTGTTGCACTCGACTGATCCATGTGTCGGAATAAAATCGCGCTTTTCATGCCCAACTGGTGCCAAATCTCGGAAGTGCCCATTCATCAAAATTCGAGACCTGGGCACCCCAATTGATGATGCCGATCTGCCCACAGTCGCCCTTTGCTCGCCCATCCCTCCCCCCCTCATTTTCCAAGTTTATACTCAATCACTATTCAGATAACAGAAAGCAGACAGTACTCTTCTTTTTCAAATCGCTGCTCTTGAAACGATGCGATGTTCAACAAACTTGAAAGTCGGACCAACTTCGGACCACTCACTTATGCCAAGCACTGAAGTCGGACCCTTGTCGGCCCCAAGTGCAGCCAAGTTTAGCCAAGTCTGGTTAAGCTTTGCGGCAACTGAGAGGAGGGATCCACTGCGCACTTCATCTCGAGGATGAGACGCGGACGGCCGGGAAGACACACCGAATTGGGATTTGGAGCAGAATTCCTCGGTTGGACGTTTGCCTCTACTCCATACATCCATGGTTGATAAATGACAATGCGCTTCTTGGTTATCAACATGGAGCTACAGGGCGAAGTTGACCAAGATGACACGGTGGGCTGGCTGTACCCTGGAAAGAAGCCCGGTTGTAGCATGTGCTACCTAGCCGAGCTAGCCAGGCAGAATTCTCGCTCATCCCCACTTCCATCCAGGATGCCAAATCCGATAGGCCTTGGGCCGGGCGATTATCTGATGTGATTGATAAGATGTTCCAAGCTCGCAGGTCCCAACATGCCGCTTTCCTTCGGCGACCGGCTTTCGCTGTTTCAAGTAGTCTCTGAGGCAGCTGGTGAGAGCCTCAGTATTTGCTCGCAGACCGGTTGAGCTCCCGCAAACAACACCATTGACTGCTGCCATGACTCACCACCATCACCATCGTCGAAACTCCAGTGCTCTCCCCGGCCGCATGGGGCTTGCTGGCCTGACATGGCTTTTCTGGCATACCTTCGTGGCCAGGGCTGCCACCGTGACGTACGACTTCAACATCACCTGGGTCACAGCGAACCCGGATGGCATGGCAGACCGACCAACAATCGGCATCAACGGGCATTGGCCTATTCCTACCATACATGTCAACGTGGGAGACCAGCTCGTCGTCAACGTGCTGAACTCTCTCGGCGACGTGTCCACCTCCCTTCACTTCCACGGCCTCTTCATGCGCAGTGCCGCTCACATGGACGGGCCAGTGTCCGTGACTCAGTGTCCCATTCCGCCAGGAGAGCGCTTCACCTACAATTTCACGGTGAGTTTGATCCCGAACTGATTCCGTGAGCAAGTGCCAACATCCTTCTCTAGGTCGACCAGCCCGGGACATACTGGTATCATTCCCACATCCACGGCCAATACCCCGACGGCCTAAGAGGGCCACTCATCGTCCATGACCCAGAGACGCCCTTCAAGGACATGTACGATGAGGAGGTCGTCATGACCGTGTCCGACTGGTATCACGAGCAGATGCACGGCCTGCTCAGCTGGTTCATGAGCAAGGCCAACCCGACGGGAGCTGAGCCCGTGCCCAACTCGGCCTTGCTCAACGACACGCAGAACCTGACGGTCCCTCTGCAGCCGGGCAAGACGTACCTCTTCCGCATGGTCAACATCGGCGCCTTTGCCGGGCAGTACGTCTGGTTCGAGGGCCACAACATGACCATTGTGGAAGTAGACGGCGTGTACACGCACCCGGCCGAGGCAAGCATGATCTATCTCTCTGCTGCTCAGCGCTGCAGCTTCCTTGTTACGGCGAGAAACGACACCTCGGCAAACTTCCCCATCGTTGCCAGCATGGACACCGTGAGTCTGCCGTGCGTCCCTTCCTGGCAGTAGCTGACAGTTCCAGGACCTGTTCGACAAACTGCCGGATGATCTCAACTGGAACGTGACGGGATGGCTTGTCTATGACTCGGCACAGCCACTCCCAGGCCCAGCCGTTCTCTACGATCCTTTCGATCCCTTCGACGACATGGGCCTCGTACCCTGGGACAACCAGACCCTCCTCGGCGAGCCAGACCAGACCATCTCGCTTGACGTGATCATGGACAATCTCGGCGACGGCGCGAACTAGTAACCTTCCCTTTCCTTGCCCACCAACCCCCTTTTACCATTCCCATCCCTCTACTAACACTGAGTAACCAGCGCCTTCTTCAACAACATAACTTACGTCGCACCCAAGGTACCCACGCTCTACACCGTCCTCACCGCTGGCTCGTACGCGACAGATCCAGCAGTGTACGGCACGTACACGCACCCCTTTGTCCTCGAAAAGGATCAGGTGGTCGACATCGTGCTCAACAACCTCGATCCGGGCAAGCATCCCTTCCACCTGCACGGCCACGCCTTCCAGGTCATCTGGCGGTCCCAGGACGAAGCGGGCACTTTTGCCGACTCGAATGTGACGGCGGCGGATTTTGCGAGTGTGCCGATGAAGAGGGATACCGTGGTGCTCAGGCCGAACGGGAATATGGTGCTGAGATTTAAGGCTGATAATCCCGGTAAGCATCGTTCCCTAGACTTCGCGGTGTTATGGGTGAGAAGTGACTGATGAGTGCATGTTGTGAGAAAGGAGTGTGGCTCTTCCACTGCCACATTGAATGGCATGTGCAGTCAGGCCTCATGGCGACGTTTGTCGAGGCGCCGATTGAGATGCAAAAGACTCTCACCATACCGCAGGATCATCTTGCTGTTTGTGAGAAGGCGGGTGTGCCGACGGCGGGGAATGCGGCGGGGAATAGCGTGGACTGGCTGGATTTGAAGGGGGAGCGGACGCCGCCTGCCAGGTTGCCCGAGGGGTAAGCGACCTTGCAATCATTTTGATTTGTTGCATTGCATGGTCTAGACTGACAGGGCGCTGCTGCAGATTCACGGTCAAGGGTATCGTGGCTCTGGTGTTTAGCTGTGTCAGTGGGATTCTGGGAGTGGCAGTTGTTGCCTGGTATGGGTTTGCTGGCGAGGTTGCCGGGAAGAGTGGGAAGGGTGTGGTAGTAGCAGCACAAGGAGCGGATCGAGTTCAGATTACTGAGGTAAAAGGGGAGAGCGGAAGGGGGGAAGGTGATGATGCGAGAGCTGACTGGGGGAATGTATCAACGCGGGTAGGGAGGGGAGATTAGAGGGGGAAGAGCTGTACAGTCACTTGGCTAAGGAATGAGGGGTTCGTGTTTGCTTACCGGTTTGGTATTGCTAACTTGGAAGATGATACATACTTCGCATCCGCTAATACTTAAGCACTTTACTGATGCTCGTCCGAGTTGTGTTCTATGGACCACCTCATATTCGCCTATTCATTTAACAAAATCGGATCATCACCTCTTCGAGCTCCCTCCCATGGGAGAGTTCTGAGGTATTATGGATGACTGTGTCCTATCACAGGCACATTACGGGGCCTATTACTCTCGTGACTTTTGCAAATCCTGTCGATGAGCGCATGATTTTCACGGTCAAGGAAACATCAAGTTTCACTCTCCCGCCCAGAGTCCCCGGAATCGATGGATTTTGAGCTGCCGCATGCCCAGTGTGACGCGTGGCTCATCTCATGTCCCTAGGTTCACTTCTTCCTGGTAGACATGATGTCTTACAGCGTAACGGTCTTGACATAGTGCCCGTTCATTTAGGACAACCGCCGTCAACTGGTTTCGTCATTCCAAACTCCTCGTTGCCATTATAAAAATGATGCCAATCTGATTCCATCCTCTATCATCTATGCTCTCGAGACCCGCATCTTCCCACCCCCTTCCTACATCATTCTTCCGGAAATATCCTTCTATAAACATATTTCTCCCATAAACCGGTTTTCCCCCAGACACGCACCTCCATTCTCTCGTTTCAATCGGCCTTCTCACAGCGAGCGCCGGCGACCTTGCGCATCAAGGCTCCAGCAAGCAACGCCAGCATTAGTTTGCGTCACAAGTTTCGCCGCCAGTTTCCATCAACCCAATCCATCACCAAAAACCTTGGCGTCTTCCTCAACCTCCTCTCTGCAAGAACCATATTCACGATTCGGTCAGTCGTTCGAGTAAGTTTTCCAGCACTGCGCAAACGGAGTAACTCATCTAACTTGTTTCCGTCATTGCAGCCGACACCATGAACCCTTCAAGCTCTGCACCAGAGCGCTGCGGGCGCTGCGGGCAGACTGCCTCTATTTCCGGCGGCCGCCGCGCTTCAACTTCATTGAAACGCAAGGCCGACCACGGCATTGAGAGCGGAGCTACTTCGGCCAAGCGCCTCCAGAGTGTCAAGAATGCGGGTGATGTCGACAAATTCATGACGACTCTCGTGCCAATGTCGACCCAGCCCGGCTCCGTCGCCGGTGATGGGACGACTGTCTCCTTCCTTTCACTGCCGGCCGAGCTCCGACTTCAGATATACGGGCTCCTTTTCAAGGCCGACAGGCCTGTTTTCCCCCAGGTGATGGATGGCCCCATACATCCAGCCCTTAAATCGGGCTTTCCAAAGGGTGTTGTCCTTGCCATGGTCTTGGCGAACAAGCAGATCTCGGGCGAAGTGACACACTTCATCTTCAGTAGCAACTCTTTTTACTTGAGGGCATCCCCTCACTTCCACGACTGGCTCGCCCGTATCGGCCTGCAAAACTCTCATCTCGTCCGGGAGATTACCGTCTTCTGTCCCCGCACAAAAACGGTCAAGGAAACCAACGAGCTTCTCGGCCCGACTTTCCTCACCCTTCGGCGCTGCACTCCAAATCTCCGCCAACTCGTTATACAGAGCGACAACTGGGAACATTGGAGGGGCACATTCGCCATCCGAAGCCTGATCTGGTTCACCAAGCGGTACTCGTGGAAGAGGACGTTCCCCAGCCTCCGTCATCTGACCGTCAAGACCGTTGAGTATTGGGATTCTGAGTACAGTACGTATCGTCGGACATTTTACGACACGTTCTTCCATCGGACGCAGCTCCCAGTCACGGGCATAAATAAAGTCCGCCCCTGGATCTGGATGTCAAACTCCTACCATGACGACTGGATCCTTGACCAGTGTACCCCCAACGGCGTAGTTTGGCTCCGCCTGCCCGAGATGGACGAAGGCAGCGCCTAGCATTGCCACGCGAAGAGAACGAAGGGAACGTCACAACCAGTTAGCAGACAGCAGCTTCCAATGAGGGGAGAAACCAATTCTGGGGACGGTCAGACAACCCAGGACACCAACTAAGTTTGCAGCGCGGCGCATGATGCTAGGTTTTCAATCCTCCAACTATTAGCCTAAACCTAGAGCTACATTTCTTCAACAGCTCGGACACAATGAGGTGGTAAAATATCTCTACTTGGCGATGAAGCAGCCGGCACATAAGGCAGAGGGACAGGATTGTACTGGAAACTGGAGCACTCGCTGGAGGCGTTGCTGAGAGCCATTGATCGCTATGATGGATACATGTACGGTCTATTTCTTTTTCCTCATTCGGATCATGGGGCTAACATTATAGGAATTTCAGACAGATGGGGCGGCTGAAGCCTGACTGGGTCGGAACTTGGAAGGTTCCGGACGCAAGAGTCCTACTCCCGGCGCACCTCATTAATTCTGGTTTTCTTCCACCACACAATTGTCTTCGTGATCCTTCTGAACGTGCGTCTGCGGGCCTCTCTTGTGGCAATAGATAGATAACTAACTTAGTGATCTTTGCCAAATTGTAATACCGCGAGGACACCTCTGGCATGAAACTTCAATTAATCAATTTTTGTCGATCTCGAAAGTTGATATCTTTGAACACCACCCTTGGAGGTACTCGTACAATACCTTGAAGAATGCGTCTACTGTGTATTCCGTACCTGGTAGGAGCAGACGACGGAAACCGATTATCGAGAGCCTGGGACCCGCACACCGACCCTTCGAACGACATTGCTATTTAATTGTCAAGGTGTTCTTCGATTGGCAGTTCGGCTTGATTGTGGAGCCCGGTCCCTAGCCTTCGATTTTGGCGGCAAGCACAGACCACCTACCTCTGGTTGGACATAAATACCGACTCTTCCCCCGCTCTGCCATTCCTTGCTTCTCCACACCACGTCGCGACGTCGCGCCTGCGAAGGATCAGTACCTCGCGCTCAGTGTCAGATCTACTGCCTCTACCCATGAGTCGTGGTCGCATTGAGACACCACTCTTGGAAGACCAGGACACTGAGAATTGGGATCTCGTCGGTTCTCGCTCGTTTTCGAGGAGAAGGAGTGAGATCGCCATTCGTCGAACCTGATACCTTGAAGGCGTGGTTGGCGACCGTTGAGTGTTTTCGTGTCTGCAAATAGTAAGTCGTTGACACTCGCAAGGTGAGCTGATAGGACCAGGCCAACGGCACGCAACTCTTCGCCGCCAAGTATGTCATCGCCAATCAACAACATCTGTCAATCACTCACCGCTCACGTTGTCCTAGAGTGGGACGAGACGAGTCCAAATGGCCAAGAACGGCACTATCTCACGGCCCCCGATCCCTCCGAAGCAAAGATCATCTTCAAGTCCGACATTTCTCCGACTTCATCAAATGGCGACGCGACAGGGTCCGCGGTCGGTGTTTTCATGCGGCTGCACATTCCGGTGAAGCTGAAGCAAGTCCCGGCACGCACACCAATCCACATCCATATCCGCCCATCTCACGTCCAATCATGCACCTTCGCCGTCGCTGTCGACCCTCCCGAAGCTGTTAGGGCGGTGTCGCAAGGTCAGCTGGCATGTCTGTCGATGAACCTCAGCGGTTCTGTTCAAGTCATCGTTCCCCAGAATATGTCATTATCACCGCGGCCTGCGAAGAACCGAGCTTCAGGCCTAGTGCTCGACGCCGTTCGGTCCCTCAGCCGAGCCACGCAACTCGTCATGTATATGCCAGCCAACCTTGCTCCGCGGACGCACCTCCATCGTCTGTCGGCATTACTCAGTTGTGGTGATGGTGTGCAAGAGCTGCCGCCGTATACCGAATTATTCAAGTTGTTTGGCGGATCAGGAGGGCGGATATGGGACGTCGAGCCTTCCTATCCAGCGTCTTCACCCGATGGCGGCGGAGAAGGAAATGAGGATATCCCACCACCATATCAGGAAGTATCCGCAAGGCCCTCCACCCTAAGAATACGTACGTTATTTCCCAGTTCCATCCACCAACGTCCTTGTTCCTCTCCCCTCCCTGTTCCTCTCCTCCTCCTTCCTCTTCCTCTTCCTCTTCCTCCTCTTCTCTAACGCTATCTTCAGAATCCGAAGGGCGGGATGGAAAGCGGCGGCATAGTAGCAGCGACCCTGTTGCTGCTGCGGTCACCGACGAGACTTCGAGGGCGAAAAGGCCGGATTTGCGCGCTTCTCCACCAACGTCACATCTTCCCGAGAAAGCCCAGAGACCAGAGCCTACCATCCTCCAGCGTCTGGCGCTTCTAGAGGCGGTCGTCCATGCGCAAGCCGTGCAGATCAGCAACCTGTCGAGTGAGAATCAAGCGCAGCGGAAGCGGATCGACGAATGTGAAGGGGAGCTTGCGGCCTTGCGTTTGGAGATCGCGCGCATGGATCGCCAACTGGACCGGCTGGATCTGGAGGTCTCGGAACAGCGAGAGGACATTGCACGCTTGGATGGCAATGTGCAGTATTGTCTTGAGCGAGAGGACGACATCGCGGAGGCTGTTATAGATGCTGTAACGGAGCGGATTTCTGAGAGAGGTCTTAGCGCGGCCAATATACACTTCATCTTGGGTGATGGTTGAAACCCAATCTATAGCGTTATCGAGGAAGCATCAAGTGGTTTTTGAGCTTCTGTTCTTAATCTACCTCTTCGTTTCTCTTCTTCCGTTAATTCCCTTTTAGCCTTCTGTTTCATTTTCCTTTCGTTACAGTGCGGGTCCAAAAGTCTGTATCCAAGCTGTACCACGCCCTAATCCCCTCCATTTGCCTCGGCACTTAACAAAGGATATCGCAGGAACCACAAATCTGACCAGGAATCTGATTGTATTTGCTACTGTAGAAGCCTTGGTTCTGAGCTTCAATACCTTGTATACCATTCTCGAGCCTTTTTGACAGCAGCTAGCCTTCTTGATATACTGTTAATCAGGCTGTTGAACTGAGTGGGTTCCTTGGCACCAAGATTCACGGACTGAGCACTGATGTTCAATGCGAGACTCTCAGTCAGCACAGATCCATCACAATGACACAGTTCCTGACACTGACATAACGTCATATCATGGCACACTGTCTCTATATAAGGGGGTAATTCCCCTGGGAGGATTAGAGAGGACAATTTTGTTCCAAAACAGAAAGGGACATTCTGAGGCACCCTAACCCACTATCTTGATCCTTCATTTGTGTGGTCACTCTGGAATCGTGACTCCGATTCAAGCTTCATTTCATACCTCAATCTGTTCAATACCATTTGGTTGATCTAAGCTTACTCGAGCATGTAACTGTTGGCTGCCCAACACAGGCTGTCAATATAGGCCTGCGGCACAGCACCCCATACCTCCTTCAAGTACGCTGAAATTCTCGATATCGAGTTGGTTTTGCTTAAGTGTCTGGAGGTCTAGGAAGGTTTTCGCAAATACCGCTTCATCCAGGCTCAGATATACTCAATTTGGTTTAAATCAGGACTATAAAGCAAGCTATTCGATCCAGGAGATAGCTCGAGAGCAGAGTCATTTCTCCGTCAACTTGTGGAAATGAATTCTCGCATTGTCTTGCTGGAAATGCCGTGTTTCATACCATAATGGTAATAATCGCCTTCACATAGTTCCGGAGGTTGACGAATCGAGTGTCGGACTTCTCAGAAGGGAAACGGAATACTGTGAGAGACAAGTGGCATCTGTTGGACAGCAACAGTTACAGGCTCGAATAGGCATAGACCAACCAGGTGACACTGCATCAATTGAGGCACAAGATGAAGCTTGAATTGACTGTCTAAACCATGCGTCATATGTGTGTGTTGCTTGAAAGGACCGAGGGCTTCGGGACCCTCGCCAGACCCTGCTTTTGGGTGGGTGACGAGTCTTCCACGATAAATTCCATCCATCCATCTATCTCGACCGACACTTAACGTTAGCGGAACACTCAAATCTGAGGCAAGTTTATTGTGTTTCAATTGCCGGTAAGTCCTCCTTCTAATTTGATACAATCCTCCAAGATCTGGGGTATCTAGTTGACCCATTTGTTGATGGATTCCTGCTTCACTGAGTCCCAACCCTCCTCCGCAAGCTCCTTTACAATAGAGTCGTCCAAACAAGGCAGTTTTCGTACGTACTGCTTAGGTCCCTGCCAGGCCTTCTCGATAGCGCAAAGTCGGGGCTCAATAGGCAGTTGAAGTAGCTCTCAAGACCATTTGTAGTTTTCCAAGTCCGTACGATATTGTTGCAGCCTTCTGTACCACCATGCCCAGAGTCGTTATCCTCCTCCAACCTAAAAGGAATGCCCAGCCCGGAACTAGGAGCCTACAACAGGTTCTTAAATCTGATCTCGATAGACCTTTATCGTTATTCTGCCATTAGAATTGCTGGGGACATTCAACCAAACGAGATCACTCTTGAACTTATACCCAACACCTACCTAACAATAGAGCCTCTTTATATCCTTTTGCGTCGGCTCGCTCCTTTCACCAAACAGTCAAGGCAGTACCGGTCCTACAACCGTCGGAGAACCGATATCTTGCCCTAAGGTCCCCAGCCAGAGTGACCCTCGTCAGAGAACCTACTAGAGTGCCAGTCTTTTAGCTCTGGGTACCTTCAGTAGTGGCTGACTTTTCACTCTTTCTTCCCAGCATCCCACTAAGCGACCTCGCCACTCACCGTATGGACGTGTGTTCTGTGAGGATGGTTAGCCGGCAGGATTATGCCTGGCATTCCTGGCTTCGGCTGGAGCCATTTCCAGTTCCTGGAAACAGATTCTCTGGGCAAAGACGGGGATTGCTTGCCAGCGCAGCCATTTCGCCTTGACGAGAGCCATAAATGTCTCTTAGGAGAATTCTATTCGCATACCCCAAGTTTCGTAGGGCAGTAAGATGGAAGCGCCGCGCGACGGTGCAATCATCAATCACATGCAAGCGAGGATAGCGAGTATGATATATAGCGAGGAAGACGAGGATTCAGGAAATGTGCAAGGAGACAATATGTGGCTTCCGTTTCGGGTCAAGCCCCGCCGGGCTGAATGATCTGTGTGTGCGCCAGAGCTGTAAGGAGCGATTTCTGGATTTAGCCAAGACAAGCAGTTTCCTCTACCAACCTGTTGGAAAGCCAACAGCCACGATTCCACGGTGATCACACAGATGATGGGAGCTTACAACAGTGGGTTTGAGATACTCGGAGCATCCCAGATGTTCTTGATTGAAGGTTGTTCTTCTCTCACGTCTCCAGCGAAGGGGGAATCGCCTTGACCTCGTTGCCCAGCGCCCTGGTTACCCCTCACGTTGCCTGACGCTCAGTTGGGCAGCCATGCATACAACAGCAGGGCACTTGCAGCTGAGCGTCCGAAGTTCCAGTGCCACGACTTTCCAACACAACCCCTTACTGCCCAAGCGAAACGGTTGTCCTGCAAGAATTCCAGCCAGTCATCCCTGCTCTTGCCAGAGCCGGAAACGGCTCCAGAAGGCCACAATCACACTGCACCACTGAATTGCCCCGGTCGTATTCACTACCTCTTCTGCCACCAGGTAAGTACATTTTTTTTCCTTAGCTTTCGATTAGCAGAATTGAGTCGGGCAATTGCAGTGCCCCAGTGCCTCGCTTTGTTGCCACCCGTCTCTCACATTTTCTCACTGTTCTTCTCGCTGTATTTCTTACCCGTCCTCGCCGTCCTCGCCTATATGCCATTGATGGTTGGACCCTCGGGCGGTAATTCCATTCTGCTGCCCTAAGAAACTCCCAGGAGCCATTTCTAGCTCTCACCAAGGCTAAATAGTTACACTGGTAGGCAATTCCCATCCTTTGCCCAGAGAAAATCTTTAAGGGAGGAGCCGTTTCTGGCTCTAGCAAAGGCAAATCCCATATAAAACCGTCTCTAGCTCGACTAAGCGCAAAAATGCCGAATATCATCCTTGTGATCTGTAATACCTGCTGTAACGGGCTGGGCCCGGTGCGAGCCTCGGCGACTCTCGGCCAATACCAAGACCCCTGATGAGGCTATTCCCACTCGCCCCACAGCACACCGAACCTTCTAGCAACGCGCTCAGACCAGCGCGCCGACGAGGATAAGTATGCTTGCGAGCTACCAGAGTCTGTCGTCTCTCCTTTTCTTCTCCAAGTTCAGTGTACTCGTAGAGTCGTCATCAGCTAGTTGCAATATACTACCTGAGACCGTTACACCTGCCCTTGGAGCATCATTTTGAACTATCGGTGGACCTATCGAGCACGTCGTCAGCCTCCAGTCTGGCGCACAGCAGAAGCCTTCAACGGCTCCAGACACAGACCCGGGTTGAGGACTGCATTTGGGTCGCTGGTACTTCGACGAAGATCGGAGTCGCAGTCAACTCCGAGGTCACCAGTTCGGCACCGGGTCTTCAAGGGCTGGAACAAGCCGGGGGTGATTTGTATGAGCCGGGAACAGCGGCTGCACGGGCGGACGCGCGCTTCATCGACGGATTAGATGTTCTGGATCCCGACTTCGAAGACAATCACCATGCCGCGCTGGCCGCCGCATAGGCTGCCGGCCACGAGGTTCGCCAGGATGCCGCTACACCGCAGTAGCTGACAGTTGCAGGCATCTGCAAAGAGCGCACCGCTAAGCCGTAATTGTGTAGTTCATATTCGGTACCTCCAAGAATATCACAAAGGCAGTGGAAACGAGCCGAAGTTATTTGCGTTGACTTCATTGAATAGGTTGATTAAGCTGTGGCAGCTGCTGTGTACCCGTTTGGCAACTGTCAGGAAATTCACTCTTGTACGTGTACTGCTGCAGGGCGGCGCGGGAGCTTTCCTGGATCAGGATACCGTGGTGCTATATAGCCGTGGCGATGTGCAATCTAGCAGTCCCTATATCTATTGGGTCGGTTACATCCACTCCTATGTTCTGAGACGAATTCGCCACATTTAGGCCTGGCTACTGCGGAGCCAAACTTGTATTGGCGATCGAGCGCATTATTGTGCTTTCGTCGTCTATCCCGACGCCTGCCATCACCGACAATGGCGGACTCTGCTAGAGAGCGTCGCGTTTACCTCCTCTGCCGCCCAATTTTCAGCGGCGACAACGTACATGTGCGAAAAGCCAAAAAGGTGAAAGAGCTGATAGATAAGAACAGGCCGTCGCTGCTGCCAATCTTGTAGGACGTCGGCGAGGGGCGGGTGGTAGATATCCTCCGGCTATTGCTGAACAAGCGTACCTTCGAGTTTGAGCTTCGCGCCAAGGTCGAGTTCCCTGTCTCTTCCGTAGTTCGATCGTCCATAATGCCAGCGCCAGGCGTCTGAGATTGATGCGTCCCGTTCTAATGTACAATTCCTCGATGAGATCGCCTCCCAGTTTGATACTGTGGACAGTAGTCTTGAGGATGTTGCGAATTCCACAGAGGAAGCTAGAGATCATGACGAGGTTCAGATACCAGAGCCGCCGGCCAAATCTGGTGCGTCTTCCCAGGTCCCTGGTGTCGGAACGAAGCCGCCTTGATGGCTGCATTCAACGGACCTCGGTGGTTGATTGGTGCCAGCACTGAAACCCTTCTTCCTTACATACTTAGTACTCTCCCATGCCCATCAACAGCATGGTCAATCAATCACTTTTACCACCTTGAAAATTCAATCCACTGCTTTGACTGGGAATAGCTTCTTCCAGCGCATATCTGAGCGGTCGTCACCCTGCAGGTTCCAACACCTGGAAATATCGTGACCTATTACTAAAACCTATGACCTATAGAAGTAGCAGCTGACTAGCAGCGAACAGTTCCCTCTCTTTATCCTTTATACCTTCTATACCAGGCTCAGCATCTGATTTTGAACACGGCTTAGCGGGTGCTCGAGGAGAGCTGCTTCGAGTTCGCCAAGGCTTCGATGCCGTTACTCCTTGAGAGAAGAAATGGGACTATCCGGCCGTGGTGGAGTTGATGCGGCGGACAAAGATATTCCGTAAGAACATAAAGATGAACAATATTCAGACGACGGAACTCGATGCCGGCGGATTTCTGGACCTACTTACAACGGTGTCCAGCCTGCGGTATACCGCCGTCCACCGTCTCGCTACTACGACAAGGGATGTCGGGCGACTTTTCGAACCCGCCGTGAAGCTCGCACTCGTGCTCGGGGACAGCGTGCGTGCTGTGCAACTGGAAATTTGTGTAGATCCACCAGTTCTCTTGCGTCCCATTCGTTTTCTCTTCCTACAGCCCACAACAGCGCCGTCTGCCCGTTTTCGTCCTTGCAGTCCAGATCGATGATAGCTTTCTAAAGCAGGGCTTCCACAACCTCCACTAACCTGGACAGTAGGGCAGACGGTAGCGCTTGGTGCCGCTCAATAAGGCCGGAGTACCAATCGTCGATCGCTTTCGATATATGCATCTTTGACATACCGTTTGGCTAACGAGTATTGATACAAATAGAAGCTACCAGTAGAGGCACTGGCGGATGTGGTGTTCTTTCAAGGTCAAATTTAAAAGTGTTGCGACAGAATCAGCTATAAAAGTCGCAGTTGAACACACGTCACCCTATGGGTCTCACATCTCGATGGCTAACCAATAATCTCGCGAAGAACAACCTGTGACAAATCAAGGCGAGGCTGAAGGGTTGCAGTTCTGCAGGTCGCCCGTTTTTGGATGAAATGTATTGAGGAACTTGTTCCGGAAGGTTCCTTTTTCCGCCGTGAAGCCAAGCTCGGAGTACTTCGCCCTACAAAACAAGAGCAGGATGAAGCGGAAGCCGACAAGCTAGTGCGATCAGCCAGGTAGCAGTCGAACAGACGGTCTTAGGTAAATTGCGCAAGTTGTTTGAGGAACTGCTCTCACTATCCCCACCGCGGCTGCGGAGGCATGGAAAGACCAGGCTCGGGTGGTTAACAACTTTGGAAATCAGGATGAAGGCATGCAGATCGGGGTGAGCTATGGCGTCTTTAGTGGCATTACACTTGGTAGAAGATAGTTGACGATTCGATGTTGCTTCTCCACAATGTATTTTCTCTTGCTGATGCCAATGCCTTCTACCAGCGTATTTGGGCCTTGATGACTTTATCCCTCGCTCAAGATCAACCCAACCAAACTCTCAACCAGATCATTCTCTTGCCTATCTAAGTATTAGTAGAGCAGAACGCTACAGAGCATTTGCTGCGTCCGACCGCACCTGAAGATCGGCGGGGCAGCCTCCGCTCCATCATCAAGCTCCGTCTCGTGGGTCTGCCAATCATCAGCATAGATGAAGTGAGATATTATCGAAGATGAATCGTCGGGTTGCATTAGGTTGGATTCCAAAAATTCCTGACCCACTGCTTAGCAATCATTTCTAAGTTATCTTGTCAACAGCGTTTGCCCGGAGTGGTGTAGCTAGCTCTGGTCTCTGTTGCACTCGGACTTCCTTCTGCATCACGGGACCTTAAGTCCGAGGTGTTCATGGTCGACTCCTCCGAAAGTTCCAATGTTGCCCCGAAGAAAGCAACGAATGCGACTAACAACATAGTTTTGATTTCATAGGTAGATAAGGCTAAGTTGCCCATTCATTCTGTTTCTGCTCACCTTAGTCTCAAACTGCACAACCGAGTATTGACGTTTGAGATTGCCGACGCCATGAAACCAGTCTTTGCTTTGCTCCCGCTCATCTCTGCCGCCATAGCGGATTACATCAGCGCAACCTGCCGTAACCTCACTCTCGATCCTGCCACCGAGGTCCTCAGTGGAGAGTGCAATGACGGACAGGGGAACAATGCTGCCTGGCAGCCGACTTCGCTCGACCTCAACACCTGTCTCGTTTACGATGACGCTCAAGACCAAATCTTTGTAAGCGGGAGATCCGTGAAAGGTGCATGCCTCGCCCTCACTGACACGGAAACAGTGGCGCCAGAATGGAAACTTTGGCGCTCAGTGCGACGGCTGCCATCTCTTTTATGTGAAGGACCCGATCTGGGGATATCAGGCCCTCAACCTTGGCTGTATCTGCTCGGGCACAGAGGCTTCGTTCGAGCTTGGTAGGCATTTTGTTTTCAAGCGCCGATGCAATGGCGCTCGACAAGCTGACAGAATGTTGCAGACAGGAGCTACATCGACAACAAGTTTGGAAAACTCGTTTGCTGGCGCTATTGATTGTCTCGTGAACGACTTCAAAGCCACCTCAAGGTTCACGGTAGCCACTTATCAGGGCATCCAAGCACAGGAATCATGGAATATCCAAATTGCAGCCCGTTGTAGGTGAGGTAAGGTAGGTAGTCAACTAGCAGGGCAGGATAACGTTAACCCCTGACGGCTTCTTCCATGTATGCCGCAACATTGCTACTAATGTTGTCGATGCTCAAAGTCTGCTGCTTCTCGTTGCTCCTCCACCACTAGAATGTCCCGAGTGTCTCCAAGCATCGAGCCAACGTAACTTGAACCTGAGCCAGTTTGCAGCGATCTCCGGTGCCTTTTGGTTATGGAGTTCACAGCATACAGGACAAGAACTCCAATCGCCAAAGCGACGAGCAAAGAGATGGATATGGTGACAGCCGCCTTGATGCTGACGGCTAGCGGTGCCGCCCAGATAGCACCGACCACGGCGCCCTCAACGGCGAGGGCAATGGCGGGGCCGATGACGCCCGTCCATAGAATTCTGGAGTCTTTGGGCCATAGACGGATGAGCCTTTGTCTGGTCCGGCTCCACCAGGCTACCATCGGCGTAAGGTTGAAGGCCAAGACGACGAGGGGGATGGTGATGGCGCAGCTGATCGCGACTGCGAGTGATTGGTAGAAAGTGTCAGTCTTTGGACTTCTTGTGTGTGATTTTGAAAGCAGAAGTCCGCGTACATAGATACTTTAGAAAGTAGCCGAGAGGCATTTTATCGTTACCATCGACGGGGAAGGTGTCGAGGTCGATGGAGAATACGGCAGCCATGAATGACGAGGGAAGCTATTAACAGGAGGCGAGCAAACCGTCAGCCACGGCGGACTTAAAAAGCGAGGGAACTAAAATGGGAGGGGGACTGTGACGTACGAAGATGATGGTCACCACAGTAAAGACTAACAGCGTCTGGCCCTGACGGCCTGTCTCTAGAGCCTGGTCCTTCATTGTCTCGAGTTGTTGAGCCATTACCTCAGAGTGCTCTGCGGCAACTTGGGTTTGCTGAGCCATCACTTTGGAGTGCTCTGTAGCAAGTCTGGTTTGCTGCTTGGTAGCCTCAGCTTGTTTGCGTGTGTCCATGGCCTCGTAGAAACTGGCTTGCTTTAATTTTAGATCCAGGAGGTGGTACAGCTGTCATCTCGGGATTAGCGGAACAAGCTCATGACGCTCTTGGAGTCAATGATGGTTAATAAGCTCACCGTTTCCCTTGTTCTAGTGGCCATCTTCAACATTCTGTGAAGCCATTGAGCGTGCAACCCAGTCGCCCAGCTGCCTGTCCATTCCCACCGGCTCTTGGGAGCGAGTATGCCCTTCATCCGTGTCAGAGCGTCGTCCTGGTCTTTGAGCACCTTCTCGAGTATTTCTAGTTCGTCACATATGTCATGCACTTCGACAAGGAGGGAGAGCTCTTTTCGGATGTGCTTCGAGCCCGACTGGTTGGAGTGCCGGGCTGATCCAAGACTCTTCTTAAACTCTTCGAGCTGGAGCATTGCCATTTCGCTCTGTAGTAGAATATATGAGTCAGTGATTTACGATGGTTTGACCCTGGTTGGACTGAACCCTGTATCCTTTCATCTTTGTCTTGCCACAGGAAAAGGTCTTACCAAGCGTGCGATTTCGTGCTCAAAGAAGTCGAAGAAACGAAATCCGTCTGGAGTCTCATCTTGATCGAACAATTTGGTGCAAGTATCGGCTATGAGACATGCCAAATCGTGTACTGAAGTGATAGGCTCCCTGTCTCCGCGTTTGAGGTGTCGGATAATATTCTGATGAAGATTCATTGGGTCCTCCGGGGCCACGACACGCATATTTCCGCTCCTTGTCGCCTGGCCATGCGCATCCCATATCCAGGAGTCGTAGGTAAGCGGGGAGCAAGTGATGATTGTTTCTAAGGGGGTTTTGGTTAGATAGTCCCTTCGGCAGGGAAGCGAGGGAACAAACTCACCACTTCCGAGGATCCACACCCACAGCTGGTCGACCACGAAGATTCTGGCAGGGGGGCAGTTGTTTGTCGTGTACCGCAGAATCACTTGATCTCCATCTCTCCGCCGGATATCCGCAAGATGAGTATAAAAGTAGCCGTCCAGGGAACGCCGGGGCTGCCAGCGAGGGACATCCCCTGGCTTTTCCTGCGAAAAATAGCCCTTGATCAAGTGTACATATGGATGGATGGCATCGATCACCCTAAGGGTTGGGGGCTGCGATTGATCCGGGGGTGGCTCCTCCTGTGCTCTTTGCACAAGCGGCTGTTCCGGGCCCCCGGCCCGCGAACTCTCGTCCGGATGTTGGACATGATCCTGATGAGTTCCGGAGACCCCGGAACCGAGGGGTACGGAATGTGTTGCTTCTGGGTCGGCCGACTGTGGCAACGTGGAGGGGTTGGTAAGGGTGGTGCCCGCTCTTGATTGCTCGCGAGGAAGTGGCATGGGCTCTGGCGGTGAGCGATCGTTCATGAGGACGGCGACGAGGTCGTGATGCATGGAGGATTCGAAGTGAAGGTAGGGGATATGCCCGCGGGTTAGCGATAGAAGCTGACATGCCGAATGGTCTAACAAGCGGAGTGTCATACGAAAGCGACCACTGAGGAATCTCCACGCGATGAAGCTGCACCAAGCTCGCTCATTGTATCTTCCTTCTATGAGTTAGTGACGAAGCACAGGGCACTGCAAGGCCTGTGGATCATAAATAGGCGCCCCAGTTGCCTCACCTTGATTTCTTTAGCATCCGGCCTTTTGAATGAAGGTCTTGGCGTTGGGCTTGCTCTTTCTGCTTTGCCGCGAACCGGGCGAATAATCCCCAGCGTCTCTCTGAGCCTCTCTTCGGTAGTTCGGTCTGGGTTCTGAGGGGGGAAAAGTCTGGCCACGAGTGCCTGTAGCTTCGGGTCAGCGCGAACCGAGGGTAGGCATCGTGAACTCAAGTGTACCTCAACCCATTCCATCTTGAGGGAGAAAATTAGCCCATGGGATACGATAATCACCACCTGCATGAGACCGCGAAACGTACATTGTTGGCAGGGAGATGATACCACGTGAACTTGGCCGTCTCCCCAACCACCCTCCCAGGTCGCTTTGCATCCAAGACTGCCTTCGGACCTTTTCCATAGAGCAAATCGTAGATGGAAGCCGACTGCTGATATCTTTGCTCTCGTCCTTCGGTGTAAAACTCGATCATGGTGGCCTCCCAGCACCGGCAAGCATGCATCTTGTCCGGATTATGTCGAGGAGCGGGAAGCGCTCGCGGAACAATGGGGGGTGGGGCGTCGTGCGGCCGTTTCCCCTTTTCCTTAGTGATCTCGGGTCCCTGTTGTAGGAGAGCGGAGCTCAGCAGCGCTGCCAGCTCTCTTGCACCTTGCTCTTCGGCGATTTGCTGGGCGGATCGCCCGTCCTTGCCTCGTATGGCCATGTTTGCTCCATGCTGGAGAAGCAGCTTGGCCATGTCGGCATTCCCACTTATGACTGCTCGGTGCAGAGGTATCTCTCGATCCGCTTCCAACTGAACCTTCCGTGGCGGAACCGGACCCCGGGCCCAATCTTGCGGTACACCTCTCGTCGTTACCTGCAGTTTGTAGCGCTGTTTTTTTTGGCTAACCTCCGACAGAGTCCGCGATGCTCCGCCTTTGCGCGCAGCTGGGGGTCCAGTTTGTCGCGCGTCAATATCAGCGCCGTTTTCAATGAGTAATTTGACAAGGCCTTCACGCCCTTGATTGACCGCCTCAAACAGTGCGGTTGTCCAGGTCCTTTCGTTGAATGATTCCACGTCGGCTTTGCACTGGAGCAACAACTCGGCCACGGGTTCATGACCCTTCTTGGCCGCCATCCACAACGGCTTCTCGCCTTCGGGGGTGGTAGCCTCGACGTCGGCGCCATGTTCCAGGAGGGACCTTGTAAGCCCGACATCGTTGCGAACGACCGCCTCATGCAGCGCGGTGCGGCCCGAAGAGTTGGGGGCCTCGATGTCAGCGCCATGGTCCAGGAGGAGGTGAACGAGGGCGAGCTGTGCGTGCTCGACGGCGACATGCAGAGCAGTTCGGCCGCCTTCATCGATGGTGTCGATATTGTTCTCGTCTTGGTCCAGCAGCTCTCGGACGAGACTGATGTCGCCTGCAATGACGGCCTGATGTAGACGGGAGACTGCACCCTTCGCCGTGTCTCCGGGCCTGCTAGTGCTAGGCTCTCCGGGCTCCATGATGTCCGCAAAGCCGGGTTCCGTTCACGAATTTGTTTGAATCGTGTTGCGCCGAAGGTTGAAGAGGACAGATGTGTTGGGTTTCGCGGCCCACACAGGGTTGATTATGACAGGCGGGCTAGCTTTGCGTGGAGAGGGGATTGGGTGAATGGTTCGTTGGGGCCAATCGAGGCTGCATCGATGTGCAGTTCACATGCAGCTGGGGTCGTATTTGATACCTAACCGCCACGGCCTCCTCGATCGGCCTCAGGCTGTCGTTCATCCCCCACATCCACTTGTCCGCCCACTTGCATCGTACAATCGTGCGGCATCACGACTTCGACGCTTCCTATACTCGAGCGTATCATGGCGAGAGTTCGAAGTGGCTGGCTGAGATGTAAGCTGACGATTCGTTATAATACGTAAGCTTTAATGAATCTGGCAGAGTACTGACCTGCTTGGTGTGACGCAGGGAGGTCTTGGATTAGGTTCCAACATGTAGCGATGCTGTTGCTTGCCGCCTCTTCAATCCTCTTCTGTAAGCATCACATATACGGGGGGTTGGTGCCGTCATACTTCTGCTAATCCCGACTTGGCAGCCATCCTCCTCGCAGGGTGCACAACAGAAGGTCTGAGTGATTTGTACCTTCTCTCGCTCTCGTACACGGGCAGCGCCTCGTCGGCAGCCGATAACACCATAACGAACCCGAATGTGTCCTCGGCGGTGGCTGGGCTTGCGGGTACCGGATCGGCACTCCAGGTGCGAGTTGGGTACTTCGGATACTGCCTGATCCACGGCGCCATCAAGTCTTGCTCGTCGGATGCGGATTTGCTCGCCGCATCACTGCGAGGAATGGACTGGAGTGATCCCCTGAACATGTTATTCGTGGCGAAGTCCTTCCGCAATGATACGATCTTCAGCGGTCTCATGTCGGTAAACCCCCTCGTCATTATTGAAATCAACTCTCTGACACACAGAAAAGATTTATCAGCATTATCTTGGGAATCTTCTGCTTCGGTCTGCTGAGTACGTTCCGCCGGCGAACCGAACTGCAGGTGGGCTCGGACGGTGAATCTGAGCACGAGCGCCTCGAGGTCAGGCCGTTTCCGTCTAGGCGAGTGTCGCAGTCGGCCCTGATCCTGGTCCTGGTGGCGTCGATTTTTGCCCTGGTTGCCGCGCTGTGGCAGCATCTTTCGAGCGCTGCCACCTCGACTATGGCTGGCACCGTAATGTACGGCACCGTGTCAGGACAGGTGGGCGCCGGAGCCATGGCCCTGGGATGGGTTGGGACTGCTCTCTTGATTGTGGTTGCAGTTGGCCTACTCCTCAAGATCTTGAGTATGCGGGTATTAGAACTCATCAATCAGGTTCCGTGAACCAGAGAACATACGTCACTTAGCTTCCCTTGGACAATTGTAACGCAGCTTCATGATGCGGTTCTGGTTCCAATCTGGACTGTCGAAAATGTCAAGTCCTACTAAATATAGCGATGGCGGCCTCGGATGTCAGGAAACAACTAATAACTAGGGCTTGGAACCTAATCGACCCAAACCGCAATCCCGCCGCCGGGCAGCAGCCCTTCAATGTTCAGACAGTTGGCCGGTGCGTCGACTCATTCGGTTGAGTGCCGGGGATCAAATTGGGAGTCGGTCGGGCTGAATCATGCTACGTAACGATTAAGGTGGCGCGCTGACGCACCAAGGGCTACGGGCTGCTGCTTCGAATGCCCCGATGGGGCAGATTTTCTCAGTCGTGTATCTATGGTGTTGTTCTTTAAACTTGGAGTCGGAAGACGATGGGACTTAAGTCAAACACTTTGGAAGGTCACGCTGCTGCGGGTGTTGGTGGGAATGCCTCACAGTACATACCAAGCACACTGTGCTGGAAGGAACAGTGGGTACTGCACTCTTCAACACTTTCGGCTTGAATTTCTGCTCCATCATTGTACCGAACAGAGATGCTCGAGTGGGAGATGCTCGAATGGGGAAAGGATCGCAACGCTGGTTCGGAGGGCCTGAAAGAGGAGGAACAACCTCAATTTGATTACCTGAGTGCAGGAGAACAGAAGATCGGCTTTTTACGAAGGTCGAAGCCGTCCGGCCAAGTGACCGTGAGATGGCGGTGTCGACGCAACCCGAGGCGGTGATCGAGGTGCCCGACTGCCCAATCTCGCCGAAAGAAACGAACTGAGCCACGCCCCAGAACCGAGCGCGAAAGTCCGCGAGGGAGCGGAACTAACGGCCAGGCTGAAGCGGGGAAAACAGCGCTCCAGACCCTCCTAGAGACAATCAATGAACAGCAAAAACGAGACGCGCGAGATAATTACCGAGCAACGAAACATGATCTGCGAGCTACGCGACGTGGTCATCAAGCAGCAAGATATGATTCAACAGTTCTGCGAAGAGCTGGGACAAGCCCGCGATGTGGTCAGCAAACAGCAGACGCGATTCAGCAGCTCTCTGAGGAGCTGAGACAAGCCCGAGACCAGATAGACGCCGTTGCACGCAACGCAACACAGCCCATGTCCATACAACTCAGTCGAGCCCAAGGGCGTCATATGCAAAAGTTGCTCGCACGCCACCAGCGAGCCAACCGAGTGGACTGCGAACTATCTCCTTGTCGAACACAACGCCAACGACCTTGACTGATACCCTGTTCTGCACGGTGGATACATCTAGAGTGGAGGAAATAGAGAAAGGGAAAGTCCAAGTCGCAGACATAGGGAAGGCAATTGAGGCAGAGATCCAGACACACGAGAGCCAGGGAAACTGGCGCTGCGCTGCAGTGGTGAAGGAAGCCAGGAACCCAGACCGAATCAGAGTAATCTGCAGGGACGAAAGCGAAGTTGCCCTTGTCAAGGAAGCAGCGCAGAAGATCACGGTGCCAGGAGTGCGCGTGCTGAGGGACCAGTTGTACCCGGTGAGGATTGACAATGCCAACCGGACAGCAGTCCTCGACGCAGAGGGGAATATTCTCCCTGGAGCGGCGGAAGCACTGGAAAAAGAAATTGTAGTCAACATCGCCGAGATTGCCTGGCTCGCAGGAAGGATGCTGGCGAAGCTCATGGCTCGATGGTTGTCTATGTAACTAAAGGCAGCGAAGCGAGACGGCTACTGGATGCACGCTACTTCCATCTGGCCGGGAAATCAGCTTACACAACAGTATTTGCACCTCGGGAGGGTCCAACCCATTGCTTCAACTGTCAAGAAATAGGCCACAAGCCCTTTGCATGCAAGAAGCCACAGATATGCAGTGTCGGCGATCTCGGAGCCACATGCCAGGACGATAGGTGGAGCAGTGGTAACGGTTTCACTGGGACACCACAACTGCACCATCCTGTAGCGAGGTTGTCTCCAATCCGCGGATACGCCCCAGTTACCGACTGACATCGAGCATTGTACCTGGACAAGATTATGCTGGGTCAACCGGAGTTTCGGTGCCATCCTCCATGTCCTGGTACATATCTAATTGTAGACCGGGCATGGTGAACTGGGAAATACCGTCAACGTATGTCAGCGAGAGTATCAGCATCGACGGCGCAGGCACCTTGCCACAGTTGATGCGACGGACTTCAGTCTTCCGCTCCTCCTCGAATCGAGGTGTGCAACGGCTAACGCGAGGTTCTTTGCTATAAAGCAATCGCATCTACCCCTTTTGCTCTGGTTTGAGCATCGCTCTTCTTGCCCCTCTTCGATGTCACGTATTCTTCAAGTCCTCGGCCGTCTTATACACGGTACTTGTCTACAACCATAGTGAATATTGTGCCTCCATCATGTCCACAAGGTATGTAACATCTCTTTTCTGTCTTACGCCTCTCGCTGAGGTAACAGTCCTATCATCTTCCCCTTCCCCTTGATTTTCCATACGTTACCTTGATGTTATTTTCTTCGACCACACTGTCCTTGCCCTTATGAAGGAGCTCGCTTCTCCCGTCAGACGTCGAGGAAGCGGTATGCATTTAATTTTTCCAATGCTTCCCATGCCACAGTGGACGCACAGGGTAGATCACATGCTCGACACATGAAGCTCTCTCTCTCTAAGCCTCGAACAGAAGGAATCCCGACAACTGGAGCACCCGCGCAAGGAGCGGCTCGCCGATCCAGAGCGTTTCCTGTTCCAGAGCTGTCCCTAACGGCAATACTGTCGGCGGGAATGCCGAGCAGAGGAGCGAGGCCAAGACCCAGAAGCTGTATGGCATCGGCACGCAATTCTCGCATGACAGGTAGGTTAAGCCCCCGGTCTCCGATAACGGTAGACACTCAACCCTGAGCCGTTACGGTCCCGCCTACTTCAGCTGCTGACTCAGAGGTGTTGTCCAGTGCCGTCGCCAGCCCGCCGAAGTCGATACCGGAGTCTGACCTTCTCTGTATCTGAGTTCAATTATGGCCTAACATTCGACAGTCCTCCCAGCTCAAACTCGTCAACTCGCGCCAACTCTGTGGGCTGCAGGAGTGTGGGTTAGCCGGCTCGAAATAGAAGGAGGTTTCTACGTAAGGTACTCAGCCCTGTTGGCCTCACTAGGTGGGTGGTGGGATTTAGGGTTGGGATCTAGTCGATGGCGAGTTCAAGTTGGCTTCATTCTCTCAGCGATAATGAGAAGTATCAAGCATTTCAAGCATCGTGCTTCGAACTCATAATGGGTGATTTGCTTGTCTTCGGCCTAACTCCCCCATTGAACCCTTGGATGCCCAGTTCATAGTCCTTCACGAGCATCAAAACCTTTTCCTAGCTTGCCAGCACACCTCAGCAAGCCCGACAGCAGGAGAGTTGGTTGCCAAAGACGTTATGCCAGTTCGTATGTGGCGACTTGGCATCGACGAATTCCTCAAGGCATCGCCTGCCGGCGAGCACGGGTCACATGTTAGCCCTCAATTAACATGACCTAGTTTATGCTGGCACTCTCTACGCAACCGGGCCTGCCTCCGAGGAAACCTGGCATTTCGGTGGTTGTCGGGCAGTGTGGGGCCGTGAGCCGAAACAAGAGTGGGGCCGGAGTCGGCAACCGCCCGGTGTTGCCAAATCAGGAAACGCAAAACCGGTTTTGTGATCACGATCAGGCCAGATTCAGAGCGGCCCAAACTATCGATGTGTGACTGCGCTACACTGACGTACGGATTTCCGTGTACTTGAATTGAGTGTCCCGAGATACCTGGGGTCCTAGACCTCGCAGGCGCACAGGACAATGGCTTGCACGACGCGCCAGTAACGAGTGTAGCGATGTAACTTTAGTGAAGAGAACGGAAGGCTCGATGCCTCATGGCCGTTCAATCTAGGACGGACCTATACAAGAGCTGCAGGGAAAAAAATACCTTTTCGAGCAGACGTGGGGACTAGGGAGACAGAATGAATAAACACCGACGTTGAACAGGCAACTGCTTGCCAGCCTCCCTGTCTTTCTGTGGTCGGCGACAGAAGAAGTGCGGAGCCGGTGTGCGGAGAAGCCAACGTACTATGACCGTCAACGCAGTCGTCTGCGTCTGTAAGAGCAAGGGGGGAGTGAGGAAGAATAGGGGTGACCCTGAAAACCAGCAGCGGCAGGCACCCAGCAAGAGGTGGCTTGGCTAGTGTGGTATCATATGGCGGTTGCAGACGGCGGCATGTAAGATCGGGAGGTGTGGTCCGCGCTCACCCGCCATTAACATTCATCAGGAGCCCAATCCCGTCTCTCGAGGTTCGACCGGGGCGGCGGCATAGTTATCCGTGCCATCCCGAAGCCGAGACTCTAGCTCAATGCCGTGGCCATAACCGCCATGTTGTTTTACATCAAAGAATCTGTCTTGTCGGAGCAAATCATCCTGGAATTTCCCATCGTCTAATGTGCTCAAGACTTTGCGCCCATGGGAGGTAGGCTAGGGTTATATGCGAAACAAAATTATGACAATTATGGGGTCAATGATCATCAATCTAAACAGATACAGATAAAACAAACTAGTTTCTCTCTAACTACAGAAGTTAAATCAAAGTAAATATACGTTAATGTAAGCAGCCATACGTATTTGTTTTTCTAAGTGCGGTCCTTGCTGTGATGCGCTCGTCCAGCTTGTTCTGCCACTGGAATCATGGGATTCATGCAGTCGAGCGCCTGGCTTGGGATGACAGCTCTTGATCGGACCAACGTACTCTACGCTTCAGAGGACGCAGGCGGCTGCACTGTCAGCTCGCTGGCTTTCGATTATGGCACTCTCTCGAGTAGGGAGAGATCACTGATGGTGGTGGGTTGTCTCAGCAGTGGTTTTCTAATCTCGATTCACTAGCGAGATCCCTTTCCTTATACGTACCTTGAACTTGACGATCATGAATACTAATGCAAATTTTGGTGTGGCTGGTTTACAAGTGGCTTCTCCAAGCCAAGGTTTGAAAGTGACAAACATGGCCCTCACAATAATAGCTGCCAGCCTGAGGAATGCCATCATCGAATCCCTCGTCCCTGTGCTGACTATTCCCTCCATGCACGTAGTCTCTGGGTAATTACCTAAATACCTACCTTAGGTCGTAGCTCGTGACATGGAGAGCACACAGAATGAACGGTTGAGCGCGCCAGGAGGGAGGGGAATCAGTCGCAATTTTCATGGCTGAACCACCAAGTGCTCGATTCTGACATAAATGGAATGAATTGGTAACTGGATTCGAGAGAGAAACATCCCAGCAACGGATACGAGGCCTTGACGCCATTTGTGCAAACTCTATGCCCCTGCCATGGATGTGATTAGTGTTTGTGCAGAACCACCTTGTGTCTTGGTTCGCAACTGGACCAGGCGAGCGAATTTCAATCTGGAGGTAATTTCACTTTAAACGGGAGCGCAGCCCAATACTACCGTTTCTATCATAGCAACTTTTGAAACGGTTGAAGCAGGTCCTTCATCCGAGATGCCTCCGGGCCAAGATCCTGTCCAGCGACCTAAACCGTAAACGTTTTCATCTACCGGCGCAAAGCGCCCTCAACGAGCGCAGCATGCTGTACATGCAGTCGAGTTGGTGGATATATACAAGAAGTTGCTCGACCTGGACGCCGCGACCGACGACATCATCCATGCGTAAGGCTTCGAGATTTGGGCCGGTGCCGCGGTTGTGGAAGGCGCTGAAAGACGCTAGAGGAACGCATCTGAATATCGTCATGAGCATCAGAGTTCTTGTAGAGAAGTAAAGGAGGTTAATGCAAAGTTTGCGTTGAGAGTCCATCGGTGTTGTCTCTGCCGCTTTCACCGGTTTCCTTTTTGGGGTTCATGTTATCAAGTTGCCTGTTGCCTCTCTTCTAGAATAGGCGGCACCTAAGATATCGCGCCAAGAACTTCAGCCCCTCCGGTAACCGACGTGGAGGGAAAGACACGGATGCGGCGCTTGCCACGCACGCAGGCCTGCTCCGTAGGCCAAAGAAGCCAGAGCTTAGACTTTGGAAGAACTCCTTGACAAGGGTGAACAGATAGTGACGGCCGAGGTCCGGTTCATATCACACACTTTGTTCCTCGATCACGTTGCTCTGGCACGCGCCGACAAGGAACCCATGTTCCGCTTTCTGAAAATGGAACTCTTCTGACTCTTCAAGAGCAAGGTGGACTGATCACCCGCCAGGCAAGCCAGAACGTGGAGGCTCCTGTATTCATTGATCCAACCGGTTACAGCTACGGTACAGGTAGCGGTGATTCAATGTGAAGTGTCTGAATCTGCAGGACGTGTCTTGCTCTGGTTGTGACGGGGATATCAAATGGATATGAGAATAGTCATCCATGATACATCCGGCGCACCATTTGAGATGAGCCCCGTTGTTCACTGGGGCTAGGGACTCAGAAACAGCCAGCTCCAGATACAGCCTCGGGTCTGCAGCACAGTCTTTTCCAACCCGAAAGAACACAACAAGCTCCATCGCCGCACTTATGGCGATAGCAACTGTAAGTGTATGGCGCTTCGCAATCACCATCACACCATGGTGCAGTGCCAAACCACTTGCACCCAGATGGAGCGGGTATACTTTGGCGGGCGAAGATATCAGGTTGTCCGCTGTTGTCGTCACCGTCTATGCCGTAAAATCAGTCGGCAAAGTACCAAATTAGGCAACGAAGGAGCGAGGAGTGTCTTACTGCTTGCAACCGCAGCTGCGGCTACAGAGAGTAACGCAACGAAGGCAGCAAGTGTGCGGACCATTGTGAATGTAGTCAGATGTGGCTGATCAGAGAATAGTGGGTGAGATTCGAGCTGGTGCTCGAGTCAAGAGTCTGGCCTCTGGAATTGAGAGCCTTTATATAGAGAAAAGCTCCTGGGGGTTGACTAATCAGCAATACTAATGAATATCACCATCGTAGCTACTGATTTAGAGACGAATCATTGCTTGGAAGGACGGCCCGTCTCTCTTTAAAAGAAGGTGTCGCACAACATTAACTCAAAATTATTTATCGGCATGCGATGCAACTGCAGGAGTGAACAGCGGAAGAGTCTGGACCAATACCTATAGACTTACAAGACCAGACATACGTAATGAGGCGGACGAACCGCTGAACGTCTACATCTGGAAGATGGCGGTTTGGCGTGGTTGCTCAGCAGGACCAATCATGGAGTCAGCCGAGGACGGCGTCAATCGAGCCCATCTTGCTGGGCAGAGCACGGTGGCGGCATCTCGAAGCCGGACCGCGTGGCTGGGCTCACCGGTTCATCGCACAGGTGACCTAAAAGTCGGTTGAAAGGTCGTCAAGTCCGTGTGTGGAGACGTTGGTATGCTTCTAGAGCACTTACTGTGTGCGTCAAACACCAGTCCTCCTCCCCGGCCACCGAAACTTTAAACTCCTGCGTGCCTGATCATCGGTGTCAGAACATGGGATATAAGCAATACCTATGATGCTACACAATGCTACATTAGTTCATCTAACAGATGTATACGCAGGCTACATATAGTTACTCTCATAGGGAAACTGTAAGCTATTTTATTTGTAGAACATGAATCTCTTGCCTTTGGTCTGAAGTTGAGATTAAGCAGGACCACGATGTTGCTCAATGACCAACCTACCTCAAACAGAGCCAAGGTGCGGGGGTTGCATCGCTCATTGCAATGCATGAAGCTTCATTCGAGTTGGGGAAGAGGGACGGGAAGAGGTTTGCAGCTAACACTCACACTGCCCGAAGCAGCTCGATGCAGGCGGGCGCAACCCTCAACCATGGCGAGAAGAGTTTCCATAGCACTCAGGCTGGCACATGATCACCACTGCCGTTCTCGGACGAGGTTTTCTCCATACTCCATAGTACATCAATTCAACTCCTGCGAGGCTCCTATCTATTTCCTCTCATCGAACCCCCAATCCATCCCATACAACCAACGGCAAGATACAAAGCGGAAACAACATGTGAAATGTCGTACATGAAAAACAAGCCGTTGCCGTGGGGACATACCAAGTCTATCTAAGCTCTATATGCAACCCAAGTATTCTCCCCATAGCTCAAACAGTGTCGGTGATGATGATTCATCCCAAGCCCAGACCCCGAAATGTTTAACCATTGTTCCATCCCGTCTCGTCACAAACTCGATTGTTCTCGCCTGTCAGAGGAGAGAAATACATGCCAAAACGTAATGTGTGATGTGATACATAACAACAACAAAAAAGGGGGTATATCGGGAAGAAAAGCAGCCATAGCCAAGGAAAGGAACGGATTCCAACAAGAGAAACAACTGAGGTGATAAACAAGCTTTTCCCAGGAACTGAAACAAGAATAACGTGGTGGAACCCGTGGAGCGAGTGGGGTAGTCCCGGGCCGAAGCCATGTGATACGATCCACCGGACCAACTTCCGTCCGCGTGGGGCAGGAATGACGATGCCAGGAAAAGGACCGCTTCAGCCCAGCCAGATGTGCAAGGCTTTCGGTCCAGGGATTGACAGTGGCTGAGGCGGAGCTGAACGCGGCGCAGAAACTAAGCGGACACCCCTGGCTGGCCATTTTGAAACGGAACGAGGAGGTCGTCCGGGAAATTGGTCGCGCGCAAATGCGACGTTGGGAGGAAGGTGGGGCTCCGTTGGGCACCGATGGGCGCAGAGAAAGTTTTTCAAAGAAATCGCGGCCCGACCTGGTGGAAGCAAACAGGAATTGGCCCGATCTTGAAGCTCAAAACTCCGCATCGCAGGGCTGCATGTCTGGGGTGCAGGTACCGCCAATCGGCGGCTTGGAATGAAGAATGCAAGGCTGGGACGAACCCGAACAGGATGCGTTGCCGTCGCATCTTGTCGCGTGCTCAAGTCGCGGGGTTATGACCTCGGATGCCGTGTAGATCGCGAATGCGGATGTGTGTGATAAGAGGGGTCATCATTGTCGACTGCTCCTCCGTAACCACTGTATTCATCCGCCGAGACGTAGACTGTCGGGTGGAGCGACCGCGCTGCTGTTGCGGTACCAAAGGGCTCGCGGATGCTCGAGTATGCGGGCGCTGTTGAGTAGGCCGGTGCGGTGGTGGTCGGGTACGACGAGTACGTCCGCGATGGCGACGGAGGCACGGGCGCTGCTGGACGGGGCGTGGCGTGACCGAGCGGCTCGATGTAGCTGTCGCGCCGCCCGCGTTGGCTCCTGACTGATGTGCTGCTGCTCTTGGCGTCGCTCTCGTCCCCGCGTGTTGTGTCGAAGCGCTTGCGCAGGCGCTCTGTCTCATCCTGAACCTGAAGGGCTCGTTCCTTCTCTCTCTCCTTCTCCTTGCGCCGCTCGCGCTCGCGTTCGCGCACCTCACGCTCCTTGTCGCGTTCCTTTTCCCGTTCGCGTTCCTTGTCTTTTTCGGCCCTCGATTCCTTGGGTCGCCGGCTTGAGCTCCGGCGCACCTTCTTTTCGTCTGATGATTCGGACGCGGCGGCACTAGATGCCGAGGGCGGCGACGAGGTGCCGCTGCTCTTCCGGTTGGCCTTCTTGAGCTCCTTGATGGTCTCCTGCAGTTGGGCGTTCTGCTCGACGAAGTCCTTGTTGGCCTTGGTGAGCGAGTTGTTTTCGTGCGCCAGTACTTGATTCTCGTTTGCCAACCCCGCCATGTGGGCTTTCGTCTGTTCAAGCTCGTTGCGAAGTTCCTTCATCTCCTTGAGCTTCTCCTCGAGCTCTTCGGCCTTGGCCCGCCATCTTTCGCTCTCCTGTCGCGTGGTCTCGAGGGCTTGGCGGATGCTGTAGAGGCCGTGATCCTCAAAGCCGGGGATCACGTAGTCGTGGTCGGGGTTCGAAGTGCGGCTTTCGCAGTCGCTAAAGCCAGAATCACTCCGCTGGTGGTCGTTGTAGTGGCCGTTGGGCGACGGCCGCCGGAATTTGACGCTTCTGCTCATGTCGGCAGAGCGCTGATAATGCGCGAGGCTACGGCGAGAAGTAGGCTAAAGCAGCAGGAAAAAGATGTGTGTTGTGCTGATTTGACCGAAGGTGTGGGAGCGAGCTGCACTGGTGCCCGACTGTTAAAGAGGGTTTATAAGTGAGAGAAAAACAGCTTGTGTGCGCGCTTGCCAGGGTTAAAATTGGGCTGCAGCGACAGGGGCTGCGAGGAATGCTGGGTCGTTTCGGGTTGGGCGTCAATCATATAAAGAAACAGGCTTGGTATTACCACACCTCAAGGGAAATAGGGATATGGACTGGTGTTGCAATTGACAACTGGAATGCTATAAATCCGGAAAGAGTGGAATGAAGGCTACCTTATAAAGAGGCAGAAAGAAGGATACTGTAGATTGAATGAATCAGATTCCCAATTTAAGGCAGGTAGGACTTGGAGGGAGGATGCGGCTGCTGCCTTCGCGACAATGCACACCTGGGCAAGGCAGAGAGACAGGAAGGAGCGGAGGGGTGTGCCGGAAAGCAAACGGGTCATGCTCCAGGCACCCCGGCCGGCGAGGCACACCGGGAAGCTGGATCTCTGCGACGCGTCGACGGGGAGTTTCTGAGAGACACCTCGGAATGCCTTGTGGGAAGCCAGAGGGTGGGGTGAGGGGTGTGGCACTGGGCTGCGCCGGGCTGCCAAGATTCAGTCCGGATGCCTCCCATCGAAAAATTTTGCCGGGTTGCTCTGAAAACTGTACCGTTGCGGTGTCGGCGGCACCTCAGCTCAAAGGGTGCGCAACGGCACTGTCGTCATTCCCCGCTGACACAACAAGTCGGCGAAAGGCTTCAACACAGCCCACGTTGCTGCCAGTATGCTCGCTCCTGAATTTGGACCATAACAAAGGTGTCAAAGGGATCTGAGACGTGCCCCCCTGCTCGAATCAACGTGGCCGGATTTGCTCACCTGGCGCTTGCGGGCCGGGGATTGCTGCTCGGCCGCTCAAGGTGAGTCACCTCCACTCATGCATCAGCGGACTTGGCAACCACTCGGCAGGTACGTACATACCCCTGGGCTTGATGGTCCCTTGAGTGCCTCATCAGGCAAGGACCGAAGACCTGAGGAGCACTCTCTGTGCATGCTGTTGCAAGCCTTCCTGCTCCTTCGCCGCTCTGCTTGATGATGACATTATTGTCTCAGTCACCCGAGAGACCTTAGTGGTGTTGCAGAGACCATGCGCCTTTTGACATCCCCATGTCACCGCGCGTTGGGAAGCATGCAAGCTACAAACGTTCTGGCAGCTTCTGGGACTTCACGGCAAGTGAAATCGATCAGGAACCGCCCGCTGCCTTGCGAGCGCCTTTTCTAGATCAGATAATCAACTGGATATGCATGCAAGTCATGCTTGTTACCTAGAGACTGATGAGTGGATGAGCTGAGGCTTTCTTGAACGTTGTCTTGATCCGAACAGGGAAAATTGAGTGGGATGAACACCTGCGGGCCGATCCAGCCCTGCCATACCAGGCTATGACATGATCTCCACTGTGGACGAACAAGAGATGGAGCGCCTCGCCGAGAAGCATGCTGCACCACCGGGCCGGTGGGGTGCAGCCGGGAGTTCCCACAATGCCTCCCTTGGTCCAGTGACAGAAGGGCGCTCCGGCCGGTTGAGTCATGAAACCGGCCAATGGAATACGCAAAGAACTAAGCCGACCAAGTCGAAAGCGGCCGGCCTGTTTCGCACCAACAAGCGACTGAAGTTGCGGGGAACACAGGCATCAGTTTTCGAGACGGCGGGGCAGCTGCAAGCACTCTGCTCGCATGGAGGCTCTCTGCCTCAAATTTTGGCTCGAATGAGCAGCGGTTCCTTGGAGGGGTAAGGTACCTTAGACTCCATGACCAGCAAGCAAGTTTTCCGTAGCGTAACACAGCAGTGTGTCAATCCCCACACAAACTTATTCCCTTCGCGTTATTGGGCAATGGCAATGTCTGATAAGGAGATGAACGATGGAATCGAGGCCCGATCACGAAACGGCAGACCTCCGGTTGCTCGGCCAAAATATTCCGTAAACAACATTGGGACATAATGTTAACTGCGGGGGAGGGGCAATGAAGAATGAGAAGGTGACAAACGGTTGTCTTGGCACACGGCAACGGAGCTTGGCGGAGGGAACTCCGTCGCGGTCGCCAAGCTCCCGTCCAGAAAATGCGCAGAGGCGGATTCAGTTCGCGAACCACTTCATCCCCATTGAGAAATATCACCACACTGATGTTTCCAAAAGAAGGGTTCATGGCGCCGCCGCCGCTTTCCGTACGCAGTCGCTTATCAAGCGAGCCCCCCGACCTCTTTTGTCGCCAAGAAGCCTTTGTCCTCGGTTGTCATACCGTCCATGAGCAGTGCCGGTCACAGCCGACACAGGATACGGCGCCATGTCGTGCACCACAGTAGACTAAGAAATATTTCGGACGGCTGGAGCCCGGAGAATCGGTCAAGTCGCGAGGATCGTGGAAACCAGAGGCACTCGTTACCGACATTCGTGTTTGGTCGGATCGGCGACTTTGAAGCCCCCACGAGCAAGGCAACCGATTACCCAAACCAGCCGCTCCAGCCTGGAACAAGTTCGCTGCAGCTGTCGCTCAGCTTTGATCTTCAGTTCAACTTGCAGCTAAGAACAGGCATCAAACAAACCGATCAATCCCGCTCACCTCACCGGCTGGACCCTGCCAAGGAACGTAGGTAGACAAGGGCGCCAACCCGTGCCTAGGATCGACGTATTCACCGTACTTCCCAAAATGACAATTCTTGACATCTGCGGCACATCGGCGAACGACGACGAGTTTTGGGGAAGACATCAACGGCTTGAGAAAGAATCCGCCTGCTTCGTCATCCTCTGCCTCGGTGGAGGAACAACGGCCATTACACATGCACTTACACAATCACATACACGGACAACACGCTATCTCCCCCCATGGAATCAAGGCAGACCGGGTGCTATATTCCTGCCTCCCTATTTGCCACTTACTCCACCCCATAGCAGTCAACCTCTCATGTACTGTGTCGTGTCGTCGTGCTGTGCTGCTTGGTTGCCAGTAGTTCCCTTTTTTACCTTTGCATTCCTGGTCTTTGATACGAGAGGAAGCAGTGGCCCCGGCCTTCGTGTCGTCCTTACATACACTCCATAGACATGCAAGCTGGCAGCAGATGGCATGCATGCATGGGAGACAATCATGATGGGCAAAGCAACAGGAGGCATGGCTGTGAGGTATGGTGCATGTTGAGTAACACAGAGCAGCCAAGCGAACCATACGACTTGCGCACCTTGACCGAAAACGCAACCCATGGTTGTCACACAAGCTTGTCGGTTTGGGGTCTGGACTGGCGAGTGTGCACGACAGAAAACATCGACGTCACAGAATTGAGTTGTTTGCATGATCGAAAGGTAGCCAGCTGTTACGGGAGCCAGACTCTATCTCAATGTTTATTTTGTATGTTTCCTTTTGTAGTGGGGCCCAACACCCCCCAGTTGCTCGTGAGGTTGCCCGCGTTGCGCCTCTTGAGCGAGCTGCCTCCCTTCCCAGGGTGGTTTCAGTGATGACGCCCTGAAGTACCGAAGTATGTCCCAACGTAATGAATTCCCCAAAGGCATTCCCAAAATCCCAACGGTATCGCCAAATTCCAGATATCCCAAGCATTCGCCGGTGCTGTAATCCAAAGCCAAGCTGAGAGATGCAAAACAAACCCCAACCCACAGAAATGTACACACCCATTCCAAATCCCAATGCCAGTACTGTAACCTGTGCGGCGAAACTTGCCCAGGGAGAATAGAAATCCCAACCAGCTCAGTCTTGTGGGAGTGATGATTAAAACGCCATGTCCCATGTCCCGTTTCCTGTTTCCGTGTCGTTTTTGTTGATTGTATGGTACAGTGAAAGGAAAGCAACGTCGTTTTTCTGCTTTTCTGCCTTTCGTCTTGGCGAAGAGGCCGACGTCTCGCCGCGTGTGCCCTGCTCTTCATCAATCCATAGGTAGGTGGGAATATGATGCACCGTATGCGGCACTGCATGACCAGAGCTAGGAGCTGTGCTTTGATGGCGTTAGAACACTGGTGGTTTCTGGGCCGGGACGGTGACAGCGGTGAAAGTCTTCATTTCATCCCATCAGAGAAAGACCAAAGATGTTGTTCCCGTGATGGACAATCACGTTCCTAGTGACGCCCGAGAGAGATAGACGGGTTGGAGACAAGCAACTTCGTGAAAGGCAATCTGGATGTGACGGCGCATTTGTTGCCATCTAATAGTACCGACGGCGTTCAAGGCTGCGCTTGAGGGCGGCGTTCTCCTGCTCCACGAGGCTGATGCTCTCGCGGTAGATGGCCAAGCGGCGCTGGGCATCTTCCTCGCGGCGCTTAATGTCCTCGTACTTGGTCCGCCACTCGGTGGCTTTTGTCTTCCACTCGGCCAGCTTGTCTCTGAGCTCGCTGACCTCGGCCTCGAGCTTGGCGTACTTCTTGCGCAGACGGCTCAGTTTCGAGTCCTTGCGGGCCTCATTATCTGACGTGTAGTCGGCGGACCGGCGCAGCTCACGGTTCTCGCGGACCAGCTCCGCCTTCTCTCGCTCGAGTTGCTGGACCCAAGGCTGGACGTTCTGCAGCTCGCGCAGCTCGATGCGGAGGTACTGGTTCTGCCGCTGGAGCTCGTCGTACAGCTCGCGGCTGACGACGCTCTCACGGCCCGGCATGTTGTTGAGGTCGAGGTTGGCTATGTCGTCGACGATGCTGTGGACTCGGTCTGCGCTCCGGCTTCGACGGCGGCTGTGGCCCCTGATGCGCCCCACGTGGATCTCAGGTTCCCGAATTTCGTCCTCGAAGTAGACTCGGCGGTTATTACCGGGCATGTGAAGGCCTATCCGAATCCTTGTTTGTGCTGTGACGGTGATCTTGTTGGTGCAATGGATGCTGACGATGGCTGGATGATGTCTCGAGATCAGGAAGGTGTTTGTGTGAAAGCTGAAGAATGAAGAGTGCGGCTGAAGGAGACGGGAGAGGGACCCGAGAATCTTAAGTAGGGGAGAGAGTGTTGTAGGAAGCCCGGTAAGGCTGATCAGAGGGACCTATAGGAAAACATCCAAGTCCGTACCTCATGCAAGCAATCCTGCTGTTTGTGGGGAGGTAACCAGTAACACATCGAAAGTAGAAACAAGGGCTGCCGGGAGAGGCTTGATCTAAGCCAGGGGCCGAGGACCGACGTCCGTACGAGACTTCTCATCTGAGGCAAAGTACGTAGAGAACCCCGTCGAGATGGCGAGACCAGGGGACAACCCCCGGCGTGAGGCATACCGGCATGGCCACACCAGGTTCAATCGACGTTTTTCAGATTGAAGACGTCAACAGAACCGGGTTAGTCATGGGACACCTTAGTCCTAGCTCGGCCGACCTCGAGCGGCCGCTACTACACCTACACCACCCTTTAGCGTCCCGGCTTCCGGGAGACTGCCACAACTTTGTCCCCACCCACGACATCCGGTAAGTCGCTGCCTGCGGTGTCAAGGCAAAAATAGTCAAGATAGTTGTGGAGAATGCCATATCGGGCTGTTGCCCAATGCCAATCACACGTCTCGTGGGTAGCGAACACTGGGGCGTTTCCACAATAGATGTCGTCTGGGAGGCCGCGGGAAACACCTGTGGCCGGACCAGCGGCGCAGCCAAGCGAAGAAATGAGCCGCCGGGTAGCTGTGGGCAGCAGACGGCAAAGTCTCCAAACGAACGCGGGCTGTCTTCCGGGGGTGATGCAAAGCTGCCGGCAGTAGGACTTGGTGTAACAGGCAAAGTCTGGTCGACGGTCGATGGCGGGTTGTGCGCTTGTTGTTTAGGCGCTGCCTCGCCCATTCGTCAGCAGTCGCCGGCTGCGGCCGGGTTCAAACTCCCCAGTCTGAGTTCAAAAGAAGTTGTGAGGGAGGCCTGCCCCGTGCGCTTTGCTGGGAGCCAATAATGTTCCCATAAAGAAACACGGGTTAGGGTTACAACAGGGCTCCACAGCACTGGCAGGGGCCCCACTACAAGGTTCCTTTTTCTCTCCCCCATGTGGCTGGCATGCGCTCGATGTTGAAGTCTTGGGCCATCCGACCAGGCGCTTTTCTTTGTTCTCCGATGTCGACGAGGTCATGTACACAATATCGAGAGTCACGCCGCGGCATTCATGACGAAGGACTTCCCTTACTGCCGCGCAGAAATTCGGGCATCACACGTCAACGGGTACAATTAGTTACCTCAATTGTGCCGCCGCCGCCCAGAAGGATCGAGGGTTACATCGAGCCCATGCGACTCGTAAGGCTTTGATCAGCCTCGAATGCGCAGCCTCAGCCACGGCTGGTCGGAAACCACCTCAATTTCTTGGATCTTACCCTCCTGAATTCACAAGGCTGCGGCACAGACGACAGTGGCTTTTGTCAGTGATTGTCGGTGGGATACCATCCTATATGCCAGAGAAAAATGCGTGGAGAACTGCTGTGCCGTCCCCGCGCAGATTGCAGGATTACCGAGACTGGCGCTCAGCTCAGCAGGGAATGATATGAAAGAAAGGCGGCCTCCTCGGTTTCTCCCCCCCGATGCGCCTTCGGTCCTTGTCCTCAGCCGCAGTTGACGTCGATTTTTTCACAATACAGATCGTTCCATTGTTCGACAACTCGACCTTTGTTTACCACCGGAATGCCTCAGTGGCCCGTGACACCCGCCGTCAAAGTTGAGTGTGCACAGCCGCGGCCTCACTCAAGACTTGCGTACCCATCCTCGGCCTTCGGTCCGGCGGCTCTCCAGGTGGAATCGAAACCTTTGACCTGCGAGCAGCGGCTCCTCCTTGTCGGGCCGCTCCCCCGTTACGCTTCCAACCTCCCTCGGATCGTCGCACTCCATCATCAGGCGTATTGTGCTTGGCCGTAACCGTATGGCACTTAACCTGACTGGCGCTTGTCAGGCAACTGGCTTCCACTTCCTTCCTTGGTTTCTCTTCCATTCCGCAAGGCAGAACGGACGGATGGAGGACAAAAGGGTGGGCGTGGATGGATCAATGCCACCAACCGACGGACTGGGACCTGTTGCTCAAGTTGGTGCCGGCTCGGAGAAACGGGCACTGTAAGGTAACAAAGCCTTGTGCAACCCGAACCTCGTGGCCGATCGTCGCGACCCTCGTCATCTATTGGCACGGCGCCAGCTGTGCTGATGCCCGGATAACCAGTCCTTTCGGCCAACGCCAACGAGCGAGTCGTACGGATCGCCTCGGCCTTGTCTGGAACACCGTGATAGCGCTACCGAGTCACCACCTTCCGTGTCGACATGTCGGTTGATCAAGCTCCGGTCTGCTGTGCGTAACTCATCGCCGGCCAGCGTCCGACAACGAGGTAACTTCAGGGGAGTGCGAGGAGAGCCTGCTGAGCCACATGAGCCGAGTTGGGTGCGTCATCCAAACCCCTGATCCACCCGAGTTGCGGGTGGTTTGAAGCGCGCCCCACGCTTCTGCGGAGGATACGGTCAGCCGGTAAGGCAACCGTTCATCCCTCTCACTTGCCTTGGCATATCTTGTGTCCGTGGCCCTGAGCCACGAGTGATACCTGAGTCAAGGCCTTGTCGTGGGTCGACGGCCGGCCTGAGGAGCAAAAACCAAGCCAAAACTACTCATGGGCATACAGCTCTCCGTTGCAGTTTGGACGTGCCCTAGGACTGCCATGCTCTGTCACGCCCAACATGATACGGACTCGGCTCTGCTCATGCCAGGCAGCATGACCATGCACTTCCCCGCTCGGTAGTGGCGCCTTTAAAGATCCGGGCACCTCCCCGCTGTCTGTAGGCGACGTGACATAACTCGCCCCCTTGACTCAACCTCGGTGAGACGACACCAACAAGCACCAACCGGCCCGCTTCCTCCCCCATATGTCGTTGATCCCTCTTCCCCATGACCTTCCGTTTGTTGCCGTTCCATGGGACCCTCTTGATTCCTGGTGGAGGAGCAGCATTCAACAAGGCAGCTACAGGGCTCCCGGATACGTCTCTGCTTCTCGCCGATTATGTGAACAAAGGCCGTTCTCAGCGGAAACATCCAACCCTCGTTCCCCGGTTCGATACCTCCGTTTTATACCGGTGTAGGCCCCCAAGGCAGATAAATTCTCGGTAGATGGGAAACCCTGCCGTTCATGTCCTGCGTGGTTCGGGGATCTATGGACTGTTGCTCTCGCACTATGTTTGGTGCCATCCGACCGTGGTTGTTTGCGGGAATAACGGGAGTAGGAAACGGTTACCGATAGTTCACCTTGCTCCACGGTGCTGGCAATAGCCTGCCTTGACCTCAGGGATTCCCACCACATGTTCGAATTATGTCTCCCTTGCCGTAGAGGGTGGGCGTTGTTTGCTTGTGGGCTGGTGCTCTGTTGGAGTTTCGATACAGTGTCACCACCTAAGGGCTACCGGAAGTGGTCCGTAGCGATTGGGGGAGTTTCTCTCGGTGAGTGTACGCGTAATGAGAGTCTCCTGACTCCGTGTTGCTTGACCAATATGGCAGCAGCTACCGTATGGCTCCGGGTATTTGGGAGACGCCGAGATGCCGCATTCGTACGGTGCTAGTGGGCGGTACCAAGGGATATCGTAGGCCACCATTTCATCAGGGTGGTTGCCCAGCGGATTGTCGGCATGTTGTCCTTATTGCCGCCTGCAGCCTCTGGCGGCGCCTAATTCCGGTTCATCCGCCCACTGCCGCTTGTGTCCGTGTCATCGGAGTCGCCTGACGGTGCCTGAGGACTATTTCCCCGGGGCGCCGGTACCGAAAGGAGACGAGACTTCTCGATCTGTAACGTCGCAAGGTTGGTGCTGAGGGAACAGCGTCGACTATGGCAGCTCTGGGAAGAGTGTCGGAAAAGCGCAGAGCAACACGTGAAGTGGCTGCCCATGCAGGTTCATTGGTTTTCAGGGGGTGCCATGACCTTAAGTAGCCCATTCTCTGTTCATGCGCAGCTGCGACAATTCCAGAAAGCTCCGCCTTGCAGACGATGAGTCGTTTCCGTATCGGAGACCGGCGTCTTACATCCGGCGCTCCCACCCAGGTGGAAAAGACCAGCATGGAGGATCCCATTGGTTGGAAGGAGACAAAGCTGACTGTGGTACACGTCACAGACAGCCCGATGCTGCGTTATTCCTTGGGCGAGTCAAATTGAGGACGACACTCTTGGAAAAACCCAATCCGTCACTTGGGCATTCATGGCTTCCCGCCCGAACAACTTGTTGCCATCTTTCAGAGCAAACTCCTTATGGAGACTTCTTGTGACCACAGCAACAGCCGACCATCAGCGATGCAAACTCAAAGCAAATCCGCATTGCCAGTATCTGACACATACATCCATTACTCGTCACAGTTTCAGCCGTGAAGAAACATCCATGCCGTTGCCGGGCAGTCTGCACCAGGGAGAGAAGCGTCAGGCCGCCACCTGATATTGACCGCTTCTCCAAGCCAGTCCCGACTTCAAGCAAATTCCAACTCCAAAATAACCCACCATCCTTTTTAAAATAGCTCTCAGGATATTTAGAAAAGCTTGCCCTGCATGTTGATGGCGACACTCTTGTGCTCGGTGTAGTTTGCGAGCGCCTCCTCGCCAAGCTCGCGACCGAGGCCAGAAGCCTTGAACCCGCCGAACGGGACCTGGTGTGAGAGCATGTTGTGACCTATGAGGGTGGTTAGTATCAGTCCCAAAGAGAATTTGGGGGCATGTTGTTGTTTAGTGTGCGCGAGACAGGTGTGGTAGGGACGGTGTTTTCGGATTGGCGTCTTTGTTGGACTTACAGTTGACCCAAACGGTACCGGCCCTGATCTTGTTGGCCACGCGGATGGCAGTATTGAGGTCTTTTGTGTGGACTGACGCGGCCAGGCCGTACTCGGTGTCATTGCCGAGGTGGATGACCTCCTCCTCGTCCTTGAACTTGGCAATGGCGCAGACGGGGCCGAAGATCTCCTCTTGCATGATCTTCATGTCCTGCCTAACGTCGGCGAAAATGGTGGGCTGAATAAAGTAGCCCTTGTCACCGAGGCGTTCGCCGCCCGTCACCACGGTGGCGCCGTCCTTCTTGCCTGACTCAATATACCCCATGATGCGGTCGAATTGCAGCTGACTGACCTGCGGCCCCTGGAAGGTCTCCGGGTGGAAGGGATCGCCGACCTTGTTCTCCTCGGCGCGCTTCTTGAAGGCCGCGACGAACTTGTCGTAAATGCCCTCCTGGACGTATATGCGCGACCCGGCGCAGCAGCACTGGCCGTGGTTGTAATAGATGCCGTAGTTGACCCAGCTGATTGCCTCCTCGATGTCGGCGTCGTTGAAGACAATGTTGGGCGACTTGCCGCCCAGCTCGAGCGTTACCTTCTTCAGGTTGGACGAGGCGGCAGCCTTCATGATAGTCCGCCCAACCGGGGTCGAGCCGGTAAAAGCGATCTTGTCGACGTCCATATGCGACGCGAGCGCTGCGCCGGCCGTCTTGCCGAAGCCAGAAATGATGTTGAGGACCCCCGGAGGGAAGCCCGCCTCCTTTACTAGCTGGGCGAAGACGAGGCCTGAGAGTGGTGTCTGCTCGGCAGTCTTCAGAACAACGGTGTTCCCGGTGGCCAGGGCGGGGCCAATCTTCCATGCAAGCATGAGCAGCGGGAAGTTCCAGGGAATGATCTGACCGCAGACGCCAATCTATTCCAGTTAGCCCCATGCCATCTACCCACGTCTGTAGCATGCATACCGGCTCCCGCCTTGTGTAGTGAAACATGTCCGGGTTAACATCAATCGTCTTGCCCTCGACCTTGTCGGCCCAGCCACCGTAGTACCGGATGCAGCCAACGACGGCGCCGACATCGCCGCGGGCCATAGTGATGGATTTGCCATTGTCGAGCGACTCCACGGCAGCCAGGAGGTCCAGGTTCTTCTCGCACAGGTCGGCCAGCTTCAGCAGCAGGATGCCGCGCTTCTGGGGTGTGGTCCGGCGCCAGACGCCGTCAAAGGCCTTCCGGGCCGCGGCAACGGCAATGTCGACATCCTTCTCGGTGGCCTCGTGCACCGAGCAGATAACTTCCTCTGTGGAGGGGTTGATGACCTCGAACGTCTTCTTCTCAACGCCCTCGACGAACTCATTATTGATAAAGCTGGGTGCATTAGCCTTGGAATTTCAGCGGGCTGAAAACGACTCACAGTCCTGTGGGTTGAGTGTAGGGGCCGGTAATCGGCGTCTTGAGTTCGACGGAAAGGTTAGACATGGCGGTGGTGGATGAGAACAGCCGGGATGATCTAGAGCCAGCTGGGTTGATGAAGGTGGCAGGAGATCAAGTCAGTGGGACACAGACGGAAATGCTGGGCCAGATGAGACGGGGGTCCCGCCCGGAGTATATAAATGCGACGATCACCGAGGTGCCAAGAAGCCGATGAGACAAACGGCTGTGTGGCAAAGATGGGACGGGCGACTACGCAGCTCTATCTCTCCACTCCGCTGGCTCCCAGCAACGGCCGAGTGGAGCGTGGAAGAGGTGAATGGATACGGAACATGAAGCGGGGTTGTTCGGGTCCATTCTCATCGGGTGTGACGATGGCCGAGCGATCGAGGGGCGAATTGGAAGTACTGTATTGCAGGTGTGAGTCGACGGCAGAAGCCATCGCACCCGACCACAGGCCTGCGCCTGGGCCTGGCGAGCCCTGGCGAGCCTGGCAACTTGATGCCGCCCGGGCGTGAGTGAGCAGCTAAGGTACCTTACCTACGATTGCCAAAGGTTCTACCGCGCACCGGGCCGTGTCCTTGCAGCCATCGAGCCGATCCCTGGGGGTGATTCCTCGACATACCCTGACCCTTTCTGCCTCTGCGACAAGTTCACAGAGGAGCCATTGTTTTGTTTCCTATGTCCATGGCACTGCTGCTTGGTTCAGTACGTGAGGCGTCTCCAACAATGGTTGTCTGTTGTGCCATGGTTTCATCCCCGTCTAATTTTCCATTGCGAGTGATTAGTCCCCGCATCTTCCCCGCATTGTGCTTCGGCATCCACAACATGCGGGCCCACCCGGCGCACCAAGCTAAGCCGAGTTGAAGCGATCTCCGTGCTGTGACATGATTGACGCACAGTCAATTGGACAGTGGTTGGGACTACTGTAGCAGTCAACGGATCAAGCCCATGTTTGTGCATTTTCTACGTGTAGGCAAGTAAGGTACCTTCAAGGTATCATGTGCACTGTTTCGTAGCATTGTTCAGATGGTTCGATGGTTGAAGAGACCCCGCACCCATCCGGGAGTCCCAGACTTGAAGCCACCGACTGCACCCTCCCTTCAACAATAATCACGCGGCTCTGTACTCCCGGTCATGGAAGAGCTACATGGAGTTTCGGAAAACTGGAGTCTCATTGGCAGTGACGGGTGGACTGGAGACTTCTTCAACCACAGAAGAGACGGGAGCTGTCAGAGCCTTTGCACAAAATGGGGCAAGGTTAGGATCTCGGGGTAATGTGTAGCGAGGCCGTTGGGGGCGTGGAGAAATGGATTTCGAAGGGTGGCTGTAATGCCCCTGCAACGTCGGCTTCGGAGACCCACCTTGTCATCGGGTCTCCGGACATTGGACCGACCGGAGCGGCGCCATGGCCGAGACCGAACAACTCAACATATAGCAGGGCCAATACCAATTTGCCTTCACCTGAAGCCTAGAGCAAAATGCCAACAAGCAAAAAGACCAGAGCGAAAACCCTAAGCCCCACTCCCTTAAGTCCAGGAGATGGGTAGATATATACCTAGGTAGGCAATCTAACAGACCAAACAAACCGGCTCGGCAAAACACTGATCCCACGTCCGCTCATCGCCCGTCGCCCAAAACCCCTCCAACACCATCTTCGCCACCCGCGGCGTAGCGGACCCATGGTACCGGCTCAGCTCCGCCAGCCTCTCGCCAACCCACCGTTGAACCTCGCGGCCCGCCCTCGCGGCCTCGACGCCGGCGACAATGAGCGGCCACGCCATGCGCCGGCACGCCGCGGGTACGGTGACGGCCTCATCCAGCAGTGCAAACAGCCGGCGCGCGTGCCGCGCCCGCGCGAGGTCCAGCTCGGTCGACGAGGACGGCAGGGCACCGGAGGACTCTAGGGAGAGGATGGCGTAGAGGGCGACGGCCGCGTGATACATGCCACTGAGGAGGCGCCATTCGGGCTGGAAGGTTTTTTTGGCCGCGGTGAAGGTCTCGGGGGAGAAGGACTCGATGCGGGCGAGGAGCTGGGTTGCGGCGAGGGTTGTTTCGGGAGAGGGCGTTGGATGGCGGGTTCGTAAGTCGTTGATTCGAATGATGACGGTGAAGAGCGGGATCGGGCAGCTGATGGAGGGGTAGTAGACTTCGGTGTAGTAGGTTTCGGCGATGCGGAGGGTTTCCGGGAAGGAGGTGAGGTGGAGTTGGTCGTTGCGCGGGCTGGTGGTGTTGGCTAGGACGCTGGTTCTGAGGGGTTTGGGAAGGGCGAGAGATGTTAACGAGCTGTGGGAGGCGATGGTGAAAGGAAGGGGAAGTAGGGTACAGGTACGTACATGAACAGTGCCATCATGCCGAGCTTCATGCCAGGTATGTCGCGCATGACGTCCGCGAAAGGCCCCCAGACGTTGATTAGGCTCAGGTAGGCGTCGATGTGGGTCCGCCAGCAGGGCGTGAAGGATTGTTGAAGCTGTTGACACCGGAGCAGTGCTGGTTAGTGGCACGCAGGAACTGGATGAGTATGAGGATCTTACCATGGCAAAGAAGAGGGTGTAGACGGACACAACGGTCACAATGCTCTTCCGAGTGGTCTCATTGCCAACGAGCTTGGCGATCTCCCGTATCGCGATATCGCGATGACTGTAGAGACGACTCCACATTGGTTTGACGAGCTGACCGGATGTAGGGTCATCTGCCACCTGGATGATTCGGTCGCTGATAACTATTGAGACTAGGGTGTGGACGATGGCCGCGGGAAGGCCTGTTGGGGGGGGCATCGGAAATATAAAGCCAGTAGGGGCCAGTTGGCATTTAGCTAGCTCAGGGTAGATGTGGCCGTTGTCTGGTCCAGAGACGAGACTGGATAAGCATCCAGGTCGACAGGTTATGGGGGCCGGGGTGAAAGGATAGACCCACAGTACAGAATGGCCTCGAAGACGTCAACAATCTCAGGCCGAAGTTCGACAGGGCGTCCGACTTCAATATCCTGCGAGTCCGAGTTCACTTGGCTCTCACTCCGTGCTATGGAGGCTCCTCTCAAGCCACCAGCTGTCGCCGAGGGCCCGGCTTGACTCTTGATGTCATTCGAGTTACACGCCTTTTGTGCAAAAGTCTTTGAGCTGGGAGCCTTTAGGTTCTTCTTCCGCCGTGTGCGTGACATGACCTGGCCAGGGGCAAGCCATGTCAACGGCTTTTTGTCTGCATATCCGGGACACACGATGCGGGCCGCTTGGCATTTGGTGCATACAGGTTGCGTGCTATCGCAGACCAGACGGCGTCGACGACACTCCCAACACTGCAGTCGTTCGGCGACCTCCACGATTTCAAACAGTCTCGTGGGCGGAGTCGGGCGGGGATGGGCTAGACATTGCCGAATATTTTCCTTCTTGGTATCTTGCGCCGTTAGTGATAGGCTCCTGCGCCTTTAAAGAACAGTGCAACTCCTGTACTTGCGGTGGTGAAAAAGTGAGGTGGGAAGCGAGGAAAGTCTGCCCCAGAGCCAGCCCTGTGGCGGTGACGGGGAGAAATCCTTCGCGCCGTCAGAGAGCCTTGGCCACGGTAATACCCCAATTTGGAAGTAACTCTGCAGGTCGCTTCGCCATTGGCTGGTGTTTCATGACGAAGGGGTCCAATTGCACCTATGACATTTGGGACAGCTCCGAGTCGGGTTTGCGCCCTTGACAATCAGACGAACCAACACGGCCATCATGCATTGGGGCTGGGTGGAATTCCCGTCCACTGCTGAGACTGCCATGCAGCAGTCCAAGGACATTGTAGTGACCACTGTGAGGATTACAATACGATTGGCACGAGTGGTGGCTCCCCTATCGATGGGCTTTACTTGTACTTGTACCTTGAATTGCCGGATACGGAAGTTTTCAAGCAAGGCGCTCACGGAGGCCTTGTGTTAGAACGGGGCCATGGCAGGATTTCAATCCCTCTATATATACCACGGTCCTTGCCCACTGTCGATGACATTGAAATCCAAATGTACCCATCGTGAAGCTGAGTCATTGATTCCATCCGTTACTACTCCGCCCACACAGTGCTAGGTATTTGTGTGAAAGCCTGGCAGCAACTGCCGCTACCAGAAGTTTTCGAACATGGCCGACGGCACGCCCGGTAGGTGCTTCGACAACCCTACGATTGCCCTGATGCCCTTGCCTCTAAACCTCAGACACAGTGCCAGGGAGTGTGTGGTTCTATGCTCCGACCAACGTCGCCCCGATCCCGTTCGCCGTCCTGTTTGGGATTTCAGCGGTGTTCCATCTTTGGCAGTGTTTGTAAGTGCGGGAGGTCGGAGGAAGGGGCTTTGTTTGGGGAAGTATTAAGCTGACACTCTCCCAGCCACTACCGCTGCTTCTGGGTAACCGCCTACCTACCGTTCTGCAATGCCCTTTTCACTGCGGGTTTTGCCCTCCGCGAAGTCGGCGCTTTCAACTACGGCAATGTCAACGTCTATCTCGCCAGCACCCTCATGGTGTATATGGCCCCGTATGCCTCTCCCTTTCTGTGCTTACCATCACTCAGCTAACGAGACGGCTGGCATACAGCCCGATTCTCGAACTCGCAAACTACCACATCCTGGGCCGCACGCTCTACTATGTCCCCTACTTCTCGCCCATCCACCCGGGCCGCGTGCTCACCACCCTCGGCTCGCTCTCAGCCATGGTCGAAGTCCTCAACGCCTTGGGCGTCGCCTATCTGACGACCAGCCGCACCCCGGACGCCAAGCACTACGCGCTGGGCAGCAACCTGCTTCGCGCCTCGCTAGCCCTCCAGCTGGCCGTCATCCTGCTGTTCTACTCGCTCGCGGGGCTGTTCCACGTCCGGTGTGCCGGGGCCGGCGTGGGACACCGCCACCGCCGCGTTCGCGCCGTGCTGGTGTCGCTATACGTGAGCATGGCGCTCATCCTCGCACGGACCGTATACCGTGCGGTGGAGCACTTTGCCGCCCCCATCGCAGCGGGTGGTGGTGCTGCTGAGGCCTGGCGCAACCTCAGCCCCGTGATCCGGTACGAGTGGTTCTTTTGGGTGTTTGAGGCCACGCCCATGCTGATCAACGTCCTCATGTGGAACGCGCGCCATCCGCGCATATACTTGCCGCAGAGCTACCGGCAGTACCTGGCGCAGGACGGGGAGACGGAGCTGGACGGCCCAGGCTGGGGGGATAAGCGGAATAAGGTCATGACGCTGGTGGATCCGTTTGGTTTCTTGTCTATGTGTGAGAAGGGGAGGACGGGGGAGCCGTTCTGGGAGAGGAATGGGTATCACCATGTCCTTGTGAACATGAAGGGAACAGAGAGGCAGGCGCCGGTCTGAGCGTAGGTGCCGTGGATATACGTGAATGGGTGGCTTGCGAAGACGTTCCTTGGCTGGGGTATCTGCTCGTCTGTTAGTGTCTTTGCATGACACGCCTGTAAGGTATTCACTTCCTGAGGCCGTGAGGCGATGGACAGTCGTTTGTTTGGATGAGCGACTTCAGCCGAATCTCACAAAGAAGTACTTGATTTGTGTGGGTAACGAGGTTGTGGTCCTTGTGGAAGAGGGACAGGTCTTGCTTGTACGGTTGGTGGGCTGGGACGGTGATATTTTGGGGGGACGGGAGCAGATGCAGAAACTAAGCCTGGATTAGAATGCTGAGACGCGGCGAGTTGATGCCAAAGAGGCAGTTCTAACGATTAAATGTTTGCTTGATTGGGTGACGGAGTGGGAGGGAACCAAAATCAGAAGAATAGATATGTATGATGAGATGGAATTCTACCAAGGCGGGTAAATCAAGTCAGCGGGAAGCGATCGCCCTTTTCCGTCGGAAAGGCATAAGTGTAGAAGGTGCGATCCCATGCCTTGTCGCGGATGTTTTCTTGCTGCCTCACTGGTCAATTGAAATAGAACAGGTCGGGATCTGTCTGGGACACTGGCAGGTCATGAATTCAGGGAAAGCAACCACCTACCTTACATGTATTCAATGAACTTAACGATCTGAATCGTGACTTGAAATCGAGTGAACTCAAGAGGTGTACTTTGAGATGGAACTTGGTACCATCAACAGCTAGCGACGTCCTCTTGCATCATGGATGTGTCCGCAATCCGAAGGTCTGAAGTGCAGGAAGAAAACCGAGACTTGAACCACACTATTAGATCTCGCGGAGAAGGGGGGAAAGGGACAGACTTAGAAGACGGCCAGAGGCATACAACACCAGGCATTCGCTGCCAGGGAGCGGGAACATGCAGACGTGCTCAAGATTGGGAGCAATGTTCACACGTGCAGCTGTACGAGCACGCCTACGCAAAGCCGAGTCGAGCCCTTCATACCTGATGCAGAGGTGCTCAATAGATGGTAGCGAGATACCGTATGCGCTGGGCTCCAGTCGTTTAATTCAGGCAACAGCAATTTTGCTGCCCTCTTTCTGCAAAGATCCGCCACGAGTCGCCTGCATAGGTTGTCGCTTACTCATGAGTCCACGACAAGACCTCGCCTATTCTGTCGCTTACTCATAGGCGGCGACAGAAAGGTTGGTCGCCTGGCGGGACGGGCCGGGCAATCCAGGAGGCTGCATTAGCACGAAAGCCAACACCGAAACGCATGGCGGACCAGGCGACGCTCAGTCCCGTAAGAGAGTGTGGAAGTGACCAGGACAAAAGATATAAAAACCACGGCGTCGAACATCATCTGGGGTAGATAGTTCCAACATTGACCAGCTCACCGACAAGGACAGAATTCATTCCACTTTTCAAGCTCAGCCAAAATGGTTTCGTTCAAGAGCTTGCTTCTCTTGCTTCCTGCCCTCGCCTTCCCAGCCGGTTTTGCTGCACCCACACCGGAGTCCAAGGGAGAGCTCCCTGCTCACGCCGCCGAGGTGTGTTCCAACTATCCGACTGTCTGTTCTGACGGCTTATTCTGAGCCAGATTGTTGCACGCGCTCCCAACACCATCTGGATCTGGGCCGGACCGTGAGCCACCGCCCTAAAAGACATCGCACCAGCATCCGCTGACTCGAGCCACTGGTACAGCAACTACACCGGCCCGTCCATGTCCCTCACTTACTACAAGGTAAACGATTGCGGTACAATTCCTTGGCAGACCCTCGGCTCCATCTGGATACCTGACAGTAGGTCATCCTCCGCAGTAGACGCAGAACCCGGCAACTAACTGCAAGCTAGATATTGTCTGCACCTTTACCGTCAAGCCTGGCGACTGCTGGGACACGCAGGGCAACTTCCGCTCGCAGACCATCTTCCCGTCCGGACTGGCCGATATCCGGCAGTGGTACGAGCCCAGGAAGGCCGACTTCCCGGCTTACTGGTTCAACAATGCCCGCTCGATCCAGTGTGGGGGTTCGAACTTTTAGCGGAGATTGACACTCGGGAAGTCTTCATGTAGATGATTCCGTTGTCTTTCGCCGTATTGCATGACGGGATGCATCAAGGTCGGTAAAGACCTCGTTATCAAGGGGCACTTGGAGAAAGAAAACACCCATGTTTCGAGACAGAAGTTCTGCGGCATTGTGTCAACACTCGTCGTGAAGATATTACATATCTTTGATCGATGACACCTAAGTAGCATACCTCTTGGCTAATTCAGTGTTCTGCGTGTCTCATTAGCTCAATGACGAAATTAGCGAGCCAGCTTCGGTGCTTCGCGTCGTCGAATGGATCGTAATTAGGTGCGACGTTGAGCATGTATATGAGTATGCCCGGTCACTTGTCCGGTCCCGTGCGCGGGACCAGACGAGAGTAATCCCGCTTCAGTTGGCGCAAGTTCTCACGGCCGCACGCATCGCAGCTAGATATCCTTCAGCATGCCGCACCGACTGCATGTGGCCAATTCATGACTTTCTCAGCAACCTAGAAACCTGGGAGGTAAAGCGGGACGAATTGAGCCCTAACCCTGACCGCTGAGATATCGGCCATCGGGACGAATCCAACTCCGACCACCTTAGAGGAGGTTTACAGATTGTATGGGCAAGGAGATCAAGTTCGGTAGCTCTGATTACCGGTATCTTGGAGGGATCGGACAAATTTTGAGTTCTCTACAGCTTGACGACCGTATGTAGCAGGAGTCGAAGTTGCCTCGCCTCATACCTATGCCGTCCGCTTCCCAAGCACAGTGTGCCAATGACTCAGGCCCTTGCCAGCGTTCGGAGGAAACTTCTAGCTCCATATCCGTACTGCAATCAAAGGAAAGGAGCAGGTTGGACAGGCCAAAAGTTCAGCAGCCCCATCAGTCCAATGCATCAAATTCGCTCCTTGGAGGTTAGGTGGTTTTGGGCTCCTGCTGTGATTTTCCGGGTTCCAGCGGAATGTGTATCGGGGAGCTGGGGCTCATCGGTAGGGCTTGAAATTTTCTCCGACATGCCGAGACCGTCTGCTATCTCCAGCCTCTGGTCATCAAGCTCCCTCGCCGCAGCAACGACACCCTTGTCTTGGTGCCCATTGTAAAAGACGGCTAAATCACAAACCAGAAGACTTGTAATCCCATCTACAACCGACATTACCGCTATCGCTGCCGCTCCACGAGGCCCGAACCGAGGATTGCCCCGCAGCTCCAAGACTCCCCGGGCTCGGCCGACAACCACCAACCTCAGCTCAATGGGCATCGCAACCCCGATTTGCCCGCCATGGCCGATGCGACGGAATTAGAAGCCGAGCTTCTTGCCGCCCTGGGCATGTCACAGCCTGGTCTAAGCGGGCTTGCCACGACTGAAGCAGACACGCCCAAACGTCCGGCCCAGCGCGAATTGCAAGGACAACAGCCAGCTCAAGAAACTCCATCCGACCCTCTACCTGCTCCTTCTGTCCCGCCGTCTCTCCTTACTCCGCCTTCTCCCGCTCCTACAGCTCCTGCCCTGCCTCCGCCCGCCGCTTCGAGAGCGACGCCAACCTCAACCCCAATTCCGGGAACCGCTTCGATCCAAACTCCGACACCCCTTGCTCCAGCTTCAGCTCCTGATACGACTGTGACTGCGACTTCCTCCTTACCCGCTCCTGTTTCATCGATTCCCGAACCGCCCTTGGTGCCAGAGCCGAACTTCACGGCCCAATCGCTGGCGCAGGGCCTTGCGGCTTCTACGACCGATCTGGCACCCCAACAGCCCTCGCCGCCCGCGCCTGTGCCTGCTTCCAGCGACGTAAACGGAGCGCGTTCTCCTAAACGCCCCAGGAGCCCAGACGGCCTTGATGAGGCAAACAGTAAGCGACAGAAGACGGATGAGACGGGGCCGAACTCAGCCATCATCACGGGAGCGCCCGGTCTTGACCTTGCGGCCATGCTCAACGATGCCCTTGCCAGTCTCGATCAGCATACGGATCCGACAGGCGGAAATATTATCATGCAAGATGCCGACGTGGCGCAGCCAGCCGCTCCGGTGAGCCCGACACTTGAAGCTGAAAGGGCTGAGAACAAGTTTATGAAGGCTTCGAGCAACCCCTTCTACGTCATGCGCTCCATGAGCCTTCCGGTCCTGGGCAACATTGCGGTTCAAATCTTGCTCAGGCTGTCCCAGCAGGCCCGGGCCGAGACAGAGACCCTCCTAGGCGATCCTGACTCCGAGTTTCGCAAAGCCTACGACATGCTGAGGGACATGTTTCGGGCGACGAGAAGGGCTTTTTCCGACTCGCCTCTGCTCTCTGCAGACGAGCTGGAGATTGCCGACTCGGAAGACCGCGAGACACTACGCATGTCGAATCTGGCCGCAACAGCCGCGAGTGCTTTTGGGGCGCACGACGTACCGTGTCAGGACGTACACGATGCCTTTTTCTCCATCTTCATCCCCGAAGATGGAGAGTACAAGGCGCCTCTGACCGACTTGCTCGTCTCTCTCAAGACACGCCTGTTGCTGAATGCCCTCAATAAGCACGACCATTCCCAGCCGCTCTCGCAGCTTCTGGATACAGTGTTCCCTGTCAATATTGACGAGTCTTTGAAGCAGCGTAGCGGGGATATCCTCCTGAACGCCGATGAGGAAGCGCTCGTCGCCAGGGTTCGGGAGAGGAGGGAGCAGCTGGTGCAGAGCGCCGCTGACGAGTCCATTAAAAGTAAGTGGTCCGCGATATTGACCCCAGAAGCCGCCTAACTGTGACAGAAACTCTCGAGGACGCATCGGCCCCCGAAAACTTTGCCGAGAGCTTAAGCATCTTCTTACAGAGTCACCTCGCCATCGTTGTGGACTACGCTGAGAAGTACGGAGTAAACATCCCCCTGAATGAGGACGATACCGCGATTTCCCAAGATCCAAACGGCGCACAGCATGAGGAGCACGACAGTCTAGCCGCTCTGTTGCAGTCTGCCACATCTCACCTTGCTCAGGCTGAAGGGGACCATGGGCAAGGGAAGGACGCCCTCTCGAATGGAACCGGTTCGAACGGGGTCGCAAAGCAACTCGGTTCTGCAGAGAACGATGATCTAGACCTAAAGAAACTGATCGAAGAGTCGCTATCAACTCACCTTCCCGAGCTGAAGGAACCGGCGGCAAATCAGCCTAGCTCGACAGGACTTCCTGATTTCGATTCTAAGAACTTGGCTTCGTTGATCTCAGAGAAGCTGAAAAGCGAGCTCGACATCCCCACTCACGGGCTCCCAAATCTCTCAGCGTCAGCGCATTCACCCAATACTGGTAAGCTGTTCGTGCCGTCAAGTTTCCATGCTGGAAAGCTAACATTGCAATTCAGCGACAAACTCCCAATCCATGATCCATCCAGTATATCAAGCGTATATGCAGGCTTCGCCTTCTATGGGTTCTATGGGAACAGGTGGGGATGTGCTGCCGCCCAACCAATCCATGCCCACAGCAGCCTTGTATGAGAAGGCTCGGCAAGCGGCCGTTGCCAAGTCTTCCAACACGACGCGGCGTGAAGGCCTGCACTCGACGCGGAGACCCTGGACCCCTGAAGAAGAGAAGGCGCTCATGGCCGGGCTTGACATGGTCAAGGGGCCGCACTGGAGCCAGATCCTCTCGCTGTTTGGGCAAAACGGAACCATCTCCGATATCCTCAAAGACCGGACACAGGTCCAATTGAAGGACAAGGCGAGGAATTTGAAGCTCTTCTTCCTCAAGACGAATTCGGAGATGCCCTACTACCTCCAGAGCGTGACGGGGGAGCTGAAGACCCGGGCACCGGGTCAGGCAGCCCGCAAGGAGGCAGAGGAAAAGGCTCGCATGAATCTGGAAGAGGAGCAGGCCAGGATCCAGGGCATCATGACGTTAGCAAGTGGCCTGCAGAACAACCACCACCCCATCGGAAACACCCCGATCGCCCCGTCCCCTTCGAAGCGAACCAGCCCGACTACCCTCGGGCTTGGGGGAACAGGTGTTGGGACAACCACACATGCTGCCCATGTGACAGCCGGCAATGGTACCACGATGCCCGCAATGCCGGGCCCGCCACGGATCAAAACGGAGCTATCAGACCAGAGCTCGCTGCCGAAGGTCTCGGCATTTCCGCCAATTCAGCCGGCGCCGGCGCCGGGCACCACCGTGCAACAAGGCAGAACCCCGTTGCCAGCGTTGCAGCAGCAACCGGGTACACAACCTCAGCAGCCAAGGCCACCAACCCAGCAGCAATATCAGCAGACCCAGCAGTTTCAGCAACCGCGCCCACAAGAGGTGCGAAAATTGTCGATGCCGATGCCACAACAACAACAACAACAGCAGCGGCTGCCACTTCCACAGCATCAACCACAAGTCCAGCAGCAGCCCCAACCGCAACTGCAACTGCAACCGCAAGCCCCACCTCGAACTTCATCACAAACTCAACAGCAGCAACAACCCCAATCGCAACAACAGCGGCAAGCACAGCCGCAACCGGACCCATCGCGAACACCCGCTCAGGCCCAGGCCCAACCCCAAGCAATTCCCCAAACCCCCGTGGCAGCACAGGCGACAGGGTTACCACCACCACAACAATCCTTATCGCAGACACAGACACAGATACAGACACAGCAACAGTCCCAAGCTCCTGCTCCTTCTTCGGCTCCTCCCCCACCTCCACCACCACAAAGCGTATCCCAACCCTTACCCTTGGCACCACCGCCAATACCGCCCAACCACCATTCCACGCCTCCTGACCACGATACTAAGTTGTTCGAGACTCTGCAGGCTGCTATAGCTGCTTCAACTGCTGGTGAGAGTGGTACTAGTCCTGTTTCTGGGAACACTGCTGGTGCTAGTCCTGCTGCGGCAACGGCTACGGCTACGGCGGTATCGGAGGGGTCGAGGGGTTGAACTAGGCCCAGCCTAGCAGGTTAGGACATGGATGGTTATGGCGATCGAGAGCCGGGATGAATCAAAACGGAAGAGTTATCAAGAGGGCGGGGTTGCATAGTGGCACTGCGTTGGACGGTTCGCATAGGAGCGTGGCGAACAGGGCTGGTGCTAATCGACATACGTCCTCGCGGGTTCTTGCTGTGCTTGGACGTTGGATTTCAAATCTGACCGGATCAGCACAGCAGGGACATAGCACGGAGTGAAGTAACCGGCTGAGCGTCTTTCGCCTGTGGTCGTTCCTGGCTCTCCCGCGCCTCAAAACAGGATGGCATTGGCTAGGGAAGAGGTCAAATGTGGGCATTTGATGATTTTCATTTTACCTGTTTAATTGATACCTTGGGTCATGGGATTGGCGCTGGCGCTGGTACCTCTATTCAACTCATTTGCGGAGAGGGTAGCTACATGCTATGTATGGCTGTATGGGTTGAGTGAGTGTCTGTTTGCGTGAGGCCCAAGGGCTCTCTCGTAACCTACGCTGTCTCCGTCTCTTTCGGCAATGTTGTCTTCAATATCGGTCCCAAGTAGGTGAGCACTGTTAGGACCAACAGACGCGGTCATATTGTCTCATCGAGCGTGGAGTCCTTACTCCCGAGAAATGCGGCACAGGCCGCCCAGGTCCCAGACGGGCTGGCATGGCCTTTAAATGCATGGCTAGGTATTATACAATTCAACCCTGGCTTGTTAGCACGGAACTTAATATAGGCACGCAACTGAAATAGCAACCTTCATCTACCTCTACTTTCACTCTCACTTTCTCCTCTTCCACTTCCTTTCTCATAAGTAGAAGGAAAACAAGTTGAGAGAGATAAAAAGAAGAGGAATTATAAAGGAAGAAAGGGTTAAAAAAATGAAAGGGAATATCAGAGAATAAGGAAGGCAAGAAGTAAGAAATAGAGAAGAATTCAAGAATTAGAGCATGTGAAAAGAAGAATGGAAGCTCGGATACTTACTCCCTAACTATAGGTAGATTGTCCTTTTCTTTTCCAAGTTCCACGCTAAGGTAACAAGCAAACCAGGCCTGGACTTCCACGGGCCGCCTGGATCTAGCTGGGCAAAGTGGGCGGCGGGGCACTCCCTCATGGTTCCAGGAAGGCGGCATGGTTGGCCGACGGTACCCAGGAGAAAAAACATCACGTAATGTTCTCGATACCCTTGCGGTGGTTGGTTTCCAGGGCTTCCCCCTAGAGGGCCGGCCCTCAGAAAGGGGTATACTGATTCAGCAGACTCCAAACGCTATCGTCCCCGAAATCCCCCTGAAACCGACAGGCCGCTGGAAGCTCTCCTCCTCCGCCTTCCGCGGCGCCCATGCCCACGCCCATGCCCACGCCCTCCCCGGCCGTCAACGGCAAGCCGTCCGCATTGTCACCATACCCCAAGCCGTTCCTTCGGACCAGAGTCGGGCACAGATTCTGATAATCCCATCCCGAATCAACGGCCGCCACCGTCGAGCTCCCCATCAGATCGTGATAAAGCAGGTCGCTGGTGGCGTAGATGGGCTGCACGCTGGCCCAGTCAAAGTCATTTGGCGGATTCCAGTCGAGCTGGCCGTCGCTGTTGGAGGTGTTGCTGCCGGCGAAGAGGTCGGGGTCCAGGTTAAAGTTGAAGGATGGCGCGGCGTTGCCCTCCCGCTGAAGCACTCCGCTCGTCTGCGATATCTGAGGAGGGGAGAACTCGTCTTCCGTGGTGGGCGGTGTGAATATGCTGAGACTCGATTTGGAGTCCGTAGACTGGGAAGGGTTAAAACTGGCGTCTACCGTGCTGGATATATCATTGGCAGCGGTATCCCGAGAAGAGCCAGTAAGGCGGCCGTTGGTGATTCCAGCCGGACGACTGGCCGAAATCCCCAGTGATTTCTTCAGTCGCATGTAGATGGCATGAAGCACGCCCAAGGCCGCCTTGGCCAGCGGGTTGCGCTGCGACATGGCCTCGAATCGCTGCACCGCCCACTGGAAGTGCTGCAGCGCGTCCCGCACCAGTTCGGGATGCTCCTTGGGAAATAGGATGTAGATGGATGCCATCAGCACGATGGCGTCGAAGGTGCCAAAAAAGAGGGAGAACCTAGAGCCTGTCAGTCACGCCAGTACCAAAACAAACTCCCGAAAGAGATGCGCACGTCTTGTACAGCTGCGGCTTGAGCGCCATGAAGTGCAGCTTTTGTGCATGCAGCATAGCCAAACTCGCTTTGAGCGCCTCGGTCCTGCTCTTAGGACGGGTAAAGATGTAGGGCCGATGCAGCGCCATCAGCTCGAGGTTCGTCAGCTGCGGCAACATCACCCTCACCATCGGGAGCCAGACGCGGCACTCAGGCAAGTCGTCAAACCGCGTGTCCGGGTTCTGCATCCGAAAGTATGAAGGTGTCCTGGCGTCGAGCTCCAATAGCTGGTTGTGCAGTCGGTCGACCCTTGTAAAGTCCTTCGGGCAGGGCCCCTCCTTCTCCAGCTCAATGATCTCTTTCAGGGGGCTCATCAGATGGTGTGACCAGATTGCTCGGGTCAGGGGCGTGGGGGGGTCGGACTCCCCTCTGGGGCGGACAGGCGTTTTGGAGCGGTCCTTGGGGACGGGGGCGTCGACGGGCAGCGATGGCGGTGCCATGCTCAGGTTGATGTTTGTCGGGCGGCCGAGAACCGATGCCATGTGAATATCCCACTGGGCTAGCATCAACCAAGTTTTCCTCCGCCGCTCCACCTCCCATTGGTTTTCCAGGACACCTTCAGCTCCCTCGCCCCTAGGTTTGGGGTCGAGGCTGTCCCTGTGCAGTCCAATCTCCTGCGCGTCGCGTATTGCAGAGCCGATTGCATGCCACTGCCGCGGTCAGCTTACACCCCCTTCCGAACGAACCTTTCCCCGGGACATTTTGATGCAACCTACCGACTCAGTCACCAAGCCGGCGTACTTCAACCAGCCACATCTCAGCCATCCGGCCACGACATTATTCAACCCCATCCCCCTCTTCCCCAACACTCTCAAAACCTCCACCCCACCATCACTATACTCCCTCGCCAGATCCTCAAACGTCATCCCCCCTGCATACTTGAGCCCTTCCAACCCTTCGTCACCATCATTATCATCAACCACCAACAGCGCCACGGCACAAACCTGCAATACGACCGCCGGAAAAGCCCTCATCTCAGGATTCAAGGCCGCCGGGCCCGGTCCGCCCGCCGCCAGCAAGCTGAACGGCAGACGATACCACTCGCTCAGTTGCGCAGCAAACAGGTCTTCGTCGAGAACGCCATACTGCCAGCCAAACTCGGAGAAGTACAAGGCCGCGAGCTTCTCGATGGCGCTGCGCGGAGGCAGTTGCCGGATAAGCGACCTGTAGCGGTCACGAATGGTCCATGAGTCCTTGGCGGTGTCCGGGGAGGCGAGGGCTGCGGACGTGAGGGTGGGTGAGGTTGGGGAACGAGGGTTGTTGATGGAGGTGCTGGTTTCGATGTGGTGGAGGAAGCCCAGCGTGTTGGCGCCGGTGTGGGAGTAGCCGAAGGATTCTGCTTTGGTGACGGTGCTGGTGGGAGGAGGGTCATGGTCATGGTTATGATTTTGAGCAGCAGAGGCAGTCTTGCTGTCGTCAGGGGCAGACGACGACGCGCCGGCGGTGGCCAGGCTGCCGTGCTTTTTGGCGGTGGGCGCGCCCGTCTCATATCGGCATGCGCTCTGCTTGTTGCGCGATACGCAGTTAGCGCACGGTAACCCGCGATCACACTGAGGGGCGCTGTTAGCTCTCTCTGAGGAAGGAGAAAGGAAACGGGGCGGTGGGACCTTTTGTTTTCGCCGATGACATTCGATGCATGAGATTACGATTCTTCTCCGCTTCCGGGGTGGCGGCCGAGCCTCTTGCTTTTCTAACACTTTGGCATCGTTCCAGGTCGCGCCGACACCAGGCGAGCCCTCTTCGGGACTTGTTGAAGACATGGAATGCGGCGGTATTAATGTCGGCAACTCAGCAGCCAGAATTCTTACTGGCGAAAACGAGATGCCTGTGTAAGTCGACGTCGTGACCATAATCAAGACGTGAAGACCAAGATCGTGAAATGGGCGCTCAATCGGGGGATCACTGTTGGCAGGACGGGCATGGATCCGAATATGATGGCGCAGGAGATTGGTCAGCATCCAGAAGCGGGCCAGGCCGGGGACGGACAAGGCCCATTCGCAAGCCTTGGTACGGATTACAATCCAGCCCTGACATCAATGAGATGAGAGAAATCAAGGAACATGAGAAAAGAACATAGAAGAAAAAAATATTGGAATAAGAAAGATGAGAAGTAAGAGAAGAGGAAAGAAAATGCTCAAGATACTGAGAAAGAGGAAGAGGAGGAAAGAAAGAATAAGTCAAAACAGGGTTACCTTAAAAGACGCGGAGGTATTAATGTTCATACCCAAGATACCCAAGTTCCGCGCCAACAAACCAACCAGGATTGACTTGTATCGTGGGGCCGTTACCGACTCCAACGCGTGCTCCGGCCCTGTCCGTTAAAGACCGGCGAGACGGCATTGTGGGCAGACCGAGCCGGATCCAGCCCCGTACAGAACGCTTGGCACAAGTAAGTTTTGGCCACTAAGTAGCTGGGTGGCCTTCGGATCGCAACCTAGGGTGAAGAAATGTATATAAGACGAGCAACGCAACATGCTGCAAAGCCTTTGTTCTCCTGATCTCGGGTCGGTATTGTACAGCGCCGAGATACCCATCAGCAGCTCTATATCGCGGTAAACCGCCTGCTTCCTCATTAATCCGCCGTGAATTTCCTCATCGCCTAGATGTATAGAAGCGCGCTGAATCACTCTTAAATTTGCTTTTAACAGCCGTATCCCGCGTGTTTGCTGTGTCCCAATCTTCCCGCTCTCCGTGGGTGAATCCGTTATGGATTATGATGGATACGCTCGAGTCCGCCCGGCACTACGCCAGACGCCCCAGGTACGCCTTCCAGCCTCTTCTCCTGTACCGCTCGGCCTCCGACGGCGGGTCGGCGGCCTCGATGATGCCGCGCCCGACAATGATGATGTCGGTGCCGCAGATGGTGATGAGTCTACTCGGCGTGTTGTACTGCTGCCCGAGGCCGTCGCCTTCAACCTGGCCGTTCTCCTCCTCGCCTGGCGGCGGCAGCTTGCAGCCCGGCGTCATGTGGATGAAGGTGTCGTCGGGCGCCGAGTTGAGCGCCTCCTGCGAGACGTAGCCCATGACGAAGCCCTTGTGCTCGCGCGCCGCCTCGACGCAGGCCTGCGTGTACTCCCTGGTCATGAGGCAGCCCTTGGACGACATCTGGGCCAGCAGCAGCAGGCCGCGGTCCATGGGCGCCTCCTCGATGCCCGGGAACACTGCGTCGTCGCCCTGGTCGTGGTGGCTCTTGGTCAGGCGCGGCGAGTCGGCAGGCTCGAACGACTGCGTCACCGTCGTAATGGAGACGATGCTCCCTTTCCGGCCGTCAACGTCTGTGTTGTCCCTCTCGTGCTGGTCGCTGACGTCGAGCATCTCACCTTTGCCACCGTCTCTCTGCCGAGTTTGGGCCTGCTCCTGCGCATCCGAATCGTCAAAACGGTCCGACACGGGCGTGCCCACCGTGACCGACGTCTTGACCTCGTAGTGGATGCGCTCCTTCCACTTGGTGGCCGCCTCGGCCAAAGCCCGCACCATGTCCTTGCCGGCGTCGATGTTGGCGTTGGTGATGTGGGCCCACTCTATTATGCGCGCCGTGCCGGCCGTGTATTGCATCTGGACCGTCTTGCCGATGTCGACAAACTTGCGGTCCTCGAAGATGAGGAAGCCGTGCTTCCTCGCGAGGGCGGCCAGCTTGGCGCCGGTGCCCGTCTGCGGGTTGTAGTCCCATCCCGAGATCAGGTCGTAGTGCGTCTTGAGCACCACGATGGACGGGCCCACCTTGTCGGCCAGCGTCAGGAGCTCCCGGGCCGTGGTCACGTCGGCGCTGAGGCAGAGGTTCGAGGCCTTGAGGTCCATCAACCGGAACAGGTAGCGGGTGAGCGGGTGCGCGGCCGTCCTGGCCCTGTCGGCGAAGGTCTGCTTGAGAGTTGGATGGCGGTCCGCCATCTTATCCCGTCACGGTGGTCGGGGTTCCTGAAGACGAATTGAACGGAAAAGGCACAGCAGCGTTGAGGTCAAGCAAGCGGCGTGTCTCGAGTGCGTCGAGGAGGCCTGTTGCTCGCTTTTGTATGCGGTGTGTGCATGCGCTTTCGCCAAGGTGAAGACTGTGGCGCCCGGTATTTACCGGCAGCTTGGTTGCGACCCGCTACCCGCGGTAATGCAAGAGTGCCCAAGCGACGGTGTGCTGGAGACTGACTAGCGACGCCAAGGGCGAGAGTCTCTGCTGTTGTGGCGTCTCTGCTGTGTGATGTTGCGGCCGAGATGGCGCACTAGCGGAGTTCACCGATGAAGCAACAGTGAGACGTGAGACGTGATTGGGCTCCGCCGCTCCGGTTTAGGTTGCGCCTCTATGACGATCCGTGACGGCGAGAAATGTGTCGACAGGAATGATGAGCGAGATCTTTTGGAGTAAGTTTCCGACAGAGCTGGTTTGGCGGGTCCAAAAAGTCCAGTGTGTGTGGGTGCGAAGTTTTACAACCCCGCAGACGGAGGCCAGGTACTTGTTCTGAAGCAAATAGGGGAGCGGGACCTTAGACTGAGCTAAGAATGGAAATTGAACGTCAATCGGAGCATTGATTCAGCCTTCTAACCTCCAAGTACTCTGTGTACGACTGACGGGAAAACTACACAAGCCCAGATGGCACGCGGCCTTGGAAGGTCTTTTTTATACACGAGAGGTCAAAGACATGTAGACAAGCTATTTGTCTGGTTGTGCTGTGCTTTGAAGACGACCCTGCGCTCTGACAAGCCCGTCGGTTCCAGGCCCCCGAGATTCAAAGCCAAGGGGTCTCGAGCAAGCCAAGGCAAACGGATGCCATGCCGGCCAGTCGATGCAGCCTTGGCGTCGACCCGAATAGGGCATTGGAACGATGCAATGCAAGTTGAGCGTCAATGCATGAAGACGAACCAAAGAACAGCACGGGGAAAAGAAAGAACCTGGAAGTACGGAGCAGGTCAGCCTGGCCCGAAGGTGCAAGCAGGAGCTTGTCCGATGTCGAGGGGTCAGAGTAGCCGCCCCACTGCAGTTGTTGCTTCCTGTGCCGTTCCCCAAGTTCCTCCTTGCGACCCCTGCCGCTGCGGCGCAGGGACCGTTCCTTCTTTTGGCTCGAGCCCTGCTTGGTCCCTTTGTTGGGGTCAAACTGCAGGCACGGACCGAATCTCAGCCCACCGCCGTCCATCATGCTCGGCTTCAAACCTTGGTCCAACGTCAAGAGAGATTGACCAGCGTTGAGTGTTGCGCAGTGAGCGCCGAAGGAGTCCCTTGCATGCTCAGTGCGGAGTACTTGACATCCGTCCCGAGGTGATGCAATGCCGTCTCACCAGAGATATAGCCGTACCGCGGGTGGCTTCAGGAATCGAGACATTGTGCAACAAGCTTGGATAGATCAAGCATCCCGTTGGCCGTGTACGGTAGATCTTGTTGATGATTGCACTGTTCTTCCTGCACTGGTATCGTTAGGTGGGGGCCAGTTAAGGCACGGTTGATCGACTTTCCCGCGGTTCGAGATGCAGCAGCTGCATGTCTGCTGTGTTGGCAGTCCGAGCAGCCAACACAGCGTGGTTTCAATGAACCCTCTCGGAGGCAACGAGCTCGCTTGCACCGCGATGGACCAAGAAAGATCCATTTTCGCGCACCCGGCTGGAACCTTAGTCGCAACTTCAATTTCGTAAATGCTTTGGCTTTCAAGTTCCTGCGTCTGCCTTCTGATTTGCTCTGCAGTGTCCGGAGCGGAATTCCGGCGGCGACCCACTCTTCTGGCCAGACTGCGCCAGGCCAGCTCTTTTCTGCTGCAAGTCGCCGGCTCTTCTGCAGTGCTCACGAGCCTGCATCCCTCGAAGAAATGCAGCACAGACCCCATCAGACTCGCTGAGCATCGGACCGCGAGATCTACCTCCGTACGAACCGACAGTCGCGGTCCACCGCCTCGAAGCTGGGGATGATTTGTTAGAAATTGTCGCATTGCAATGCGGACAAATGCGGTTAGGGACATCACCACAGGAGTCTTGTAGTAGAAGAGGGGATTGAGAACCTCGAAAATTGATTAGATACTTTGAGTGAATTGTCCGACGAGGGTCTGCACGGGCCATATCGCTCTGATAATGGCATGACTGATACTTGATCGGCCCGCTGTTGCGATCCACTGGGCGATAGTTTGAAATATCAGTGGGTGAATCGAGTGTCTCCAGGTTCTGCACGTTGCCTCGGTAGTTTCAGCCCTAGGTATTGGCAATGACCTGCATGCCGATTCCAGTGGACAATGGCGCCATCTTCGGCGTCATCAACACGGTTTCAAGGTCAGTGGAGAGGTACCGTATTATCTCAACCAATTGGGTTTTCAAGTAGCAGGGCTACCTCTACCACATTGGCTTTTCCCTTCGCTTTCCCCTCTCTTTCCGCTCAGCGGGCGTCCCTCAGCCAATCGCCCTGCTAGTGAAAACCCAATCGGCTAAGAAAATACGGTACTTGTACCCAGACAGTCAAGTGGAACACCTGCCGCGCCGGACTGAAACTCCTTTGGCTGTTGGAGCCTGCCCGTTTGTAAGTATCATACATAAGTATTACACTGTATCTTACAGCAGCTTTATCGATAGTTATCCCTGCCAAGCTCGGGCACAACGCGGCCTCCGTCATTGATGCATCGCATGGTATCACAGGTCCGAGCGTACCAAAAACCCGGTTTTCGGTCCGCCAAAAACCGGCGGGTCCTCATTTTCCCCGCCAAATTCGGCTCCGTGCTTGCAGGTCATTTGCCTTGGTGGGCCTTCGATTTCTCGTGGAAAACCCAATACAAAACGCGCGCGGCCCGCAGAAAGAAATGGCGAAGTAGAAGGCCACGTGACTAGACTTTACGTGCGCAGACCTTCCAAAAGACGCGACGACGGCGAGAAATAACGTTACGCAGCGCAGAGAGCATCGGCACTCAAACACCACTGCTGTCCACGGTTACCACCCTAGGAC